GCTCCGAACATCTACTTTGTTTGCTTCCCGAGTCTGTTTTCTTTACATGACCTGGCAAGCCCAGGCGCAATCTGTCTCTGCCATTGGTATGTGTCTACTCATCTCTCCCAATTGAATCTCGGTGAAGCAGTTCACTAACATGCTTGCCACAGACGCACCAATACCATCACTAAGACCTACACACACAAAAGAAAAGCTCTCAGCCACACGGAGCTGTTGTGGGGGTGTCTTAGCCCGAGGAAGAGGAGGAGAACATTTTTCGATGGATTGGAATTTTTGTGAAGGAAACTTAATCGCGACTAGTGTCGCGCGTGGAATCTTCTTTTTTGGAACTTTCGGTGGACTGGGAGGTGTGGCAATTGGCAAATGCCCATTCACCTTCCCAACTCGGAATCGCCACGTTTTTGTTTCTGGCAGGAGATGGGTTGCTATTTTGTTCTAGAAGCAATCTCACACCAGGGGAGGATTTAGCACCCCGATGATACAATTCAAATATTCCCAAAATCTTTTCTCATATTCGTTAATGTTTGCCAATGTGACCTGTGGCCCTATCCCTCTTTGCAACACCGTCTCCCATGGTGAAAACACATGTCTACTCTGTAAAATTCGTTGACGGTTACCCACTAATTCGTACAAGTAAACGGGGAAACTATTCCTGTGCCTTTCGGTCCGAGGAGCCTTTTTTCCCCTTGTGGAGAGCGTAAGCGTCCGCAGCAGTGGAGCGTAATGCTCGAAGACTTTGACCGCCGACGATACCACCGTAGCAGCATTGACAATCATCTCCACCCTCATAGGTCCCCCCGGCCCAATTCCAGCAAAAAAATTCCTTCTTTCCACCTTCCACAACTCTTCTCCGAAAGGAAAAAGGCCAAGGCACGTCTCTTTTCCTGTCCTGTTCAGTTCCGCCGGGACTAAAGAGCCGAAGCCGAGGTGTTCCGAAGGAAGAAATACAAGGGTTCGTATAGGCTGAAAAGGGAAGGAGAAAGGTCCCCACATTACTCAATTGCTGGATTTTTCTTTTTCGGGACAATTGGGAGGATCCCTCCCCACATGTTTGGCCGAGGTGAAGAGGGAAGGTATGATTTTTTGTGTTCGGACTGGCGGCGCGATGGGCCCTCGGTCTACGAGTCTCCACAGGCGGTGAAGTCGCATTTTTTTCTTCTACTTGTTCTTTAAGCCGAGCTGGGGGAGTGTGCCGTTGGGACTAGGAGTGCATTGACTGAGGACAGACTTCACGGCACTTGCGAGCCTGGCGGGAGTTGCGCGGTGGAGTTGGGACAACTTGGCTTTTTGGGACCCGTTGGTTTGGTCGGTGCGGGAGATCTGTGGGGATGCTACGAAGGGCCATGTTGGACATGATGGTTTTTTTCGAGTGGAGCGGTTCTTGTGTGAATTTTTCTACGTGATGTCTTCTGTGGATGGAGTAAAGTGACATTAGGGTTTGGCTGCTTAGAGAGGTATGGTAGATGGAGCGAAGCCATATCGAGAAGGCAGTCTTCGTTATCCGTCGTAGATTGAAATCGATGTTGTTGACTATGGCGATCGGGATTTGCCCAGTCTCTTACCTAGAGGTGGGTTTACGAGTGGTTCACCGAGCCTTGGTCTCTTTCTTCTTTTTCCATTAATTTTTTTTTTTTTTTTTTTTTTTTTTTTTTTTCCATTCAAAAGGTCGTCGTGTCACCGAGTCGAGTTTGGAGGCTATTGCTCGTATAACCATGGTGGAGCTATTTCCGATGGCTCTGAACACTTCCCTACCACTCAAACCTCCCTCTCAGTGAAGCTGAATAGAAATCATCAGACTCTGTTGTAACTGCCAAGATTTCATCTCGGAAAGTTTTTTTTTATCATTATTTCTTTCCATTTCATCAGCAGAGCAGGCTTGACGGTGTGTTGGCTCTTCCTCTCGGGCAAAGTCGGACAAAAAGATTTCACGCCGTGCGCAATAGAAGACTTGGCAGGAGACACCCGTCACCGTATAGGAATTGATCCGTGGGAAATTCACCTGGACCAACACAGGGCGGTATTTTATGACTCGGCTTGTAACGATGACTGTTGGAGGAGAGAAAATGCTGCACCTTCGGTCGCTAGCGCAGGTCCCCGGCACATATGACTTCATCTGCGGGGAGAGCAGGAAGTGACTCCAAATCGAAAGAGAAGGATTGGGAGGTGTGCAAATGCATCTCAGGTCGAAGGATTCAAGTCAGGCGAGCTCTCTACCTATCGCAGGACTAGAGTATCCCGGAATAAAAAAAAATTGGCAAAGATAGGCCCCGTCTTCCTACACGCCCCTGCCTCATACGAACCCGTAAAATGTGGGAGGAAAACTTTTCGCCTGGCTGAGAACCAGGATGTTCGGTGTTCGGCATTGTTATTTTTTCCCCCTTCCTTCCCCAGGTTTGAAGGATTCGGAGGCAGGCAAAGGAGGAGAGACATTATCGTGGAAGTGCAGGGCAAGGGTTCGATGATACGATGATTCGAATGACTATACAGTCTTACGATAGGTTCTGCTAGCCCAGGCTCTCCGCACCCGAAGGAATGGTTTTTAAAAAGAGCTATCAACGCCACCCTCTTTGCTGTTTTGAGGGGAGGCGTGAGAGATTACCTGCTGAGGTGTGAGGATTTGTAAGTGCTGCATAAGTTTTTCTCGAGGCCGTTGGACCCAGGGGAAAGGCGTGTCTGGCGTGAGGTGCAGCTGAGAATGGAGTCATTGGTGAACAGTTGGCGACGCAGGGCGGACGGGGCCGAGGTGAATGCGGAGCCGGGAGCCTCGAGGATAGTCCGGGGAACTCGGCGCACAACTCCCGCTTTGCGAGGGAGCGCGTCCGTGCATAAAATCGGGGTCCTTTACACAACTGCTTTCGTGACATTTGGCGTCTACAATCGAAAACCATCGCTGCCAGACACCGAACCAGTGAATTTGCAAGAAGCGAAAAAGAAAAAAAAATACGAAGATGAAAGGCAAATGGTTTTTAATGACACAGGAATCAAAAAAGAAAAAAAGAACTTAGCATCTCCCATACCAGGAATCGAACCAGGGTCTATGCTGCGCTCATTAGATGAGAGAGCATTATGCTAACCACTACACCATATGGGATTTGTGGTGTTTGTTGATTGGTGAAGGCCTGCAGCCGAAAGACATCTCAAATAGCTGTGTCTGGAGGATTTGGTGGAAATGGTGGATAACTTTTCGACGACTGGCGACAACTGAGCGGACTGGGTGGAGAGGGGTGTTTGTCTACATCTACATGACAGCTCCTTCGCCTTTCATCAGCAATGGGGAGTGAGTTTAATGTTAACGGCAAGGCAGTTTTATGCTCTTAGGTGAGCATATCTCCATTTGATATGCCGAGTCATTCTGAGCAGAAGCATCTATAATTTTGACGACCCCATCAACGGCCGGAAGAACGAGGGCAAGCGGTGATGTGATAAGAGACTTGGACGGCTCTCCACATTCCGCACCCCAACCCATTCAAGAAACATAAGTCGACTCCCTCTAACCGTGGAACACTACATTCTTTGCTGGAAGACTGTCTGGTAATCACAATCCTTTTGGATTCCGAGATAGTAAATCGGGCAGAAGTCAAAAGACTGGCCAGAACCAACTAGGATCTCACTGCCTTACATCGGAGTCAAATACCAGATCCTCCAACCATCACAGACAACTTGAACATCACCCACCTGGACCCAAATACTGAGAGGGAGAAATGGTTCAGCTGCAGAGTCACGAACAGATGGAATCCTGGATCCTGGAAAATTATAGAAGTATCAGCTGCGAAGGGACATCAGATATTGTTGTGTATGTGTGTAACCATCATCGATTCCAGAAATGAATGGCAAGATCTGTTGTTAAGGGCGATCGGTAGATCCAGCATGCAGGTGATACTTATGATTCTACACTGGAAATATTGCGGGCACAAGTGTATCATTACTACGGCGACACCTGTCGATTCATACCAGGTGATTGAGAGCCAAAACGCAAGGCCTCGTCTCCATGGGAACCTCTCCAAGCTACCAATCCTTGTCGCGAGCTGGAATTGGTCCGAGAGACGTACTTAAAGGCCCTGGTATCAATACCAAGCGGTGATGCGCCCATCCTGTTTCTTCCTCGCACTAACACTAGAGACTCTCATGGTGTCACCTTTTCAACTACCCCAATCAGCCGTCTCTTTGGAGTTTGTTTATACGTTTATACAGGAAATCCGTGTCTTATTTACTCAGCATATGTTCGAAATCCCAAAGATGACGCCTAAACAGGCTCCAAGAAAAGAAACGATTGGAGCTTAAGAGATCATCGGAGAGAATAGAATGGCAGACAGTGACCTTCCCATTTCGGCCGCTAGGGAATGCCCGAGTGGATGTTCACTTGCTTATGTCGGGGACAATTTCCGAACTGCCTTCGGCCTAAGTAGAAACTTCTTTAAAGCTCCTCCGAGATAGGGAAAGATCTCTCGGTGGGAGTTATAGGTTTGCAGCTATGAACTTATGGAGAGAGTGCGTTACGACAGGGACTCTGGTGAGGATAGTACTGTCGTCGGTAGATGTGTTCCCGTCAGTCCTGGCGACTTCTATCACAAGGGAAAGTTCACAAGTCAAGACTCGGACAAGAGTCTCGAGTCGGCCTCGGAGCACGGCACCCTGTCGACGGCGGACCAAGTAAAACAGAAGGGAGGAAGAAGGCCGATGTACTGCAACTCTGCATTCGATATGAAAAAAAGGCGTCTATCAAACAGGAAGGAAGACGCATAAATGCCAAATCCCGTGTAAAACACTCCATGGCGCCGTAGACTCCCAAATGCCAAAACAAAAGCAAATCCGTTGAGGTAAGCTGGTAGCTTCCCGTCTCCAAGTCATCAACGGAATAGCAAAGAGAACCCGGAAAGCATATGCCCCCATTACCATCATTTCCTCGAACTCACAAGCTCATGGGGTAAAAGGAGTAGCAAAAAGAGACGCGGAAAAGATAAACGCAGACAAAGACCCACCTCGCTTCAATCGCGCAACTAACTCCTCAAAGCCTCCAGCCGATTCCTCATCTGATCCATCATAGCAGCAGCTTCCGCGTCCTCCTCCTCGGCCACAGGGGCAGCTGGCTCCGGCATAACCGGCACCTCCGGCAACTTCTGCGCCGCTTCCTTCCTATCCTTCAGAATCTCCCCGAGCACCTTCTCCACCTCTCCATCCGCCAACTCATCCTCCTCCACCTCCTCCGGCAACACCTCGCCCACCATCTCCTCAATGATACCCGCCTTCACGAGCTCCGCGCTCAACTCCTGCATCGTCTGCGCCAGCGCCGGAAGCCTTATCAGACTGTTCACGTCCCTCATGATCCCCACGCTCGTCCGGATGCTCCCCTCGATCTTGCGCACCGCGAACGCCTCGTTGACCTGCATCTGCACGCTATTGAGCTGCGCCTTGGACGTTACGAGTCGGTCGGCAGCTCGTCGTGTGCGGATTAGTTCGCGGGCGAAGTCGCGCACTTCGCGGGCTGCTTGCTTCTGTTGGTGGGGGTTGCGCTGGCCGCGGCGGTCGGCTTGGATGATGAGGTTTTTGGTCTTGATTTCGACTTGTTTTATGGCGGCGATGTCGCGGTCGAGTTTGCGGATGTTGGAGCGGAGGAGCACGTTGCATTTGCGGATCTGGAAAGGAAGAACGGAGTTGTTAGTGGTGCGTGGGGAAGGCTTAGTTGATTTGTTGTGGCGAGTACACATACCTGCGCCTGGGGATCCGGCTTTGCAAAGAACGCTCTTATGTTCTCCATGACGATAGGCGAGTGATTTCGCGGTGTAAGGAAAAGAAGAGGGGAAAATGTCGGATTAAAGGCGCTTCCCCTTGTCGGTAAACGATGTCGTCCACACACTATGGCCAAGGGCAGGAAGGGAAAAACGAGTAGGCTCTTCTCGTCTTTGACGACTAACGACTGAATATGGTGAAGTGGTTTGTGAAGGGTCTTTCGGCTGAAGGCAAAGACGTGATATCCCGATAGGCGAGAGATGTTATATGCGCAGAAACCGTCAGAAACTGAAAGGCCGCATGCGGCAGTGATTTCGGGGATCGTAGGTAAGGGCACCAGGCCTGACGTTCGCTGTTTTCGGGTCGGGAGGAAAAAGGGAGCGGGCCTCTCCTATTCGAAGGGCATAGATGAACTTTGGAAGTTCGGCGAGTAGAAAACCCAAAATCCCACGCTTGTGCTTCTTGGTGATCAGGAATCTTCTTGTCCAAGGCTGAGGCGAAGACACCAGTTACGTCGTCGTTGGTCGTTGCCAAGGCGGCCTGACCGACTCGCTGGTAAATTATCGGTTAACAATTATGGCGGGGTTAGTGTCAAGAAGGAAGTGCCCCTCCTTTTTCTCCCAGGCAGCCGTACGATACCTGCGTACGAAGTGTATGTCGAGTCAATGTTGGTTCCGCTCTCTTTCAAAGTCGTGCCGCTAATTTTGGCTAGGTACACAAAAGTTCATACTATGTACAGTTTGACAAGGCACAGATGCCGACTCGAGATCACACTTATTTCTTCTTCCTTTTCTTCTTCTTCTTCTTCTTTTTCTTTTTAGGGATTTGAGATTTACGAAGGTCTCCGATTTCATTCTCTGAGTTAGCTTTGCCGCCGCTAGGATTGAGGAGCGGTTCGGCAACCTTGGGGTGAGCCCTTTCGGTCACACTCCATTCCAGTGTCCGGCAGGGCGTATCTTCTATATCGATATCCGAATTAGCCGGGTCTCCATCTCTGTGAAATAGCCCTACGCCTCTCCGATAATTGAACACTTACGATATTGTGTATTAACTGTGTGCTGGGAGTGTTTTAAAATGATGAATATCGCTGTAAATGTCCGCCATATCTGCCCGAAACTATTCGGTGACTGAGAGAACAGCTTCCCAAGATCATTTTGAACGACTCCTCTTGAATTGCTTTCCTTCATGTGGTTCAACCACGAAGTCGAAGCGTAAGAGAAGAAGGGAAAGGCGCGGCGACCGTGGCTCGTTGACTGCCCAATCTCCTCCATTCCGAGGTATCGAAGGCAAGTCTTTGCTAGCTGATGGTGTGCCAGACCAATGGCTGCATCAATAGATGGTGAATTTCTGCTGAACACCAACAAGCCCCCGCCGACGAAGAAGTCCTTGACTGACGGGTGGATGAACTGAACGGTCGGTTCCCTGCCAACTACCGAAGACGAAGAAGATACGGGTGAATCTGGTCGGTCCTCATTTTCATCAAGAGCGGGAAATACAACCTCAGCAAGTCCGCAGCTCAGCGTCCGGACTTGTCTCTCCATCCTGCTATTGTCGGAGATATAATCCAGGCATGCTTTTAAAGACTCTTGTGGCCTGTCACCATCGATGAGCATAGCCCACTGCAATTCGTCCAGCGACAGCGGCCGGGTAGCAAAGCAGATCCACTGCATCAGCTTCACGGACCTCGGTCCCATCTCTTGAGTTAGTTCTTCGTATGACTTTCTCAGGTCTGGGGGGATAGCGTCGATTTCAGCTTCGATCATTCCCCGAGAGGGGCCTTCACGATCGAGGTCGAAGATCCGGTCCACGACTAGGCACGCCCATAAGAACATGCCAGAGGCGCGTTTTGCAATCAAGGCCGTGAGCGAAGGCAATGTCGAAAGCCGCTCCTCAACATAAGTTGCGATATCCCCTCCGTTTTCATTTTCAAGAGAAATCTCGAACTGACAGTATGGATCTAGAACCGGGTAGTGTCGACTAGTAAAGCAGACATGGAATTTCTGGTTTGTGGATTGTAGGCCCCGGAATAAGACTTTAAACCGATCTACAAGGTAAAGTGCCTGCTTCTCACCACACTCATCCAATGCGTCGACGAAAAGCCAAACAGAGTGAGTTTCGAGGATCGTAGGGAGAGATGACTTGATAAGTGACCACAATTCTTCCCGGTGCCACTCCCACTTTATGCCATGCGGACCCCTCTCCTCACACTTTTTTTTGAAAATGTCAACGAGTTCTGACAGGGCGTTCGGGGCTAGTTTCAGGAACTGATAAAGCATACGTCGAAAGAGACCCAGGGGCGTCCATTGGAGTGTATCGCCACAGTCGTGGAAGAAGAACGAAAGAACCAAGTCAGTATCTCCAGCTCTAAAATTGTCCACAGCGTATTTCAGTAATGTCGACTTCCCAGCGCCTAGCTTGCCCTTGATCCAGAGCAAACCCCGGTCACAAAGGACCCAGCGCTCGTACGTCTCATGTCGAAATAGCCATTCGCATGTGCCTACTCCCGGGTCGCTAATATCGCGATAACGGCTATCCATTTGCGGAAACGCTAATGATTGGAGACATTCCAGGTGATCTTGAGAAGACCCGAGTGGATATGGGCCTTGATAGAGGTCAGCTTAAGTGTACTTGTTAGTTACGGAGGACACATATATTCCGAGTCTTACCTCTCCTATCCAGTTGCACAGGCACTAGTTTTAATAAGACCTCCTTTGCAAACGCCGCCGCTGTGGCTGCAGCGTAATTCTGCCACATTCTATTCTCGTGTGAATCCGCGTAATTCCATATGCCTCGGATTACTAGTGCCTGATAGCTATTCATCACGCCAGCTGATTCCCTTTCGAAGCAGATAATTCCATACTTATTGTAGAGCTCATCCCGCTTCGCACTTGAAATGACAGATGCATTGGACGACCCTATGGTGCCGTAATGAATGCGAGGGGTGTCTTCCTCTCGAAAGGCTTTGGGGCCTCGATCACTCCGTCGCATTGATATCGTAAAGTCGCAGAGTTGGTTGCAAAATCTGGTCCCACCTTTGTGAGAATATTCACTCAGGAAGAGGTGATCATGTGCGGCGCCAGGGTCTTCAAACTCTAGGAAATCATCTTTTGCTAGACGCTTCCTCAACTCGCCTAGAAATATCGGTATTCTAGTTCCTTCCGCCATATGGTCCCTTCGGAGATTGTTGACAGCGCCGAGTAGAGCGGAAGACGGCTCAAGCTGATGCCCGCTACGGGCTATCTCTTTTCTGCCTTCCCATGCGCCGAATTCAAAATGTGCCACTCCTCCTTCGCTCCATTGTGGGTAGCTGACGACAACGTCGCCGAGCACGATTTGTTCCTGCAAGCTCGCACCGTAAGAGGGTACAGCCCCTGCAATGCCGACGACCAGAACGTGCTTGATATTTGGAAAAGAACGGTGCATGTTTGCGACGAGGTTGGTGGCTGGATGACTTCCAATCCCTGGGCAAACTGCCATCACAACCCAGTGACCCCCTATACGCCCTACGTGATAGCGATTGTCGTCACCTGGTATGTGTTTTTCAGCATATTCTTCCAGCTGCGCAATGGCAGGGGCGAGTTCTAACGGCGTGGGAGCGATCCACCCGACGGTGTACCAGTACGCGTCAGGTGAGGCCATCTTCAGGGGCCATGAGGCTGAACCGATCTAGAGGCAACTCGAAGCCTCGAGTACTGTATTGGAGCTAACCGTAACGCATCGAGCGAAGTGGGTTATATTGAGAGGGACACATGACGACACGCGGCGGCGAGGTGAGAAGTTCGAGTGTTGCGCAGGCATCAATGACCCAGCCTGACGACCGGGTTCTGGTTTCACTTTGCTGCGGCTCCTGCACAAATCGCCTGCGCGGGGCCGAGATTCATGCGTGATAGGTTGTATGCATGCATTGCCGCCGTGGCTGTAGCCCTCGGCGGCAGAACCGCCTCATTTTGAAAAGAAAATATATTATATGACAGGCTTCCTGAAGGAACCTGCTCGCCTGCTTCCTCAAAGAAATCTATTGAATCTCTCGTTTTTGCATTTTGGATCCGGGATCAGCTCACCTAGTTGATTTCTCGATTTGTAGGATCTTGAGGCGTTGGCGAGGAAGAGACGTTCCACCCGCCTTACTGCACTGCGAGGAACTGGCAAGAAGTTGAGAAATTTAGGAATTGCCCTACGGATTCCAAGTTGGAATGGACGAAGTCAAGACTTTAGAAATTGGTGAGTAGCACTGGCTGGTGTCCCCCCTCGCCCACAAGCAATGGATACCCGCCCGAACCCTCCATGGCTAACCCCCTCAGTCCCCGGTGTTTGTCGGTTGCGGGCTTCTACATGGGACGGTATTTTGGAAGTGAGTCTCTCAAGCTTTATCATGATGTTCCTCTGGGTCGCTAATTTCTTTGCAGAGGAAAAGTTCCTCAGAAGCGCGGCTCGTGTAAGTCCCAGTCCTAGGAGCTCACGGCTACACCTTCGGGATACGATGTTGATAGGAATTATAGTTTCACATCCCTGAGAGACATCGCAACCAAGTTCCCAGATGAACTTCGAGATCTAATCATCGGAAAATTTGGAATCCCCTCATCCCTGCTCAACAACGTATGTCTCCGGTCGAACGGCTTGTCTGGGTGCGAACCTACTCATGATGATGGCGGCCATCTTGTATATTATAGTACGTCTCGATAATACCATTTGGCTTATAAATCGGGCGACCAATCCATTTAACTTTACATAGATCACTGGTCTTGCTTCGTGGTCAAGCAGACGTTCCGGCACGAGCTTCGACCAAAGCCGACCTTCACGAGACACAACACGATACTACCGAGCGTCCCGATCCCAGTCGCGGTCCACGATTCGCAAACGAAGCTTCATGGCTGGGAATGGTATGAGATGACAGTCTTCGTCCACTGGGAACCACCGAATAACACAACTTTGATATGCTCTGGCCTTCCCCAACACTTGCAGGCTTCGCTCCAGTCGGCGTTGGCGTCTGCTGCGAGCACGATCGACTTCTGCGATCCGTATTCCGTCTTCGATATCCTTCTCCATGAAATAGTTTCACTGTATGATAAGTCGGTCTGGTCTATAAGGGACCATATCTGCGACTGGGAGGCTGTACGCGAATCTTAGACTGATGGCTTTGGCTGTGTGTCCCCTTTTGCTAACGGATTGTCACAGAGACGTCAAGAAGAGCCCGACTATGGGCTACTCCATGAAATCGCAAGACATGCAATCCACGTTAGCGAAACGCTGACCGTGGCTTCAGGGTCTGCTAAGGATCTTCACCAACAACATGAAGACTTTACGTCTTTATACGTGAAGGACAGCAGCCAATGGCGCAGGCACCGCAGCCCGCTTCGATTCCCGCAACGGATCCTCGAAGCGCTTCTTGCACGATCCGAATCCAATAAAGCACGGCTTCAAACTGAGATCCAGTTGGTAAGTTCGGACACCCTCAACCCTTTGAGGCAATGAGAGGAAATGCTTAAACTTTCGCTGCTAGGCATTCCACACCGCTGCTCAGAGAGATAGCAGAATTCAAGTGCAAATCGGAGAAGAGGCAAGGAAAGAGACCACGGCGATGAAGGCGCTTGCCGTGATTACGATGACCTTCTTGCCTGCTACCTTTATTTCGGTAAGATTTTAAGATTTCTGAGCTTAATTCTGGGTTACACCACCACAGGCTAACAAATGATCATTTAGTCGGTTTTCAGTACGCCATTTTTCCGTTACGAGGATGCGAGCGAAGAGGCAAGGGGCCACATTGCTGTATCTGACCAGTTCTGGATATACTGGGCGCTGGCGGGTCCTCTATCAGTGGCCACATTTGCTCTCTGGGCGTTCTGGGACAGGACGCGGGCAAGAACCGGACTTGCGCGGAGGGTTGACGATGCTGGACAGAAGGACAAGGAAGCGAGCAATTCCATCATTCCCTGGCGTCATAAATTGGCATCAATCTATAGAGACGTTTAATTTTCTTTCGATTTTTTTTTCTCAGATATTATATAGATACCAATAAATGCCATTAGACCTTGCAGCGCTCTTTCTTTAAACGAACACAGCTCGAATTCCATGTTCTTCTTAGACCTCATGCAAACGGAAAACGGGAAGGAACAGCCCTGCCCTGTCGCTTGCCCTGCTGCTGCCTGCCCTTTGTTCCTCGATGCGCTAGCATTTTTGACTATTTTTGACTAAAAAACATGCTAAGCCTGTACATGAGTCGGTGGGACTTTTGCTCTGTCATACCCTCATGCATTCGTACCTGGCTATCCGCAGTTGCCCCCCCTCCAGCTCAGCCCTGTCTATCTTTCCGCTTCTCAGACTTTCCACGGATTTCTGGTGATCCAAGCTCGGCAGCAGGCGGTATCCTGGCTCCTTCCTCCACAATAGACTTGATGCTCTCAAGAGAACTGAGGCAACCCGGAGGAATTCTTTTCTAGACTTCATTGGAATTGGAATAAACTCTCTCTCCCGATCCAATTCTCATATCACTACATTTCCCCCAAAACCACGACCTTTGTTTCTCGACTTCCCACCCATCGCTCCATTGTCCTCTCGTTGGCGTCTGTGCATTGAGAAGGCTACCCCGCCACATCCTCCTGACCTCTTAAACAATCCAAGCTCCCCAAGCTTCTTTTCCTCCTCGCCTCACCAAAACCAAACCGAACCTACCAACTCACCAACCACATCTACTCCAAAATCACGAAAATGGCTGAAGCGCAACTTACTCCCGAAGGTACGAATCCCCAATCTATTCATTCCAACAAATGCACTGTGCAATTCCTTTTCAATTGAGGAGGAAGGCACAGCGCATTCGCAAAATCCAGGAGCAAGCCATCGAGAAGAAAACAAAAAGCTAACGCTGCTTCCTCCCCCAACAGTCACCTGGGCCCAGCGCTCCTCCTCGAGCGACCCCGAAAAGAACTTCGTCTACCTTACTATCGTCGTCCCCGACGTCCCCCAGGACAACCTCAAGCTCGACATCAAGGACCAGGGCCTCACCTTCACCGGCCGCTCCGACTCGCTCAAGAAGACGTACCACCTCGAGCTCGAGCTCTACGGCGTCATCGACCCGGACAAGACAAAGGTACACCACACCGGCATGAAGATCGAGATTAAGCTGCAGAAGAAGGAGCTCAAGGAGGAGTACTGGCCTCGTCTTCTCAAGGACTCTAAGAAGGTCCATTTCCTCAAGACCGACTTTGATAGGTGGGTCGATGAGGATGAGCAGGATGAGGCTGCTGATGAGGACTTCTCCAAGTTCGGTGACATGGGTTAGTGCATGCCTTTTCCCCCCTAATGGATGGTGTTGACTGCGCCTTTTTACGCTTTCTCATTTGGGTGCTGACATTTTTTTTCTTCTTCCAGCCGGCATGCCAGGAATGGGAGGAATGGGAGGAGGTATGTGAACTTTTTGTTGTGTTTTACCCCACTTCAACCCGAAAGAAATACGAGGGGCAGAATCCACGATGATGTTCCCATTCCCCAAACTTCCGGAATAAAGCCTCGCTAACACGGCACCCTCCCCTAATTTTAGACTTCGGCAACATCGACTTCTCCCAGCTCGGCGGCGCCTTAGGAGGAGGCGCCGGCGCCGGAGCCGACGACGATGATGACGATGACGACGATGACATGCCCCCTCTCGAAGGCGAGGACGAAGCGAAGGACGAGCCCAAGGCTGACAAGCCCGCCGACAAATAAACGGCGGACGTGTAAAACCTAGCGCCCCACGACCAACCCTTCCTCTCGTTCCGCCCCGCATCCCCTTCCTTTCTGTTGAAAAGGCAGGGATTGCCTCTCTCTCTAACGCCCCGCCATGCGAAACCCTTCCTTCATGTTTTCCCGCTTTCGCGCAAACACGTAGCTGCGACGAGATTTGGTAGAAGAACTGGACTAGTGTGGCGTTTTCTCGGGGGGAAACTCTTTGAATTGATTTCTTTTATTTTCATTTTTTTTTTCAGTCTTAATTATTATCTGGAGTTCCCTTCATGGGACGGACGTACCAAGGGAGTAAAGAGATAACAAAAAAATCGAGATTCAATATCTAGACTCAATGGGATCATGTTTACTGGCGTGTGTGAATGAGGCTCTGGGAAGAGAACACCCAACCAGTGATTTCGGGTCCAGATCCTGCTTCGATGTCTACTGCACTTTGGGCTCATGACGAAGGCCTCGTCAGTCATGTCTCTCCCGAATCAAGACCCTCCTCGAGGGACAGCGAAACCGACGCCTCAATTCTTGATATTTACACATTCACAGTCCGAGGTCAATATGCTCGACTCTGAGCTCAACCATGACGTTTTACATCAAAGCACTACCCTTCACAAAAAAAGACGCAACGACGACTGGGAAAAGTCCCACATAAAATCCACCAGGGCCAAAATTTCAATGTATTGTATCTAAAGTACCCCAGTATTGCAGCTGGCAATCTGAATGTTATGAGAAAACCATTAACCACCCCTTTCCCTCTCTCCAGAAACCCTGACGAAGACCCTGAAAAAAAAGAGACAAGCAAGAAAAAAGGACTCAGAAAATCAAAATACCGTTTCCCCCCCTCTTTCTCTTCCTGAAAAAAATAACGACGCTCTGTATGGGCTGCAAGTGTGTGTGAGGGTATTTGATGCTGTAGTGTTTTCTTGGTTTTTTTGTTGGGTTTGTTTTTTCTTTTTCCGCCATCCGCTGTATCTCAAGCTTGAATACACCAAGATTTTCCTTCCGCACTCAATTCAAGGAAGTGCCCTTCTGGCTAAGCATTCGACTGCTGGCTGGTGAAAAATAATGGGGGCGGGAAACAAGAAAGGGCACGCTAACGCCTAATGGAGGACAAACAACAAGGAAAGGTGGCCCGGTTACAATTACTGCGAATGCTGTTAATGTTTGGTCCATATTATACATAGAGGAGTTAGGAACATACCAAGATGTCATCCTCCATAACATCACCGTTGGTTGCCGCGGGAGCGGCGGCTTGGTTGGCGGCACCAGCGTTTCCGGCGGCGTTGTTGTCAGCAGAGTTAAAGTAGTCAACCATCTCAGAGTCGAGCTCCGCAGCAGTCTTCTTGATGGGACGCGAGCTGCGGCCCCGGCGCTTTGCGCGGCCACGGCTGGCAGCTTGTCCCGTCTTCGCAGAGGAGTTCTTATCTGTGGCGGCGGACTTGGGCTGAGCCTTGGGTTGGGTGGCACGCTCGGCGAGAGACTTGGGCTGGGGGATGACGCTGGCGGCCTGAGCAGCACCGACAACGATTTCAATCTACGGTTTGCCCAAGTTAGGATCTGTTATCTGTAACAAACAGGGTCGAATTTGTTTGTTTCTTACGTACCTTAATAGGACGGTTATCGACAAGGAGACCGTTCAACTTCTGGAAGGCCTTGCTAGCGCCGTCCGGCTTGGAGAACACGACGTTGGCGATACCGCGGCTCTGCGAGTTGGGACCGTAGGAAAGTTCGACCTTCTTGATAGCACCAACAGACTGGACAAAGTATTCCTAAGTTGGGGGGGAAAAGTCGATGTTAGTTAACCAGTAAGGGGTGAGTGGCACGTAGACTGCCTCTCGCGAAATCCGACATCGACACTCGACGGAACTAGACCGGCAGCGCATAGAAAGAAAGTAACACCCATCCAGCAGGAATCGAAGCAACAAGCAAGTGGGCAGTGAGAGCCGTGGGAAGCCATCCATCAATAAAACGCCGTGAAAAAAAATATCCCTCAGAGGTATTGGAAACCCGAGAAACCAAAGACCGAAGAAAAGAAAATATCGACCAGAAAAGAAGTGTTACTCCGTTCCTGGATCGATAAATATCCCCAAATGGCTAAAAAGGTATATAGCTTTCTGCTGTGACACTTCCCGCCACACAGCCAGCAGGCTAAAACCTTTTGTTTTCCCTTCCCAAGACACGAAGTGACTGAGCGTCGCCTCGAAGCGGAGAAGCCACAACACGCCCGGACTATGAAGACCACTATTACCATGGCTAATAAGTCGGGCTAAGCTACTGCTCACTGCCCTGCTCGCTGAAGCAGAAAAAATATCGCACAGGGCGGAATCGGAGCGACGATACCACGAACTGGGATGGAGAGTGCGTTCTCATGGGCGGGCGCAAAATTGCCTCGTCGACAGCCTTTGTCCAATCTCTATTGCTTCGCGGAATTTCTCTCCCCATGCGGATGCTGACCAGGCAATCCGACTTATCAGATGAGAGGTTCGACGCTCGGCGATGGACATCTCGACATCTAGTCAAGTCTCGACAAATAGCCAACCTAGCAAGCCATATTTCAGGCGCAGGAGATTATAGGCGAAGGAGAAGCAGGCGTCTCAGCGGCCCTGGCCCTGACGCAGACCCGAGTTCAAACGTGGTTCGGCTACGTCGTCGGTGGAAAGAGGGAGCAACGCGGGAAACAGGTCGAATAAAGTCCGACGGCAAAAAGGAAGTTGCCCTCATCGGAAACATACCTTAATCTGTTGCTCCGTGACATCCTTGGGCTATTGAGAGGTTAGCAACCCGAAATACAGAGGTAAGGGATCAAGAGGGCGATGGGGAGGAAGAACACATACCAGGTTGCTCACGATAATCTTGCTATCACCAGTAAGAGGGGCGCCCTTACCACCGGCTTGCTTGGTCGCGGCGGTACGGGGAGCCTTGCTACTCTTCTGGACACCACCAACGGGGGCGGTCGGCGCAGGGTTGCGACCGGAGGCGCGTCGCTGGGGACGACGGCGAGCGCCAGCACGGCGAGAGGTGAGGAGCTCGTCGAGGCTCTTGTCAAGCTTGCCAGACATGTTTGCTGAGTGTGGGATTAGGTGATAGATACGAAGAGTAGCGGGTTGGCGGAAGGAGCGATAGTTAGTCGCGCGAGAGGATGACAGCGGCGACGAAGGAGTGGGTTTTTTGGGGTAGAAATGATCGAAAGAAGGACGTCGATAGAGATTTCAAGTGGTCTTAATAGGGCGGGAGCAGTCGTAAAAGGAGTTCTGGGTTATCCTTTTGCGGTTGGCTGTGGTCTGAGAGTCTTCGGTCAATGGGGCTCTGCGATGCGACGCGAAGAGTGGTGTGAGAAGCGCGAGAAGAGACAGTCGAGAAGGAAAAAAGAAGAAAGGCAGGAAGCACTTCAAAATTAAGAAATATGAAGAAAAGTCCCGGAAATGAGGGTTATGAAGTTCCCGTGATGATGAAGATGGGTTGTGGTGATGGAGAGGATAGATGAAAAGGTCAAGAGAGACTGATGGGTGCGAACAAGGTTTAAGGGGGGGCAACAAGAAGGGACTTTCGAGGAAAACACTGTTTGCATGAGTAACAAAATCTGCATGGAGCAAAGCAGGACACCCAAAGATGTGCAATCCAGGCGCGACTGACACATTTAGGCATCTTTCACACGTTTTCATTGGTCCGCCGTTCCCAGCTTGACTTACTCAGCCACAGCCAGGAAAAACGGACTTGAGCGTTTGTGGCAAAAGTACCATTTTTATGTACATTCACAATGTACCAAGGTACACTTCACTCATGTACTACATCAGCGATTCGAGAACTGCAATTTAGACGGGACACTTGCCCTTTAGACCGTTTGGACGGCCATGTTCACTTCAGGAACGACAACTGGCAATTGGTTTGGTCGAAAAAGTAATGGCAAACTAAATTTTACTGGCCTTCGGGGTTTTGGACACTATCTAGCAGTGAGGGATATTTACTCGGGCACTGCCATGTGGCTGCTTTGGCAACAAGATTGCGCCTTGGAAAGCCCCGTTTCGAGTGGTGGCAGCCTCTGGAAAGCCTTACAAGACAAGCAAGAGGCTGAACGCAGGATTCAAGCCTGCTACTTCGGAGGCACAAGCCCTGTTTATTGGAAAGGGATCGGTCGAAAATGTAATTGACACTTACAGTGAGCTGACGATTCTGCAGCTTGTGCCAGGACTTTGGATGGATATGATAGGGAAGATAGGGAATGGCTGACCAAGGACTCACTAAAGAGAAGGAAATGGGACATTGTGCTTGGTGGGGCCAAGGATCAAGAATCCTTCATAGCGATCAAAATTGAATCGAAAAAGCGTAGGCACAAGAAGAAGAAGGAAAACAAGGCCAGTCCGTTGGCGGCGATTGTCTAGCATTCCTGGCTGACTAGAAAGCATTAAACGTTTGCCTCCAACTAAACGCTCCTAAACATTCCAAGCAAACCCAATAACGCCAAACACCCTTTATTTCCCTAAAGTCACATGTACATTTTGTTTTCCTCTTTCTCTCTCCGAAAATTATCGTGTCGCCTTTTGCGCCTTAGTGGAATCCTGGCTCACGAAACCCTGCTCGAACTTGGAGATGGCGCTGGCGTTCACCTCGACGAAGTGGTAGACGACGATGAGCACGGCGGAGACGCAGCCGAGAGCTATGGCGAGGGTGTAGAGATCGCCGTCGGAAATCATTGTGACTGTGGATTTGTTTATTTGCGGAGTGATTGGAGTGGTGATGCGCCGGTGCGGTTGTGGAAAGGGGAACGGGCTTGTTTGGTATGAAGACTAGAAGGAAGCTGTTAGATTGATGGAAATGACGGTTGAGCGATTGGTTAAGCTAGTTACCTCTTTTCCTAACTGTGTCAAGTTTCAGAGAATGCGCAATGGTGGTAAATGTCGTCAGTCAGAGGTTGTGGGATGGTTGTTGGCAACTTAATGGGATCAATATCACATCAATGCGGTTCTGAACTGGACAGCTTGCTGTGAGCTTCACTTCTGTGTCAAGCTGTCGCGTCCTCCCTCATTCGTGGCGCTGCCCACGCCCAAGCCACAGCTGAGATGCACAATGCTCCTTCCAGAGTAAGTTACCATCCTTTTTGACACTGTACGGGCATCGCCGCTCGAACAACCCCACGACACGTGACCTTTAGTGACTTCATCAAGCCCCGCCAACCATTAACGCCTCGAGTATCCAAAATCATCCACGATCTCCTCGTCTGCCCGACGGAAAAGCCGTATTGCACATTACGGAGCGGGTGAACGTCCTCGATTCGATCAAAAAGGGGTTAGCTACGACGAACTGCCCCTTACTAACCCCCTTGCGGTTTCTCAGAACTCCCCCTACCTAGATCCCGAACCTTTTTTCGATCGCCACACCGAAAAGAAAAACCGCCCAGCATGCCGCCAAAAAAGAACGACAAGCAAGCCGGCGGCAAGAAGCCCACGGCGGCCAAAATGGTCGAAGACCGAACCTTCGGCATGAAGAACAAGAAGGGCGGCGTCGCCAAGCGACAAATTGCGCAGATGACGTCGAACCTCAAGAGCGGCGGCACTCCGGAGCAGAAGAGGAAGGAGGCGGAGAAGGCGCAGCGCGAGAGGGAAAAGAAGGCGGCCGAGGAGGCCAAGAGGGAGGCCGAAGCCCTGCTGAACAGGCCGGCGCAGATTCAAAAGGTCCCCTTTGGGGTCGACCCCAAGACGGTGGTCTGCATATTCTACAAGAAGGGGAACTGCGAGAAGGGCAAGAAGTGCAAGTTCTCGCATGATTTGGAGATGGAGAGGAAGACGGAGAAGAGGAGCTTGTATACGGATACTAGGCAAGAGGAGGAGGAGAAGAAGAAGGCGGAGACTTCGGCGGATTGGGATGAGGAGAAGCTTCGCTCTGTGGTTCTGTCGAAGAAGGGAAACCAAAGGACTACAACCGATAAGGTCTGCAAATACTTTATTACTGCTATCGAGGATGGCAAGTACGGTTGGTTCTGGACTTGTCCCAATGGTGGTGATAAGTGCATGTATAAGCATGCCCTGCCTCCTGGGTAAGTTTCTCTCTTTTCAAATATCCCCCAACGAAACGGATGTCGCTAACTCTCCTTATAGATTTGTTCTCAAGACCAAGGAGCAACGGGCAGCTGAAAAGGCGCTTATGGACAAGTCTCCTCTCAAGACCCTAACCCTCGAGGAGTTCTTGGAATCGGAGCGACACAAACTTACCGGAACCCTGACCCCTGTCACACCCGAATCATTCGCCAAATGGAAGAAGGAGCGTCTCGATAAGAAGGCGGCTGAGGAGCAGGCCATGAAGGCCAAGGAAGCAACCGGTAGGGCCCTCTTCGAGAGCGGCAACTGGCGGACCGTGGACGACTCCGAAGAAGAAGACGAGGGTGAGAGCGATGCTTGGAACCTGGAGAAGCTACGGAAGGAGACGGAGGCTCTTCGAGAAAAGAAGGAAGAGGAGCGCCTGGCCAGCCTTTACGGTACGTCGGTGGCGCCAAACGATGCGGACGGGGGAACTGCTGCAGGTGTTTGAGCGAGTCGCATTTTTAACACCTCTCCCCGGTATACAACTTATACATGCCGAATCCGCATGTTCATCTCATTATCAGCAAAGCGAGCCGAGCAATCCACGGCATATTAGTCGCGGGTTCTCTTTTTTATAAGACTCTGTCGGATGACATTGTCAGACTGCCAGCATTTTTACGCGAGGAAGATCTGGGTGCGGGTCTTTCAAGAATGAGGAACTCATGCTACATGATGGAGCCGTTTATGGCTTCTTCTAGGTGTATGGTAGGAAGGACACCTTTTTTGAATTTAAGAAGCGTAGAGGTGAAGGCCGAGGCTTCTGAGAGAAGAGCCCGGCCTGCCTCCTCTGCAAGTATTTATCTTCAATTAGACTGCTCTCCATGCTTCGTAGCCTGAAATAGCTAGGGTTTCCGGGACTGGCTTTCGATTTTGTATGTGTCGGATGAACATAAATATATATATATATATAAATGCAGCCTGAACCTAATATTGGCTTAGGAATTTGAACTATTTTGAACCAGCTACTCAGGATGAAAGAACTTTGAACGCCTTCTCATAAAGGGGTTCGCTTGTTTAATGTTCTATTAAATGGATTGAACTGACAGTGCCCAGTGCCTGATAAACGGGCCTAAAGACTCTAATTTGACCCTCCATAGCCTTCCACTACAGCGCACAGTCTCGTGACCTTATGCGCTTGAACCCAAACCTCCCGCTCAGCCGCGACTTCCAACGACCATTTTAACCGCAGAAGGCCAAAACCGCGTGGGCCGGTCTCTTTGAATCGTCGAGTTCTCATCAATCTCAATCCCACGTCTAGCTCCTCTCATCCCACGGGTCTCTCATACCATCAACGCATACGACTGTCTCACGCCAACCGCAGAACCTGGGTGTTCGGGACGCAACTTCCCACTCCAAACGCCGAAGCTTGCCGCCGTTGTTGCAGCCCACCATAGGCGCATGAGGCGCTGACCACAAATGCGCATATATCCAACTCATTGACGCAATCTCCATCTCAAACATACTCTCATTATTATGATTAGGTAGCGAGGGCTGGTCATAGCCTCACACAATACCTCTCAAGATGTCTCAATGGAATTCAGCAAATACTCCCAAACCTTCAGGCCTTTCTCAGACTCCGATACCCCTTCCGCAATTACCTGGGCTCACATATCGAACCTCAGTCCCCTCAACGACGCATCCCCCAGCGGCACCAAAACCTAGCCAGAATGCTCCTACGATAAGTTCACAGACTGGCCAAAAGGCGACACCTCGACCCACGCCTACACAATCACAGAGCCCATCCCAGGGAAGATTGCCATCCCAATCGCAATCTTCGTCGAGGATATCAGTAGTGCTAAGGCCACCGGCCACACCGCACCAGTACCACGATGCAGACGCAGATGAATTGGGTAACGATGAGCTCGTCATGTCGGATCTTACCCCGCAGTTCAGAAGGAAGGTTACGCAGCAAGTACAGCAGGCCTCGGCATTATCTCGCGAAGCGCGCCAAACGAGCGCACCTACGCCCAAGGCCACAACCCCGGTCCTTCCACGAATTGTAAGGACGACGACGACGGCGGCGACATCCTCACCTAGGAGGACCAAAACACCAACGCAGCCATCTTCCGCAGCGGAGTCGCCCAAACCAAAGCCACAACGCCTAGGTCGACCCAAAGGCTGGAAACCGGGCATGTCCTACGCCGACGTCTGGAGATTCGGGCCCGAAGTAGCCGCAGAAAACGCCCGTTTAAACCCCGCCAAGTCCGCGGAAAAGGTCTCGCCGAAACGACCAGGACGACCTCGGGCAGCAGCCACACAGCCGAATTATTACAGCGGCGTGCCCAAGCGTCGCGGACGGCCGCCCAAGCCGCCGCCGCCGACGCCAAGGGCCATCTACGACGGGTTACAACCGCGGTACATCCAGTTCCAGTGCGAGTGGGAGAAGTGCCAGGCCGAGCTTCACAACCTTGAGACGTTACGGAAACATGTAAGGATAGTGCACTGCGGTGGGGCGATGCCGGCTACGTGTCTCTGGGGAGACTGCGCTGTGAAGGCGTATCCGCCCAAGTTTGCGACGAGGGAGGCGTTGTTGGGGCATGTTGAGGCGAGGCATATGACGCCGTTTGCGTGGCACGTCGGCGACGGTCCCAGGATCAGCATGCCGGATAGTACGGGCGTGGGTAAGACATCTCCTACGGACGGCGAGAAGGAGCAGCTTCCGGATTTCCTCTTCGATGAGGACGGGAACCAAGTTACGCCGTCGGTGCGAGACCAGCAGATCGAGGACTTTGCAACGTGGAAAGAGAGACGGAAAAAGCTTAAGGCGCTGCTCCGGAAGATCAATGATGCGTTGCCGGAAGAGGAGGAGTCGGGAGCGTCGGATGATGAGAATATGCACTATGCGCCGTTGCTGGGAGGCACGAGCGGCTTTTGAAGCTTACACACACCCCTGAGAGAAAAACTGGGGCGCGTGTAGTGGGTTTCACGTTCGTGGGTCTGTTCAGGGGAGAGCTTTTCTTGCTTGATTCTGCCTTTGTCGCGGGGAGCAGACGGAGTCCGTTCGGCATTGGCTTGGTGGAGATGTAATGCGTCATGGACATTGTTATTCATAGGTTGATAGCTTTTCTCCCTTTCTTTGCATGTTCTTTTCCGGGCTGCGCCTTAGGAATGGATCTTCGGTGTCCTTAGCGTCTGCGTTACTGGGGAGTTGGCAACGGGAGCAACGGCTATTTCGTCAGGTACTTTTTTTTTTACGGTCTATCAGTCTATGAAAAAATATGGAGTGATTTCCTCGTCTGCGTCGGTGTGCACGACAGGGCGCAGCTCTACTGCTGTTTCCCTTGGACCTGTGACAAGCTCGCCGTGCCGTACTGATGCTTTCTTGCCCTGCCGAGCCGTTTCGCGCCTCACCATGAAGCGAAACAAAACCACACAGATTAACCCCTAGTAAGCGGAACGAACCGTCCAGGCGACCTTGGCGAGCGTGCAGGGTCCAATTCCTTTCTTGTGGGGGCGAGAGCGGGAGCCTTAGGTGGCCATATGAAAACCGTTTTACCAGGGAGCAGGACCGCATAGTACATGGTAATATTCCCGAGATAATATCCAAGTTACCTCGCACTTTACATGCACTTGATCGTTGTGAGGGGTGGGTTGGGGGCTGGGGCTTGATAGCACGAAACCTTGATGCGGTGGCCTTTGCAACTTGGGAAGGTGGCGAGGCATTGGTTTGCTGGTTTTGACGAGGCGGGCAGTCGAGATTTGTGGGTAATGAAGCCGAAGAGGGTTTTCTGGCCTGGAACCAAGATGACTTGGGCAGGACAGTCGGGATACACTACGATGAAGTATGGTCGGGACTAGCTTAGAGGAGAGGTCACAGCACGATGACTAGCTTGGGGGAAGGAGAAGAGTGTTGCTGAAAAGCAAACCTCGATCCACGGGAGCCATCATCTTCCCAGGGTAATATTCTTGACGCGCCCATGCATGCGAAGCCAGTTTCCTGGGGTCGGGTGACGTAGTGTATCATAGTATATTACTTGTGTACGGAGTACAGCGCAGCAATCTAAAATACAGCCGGGATGTCGTTGGTGTTCGACGATTGTTGGTTCTGTCAAGTGAGGAGGTCCCTCGGATATCCCCCGCCGTTGATCCGGGCCTTCGGTTCGTCTCTTTCATTGTTCCCTTCGGTGCAAGTTCCAACAAAAGCAAAAGAGTGTCAAGGTGCGTCAAAAGTGCTCCGGTGGTTGCATTATTAATACAGACAAATCGAACCAACTCTTCGCATCATCCACCGCATTGATGGTCTCTCCTGGCTCCATTCCGTTCCCCCCCGCAGATTCTCGGTCGAGAAGGGAAAGTGGATATGAAAGAAACCCGGCAGTGGGTGCGTTGCATAGTCGTGGACCAGGGAAAAAAGGGAGGCCAGACAAGGGAAAGCGTGGAAATATAGGCGATGCAACCGTACCAGAAAACGTGGGAAATCGTTCGTCTCAAGTTCTTGGCTTCTGGGGAATTGCCTGGAAATCGTCAAAGGAATGAGGGCCTGGTCCATTTTTGATCCATCGATCCGATGGGCAAGATGGGCAAGATGGGTAAGAACGGGGACTGAAGCCCCGAATCTCTGCAGGACGAGACAAGGAGGGCCTAAATCACTCTTCGAATATTGTTCTCGTGGGCCGCGAAGAAGGAGAAAGGTCTCGGGTTCGTAGTCCCTGTGTATCACAACTAACAACGAAACTCTGCTCATGATGTACTCAACGAGCATACGTACGAGGTATTCGAAGTTTCTACTACTTCCATGGCATCGAATCGATCCAACGTCCCAGACCAGACCCAATCGGAGCTCGAGCCCCCTCCCTTCTTCTGCTTTACGCAGTTGCTTCGTATTCAATTGATCCCCCCCGATCGACCAACCGCCCCCCGCTTCACACCACCCAAGCCCCTTCTTTTTGACGGCGCTCAGGGGTTCAAGCTTCGATTACTTCATAGAAGCTTTTTCCTCGACTGGTTTATCTTTGCCCTGTTTACCTTTTGTTTTTTGCCTCAGGACTAGCGACGCACACTGTACGGGACTTGTCTTGGATACTTTCCACCTGATGTAAACATTCATTATTTCTGATTTTGGAGCCCGGCGGCTCTTCAGGACGCGTGAATAGTGCCCGGATGATTCGTCGAGATGTTTGATGGCGTTGGCTTTCGTAAACCCCCCCTATTCGCGGCCCCCCCTTCTAACCGCCACTTTAGTGGGATGGAAGAAGAAAAACTAGAGTTGGTGGCTTGGGATCTAGGGAGCAAATCCGGCCATGAGAGGATGAAAAAGGGAACCCAAAAAAGGGGGGTCGCCTCTCGGAATGAGGCGACGGCGAGGAAGATGGGGGAAAAAGCAACAAAGTTTCAGAAACACTGCCTTGAAGTTAGCGTGCGAAGTAGTTTAATCATAAGAATAAACTGTAGTACCAATTTTCAAGTCAGCGTGTACATCGTGAAGTAGGTTAATTAGGGATGCCACTCTCATCTTCCACCGGAGATGGGCTCGAGTTAAGCGAGAGACACCCTGTTGTGCTTGTCCCAACAAGTTGAGCTGGCCAGCCCACGTCCGAAACCACGTTGGCTCAGTGGTCCGGTTGGCAGCGAGATGCGCAGCGCTTGTTGCCCGGGATTTGGGGTTTAGGCTTGGACAGGGCAGGGCAGGGGAGAGAGAGGCCTGGCTCCCAACTGACCTGACAGGAACCAACGATCTTCAGATACTTCAAGCCTCAAATCAATTCTCAGTCTTCGTACACGAGTACCTCTGGAAACAGGTGACGGTACTTCTGGCACAGTGTTATCCGGTGTGCCTGGCTGGTTTGGTCTGGTCTCTCGCTGGCTCCATTTCTCCATGGATCAGTTCAATCCCCAATTGATGGCATCACCTTGCTTAACACCAGCACCAAACGGGACAATTTCCTTGGAAGGCTTGCCGCTTGCGTGATTCTCTTTCCATGTCTCTTCAAGCCCACGTCCCACTTGCCTCCCCCACGTATTCGTAAGTTTACTTAAGGGCTCAATCCCGAGACCTGGATCCAGTTTGAGTAACTTGAGTCGTATTATGTGTAGCTTGTAGCACCTTTAGTAATGAGTTTAAGTATCGCAAGGCACCCGTCATAATCAAGTTCTTCAATGTTGTTCCCCTTTCATTGATGGATTTTCCCCTTGCTTTGTCTTGTTCCTTAAGAGAAGTCCTGCTTCAAATTCCCCCGTTCGAAGAAACCTCGCCACGGACCCCGTATTAATACGCCGGGAGCAGACCACTCGCGCTCATCCACATTTAGCCTCCTGTCCGAAAACCCACCGTTCGAAGCGACTGGATTGACCGGTACGAAGTACAAGAGAGTCTTTTTTTTGGAAGGAAGGGCATTTAAGAGGTTCGGTGCCGGACAGGTTCGAATCGCAGCTCTTCGATTCTTGATTCTAGAAATCCGATGCGCGGATTTCCACCAGTGCCAGTACCAGAAGGTTGGGAAGGTTGTCAATAATAGCGTCGACACTGGTTGATAGCCTCTACTAGTAGCGGGTATCAATCGGCAGAAGTCCTCCAGGACCTTGGTCCCGCATAGCCGCACTACTCAACTGAATCGTCAAGCTGAAGCTGGCTTGCTTGTTATAGTAGCCAACGCGCAGTTACACCTGATCCGTTGCCAGCACAGCACCACCCTTTACTCTCTCACTGGCTCGCAGCGACGACTAAGCCTCAGCCTCAAGAGACAATCCTGCCTGGTCAGGCTGTGTCGAAACGAATATTGGACACGATTGATCGATCGATTGAGCTGAAAAAAAGAGGCTGAAAAAGAAAGAAGGGACATAAAAATACCCAAGCCCGTCCGCCTGTTGAACGCAGCCAGCAACGACTGCATTATCTGCCAGCGCGGCCAGATAGTACCCGGTGGTACCTGACGCTGACTGACACCGACACTGACGCTGACGCCAGCACCTGACGCCAACGGCAGCAGCGCCAAAAACAAACACCGACACCGACACCGACGCCGACTGAAACCCCCAAGCGCAGTAAAAATGGCCACCGCCAGCACCACCACCAGCGCTGTGGCGCCCCAGTTCCTCCCCCGTTCCCATTCGGGTTCTCGTTCGGGCTCAGGCTCTCACTCCCATTCCTCGACAACATCCTTGCAACACGCCAATAATTCTCCCCTCTCGTCCAGCACCGCCCCCTCCACCGTCCACTTTACAACAACCGCTCCCTCGTCCAAGACCCGTCATAACCGCCTCATCAATTCGCTCAAATCGCCATGGAACCGCGACGAGTCGCATAATAATAATAATAGCCCACCCCACGCCCACGACGCCGCCGACGAAATGCCATCCACCAAGAACGCCCATGGCAACAGCAGCCAGTTCAATCAGAAGCTGAAGAATTTCTTCCGCATCAACAGCTTCGCCTCCAACAGCCCCGGTAGCTCCTCCAACGCCGGTCACTCCACCTCCTCCGCAGCACACCACACCAGCAGCAACAACAATAGCCACGCCGCCCTCGGCTCCTCTTCCTTCTCCTCGCAACACCACCTCGACAACAGTTCCAATTCCACAAAGGGCGGCACCTTCCGCTCCACGCGGTTCTTCAGCAGCACCGTCGGCCGGCTTCGCTCCCAGACCGTCGCCTCCGAGGGGAACCCCCTCGAGGACACAATCAGCCCCACCGCCCACGCGAACCCCTATTTCGCCCACCAAGGCCTCCCCGGCCTACGACACCGCAACGAGGGTTCCGTGCCGCCCAGTCCCCCGGACACTCCCGACATCAAGGTCAACGGGGGCGCCGGCGCCATCATCGACCAGCCCACCGCCGCCACAAAGGAGGAGCTCGCTCGGAAGCTTAGGAGAGTAGCCAGCGCCCCCAATGCCCAGGGTCTGTTCGCCAAGGGTAAGGGGAGCGGCGAGAGGCCGGCTACGGCGGAGTTGGGAAAGGACCCGCTATTGGTGAGCAAGGACTCGGGACACCTCGGTCTTGTGGATGGGAAGCCTGCGGCGACGGCGGCGGGAGCGGCGGGAGATGCGGCGAGGAATCGCAGCATGAGCATCCAAGATAACGATACGCTCGGTGCGCTGCCGCCGGCGACGACGAGGACGCCGGCTACGTTTAGGAGAACGTATAGTTCGAACTCGATAAAGATCCGGGATGTTGAGGTTGGGCCTCAGAGTTTTGACAAGATTAAGTTGATTGGGAAAGGAGATGTGGGCAAGGTCTATTTGGTGCGGGAGAAGAAGAGCAGTAGGCTATACGCCATGAAGGGTATGCTTTTTGTCCTATCGCCTCCATTGAGGTGGAAGCAAGACTTCATTGACTCGACACCTTACTACACAATAACATGCCCCATCGCTAACCATCTCGAATCACAGTGTTGAGCAAAAAGGAAATGATTAAACGAAACAAGATCAAGCGAGCGCTCGCCGAACAAGAGATCCTGGCCACGAGTAACCACCCCTTCATCGTCACCCTCTACCACTCCTTCCAGTCCGAAGATTACCTCTACCTGTGCATGGAATACTGCAGCGGCGGCGAGTTCTTCAGGGCGCTGCAGACGCGGCCGGGGAAGTGTATCAATGAGGACGATGCGAGGTTCTACGCTGCTGAGGTGACGGCGGCGCTGGAGTACCTTCATCTTATGGGCTTCATTTACCGTGACCTAAAACCGGAGAGTATGTGCACACGGTGACACACACACACATGGGATAGATCACTTGTCGTTCCCAAGCCAACCCATCTTGCTAATCTTCTTTCGTCTCTAGACATTCTCCTCCACCAATCCGGCCACATCATGCTTTCCGATTTCGACCTCTCGAAACAATCAGGACCCGGCGGAAAGCCGACGATGATCGTCGGCAAGAACGGAGCGAGCACCAACTCCCTCCCGACGATAGACACGAGGTCGTGCATCGCGGACTTCCGGACCAACTCGTTCGTGGGGACGGAGGAGTACATAGCTCCCGAGGTGATTAAGGGCAGCGGGCACACCAGCGCGGTGGACTGGTGGACGCTGGGGATCCTGATCTACGAGATGCTTTACGGCACGACGCCGTTCAAGGGCAAGAACCGGAATGCGACGTTTGCCAACATCTTGAGGGAGGATATTCCCTTCCCTGACAGTCCCAACAAGGAGCCCGTCTCAAAGTATGTTCACCTCGTCTCTCTTATGTCAATATGTCGACCCCAGTTATTTTTTTAAATTTTTATTTTTTATTTTTTTATTTTTTTTTTTTTTTTGGCAACGAAAATACGCTCTAACCTAACTTCTGCCTCAGCCTCTGCAAATCCCTCATCCGCAAACTCCTCATCAAAGACGAAAACAGGAGATTAGGAGCCCGCGCCGGCGCGTCCGACATCAAAGCGCACCCGTTCTTCCGCACGACGCAATGGGCGCTCATCCGCCACATGAAGCCGCCCATCGTGCCCAACGCGGGCCGCGGCATCGACACGATCAACTTCCGCAACGTCAAGGAGAGCGAGAGCGTGGACATTAGCGGGTCGCGGCCGATGCAGCAGCACCTAAAGGGCGTGCCGCTGGACAGCGGGCTCGCGACGCCCGGGGACGGGACGGATCCGTTTGAGGAGTTTAATAGCGTCACGTTGCATCATGATGGGGATGATGATGATGGGATTCATCTTACGATTGGGAGGAATGGGGCGAGTTGAGGGGGCGTCTGAGTGGAAAGGGGGGTTGAGAGAGTGAAGGTTGATGGGTGATGGGTGTTTTGACTGGGTGTGGAGTCTTTGGCTGGATCATATTTTTGGCTCTCTTTTTTTGTGTTTCTTTTTTTCATGTGTTTGGGGATAAGGGATGAAGCGTTTCGAAAGGGGGAGACGAGCGGACTCCGATGTTGAAGGTGTCGAAAATAGCGACGAAAGCGGATCGGGTGTGTTTGGGCTGGTGAGCATTCATCAAGATGTTTTTTTTCCTGCACGATCCATTTTCAGAAGGGGAGAAGAGTCGAGAAGCCGGACTGTTTTCTATGGGTTCTGTTTTCTCTCATCACATACCTCTTTTCTGTGTCTTTCTCTTTCTGTTCTTTCACCTTCCGGCTGTTGTTTATTGTATGGCAAACCCGACTTCAAAAAAAGAGAAGGCAAGGAAAGAAGAAGAGCAGTTTCGGCTGGAGGAATCAAGCCTCGTTTTGAAGTTTGAGAGCTTATTCTTCTTCATATATGGAAAGAGAAAAACGGGGAAGCCATTGTTTGACAGCACGTATTCTCATGTACGGACCCAAACAGGGAGGGATTGGTCTGGGTAGGGTAGGGTAGGTAGGGTATTCTAGCGAGATTGCATTATTTTTCTTTTTTCCATTTTCGTTATTTTTTTCCTTGGATTTCTGCAGGATTGTGAAGTTGTGCATGTTGGTGGTTTCTGAGAGTGGTGTTGGTTGTCTCTTGATGGTGCCTCTAACCTGAAGATGGCCTTTGATAGTACGACACTAGTCGGTTCTCGCTTGTTCTCTCTTGCGGAGGGAGAGAGTTGAGGCTCTCTTGTGTAACTAGTGAGACGTCGTCCCTGACCCAAGCTCAGGCGGAGATGGAAGTTGGAATGCTCGTGTAAGCTCCCGAGCCTTGTGGTTGTGAGACTTTAGATTGCAGGGTTGGTGTAAGCCTGATGAGCCACGGAGTAGGTTCTTGGTCTAGCTTGGTTTCGCATCAAGTCTTTCCGCCTTGGGAGCCTGTTTCTATTGAATGCTCTTGTATGAACTGTCTGTTTCTTGAAACGGACATTCCGGAGACAATCTAGTGCTACCTCTCAAGTTGAGCGAGGAGGAACACAATTGATACTTCGCTCCCTCTAGATATTCGATGAATAGAAAAGAAAAACAAAAGAACGAGAAAAAAAGAATTGGGATTCCAAAAAAGTCTAGAAAAATTGTAAAAACAAAGGCTCACGGGGTCTCCGTCTTTCCAAGCTCGTGATCATCTCAGTGGGATCATAATGGCGGTTGGTTTCAATCTCCACTCACACTCGAGCCGTTCAATTGTTCGGGACGGATGAAGCTGGGGTGGCCTTGCTTCTTTTCGGCTTTGCGCAAGAACCAACTGACTTAGCACGCTTGGGTTGTTTATTAAGGTCTTTATAAGGGTGGAGCGTAGGATTGGGGCCAACGGCAGCGGTGAGATGAGATGGCGATATTTCTAGATTTTTTTCCTAGGTTCCACGTGGTGGAAGGTGCTACTCACTATTCTTCTCGCATCGAGCGATGATGGAAGGAGGGAGTGAGAAATATAAAACGCCGACCTCGAGGATTTGAGAAACGGAAAGAGCATCGTGGAAGAGTCAAAACTCACCTTCTCTATAGTTTCCCTTCTCTGTTCTCTACTCATCCCTCGTTTCTTCTCCATAAACGACCGTCTCCAACTAAAAATCTCAAGGTTGCAGCACACAAAGCGCCGCATTTACACACCTTCTTTCTCCTATAATAGACTTGGTGGCCTTGCCGAGAATTTCAAGCGATACCACGCACACGCACGCCAGAGCATCAACATGGACAGCGAGGAGCTATCTTCCCCGGAGCCAGTTGGCTCCCAACGGGCCAGCAACACGACAAACGCTGGCAGGGCCTCTCATAAACGCCACTCATTCCACACCCCATCCCCCCCTCCAAAGCGAGCGAGGGAGGAGGGTGATCTTAAGAACGAAGCCCCTGTACATATTCTCGAAGCTACGGGAAAGGAGACTTGGAGGATTAACAAAGCGTGCCGTCCAGCTACAGTCGGAAAGTTACGTCAGGCCATTGACACCTGGGGAGACTGTGACGCTCTGTTCATCGTCCATGGCCTTCCAGCAGACTACGTCCGGGAGATCAAGGCCGAGTTCAATATCGATTGCGCATTCCTCGAAGCGCATGCTGAGAGAACGGGGTTCCGACCCATGTTCAAGAATTTGGACATTGACTGGGCCCACTGGGAGTATCCCGAATTAGTGGCTAAGCAATGTGGCAAAACGGAGTGTGAAAAGAGATGGATTAGGAGCACCGGTGATTCCTTAGATGTCATGAGCAAGCCGGCTGTGAGGGAGGTGGGAAGGGATAGTATCAGCGCCGCCTTCTGCCGCGTCTCGGTATGGCGGCCTTGGTATAACGTGGTTCTATTCCTGGAGAAGCAGTATTGGAAAGAGAACAGCTCTCTACTCACAAAGGCTCGCAGAAAGCCGTCGGTAATGAGGCTGAATGAATTATTTCCGGACGACCGCGACCACTTACCAGATATCCGCTTGGCAGAAAGCGACGAAATACCTTCTCTCGAGGATGAACTTCTAGCAATGGTTGAGCATGGAAGTATCATGGAAGAAGGGCTCATGGAAGTCATTTCCAGACTTGTTTACCGTCGGTGGATCGACCTCTTCGAAATGTTACCGCCACCGGAAATGTGGCATACCAACAACAGCAAGCTGCACGCACTCATCTGGGAGATGATTCACGCGCTAGAGAAGAATGTTGACATGGCGCGGTACCTTTCTCTGGCGAGGGATATAGCCTTTAGAATTACGTTGGAGGACTGGGAAAGGCTCGTCGTACGAGCGCGCAGCCGATTGGGCACCATTGTTAATACGAACTCTCCCGTCATGGGCGTCTGTCCACGTCCAGCACCAGAGTCGATCAACATTCCCGTTCGAGGGACGATCGCTTCCGGAGGAAACCCCGGACGCAACAACAGTACAACTTACGGCGAGAACATCAGGGATCCCGACAAGGAAGAGATCAACAAGCGGAGCCTCGACAGAGTAACCTACCTAGGAGGCCTCCTCTTACCCATCACCGTCGTGAGCAGCATCCTCGCTATCGAGGGCAGTTACGGACCCGAAGGCGACGCATTCTGGGTCTTCTGGGTGGCGGCGGTGATCAGCTCGGCCGTCTGCATCTTCATAATCTACCTCGACCAGCTACGCGGGCTCGACTTTTGGGTGGAGATTTCGGCGTCTGATGCCGTTGAGGCCATGATGCGGAGACAGCCGACGAAGACGTTTAACCCCGAGGAGAGCGACGTCGGTGGATCTCTTGCTGGAGAGTACGCTGGTGAAAATGGAGACACGCTCCGTGTGGGCGTGGGTGAGGGCGTGGGCGGGAGGCCTGTGATTTGGTTGCAGAGATCGCATGATGGGCACGGCGATCGGGCTTGGAGACGGGATCGTTTGGGTTGGGGCGGAGCGTGCAAGAAGGCTTTGGGGTATTACCATTTGAAGGGCGGTAAAGTGCGGTTCGATCGCCCGGATCGGGAGAGAGTTTATTGAAATTGGGTTTCCCGAAGAGCTGGGCTCGGAAGAAAGAGCCTAGGAAGAGGGTGTACAATAGCTACAACTACAGAGAGGCAAGATAGTAAATGGCCGTAAACCACAGTCTTCTCCAACTGTCCTCTCCTCGTAGGTGTGAAGTATGACTCGTTTTTCTTTCTCTCATCTTGATCTGACTTACAAGCAACCCGGAAATCAGCTATTCCGATGTGACAGAAGGAACCCTCGGACTCCTCCTCCCTCCCTCCTTCCTCGACACATCCGGGCTCTGCCATATCCTTTATATATGAGTCCAAGGCCAGAACTTCCAGCCGAGTAGCTCAAGTGGAGAGACCACGACCAGTGGCCAAGTGGTCATTGGAGCGCTCAGAAGGTTAGAAAATTGCAAATTTTCGTAGCTCGCGGCAAGCAACTGGGATTCGATCCTGGGAGCGAACCCCGAGCGAGCTTTTTGCCCTTTTCCCCTCCTATTTTCTTTTAACATACAATTGTTTTCACTCATCATTATTTATTGTTGGTTTTCTCTTAGACCTCATCCTTCTCTTCCTTGGTATTCGCATCTAATAACTCTTTTGAGGTTCTAAACTTACTCGTAGATGTTTGAAGCCGTGTAAGTCAGAATCGGCTTAAAGAACATAATAGTTTATACCCTCAATCTCCAATCCAGAGCCACACGGCGGTCCGTGTAATGTGCGAAGAACCAGGGTCGTGTCGACCGAGGCTCTTCCAACATCTTTCGAGGTGAGGTGCAACCCCGCGTTTCTATCTCCTGATCATCCAAGATCGCAAGACTACAAAAGCGACATGTGGGAAAGAAAATGCGGAGACAAGCCCTATCTTCTGAACCGATTCCCCAGCTACAATGTCCAAGTTCAAGAAATGGGTGCGCCGAGTCCTGCCATTCCCATCTCATAATTCCCAAAGTTCCTCTTCACACCCATCAGAACTCTCCAAGAGCGATGACTGGCCCGTGGACCAGTGTCCCGTCCTCCCAGAAGAGCGACCGCGGCCCCTCACGGCCTCAAGCTCCAATGAATCACTGGTTCACTCTGCGGCGGGCTCCACGGCTTCCAGTCTCTTCTTCCGGCTACCGTACGAGGTACGCCGAAAGATCCTGATAGAGGCCTTTGGCGAACGTATCTTGCATATAAACCTCACTTTTGGACACCCCAAGGTTGTCATGGACAAGGAGGACATAGAGGAGACATACCGTGGCGAAAGTGCATACCTCTTCCGCGAGGTTCCTCACTGTGGGCATAAGATCGCCCGGCCCGATAGTCCTCGGCGGGTGAACGGGTATGCTGTTGACACGGGCCAGCCGAAGAGGTGGATATGGCACGGCTCGGTGTGTCATCACAACTGTGAAAGTGTTGTCCGGAGAGGTAAAAGGGGCGAAGGGGGGATTAGGGAGCCGTTTGTCGATAGATGTTTTGATGGGCGTGGCGTTGAGTGCCATACATGGTCGGGGGAGATGCCCTCGAAGTGTTACCCAGGGGTTATGGGCTGGCTACTTACTTGTCGCCAGGCGTAAGTTCAGCTTGATCAACATCTCACCCTCCCCCCCCCCCCCCCTTTTTTTTTTATCTAGAACCTAAATCTCTTTTGCTTTTCAGATACACCGAAGCGGTCGAGGTCCTCTACGGAACCAATACCTTCCACATATCAAACAACCCCACTCTCCTCCGCCTCCTCCCCGAACTCCTCCTCCCCCAACGCCGAGAAGCCATCCGATCCGTCGAGCTAAAATATGACTTCTTCCGCATCTACAGCCCCATAGACCCGCCGATGACCGCCGCAGCCCAAGAAGCTTGCGATGCCAGGCTAAAAGCCTTCTGCTCCATGATCGACGCCGTCCCGAAAGCATTCCCCTGCCTGCGCCAGCTCCACGTCAGCCCCCGATTCGAGTGGTTCCACTACAGGATGGACAGGGAAGATTGCGTGGCGAGGTGGAAGGCGGACGTGTTTCCGCACTTGGCCGCGATAGTGTCGCAGCTGGACGCGCTGGAGGAATGCGTGGTGACCGTCGGGTATTTGGTCGCCGAGGCGCTTGTGTCGGAGGCCTTGATAGAGGGTCGGCCGTGGTGTCATAAACAATATCGGGGAGTTGGTCGTCTTGAGACGGACGATGGAGATGGGCAGTGGGAGTACCGTGCGTGGATGCCTGTTTCGAAGTGCGTGGAGGGTGTGGAGGGACAGGCGGCGGCGGAGGAGGAGGGGACGGGGAAGGGGTTTTGGACGGTGATGGGGGAGCTGGAACTGGATACTAATGCTCCTGTTTGTTTTGCTTTTTGATGGAAGGCGGTTGGTCCCGTAATGAGTAGTTCCGAGGAGATGAAAGGATGTTTGTCGAGCACAGACGAAGGACATTCCCACGATGGCGACTCCCAAACCATCAGACTCCGCGATCATACATCCTCTACGGAGACTATAGTGAATAAGTGGTTGCTAGTAACACATTACACACTCTCGACACATTCTTCTAGCGGGAGCGAAGACGACCAAAAAGTGATTGCATTAGTCCTGAGGAGGGCTTCCTCGACGGTCTTGGACCGATGGGCGGTTCCCGCCGTCAAGTTTCAAAGGGTATACCGGGCAATATTCCGTGGTCGCGAGTATTCCGCCATCTTGTATGAGCACATCAGCGACGACAGCAGTGATGTCGATGAGAAGGCGGGCTCACAGGCGGTGGTGGGTTTTTACTGTGTGGTCAGGTTCCAATTTACGCTTACAAGGATATCAAGGAATTGGCTCTCATGCTCGTTGATGTCTCTGAGATGATATGCTGGTTTCCTTGGCCTCGAGGCGGCATCGGCGGCTTCCTGCTTCGAGGTTGAGATTATCCCCTCTCGTTCTCTCGTTCTCTAGCTCTCTGGAAGATGGTCGATCGTCATCAATAATTCTCGACACGGTATCTTGTCCAACAACATGTACCGTCATGTCGGCTTCCTAGATTTGTAAAAACTCTTTGCCTACTCAATCTTCGCGAGAGTCCTGGCTCATAGAAATTGTCAACTGCAGCCTCGTTATACGTGGGGCTGCCTTGGTGAGAAATAATGGCAGAAGGATCCAGTTGTGTTGGGGAATGACTGGTGGAGGGAATAGATGGATCATTGATGTTCTCAAGCCTGGTCCTGTAGTATGCACAAGTTTAGGCACCAATGATACTGTCCAACTGTTGTGACACCTAATGAGATGGACCTCATGGGCGTAGACTCTACGTTGTAGAGCAAGTGACCCATCCACTTGTCTCGGATCATTGATGTCTATCACATTCAAAATCGAAATGATCATTTTAACCTGGCACGTTCATCCTCACAGAGCGTCTGGAAAAGCCACGCGTGGAAAGAAGATCCGAAGCAGCAAACGCATTGCCATTTCCAGGCATCTGATTGGCCAAAATGGGCACGACCCCGCCGATGATTAGTGGGCTTCTACCTCAGTAGTGTACTTGTAGCGAGTACTAAGCAGCGGGCAAGGATCAATTGGCTCCTTCCCAATTCCCTCTCAGCTCCAGTCACAATTGTACTCCGTAATCCCAAACAAGAAAGTACTTCGGACACTGTAGCATTGTAACATTGTAGCATTGTACTTCGTAGCATTGCACTGAGTAATACTAATTCTTCGCAGGCCGAGATCACCAGAACGGAGCCACGGTCTTGGACTCTTGGATGCTTGGGCGGCTTTGTTCCATCATTGATCCCGACCCCAGCCGGATTCAAAGGAAAAAAAAAAAGTCACTGACATCACCAAAACCAAGAAAAAATAAGGAAGAAAGAAATTCCTTCCTTCCCCCCCTTAATTCTGCAACATCCTTAGCAATCTGACTTCTACCACTTGAAATGAAATCTTCACTTTCCACCAAAGCTTCCATTTCGATTAACAGGAGCACAGCATTGAAGTCTATTTAATCCCCGAGCTACTTGTCACCTTATCAGTTCAGCCATTCACGATCCACAATCCACAACATCCCCTCCTCCCACTCGGCTCAACGCTAAAACCAAAGCTTCCAAATCAATTCCTCGAACAAACAAACGGACGCCTGTGACGAGCACATGTCAAAATAAGTCCAACCCACAACCACCGAATCCGTCTTCTCGAGCTTAGATGGCATCGATTATCTCCCAAGCATCCACGAGGACCGCCCGCCACACACTCCAGACCAGCGGCGGCGCGAATCTGCGAAGCGGCCCAGTTCGGACGAGGCGGTTACTTTCGTCGAGAGCGGTAGCGGCGCGACACCTTCCCTTCCTGGTGTCAGGGAAACGCCTCAGGGTGCAATGTCACGACATCGAGGCGTTGCAGAGTGCTAGGACGCAATATCTGGCGGGGAGAGAAGCCGTGACGCTGCAGGTGTCGAGGTCGTATTGGGTCCAGGCTGGCGAGGAGCCCGAGCCCGAGGAAGGCGGAAAGAAGAAGCTGGATGACGAGACGAGGTTAAATCTAGGAACGAGTTGAGTTTCTCCCCTTCTGCTTTTCCTTGACAATTACAAGTCGAGACAAAAAGACATCTTCCAGGACAAACGCCAGCTAACCTTCCCAAACCACAGCAATACGAATCCTCAAAGACCGCCTCCCCACAATCCTCCAACAACCCCTCCCCTCCGAAATCCTCGCCCCCAACATTTCCCTCCACCTCTTCCCCTCCACACACCCTCACCTCCCCGTCGCCAACGGCAAAGCCGCCTACAAAGCCGCCCTCTGGTCCTCACCCCTCGCCTGGAACCGCCTTCCCATAATAGGCAACGTCGGCCTCGAGATCCAATCCATCCGCCTACAACCTGGCCCCCTCCCCTTCACGCCCCTGCGCGTCGGATCCCTCGAAGACGTCCTCGTCGTGCGATGGGTCACCGAACCTTCCTCCCTACCCTCCGAGTTCCTCCGGAACATGGCCGCCAGGATCTCAGGCGGCGGCGGCGACCACCCCGCGGCGCAGGAGTTCATGGGCCTCTTCGCGTTCCAGTTCGATCACAAGGGGCGCATACTCGATCATACCATCGAGAGCGCAGAGCATAGCAGGCATTGGAGTAAAGGGATGGGGTCAAGCGTGCTGAAGTTTACGGATAAGTTGTTGAGGGGGATTAGGCAGAGGGGGGAGCCGGATCCGGTGCCGTTTCCGGCTTGTTCGGGGAGGGGGAGGGGAGGTGAGAAGGAGGGGAAAGAGTGAGGATGGATTATACGGCCTTTCTTTTGCTTCTTCTCCTTCCGTGGTAATTAGAGGGTTTGTGATATCTTCCTTTTCATATTCATGGCGTTTTCTACTTCTCTCCGCTTTTCTTTTTCTCACGCATACAGGAGGGAGGCTCGGACTTGGTTGGAGACGGTAGAATGAGGCTGTCAGGAAAAGACTGTAAATCTAGAATCGGAAGGGATTACGGATTGTATTTGTAGTGTTGTTCTCCCCTCGCGACGAAGGGTTTAAATATTTGGACGGGAAAGAATAAATACCCCTCTCTGGAGTATGTATCTGTTGAAATGCGACTGAGTGAACATGATATGTCTAACCCAAAAACTTGATATTGACACAATACTCCTAGCGGGAGCGATAGGAAACTCTGAACAGATCGAAGATGCATCTAATCAAGCTTATTTTCTCGATACGAAGGAGTGCTAGTGAACAGAAAGGATAGATCTATTCGCAAACGTATTAGGCATACATCTATCTCTAAGCCAGCCTATCCCCAGCCAAACAAAAATGGGTATCCCGAGAAAAGAAACGAGAAAAAAAGGTGCCTCGAAGTTCATCAAATCATTACCAAAGCCCGCGCCCTTCAAAGCGAGTACCCTTCCCTCCTCTCATCTCTAACCCCAACATGCTGCCCCTCCCTCCCAGGAACATACACCTCCCTCGGCGGCATCATCTCCTCCTCCTGCTCATACATTCCCCGTCCCCCATAAGCACTCTCTTCCCTAGTACGCTCAACCTTGCGACGCGGTGCCGTCAGCTCATCCATCTCGCTCGCCTCCACGCGCTCCCAGGTTTTGCTGCGTGCGGTGCCCCTGAGGAGGGCCCATGGGTAGGGCTCGTGGATGACGATGTTGTTGCTGCGGTCTTCTTCGGAGCCTTTGCCTTTGGGGAGGATGACGGTGCCGAGGAGGCTAGCGGCGAGGACGCACTGAAAAACTTTGGTGTTAGTGGCTGTGCAGAGGCATGGGGAAGTGAGGTGGGAAACGTACGAGGACCATGAAAGGGACGAGAGTCACGTATGCCCAGATAATGCCCATCTTCATTTTCAAATCTGCGTTAGTAACCAAAGGTAAAGAGAGGTGGGATGGGAGGCTCACCTTGATCCTTTCGATAACTGCAGCTCGCTGGTCCTCCGGCAGTTTGAGAACAGAGCCAAAGTCCGTCTTGAGGTCGCTGCTGGGATCCACGCCAGCAACGTTGTTGAAGACGGTCGACATGAGGGTATGGCCAATAGTGCCGCCGAGGGGGTTTGCGACTGCGATGAGCGAGACTATGGTGGCTATGTGCTTGGGAAACATCCCGATGCCGTGGAGGGGGACTGGAAAAGAGCAGAGTTAGGTGGTGAGAGACCGAGTGAAAGTAGGGCCGGCATGTTACGTACCACTAACAAAGCGCAGGCCTGAACCAGCACCAATCAACCCCATAATACCATAAATCACCGGCTTCCTCTCAACATACAGAGCCCACGCTAACATGCCGATGCCGACGGCGTGGCAGACCGAGCCGAGGAGAATGGGCGAGTAAGTGTTTCGGGGCCAGAAGCGCGTCATGAGAGACGAGATGTAGATGCCCGCTAGAAGAAGTTAGTAACTCTTACGTCCGTCTAAGGGCAGGCTCGGGGAACCTGTCTTTGGGAGACGTACCGGCTACTCCTGGTGTAAAGTAGATCAGATTGACGCCAGCATCCGCGGGGTCCATACCCTAAAAAGCCAATGTTATCAGTCTGCGAAAAAGCATGGAATCTGAGGAATCCTTACCAGCACGAGAATAAAGTAGATGCTGCAAAAGTAGAAAACCGAAAACATAGCCATCCCAGTCGTAAAAGACGAATAAACCAACAACCCAACATTCCTATCCGTCAAAATATCCCACTTCACCATCGCCGCCTTCCACGGCCACCTCAACCCCAACATCCTATCCGGCGCCATCAAAAACTCCCAGACCCCCCACGCCACGATCGTAACCACACCCACGCACAGCGGCACCAGTACGGCGGGCGAGTCCCAGCGGTAGATGGGTCCCGCCCACGTGAGGGCCAGGATGAGCAGACCGAAGCCCAGGAGGAACAGGACCTGGCCCCAGTAGTCGATGGTTTTGAGCCGGTAGGCGAAGCGGGTTCGGCGGCCGGTTTCGGGGGTTTCGGAGAGTTGGGGGATGGGTTGGGGGCCGAGGAGTTCTTTGCGGATGATGATGAGGATGAGGATGATGCCTGCTGTGGCGATGGGGAGGTTTATGCCGAAGCACCATCGCCAGTCGGCCTGAGTTAAGTAACCTAGTGAAAAGAGTGAGAAGGAGCGGTAGAGGAGGGGAAGGCTGGGATCAGATTTGTTATCGTACCTCCAACTACCGGTCCCAGACCAAATGATACTCCACCAACAAAGGAAAAGATGGTCCAATTCGTAGAACTCTCCCTCAGAGATACCTTATCGGCCAGAATAACACGAATAACGACGTCGAGCCCCGCGCAGGCGATGCCTTGGATCGCTCGACCGAAAAGGAGCAGCCCGAACGCGTTGGTGGGAGATGCCGTGCAGATGGCGCTGCCGATGAGCATGAGGGCCATGGCGACCTGGATGGTGCTGTGGCGGCCGAAGATGTCTGCCATGCTGCCCCAGAAGGGGATGAAGGCCGCAGAGGTGAGGTTGAAGGATGAGACGATCCAGTTTTGCTGCTCGAGTTCGCCTATGGCAAAACAAGTTAGCACTTATAATATATACGGAGTGGTATAGACAACAAGGTACACACCAAACTCTAGAGCGATGGTTGTCAAGGCCGTTGCTATTCTGTATGATAAATAATTTACACATTAGCCTCGCGAAGAAGAACCGACTCCCCTTTCCCAGTCCAACATACATAGTAACATCAAGAGACTGAAGCGAAAAAGGCAGAATAAGCCCCAAGATGATTTTCCATCTATATTTCTTTGCCCGGGCCTGCTCGACAGCACACTCCGGGCAATCGAGAGTCGGCTCCGCTTGGTGGCTACATCGTACTGCTTTGGGCGCTGGCTTGCGGAGTCCGAGGGCTTTGAAGATGAAGTCTATCCCGGCGCCTATGAGGCGAAATATCGTGTTGACTATGAGGCTGATGATGTTGAATATGGCGCCGATCGCTGAGCCGATGAGGGAGAGGACCATGCTGGTCGGCTTGAGGATGGAGATGGACGCTAGTCTGCGCCGGAGGTTATTTCAGCCCTATGCGCCGGTCCGGTCGGTGGTTCGCTCTAATGATCGCCGTCGATGGGGAAAGTAAGGAAGATTGCGAAAGAAAACCCCTCTGAAAAAAGTAATGTCGAAATAGCTTCCGGCGATGAATACTGTTGAAAACTGTAAGAGATGAACACCCTCGAACCTATCCCAGAGAAATCGACCTTGGGCTCGCAATGCTTTTAATCGACTGAGCCAACAAACAATTCGAAGATTGTGGATAGGATCTGCACCCTGTCAGCCATGCTTTGAGACGTTTCTTGGCTGGTGTCACCAATCAATTCGGCCAACAAAGATACCAAAGAAGTCCAACGATTCCCGTGCTGCGCCGCAATTTGATCCTTCTTCGCATTCGCTTAAGATCATAACGGGAGCAGAGGCCTCCTAACCAGGCGCAAGCAACGATATATACACGTATGGTATATCATCTTTTTTTTTTTCCCCCTTCGAATCTCATATTAATTTCCAACAGATTTTCTTGCGTATTTCGCAATGCTGCCAAGCCATCTTGGCGGTGTTTGCTACGACCTGAATCTTCCTCACACAGATTTCTATCGATACGAGATACGGCCTTAAGCCGGAACAGGGGCCCGGAGCCGTTTCTCAGGGGGGACGGGACACCGTAAGGCGGGCGCTAGGGGACCCACGTGATTTGTACCGGAGAATTGATGGGTTTGGACCGACTCGGGGACTTGATGATGATTGGACATAAAACGAGATGGATTAGATCATCACGGCGATTTGTCGGCCAATCCCCAGCCACTGGCTGGCTGTGCATCTTGAGACAAAAATGGTCGTCACCAGGTGCCCTGTGAGATTTTAAATTGCGGGCATTTCTCGATCTCAAGCTTTGAATTATTGGAAATTCCGACGAACCCGGGGACTTCTTTCACACTTCTCTTCAACAAAAGATTCAGGGCCGTGATTACTACTGGATAACCGTCGAATAAAGCGGAGGGAGATGGGAGATATACCGTTGCGGTACTTGCCCGTATGGCAATGAACACTACTATTATTAGGGGTTCGAGGTCAAAGGATTGAAAACCTGAACCGTGCTTTTGCTTTGGCCAAGGGTTTTTGAGGCTTGCAGCTCTTGGCAACGAAGAGAGGCCCTGGATGGCTCTAATTTCTCCGATACGTACCGCCGCTTGCGAATTGGAGGGCATCCCGCTTGACTCCAAGACATTCCTTCGTGCTTCGTAGATTCCTAGGAGTCATCGTTGCAATCGAAGACAATGCTACCTGCCGTCCCTTGGGTTTACACTCTTGGCAGATTACTCCCTTGGTAGTCAGGATGCCTTGGCATCTGATATGCTATTCTTGTGCACTTTCGGTGAGGAACTACGAACGAGGCTAAGCATCGCACATGCAATTCACATGGGATAGCGAAGCAAGCGCGGCTGTTCTCGAAACAAAACCTCCCATCAACAATCACCATCGTTCGATTCGGGGCTTCGTCCGTAGGGATATATATGTATCGGCGCGACCATACCTGCGTGCGACTCATACCACCAAATTTCGACAAACTTTCCCGTTCCGTCGCCCCTCTTCCCCCTCCTCCTCCTCCTTGCGACTGAATTATTAATTGTCTTTTTTCCTTTCTCCATAATGTTTAACAATTACAAGCTTTTTAGACGATGACGAGGGGGCACAAAAATAATTTTGGGCAGGGATTCCCCTCACCAGCACAAGCAAGCCGTTCGCGGACCCGAGGATTGGAACACACTTAATTTCGTCACCACCTTGTCCCGATTTGGCACTCCCGTTCGTCCTTGGAGCGCCAAGCCAGCGGCTCTTATGCATACACCCCCTCCTTCCTCGCCCCATTCCATCTATATGCCGTGTTGCCTACCAGGCCTGCACAACTGTATCGATGGAGCGTTTCATGAGTTGGAAGAGCACTGGCCGAGGGAGCGTTGCAATCGAGCTCTATTTGTGCCAAGGTTTGCGGCTTATGAAATTCAGAAACTAACAAGAGCGAGATATAAATGTATATACATATATAAAGAAAAGAAGCATGCTAAATGTATGTCTTGAAGGTATGGAAGTAAGAGCAAAGGGCGATGAACTGAGGGCCATCTAGATTTCAATGGGATTTAATCACTGTTCGCGATACCTGTTCGCAATACTCCAAAGGCTCCTGACGTGTTTTTCGCCTCGGGAACTTGCCGAGAGTAGAACGCGTGGGTCTGACATCCCACAGTTATCCACCCTGCTGTCGAGACGGCTGAGGTTACCTAGGGTGGTACACTGCATCAATAGGCTAAAAACTAATCGGCCAGGAGGATGCCGATGACTACGCCGCCAGATCAGCCCCAGCCATAACGAGCGATCAAGCCCAATGTGAGAGTGTTCTCCGTGTTACGGGTCAGGCTGTTTGAGACTTCAATCAACTAGGACCCTCTACCGAGTGGTATTTTGTAGCTTGCTCGTAGATGTACGAAGCAGACGCTTGGTAGATGAAAGTCCAGCTTCCAGACTCGGAGAGAAGGGACTGAGGAGTCGATCTCCTTCAGACTTGCCCACAAGGGCACTTTACCCCCCATCTAACTGCTACCCCGGTCGACCGCTTGCCACGCGATTACGATTCAACTCCACGACCGCGGAGATTCTAGAACCCCGATACGACGGAGGCTTAGATGAGACGGCAGCGGTGGGCGTATCAGTTCGGCTTTTGCTAACAGGTCTATCAGGACCCGGCAGCACGCACTTCCGCCGGACGCCCGAGGAGGACAACACCCCGAATTTCATCGCATCAGGGCCAACTTTGCCATTGTTTTGGGGAGGGGCGGGCTAGTGGTGATGGAGTAAGATGAGCATGTTTAGAACTGGGGAAACGAAAGCGATGTGGGGGCGGTGGAGAGCCCGTTCAGCCGACGCTCGAGATATCATATCCACGATTGACGGGCTAGAGTGCTTCAGTCTACCGAGGAGAAGGCAACTCCGGGATCAGAGGGGGAGTACTTCGGTGTCCCTAAACCTATTTCTATTGTTCATGTTAGTCGATCGCCCCGGCTGGAGATTCTAAGTCTTCGCAGACACGGATTCTTTCAAAGCAGGAAGTATCATAGTTCAGAAATGAAATAAGTAGATAGGCAAAGAAAGCTGATTCGTAAAAAGAAGCGACCATTACTTCGTAGACCCTGCATTTCTAATTACAGGACCTGAAGAAAGTGGCCAACAGATAGGATCCCGATGTCCGCCGACTTTCCCGAAGTTTCCGCTCGATACTCTGAACAGAGGTGTGGAATGTTCGATGATCAGAATTTCCGAGTCATGACCGATTAAGAGGGGGAGGACGTCTGGAAACGGTTGCATCAATTGATGGTACATATGCCGAAGGGAGCAATTGAGTCGAAATCTGGAATTGCAACGTGCCCACGAGTTGTAACCTTGGCCCCACACTAAGAACGGCAGTGCTACTTTGAGTTAGTCCAACTCTGGTTGTTTTGAAGTCGTCAGCTAAGCCATGATGTTGAAGTGCAGTCTCCACTGCCAACCGGTACTTCGTCGTAGCCCAGTACATTACGAGAATCTTGACGGTGCGAAACGGAAGGCAGCAAAATGTCAGAAATAGAAATGCAAATGGGTATTGGAAACCGCCGTTCACGGTTCCATCTGCCCGTTCCAAACTCAGCTTCTTTTTAGGAAGTTTGGATGCAACGAGAGCCTACGGTACCAAGTACCTGCTGCATGATGTAATTTCCACGCAGGTTGAGGCATCAAACCCAAGTACAGGTTACCTTCGGTCTGTGTGTGCCTCGACAGTCGCCACGCAAGTGCCTTCCTGTCCTCCCTCACATTCTGTCCCCCGCCATTGCTCTTGCCTCTCCAGGTTGCCCCTCATCGATCCCCGCACTTTGCCCACGCAAATGGCACCTGTGAACTCTTTTTGCCTCTGACGCTACTGGCTCTGGATTCCATCCCCAAATCGACCCAGGATTTCCCCAAACCCCAGACCCCAGACCCCAGAATCGAACCCTAAAAAAGAAGAAACAAGAGGAAAAAAAAAAGCTTCGAGCCAAGACAAAAGATACATTGCCTGCGAGTCTCGTCCGTCTGCAACTCTGTGCCCCTTGCCATTTTAACATTTTGCGAGGGCGAATCAGCTCAAAGGGAAAAGCCCAAATTCATTTTCATATGCCGTCACATTCCATCTCGGGCCCAGAGATCCCAAGGCAAAAGAACTGAGTTTCAAACCCTCACACGCGCACGACCACGAGGGTTTGCTCGTGCACCGAGGCTGCCTCCAACTCCCGAGATTATCGACGTCACGACTCGGGACCAGGCTTGGCAGGTCAGCTGAGCCACATCCACTCATCCACGCACACACCTTATCTTGATCTTGATAGGGATAGGTTGATAACTGTGACTGACTGAGACGGGGATAGTTCGCCTGGCAGACCGTGCCGTCTTCTGTTGCCCTCGTCCCCCTCTAGGCTGTGGCGACAATTTTAGAGTGCAGATTGAAAGGGGTGGTCGGTCTCCTGTTCTACTGTGTATCCCACGTGAAGCACGGGGTTTAATTCTGATAATCTTAGGGATCATCCATCTATCCTCCATTGATCCAGATTCTCACACCACACACGGCAACATCACCATCTCCGTGCCCAATTCCCACACTCTGGCCTCGTTCAGGAACACGGTCCCTCCTTCATCCAGGTCCCGCTGCCGACCCTGGTCTTCCCCATAAAAGCACTTCGTCGAGTCAGCCCACATCAGTTCTCTTTCCTTCCCAAAGGTTCCCCAAGCTCCGTTGTAGCAGGTGGAGCCTTGCATGTTCGATTTTTATTTTATTTTATTTTTATTTTTAAAACCCAGTTGTCGTTTCTTTTACTTTATCTTCTTGTCTTAGGCCCTTCTTATTCTCGGCAAACGTCACTTTTTTCCCCTGCCTGTACTTCTGCCTTATTTGCCAGAACCGGCAGATTTTGCTCCCCGCACGCCCCCCGTGGCCTGCCGTTTCCCGAGAACCTCCCGTCGTCCGAAGACCAACGATTCCTCTTCTTGGAATGCAGCGCAGCGCAGCCCACGCCAACGACTCGAAAGTCCATCCTACCAGATCTTTTTGCGTTTCTCCCCTGTCGTGCTTTTCGAGCTACTTGGCCGTACATTCTACTTTGGCTATTGGCCCCGGAGCACGTTATCCTTGTGGGTCTTGGCTTGCCTCTCCTTCTCCAACGAAGGATTGCATCTCCGTCATCGCCGCGGGGTGCTGAACCCAACTCGACGACCGTGGGAGACCAAGCGCAACGTGGGCACAGAGCCTGGCGTTCGTCGCATACCCGTTTGAAGGTACTACCTTGACTCCGCTTGTTCCTGCGCGCCTGGTGCTGCGCTCCCGCCGGTACGCTGGTACTCGTGGGCGAGGCCACTTGAGTGCGTGATGCGACACAGGAGTGTGGCTTTCTGTGCTCATGATTCTGGTCACGGATCCAGGGCAGTTCTCGACGCCCATCAAATCCGCTCCTCGTTCTTCGTGCCTGTACTCATACTCATTCATCACTGACACATCGACTTGCAGCTACCGACTCATCTCCGCTGCTGCATACACGAAACCCTCTTCTCTCTGGTTCCATCGACACGGCTCCCTTTTCCTGTTAACAGTCCGCATCATTTCTCCGTTTATTGTTTCCACTACACTACTCTATTTTCTCTCTCCACAGCTAGCCCGGATCCCTTGACCCGAGCCAGTCCACTTGGGATCCGCTTTCTTCATTTTCCGTACCAACCATCAATTGATCCATTTTACTCCCATTGAAATCAAGGTTAGTTCAACTCTCCATCAATTCTGCCTCTGCTGGCCGCTTTTTTTTTTCGGCCATTTTTCTTTTTTACCGTCAGGGATGTAGGCTGCTCGGCAGATCCTAAGCCTACAGCTGCACTAGCTATACTTTCCCATCATGCACCATGCATCGCATCGCATCGCATCGGTCTTGCGGAACCGCTCTGTCTAGGCTCCTTCGTCCTCTTTCCCCCCACCCCCCTTAGCAAGTATTGATTTCATTCCATACGTTCCACCGTCCCAAGATGTCCCGTACCCTGATGCCAGAGAACGTAAGAGGACATCATACCTTTCCCCCCCTGTACGACTAGTGTAGTGCTATGGCGTATATCCCACATCGGGACCCAAGAACCGGTACGGTACTCTCATGGTTCGTGCTACCCCCGCTACTCTGCTTCCTCCCTATCCGGCCTTGGTGCCCCCCTGAGGAACCTTGTCCGGATGGCACATGCAAAAGAAGCTACCATGTGGATACTCCACTTGATCGGCATCTTGTCTCATTCACTTGTACCTTGACTCGGCTTAAACCACCCCCAAAGTGCAAGTGCAGCTTTCATGTGCGGCCCGGCCTAGATTTCCTCATTGTCGGATTCGCCTGCCCCGAACTTTACGTTGATGTAATAGTTTAGTACATGCTTTCGAACCCTCCGCATCTTCCCCTCTTCCCCTCGCCCCGTCTCTGGAACCTTATCGGGCGGCCCACTTTTTGTATATCTTGACCGTGTCTGCCTCTTGCCCTCCGTCCGGCCAGACTAACGAGAGTTCCGTCCTCGCCGTGACTGTTCTCCTGTCTCTTTTGGCATCCTTTTTAAGTGCCTTGCCCCGTCCTGCTTCCACTTCATATTCCTTCCCCCTTCACTCATCTGACCTAGTCATCTTGCCCACTCCCCTTTTGTCCATAAGGCATCCTCGAGTGTAATGCCCTCCTTCTGTCTCCAAGACTGTCATTACTTCTACCGAACCGCCCTGCGCGGTCTGAATATCAGCACCTCCGTCTCGCCTTTATACGCTTGATAGCCTGGAGTTGATCATTCGAAGTCTTTTTTTCTCTGCCCTATTCTTTTCTTTTCTACCTCCTCACTCAGGGTTATTGTGTTCTCTCCCTGAACTTCCCTGACTGACAACATGACTGCCACTCAAGTCCGTGTCTTTACACCACCTCGAGCCCTTGGGGAGACTTTGGAGCAGTCCGTTCCTGCGGTTGTTGATAGCCCCCAACCGCAGGTCCGCACCATCCCTAGGGTTAACGGAGTCAACGGGGCCAACGGACTCAACGGCATCAACGGGCTCAAGGCGGCCTTGAAAAGGCCCGAGTCGCCGCTGTCGAAGCAGGCTTATCCTAGGATCCCACCCATCATCCCCAGGAAGATGCCTCCTGAACAGGGAATCACATTTGCCAGCCAGGACTCTCTGCCGAAGCTGCCCATCCCGGACTTGGAGCAGACTTGCGAGAGGTACCTTGCTGCCCTGAAGCCTCTGCAATCCCACAGGGAACATGCCGACACCAGACATGCAGTGCATGAGTTTCTGAGGAATGAAGGTCCTGATTTGCAGGAGAAGTTGAAGCAGTATGCGCTCGAGAAGACTAGTTACATTGAGCAATTCTGTAAGTCAAAACCCACCCAATTCGCAACTTCCTGCTTTCCCGGGTTAGTTTGCTGACTTGTGTGTCAAGGGTACGACTCATATCTGAATTTTGATAATCCAGTTGTTTTGAACTTGAACCCCTTCTTCCTTCTTGAGGATGACCCCACCCCCGCGAGGAATAACCAAATCACCCGAGCCAGCTCTCTCGTGGTGTCCGCTCTCGACTTCGTTAGGGCGGTTAGAAAAGAGGAACTTCCTCCCGACACGATCAAAGGTTCGCCGCTCTGCATGTACCAATTCTCGAGACTGTTCGGTACTGCCCGTGTCCCTACCGAAGCCGGCTGCCGCATCGAGCAGGATCCCGACTCCAAGCACATTATTGTCATGTGCCACGGCCAATTTTACTGGTTCGACGTGCTCGACGACAACTCCGATCTCATCATGACCGAAAAGGACATTGCCATCAACCTGCAGACCATCATCGATGACGCAACCCAGACTCCTATCCAGGAGGCTGCCAAGAGCGCCCTCGGCGTACTCAGCACCGAAAACCGAAAGACTTGGTCTGGCCTTCGAGATCTCCTCACCCGAGAGGAAGGGTCGAACAATGCGGACTGCCTTAACATCGTGGACTCGGCGCTCTTTGTTCTGTGCCTCGACTACACCGAGCCGACCACGGCTGCCGCTCTCTGCACAAACATGCTGTGCGGTACGAGTGAGGTCGAGAGGGGTGTGCAGATTGGTACCTGCACGAACCGATGGTATGACAAGCTGCAGATCATCGTCTGCAAGAACGGGAGTGCTGGTATCAACTTTGAGCACACTGGCGTCGACGGCCACACCGTTCTGCGATTCGCTAGCGACCTCTATACCGATACCATCCTCAGGTTCGCCCGAACCATCAACGGCCAAGCTCCGACGCTGTGGGCTTCGACGAGTCCTGATCCTTCCAAGCGCGATCCCGAGAGCTTCGGCGATGTCACTACCACGCCGCACAAACTCGAGTGGGACATGACTCCCGAACTTAGCATCGCCGTGCGTTTCGCCGAGACCCGCCTCGCTGACTTGATCGGCCAGAACGAATTCGAGTGCCTGGACTTCTCAGCCTACGGCAAGAACTTTATCACGTCCATGGGCATCTCCCCTGATGCCTACGTGCAGATGGCCTTCCAGGCCGCCTACTATGGTCTCTACGGGCGTGTTGAGTGTACTTATGAGCCGGCCATGACGAAGAAGTTCCTCCACGGTCGAACTGAGGCCATCCGTACGGTCTCGGAGGAGTCGGTCGACTTTGTACAGACATTCTGGGCCGACAACGAAGCCCAGAAGAAAGTTGACGCCCTCAAGAAGGCATGCCAGAAACACGTCAAAACGACTCGCGAATGCCTTCAGGCCCAGGGTTGCGACCGACACTTGTACGCGCTCTTCTGCGTCTGGCAGAAGCTCGTCGATGATGAGGCGATGAGCGACTACAGCAGCAATTGCTACTCGTACACGTACTCCCCCGTCGACGGCTACTCGGAGCGTGATGCCAACTCGGTCGTCGGCAGTCCCGGCAGGGATTCGGTTCTCAACGGTGATGTAGGCGGAGGTGGAGTCGGCGTCGGTGTTGGCAGCGCCACCAGCGTCGCCTCTGGCGGATATCGACGCGGTCGAGGCGATAGCCAGAGCTCGCGATCGCGTGATCAATATTCGCAGCCGCTACCCCTCATCTTCGCCGACCCCGGCTGGGACAGACTCAACACCACCATCATTTCGACGTCCAACTGCGGCAACCCTTCGCTGCGACAGTTCGGCTTCGGCCCGACGACGGGTGAGGGTTTTGGTATCGGGTACATCATCAAGGATGAAAGCCTGTCGATCTGCGTGTCGAGCAAGCATCGGCAGACTCGGCGGTTCGTCGACACGCTCGAGAGCTACCTGCTCGAGATGAGGCGAATCCTGCGTATCACGGGGCGAAAGGCGACAATGACTAAGAGCACGAGGGCACGCGAGATCGACCTAGAGGGACGCAGGCCCAAGATGCATGCCCGGCATAAGCCGAGGGGTAGGATGATTACGGGGACGGACATGCACAGGTTGAGCATTAACGGGACGATGTCGCCTACGGATGAGAGCCTTGCTCTCAGTGAGGATGACGACATTGGCGGATGTAAGTGTTTACTACTTAGCCACGTTACATCAAGATGTTGTGCTTGATCTTTGAAGGAATGTAAGATGCTAACGACTTTTTTTTCTGGGCAGATGGTTTCTTTGATGCGGGTATGCTCCTGCAGGCCCTCAAGGCACGCGGCGAGCACGTCGATGATGGGGAGACGAAGCCTTCGGAGCGGGCAGCTGTGCAAGCAAGGCGGAGGGTTGACGTGGGCAAGAAATTGAGGCTGATTGACTACTAAAGCGGGGATGGGAAGTTGGATGAAGGATGAATGGCATGCGTTTATGGTTATGTGAAAGCGATTTGTCTTGGGAATGGGCAGCGATATTTCGTTTTGGCTATACCTTTTTGGAACATTGGCAGAATGGACTTTTGACGATTGCATATATAGCGAGTTGGAGGCTTCTTCTTTTTTGGATATGTACTTCTTTTGAGTGTATGTCTGCATATGTGTATGTGTAGGGGAGTATTGGTGCATCCATGAACTGCTTGTAATGGTCCCTCATCCGGCGTTTGGTGATTAGTTTGGTTAGCCGTTGGACCGCATTGTTGAGAGCAGTACGAAGTACTACATGACGAGTCAATTTCATATCCTAAGGCCCTTCCTTCAGTCTTATTTATGGAGAGAGTATTGTGACCAATGTGCCGCTCCGTTGTTTCTATTCCCACTCCTCGGACGGACGCATCATGTTTCCTTCAATCCATTCTGATTCTCTAGTCAAGGGGTAGATAGTAAAAGTCGAGTGAGAGTTGGAGAGAGTGTCGAGCAGTTCGGAGTATCTAGAATAAGAAAACCGAGTCTGTTCACTTTTCTTTTTCCTTACTCTGACAACTTCGTCCCAGAATCATTTAGCTTTCGAGCGGGGGAGAAAACTATACGTCTAGATTCTAATTCATATGAAGCTGAACAAAAGCTCCGAATACCTTTGCCTTTCTCGAGTTATATTCATGATGAACCCGTACTATGTACAATCCCAAAATCCCCCCAAGACCCGTAAGTCATGCCGCTCATATAAACGAAGAACAAAACCATTGCTAGAACGGTCCAAAAGACGTTCATTTCCCAATCATTGACGGAGATCATTCCATAAATTTCCTCCTAAAGCATGCAAAATCCCCTCCATTCCCCCTCCCGCCAAACAGAGGAAAAATATAATATTAGAAATCCTCCCATTACGCAAGCTCATGCACCCGATGAGGATCAACCGGATTTCCCGCCGCCTCATGAACCTGTCCCTGTTGTCCGGGCGCATACCCCTGAGGCTGCGGCTGCGGCTGCGGCGCACCCTGCTGATACGGCGCGAAGCCGCCGCTCGTTGAGCTCAGCGCGGGACTGGTAACGACGGTGCTCACGCGATTGGGATCCTGGGGCGTCGAGCCGTCGGGGGATAGGCCGGGGACAGGGGCATAATATACGCCCTTGGAGGGATCGAAGCCTTGCGGCGGGGGCGTGGTTGTGAATTGGCCTGGTTGGGCGTAGGCGGGGTTATACACGGATTGGGGATGTTGACCCTGCGCGTAGTTCATCTGCGGTTGTTGAGGGCCGGCGGGTGCTGGAGCTGGCGCGGGCGCGGGCGCGGGAGGAGTCTTGCGCTTGCGGAAGAGGAAAAACGCCGCCAGGGCAAGAAGTCCCAACGCCGCTATCCCACCCACGACACCTCCCGCGATAGCCCCCGCATTGGACTTCTTCTTCGGCTTAGGCGGGTCCGGATCCGGGGTAGGCGAGGTGCCGGGGCTGGTGGTGACCTCGGGGTCGTCTTCGATGGTGGAGGAGGGGATGACGAGGGAGGTGGTGTCGCCGAGCACGAGGGGGCTGAAGGAGCGGTCGGCGGTTTGGCCCGAGAAGGAGGTCAGGACGGGTTGTGGGGTGGAGATGGAGGCGTCGTTGCACCAGTAGTCAATGATGCTGGAGGAGAAGGAGGCGGTGTTGCAGTAGGGGCGGAGGGAGTTTGTGCTGCCATTCTCTCGTGTTAGTCCTCTCATTATCAACCAAAAAAAAAGAGGGGAAAAGCCTACCATTTCAACGTAAACGCATCAACCATACATCCATTATCACACAAACTCTGCGAAATCACCTGATTGTAATCCAAGCACGTCAACCGGATATTACAAGCATCCGTATTACAGCACGCCACGGCCCCCGTCATGGTCGGCTGCGCCGTGAACAAGACGCAGTTGGCCCCCGCGGGACAGTACAGCGAGGCGCCCGGCCGGCCCTCGATGTAGCCGCAGATGTTGTCCGGGCCGACGTAGGCAGTCGTCTTGGAGGAGGCGGCGGCATTTTGGCGGGCGGCGAGGTATTGGCGGGGCACGGAGGGGGCTTGGGTGGGTAGGGGGAGGACTTGGTCGAAGGGGAAGTCGATGTGGGCGGTGCGGGCGGCCGGGGAGGAGGCGGTTGTGGAGGCGGCGAGGGTTATGGTGAAGAGGGCGGCGCGGGTGAGGGAAGGCATTGTGAGGGGATTGGGCTGAGCCTCGGGAAGATCGAGGGAAGGATTTGATGTTGGAGGATGGAGATGGTTTCGATCTCGGCTTATACTGCCACCATCACTCTCGAGCCTCGACCGCTTATTAGTGTATACGAAGTCGAGATGCTCTCCCAATCGCTGCGCTTTAAACGGTAATCGGAAGGAATATTGGAGAAGCCGATTGAGAAGAGACGACGATTAAAAGGCACAAAGACGCAAAAGAGGAGAAAAGAGAGACGAAGAAAAGAGCGAGGCTTGGGAGGTACAAGGATTTAGTACGAAGTACGAATATTATGTACGTATGCGTGCTATTAAACCACCGCATGAGGAAAGACGCAGACCATCATCCACACCCCATCCACACCCATCCGCACTCGGCAACGAGATGCAAGGCAAGCCCTGTGAGGAAAAGTGAGAGTGGGTCAATAACCGCAGCCTGGTTCTCAAGAAAAGACGCAAACCTGCAAATGCAAGACCCGAATCGTCTACAAAGTTACTCAGAACAGGGCTTCTGAAAAGTCTCAGGTCCTCAAGTTTGGGGGGGGATAGGATCGATCGCCAAGGTCAACGAAGGAAAAAGCGGCCAAGCCAGCCTTAGGAGCTGGGCGAGCTAGGCCGTTTTGCTCCTCGTCGAGTCCCCACCCAAGCTCGAAGGAGATTGGCATGGGAGGAGATGGGACCAATCATGGGGTATCAGGGTGAGGTGGCTTGCAGGAGCTGACAAGGGTTGATGGGGGGCAGAAGGTGGGAATGAATGGGAAGAGATAGAGGGAACATGGGGACCCGAAGAAGCAAAATGCGTTGTGGGCTGAGTCGGGCTATTCTCTCCGGTTCTTGCCTCTTGGGGGCTGGGATTGAATCGCTGGGCAGCGTCCGTTGTTTGCTGTGTACAAAAGCTGAGGTTGAGAGTGTAGTTTAGATACACGGGGACTTGAGAAGTTGGGGAAACCTGAACGGCTCTTTCTAGCACCCACAGCTGAGGCGGCGACGGTTGCACGACTTGTACGTACGCGTCTTGGATGCACGGCGGTGGATATTATGATGGGATGGCGGAATGGGAGGTGTGGGCTGGGAGACCCAAATCTTCGCCGGGTGTATCGATGGGACGAAGAAGAGGTCGACGTCTGTGCCATGGTTACTTGCAGCCGCTGCTGTCATCTCAGCCAGGGAACCCAATTTTTTTCAGTTCCTCAGCTCCTCGTCTTCATGAGCTTCACAGTGATGACTACTTGTGCTCTCATCAACGATGCTTCGTCCCAATCTTGACGGGCAGACTGTGAAATAGACACGCCGAACACGCACCAACATCCAAATGAGTAGTGCAGGATTCAGAGGGTGGGCAGAGACGACTTGGTTTCGACGGAATGTGACCGCCTCCATTCAGTCTCGATGGAGCAATATTGAGCCGACCTGACGGCTGGGGAACTCCACCCCCCGCTGAACAGCCAGAGAGGATTGGCGGGGGAAGAGCAAAGTGATATTAAGAAGTGCACTATCAACAGTGATCGCCCATACTCCACTCATTAGTGCGAGGGCGTGTTCCACTTCAAATGGAACAGGGCTGGAATGTGCTTTGTAGCGCACTCTTCGCTCTGGTGACCGGTTTTGTTAAGTCTCATCATCCAGCATCAATCCAGTCTTCAATTGTTCCTTCCGGGTTCTCCTTAATACCCAAGACTCGGATGAGGATGACTAATCTACAGCAATTACGTCATGTGACAGGAATGCATCCTAACCTTCACTTCATCCGAAATAATCTACGAAGTACGTTCCTCGTTCCTTAACGAATCACCGGCTGCTTGGATGAGCCATCGGCAGTAGTGTACCTGTCTGCACAGGTACTGCCAGTGAAATTAGTTTACGAGGAAGATGCTTGCGAAGGACGGAGCTCACTGCAAGTACTCGGTACTAGGTCCATGAGTCGTGAGCGACTCTAAGATGCCTCCGTTTTCTTGCTTCTTCAACATCATTTTTTTCCCTTCGTTTTTCTAATCCCAAGAGACTCAGCAACAGCCAGGCAGCTCAAGCTGAAATGGCAGTTGCATGAAAAAAAGTGACAGTCCTTCTATCCGCGGTAAATGGTTTGGTTTGGTGATATTCCTGACCTTAGTTCCGATTCCGTTCCCTTGGTAGATCTCCCTTGACGATTCCGATAGGTATGCGCTGCCACAGCCTCGTCCAGAGATATATTCTTTCAGTATGTAAAGAGGGTTCGACAACACAGCTCATTTGCATCATGGCGGGTTTGTTGGCCTCTAGATTTTCAAGTTATCGTAGCCGCGACCTAGCGCTTGCCCTACCAGGAAACATGGACTTGGAGCCTCTGATGGAGAACCCTCCCCCCCCCCCCCCCCCCCGGGACATGCTAAGACTATAGGTTGGCGAGGGCGGGAACGAAGGGCGGGCGTCACAGACTAGGGCGGAGAGTACGGAAGAGAGCATCTCCCAGAACAAGAACGACCTGGGCAGCCGAGGCTCGTTGCGACTCAACTCACACCATACAAGCTGTTGGTTGGGCCACTACCACCCACTTCCTGGCTTTTGGCAACAATGCGAACAACACAACAGCCAAATTTGTATCAAGTTTTAGTGAATTCTTGGTATTCAGCGCTTCACATTCACCGGACATCCCGATTTTTGCTAATGCTGATAAGATGATCTTTGTTTCCGCAGCTGTGCATGGTGTTACTTGCCTTCGTGAAGCCGAGTTGAGATGAATGATACGCTAAACTAGAGTACGTTCTACTAGATATGGGAAGGGAGGAAGGTTGAAGATTTAAGCCACATTCTCTTGATGAATACAAAGCCAAAATAACAGCCAGGCAAACAAGTTGCTTCCTCCCCCTCCGTGCTGTTAAGCCTCGTATTCGAAATCAACCCGACTCTTTTTCTCTTTTTCGTACGCCATCTACTTCGGTAGTTAGTTCTCCATATGGTAAGAGAGCGCCAAGTTAGGTAGGACCTACAAATCCATAAGTAGAAGAACTTGGAAATGACCGGCAGCCATAATGTCACGGCGACAATCTGCCCAAATGACCATGTCGTCGGCTCATTCCCTTACTCGTAGAGGTCACGGTATATAAAGAGGAGGCCGCAAAAACCTACAATAGTCATCCCTAGTAAAAAAAGAAGGCTCAGAACAAGGTATTTCATGAAGACCACTATTGGTAGACCGAAGAATTTCCATATCCAGTGCAACAGGAGGGGTACGGTGAAGAAATATATTGTAAAGGCGTGCCCGGTGACTACTGAAAGCATCTTCTCGGTCGTCTCACTAATTGGTGGCCTACAGTAAGACATCGGCCCTAGTTTGTCGCCGCAAGCAGGTATTGCTGAAAGGCTTTGAAGGCGCTCCATCTGCGCATCGGTTTTATAGCCCTGGTAGATAAAAATGGTCGCATGGAGAGCCAAGTTGACAATGAAAAGTAGCAGAGCGTATCCGGATCTGTCCCGCGTGCTGTGGAGGATCGTCTGTAACGCAAGAGCGGGCCACAGTCCGATAGAAGGATAGCCTCGATGATGAAAACATTATAGGCGTATGCAGAGAGCGAGAGTGTATTTTCCGTCAAGTTCGTGTAGTTGGTGAAGGTGATGTATGTTGCGATGTAGACTGTTCCAGTAAAGAGGATTTGCGCTTCCTGCAGCTCGAGGATTATGGAGTCTGCTGCCATCGGGAAACGCTTTGCAAACCGCCATAGGGATACGGCTACCCGATTCTTAGGAGCACGGGGTTCCAGCCTGTGGTAGTCTGTCGGCTGAGACATTTCGGAAACAAACGCCACCAAAAATATAACAACCAAGCATAAAGTAAGGATGTCCTGAACCATGTATGAGATGAGTACCTAACCGAATCTTGCATTAGTAGAACTAGAACAAAGAGGGATATGCGAAACGCTTACTTACACCTGGACCAGCGATGTCAGAATCGATTTCTACTTTAGCACCCTCGCAGTAGTTATCGAGAAGGTTCCGAAAGTCGGATATGTTGTACCGGCTGCTTGCATTGAACTGGGAAAACTCTGGTGTGCAGCTTGTGCAGCTCCCGTGCCCGGAATTTGCGCATGAATCACGCAGGCATCGATGAAAGTTGTCGAAGACGGGTATTTCATGGAACTCTTCCACAGAGCCGAAGTGAAAGATATAGTCCGTTTGCTTTTCTTTGTCGCGGTCTATAGTGTCGTTCCAAAGACTGACCTGCAGAGCAATACTCGCAAGAGTAAGACAGTTGGCGAAATTTTCTGGCGTCTTGAACATGTGTTCGGGTTCAGAGCATGTCGCCGTACAGTTGAGGTGATCTGGGGGTCTCCGTTGTCGCACCCGCCTTTGAACAGATCCACATCACTCATCTTGCCATCAACTAGAGCTTGGAAATACAAATACACACCGTGCCATGCGTTAAACTGCTTGGGCATATAGCCATTATTCCAGTGCAGAGATTCCGTAGTCGTTGCCAAGTTCCATTCCACCATGTTGGTAGTGGGATTGGATTGGTGTCATACGAAGTAGGTTGTCTTTTGGAGATGCCAGACAAGGCTGTCTGCTAGACATGATGGATAAAGTGGGTGTAACGGTGGTGAGAGCAGTATTTAATATGATCTTCCCCGCAGCCAACAGCCCTGGATTTTGGGAGGTGCAGGAGAATGAATAACCAATCCCCATCCCGCAGTAGCAGCTCAAAAATTACAAATTGTCGTTCTATGATACCAAGCCACGAAGCTTGGCAAAATAAAATCGAGGCAAATGACTGGAGACAAGTGCTCGCCAGAATCAGTTCCGAAGGGATACCCAGCCGGAGACCGTCATTACAGAATGGGTCGTAAGCCAACATTTTTAGACCCGATCTCTTTGCGTCACAGCCTTGAAAGATACCTGACTCAAGCCGAAGCAACCAGATCGTATAATATATGCTCGTTTCTTGGTGACTGGGCCGGCAAAAAGGTGTGTTGACAAAACCCAGCAATGCTTCACACGACGGCTCCCGTCGACAATGCTCCAACAATCTGTGAAGGGCAGACTTTTGAAATAGCCATGACGAAGCCTTCCCCAGGACTCCTGCACACTCAACCATGATCCGAAGGGCAAAATCCGGAAGAGGCGGGCCGACATGTGTAGTAATTAGTGTGCGAGAGGTTCGCGGCGGGATCTCCGGAAATCTCCGTTCGAGGACCCACAGTAAATCGGAAGACGATTCTCGGCGCCGACGTCCCCGGCCCCACAACATGAATTCCGAAGCCCGAACCGGCTCTTTTTTTCCAACACTCTCACAATCACAATCACGAGGATGATGCACAAGGGGCCGCGAAGGGCGAGCCGACCAGAAGCACTGCAACTATGAGCCGTGAGTTACTCCAAGATCCCTTCCTTTTCTTGCTTTTTCAAAATCATTTTTGTTTTTCCAGTCTACCCGAAGCGTCTTCCTCATCCGACAATAGTTCAAGATCCAGCAAGATTCAGGAATCTACTTGGTCGGCCGAGAAGATTATCAGATTATGGATCTATATTAACTGATATAGCAAACGCGAATAACCAACCCAAGAGTACAAATTGGCCCTTTCCAAACCAAAGGTTGAGCGAATACACTTGTGCCTAGTTATTCTCCAAGCCTTGCAGCTCCCGGGCCAGTCTTTCTGCACTCGGAGCTACCTGCGAAAGTGCCAACGTTTCTAGTGCCAATATGAAGTCACCAGTATCTTCTGGGCCATCTCTCTCAGGGCGTTCTTGCTCGAAGCCGGCTCTGACGGTGCAAGTAGGCCACGGACTCGTTACCAGTACCTTGAATGAGGCCCTAACATCACTAGATACCGTAAGGCCCAGTATCTCCCCGAGGCTGTCCAGCATATGATCCTCAAACTCCTCGCGTTCGTAGTAGATAACGCCATCTATGAAGCAAAAAAGGGTGACTTCCGCCGGGAGTTGCCGGACAAGCCACGAAAACAGCTGTATAAGGTGCGGCAAGCTACCCATCTCTATCAGGTATGGAGCCAGCTCGGGAGGCAAAAGATGGCGCTCCCCGAAATCGTAGTCACAGAGTAGCTGAGAGATGAGACTCCGAAGCATCCTCTCGATCGTTTTGATTTTGGTCCCGCGGCGATGAAATTCCGAGGCAGAGTTTGACGTGTCATAATAGTAGTCACCATCGTAACTCTCCGTGTCGCAGCTCGAGTCGTCCGAGGACTCGGAGTCTCCAGGACTCAAGTGGCGGCCGCAGAACCAAACTAAGCATAGATAATGCGTCTTGAGCCGAAGCATGTTCGCCAGGTTGGTGCAGAACAAGGACAGGGCCGACGTCTCCATCAATAGGCCTGAAAAGTTACCCTGTATCAGTAGCTTTGCCGACCTCGGTGTGACGATCCAATCCTGGAACAGTTTGCTATGCACGACTTGCTCTGTTCGAAGGCGATCTTGTAGGCACAGGCGGACTTGCCCTTCTTCAATCTCCGCCATGTCCTCGGTGTCTAGGTCTGGGATTTTTAGCATTCTCCAAAGTTCGTCCTGGTCGACCATGGACATTCCCGTGCGCGGCGTGTGTAGGCGCTGTTGTAAAGTCGGCGGTCGATCGTGGGAAGGATTGTTTGGCAAGTTCCGTAAAGCTAGGGTAGGGTAAACGATGGTTTTCCGAACAGGAGGAGCTGTTTCTAAAAGGGCGTGGAGGGGTCGTCGTCAGCCAAGCAGTCTAGTGAAGGAGCGAAGACATAGGGATGTCGGTACCTTGTATTCTCCTCTTCTCCTCATTGTGCCTGTCAATAAGTAGGTGTAGCATAGCATTGAATCCCCTCTCTACTTCTTCTACTCTATGGAGTATGGTATAAACCCCATTCGAGATGTTCCTTTGGCCCTCGACAAGCTGCCGGTGTATCTCTTTCGTCACTCCCGAGTCTTGCATCACTGTTAGTGTCTGGCCTGTATTAGAGAGTGGAGTTGAGTTACTCACATTCCTGGGTATCTCGAATATGGACCTTAACAGCTCCCTCCATCAGTTTCTTGCTACTGCGGGTGATGGCAACGAGGCTATCGAGAAGATCCTTTTCGTAGTCTTTGCCGAACATGGCGGCTTTAGCACCACGTTTCACTATCAAACTCGCGGGCTCTATTAGTATTCCCTAAATACGGCACTAGCCAGGGGGAGTATTCGGCTGGTGAAGCCTTGATTTGGAGACTCACATCCCGGGCTGGTAAAAAAACTCAATGGCTCTCTCCACGGCAAGCAACACATCCACCATAAGATCCACCGCCTGTTGCGCAATCGTCTCCTCCGTCTTGAAAGTTCCAAGGAAAATCTCAACGTCCGAAAACATGTTTTCCAGGTCATCGAGGGCATCCAACGTCTGCTGGCGCACCTCGGCGTTTTTCTTCGCCGCGTCAAGGACGATCAGCACGGCGCCGAGCACGGGAGTGACCACGTCCATCTGCGGCACCACCTTGGTTCCGGCTCGCACCGGCTCCGTGCCGTTCTCGGCTGCCCAGCGCCACACTTTGCGGAACTTGCCTTTGGCCCCGGTTTCCTCGGTATAGTGCGTTTTGGCGGCGTTGAGCTTGTCGTAGACGGCGACCCATGATTTGTCTAGGCGAATGTCGTATTCAGGCTTTCGGTGGGGTGCTGAGATGCCCGGAAGCTGGCTGAACTTGGCCATGGCTGTGGGGAATATCATGTCCCAGTGCTTAATGGCACTGCCAACTTTGGCGAACTGATCAGATGGCGACTGAGCACCGGGCGCAGGGCGATCTGCCGGGGACAAGTCTGCTGTTTGTGCTTGCAGTAAAGCATTTGCAGACACTCGGGTGAACAGATTGACTCGGCCATCGTAGCCTACTTGGCCATCACTGAACATGGTATGATACTCCGGCAAACGCGTTTGGATAAATTCAGCCTCCAAAGTATAGTTTTGGCGCTCTGGGGTTGGCAATGCCTCTGGCTGGGCCATTTCAACCATCCGAGCAGAGTGCTTGTTGAACAAGGACGTAAAAGAATTATTCGACAACAAGATGAATTTGGCTATAAGCTTGTTTGACATACGGTCTAGGAATTAGGAGACATATCTCACCATGGGTCACCGATCCATCCCGTAAGTCGAGCAGAGTTGGGCAAGGAAGGATACCTGACCTATGAGGAGAGGAGGAGAAGAGAGCATTCTATAGACTCTGCGCTGAAGAGCACAAGTACACATGTTGGGGGTACCAGACTTGCAGGAACGACATGCAATGCTACCCGGCCAGCCTGCTCCATTGAGCCAAACAAGTTCACAGCGTCGAACCCTTCTTTGTGGCTTGGACAGCGTAATCCTGTTCCGTGTAGCGCAGAGAGCCTTGCCTACAGAAAACCCTCAATCTCTTCACGTCTACCTCAGTAGCCAGCCGTCGATGTATCTGTATTCGTCACCCCGTAAGCAGCTAGAACGCCACATGCGAGCCTGCCCTGTTCGATTGGACTCGAGAGGGACGCCAAGAATAGACAGGAACCAATAATGAATCCTATGATGTGCGGTGGTTATGTAGAGTCTGAGTATTCGTCGAGAAGAGAAGCGTGCGAAAACGGCGTCAGTAAACCTGAAAAGGCATGATGCAGGTGCTTGTCCGTTCACCCCGCTCGAACATATCCTCGTTCTCGGAGCGTCCTGCTTTTCTAAGTCCCAGTAGTTTGTGGCTCCCTCCTCTCCCTATCTCTTTTTTTGTTTCCAAAAGCTTTTGAATTGACATTCCACTCCCGATAGCAAAAGGATGGGAGGTGCCGACCAAGGCCCGCACCAGCGGCAAGGCGAGGAGCGAGAGCCATTTAACGAGAACTACGCCCAGAATGATGAGCAAACTCCAGCTCTGCATGAGGACGGTTCTGATAATGAAATGGGCGAAGCACAAATTGATTCCAGTGACTTCCTGAGAACGCGGGAAGAAGAGCCCACGAATGACACCGATCGAAATCCGATGGTGCAAAACAGCGGCGTTGAAGAAGATGCCGCAGCTGGGACAAGGCCCCCAGCAGACGACGATATACGTCTGCTCGAAGAAGTCACAGCACTACGTGAGCGGCTCTTCGACCTCGAGCGACAAGCTCGACCAAAGTTAAACGCCGCCTCTCTCGAAACCGACTGGAAACGCGATTTGGACAAACTCGGACCTGGTGAAGCAGCATTATCGTGGAAGAAGGGGATGCAGCAACGAAGAGTGGCACTTCTCCTGGACAACGCGACGTATACCGAAGGAAGAAGTTGGCTTCGAAGGATTGAGGTGGAAGTGGATCGCAGGATCAAAGAGGATCTGGAGTACAACACGAAACTCCTCAAGCTACGAAAGGAGTGGGAGAGGAAGAATAGTATTTCGAGGAAGATAGCGCAGGAGCAGCGCGAAGGAAAGGAGCTTGATATTGACGAGAGTGATGCGGATAGTCATGATCTCGGGGACGACTCTGATACTTCGGAGGCGGCGTCGGAGTTCTATGGGGACCGACAACGGTTGCTTCAGAGGAACTACGAGTACGAAAAGAAGGCTCTTGAGGTGAATTACAGAATGAGGAAAAAGAGGCAGGCACGGAGAATGGAGTCACGCAGAGCGCGTCGGCCAGCAGAGTCGAGCTCGAGGCCACTGGCAGACATGGGTGGTGGCTCGGCTCGTCCCATACACCAGCCTAAGCCCTCGCAGATACCGACGCAAAACCCATTCGCGAGTCCGAAGATAAGTAAATTCGAAGCATCCGCGGATTATCAGTTCCCTAGTTCCCCGGGCCCATGGAAACAGATCCGAAGGCCGGAACCACGCGTCGCGACAGGACAGGCCAGAAACCTGGAATCTTTGCTCAGCCGTCGGCTCTCTCACAGGCACTGCATCTAGTGTGGGAGAACTTCAAAGACACCGTCGATACTCCGGAATGGCAGGCTTGCGCCGTCGATGTCCTGATCGGGGAGCCGGTTATTAATTTCGATAGCCGGAGAAGAAATATGCTCATCACCAGACGTGCGGGCGAGAAGCGAAAGATCGACCATAGAGAGGTCGAGAGGAGCCAAAACGAGGACGTGGTGGATAACAGAGATGCAGCTTTACTGCCTACATCGCCATCTTGGGTTCCGGAACGCATCCGCATCCACTCTCGGCAACTTATTCAAATTCTTGCGGAGGTTCACGGCGCCTCTTTAGCCACGCCGCCCCCTACCCTTACTCTCTTGAGACCTTTTAGGAGCCTCGTACATTATGACCAGGCACTCAAAGAGTGGCGGGAAAAGCTAGAAAAGAACCATCCCAAGCCGGATTTCTTTGAATGGAATCCGGATAGTGGTGTATCGAGCTCGTCAGAGACCCCAGAAACCAAGGAATTCAAGAGAAAGAATTCCCAACAAATGGTACACAGCCCTAGCGGCGAAAACCTCCGAAAAGAGACGGACGGCTCTGACAGTGAAGGCAAATGGGGCAGCTTGTATAGCGGGGATGACGGCGTACACTCTCGTGTCGCCTACGAACATCTGGGAGTTCTGTTAGACATCATGGACAACAATATTCTACAGAGGAACCGCTACTTGGAGAGCGATGCCTGCAAGAAAGTCGTCTTTTCCGACCTATGGTATCTGTTTCAGCCAGGGACTCACTGCATCGCGCCAGGCGATAAGCAGGCCTACAGAGTTCTGAGCTTGGAGAACGTTGGACATCGGGCTATCGATCCGTTCAGCAAGTGGCAGGCCGGCGGCGACGGAGAGGCATCAATCATTATAAAATGCGTGTCTCTAGATTTTGATGGCAAGTTCCTCGGACCGGTTTCTAGCACCTTCAGGATCCTGAAGTTCGAACGCGAGAGAGACATCGCCACGCTTGACATCTACCCTTTGCGATTCTATAGTGCGGCGACATCAGAGGCCCGAGGAGCGGGTACCGCGGACGGAGAACCCGAGAACCACGCAACGAGACTATGGGGTACTCTCATTGAACGCGGGAAGAAGTTCCTTCAGGTATCTGCGAGCAACCTCGCGGCCGTCAAGCCGCTGCACTACTTCGGACCAGTCATCGAGACGTTGGACGAAGTCGAAAGCCAGGTAGTCGTGGACTTCGAGGCGGCTTTTTCGATAGAGGAGCACCTCAAAAAGGGCTGGAGACCCGAGTTGGAAAATCTAATCGGCGATGGGAGAGAACCGCCTAAGCCACAGCTCTGCAATGCGGAATGCTGTGCTCTGGAGAACATCCACGACGATTCGTTCGTGGAGAGGAAGCGAAACGAAGAGTTCCCGAGTCGTCTTCTCCCGGAATCCTCGGAGGAGATGCCTTCGATAATGATCATGCGGAGGCAGCTAGACTTAGACTCTCCGGAGAAGGGATTGTCGGAGGATGATCTCGTAATTATGCCCTACCGCGTATTCGGTTTCATCCTTCGAAGTCGGAAATGGGGTATGTGTAACTCAAAGCAACGCCAAAGACTAAACATATCTAATTTGTCAAAAGCAAAACTGGACATCGATCATCTCACAGACATTCGGCCACTTGATGATGATGACTTGGGCTGTAGTGATACGAAGAATGACGAAGTGCCAGTCACAGCGTTCGATCGCCTCGTCCTCCCCGCCGGACACAAGCGCATCATCCTCTCGCTCATCACCCAACACTTCCGTCGTAAAGAATTGGCAAAGACCTGGAATGCACACAATGACGTGGTAAGAGGAAAGGGTTAGTCGCTCACATTTTGACCCTCGCTAGCTACTACTAGTCGATATTGATATCAAGGGTACATGTAGGCAAAGGGTTGATCTTGCTCCTTCATGGCGCCCCGGGAGTCGGAAAAACCACTACCGCAGGTAAGTTTCGGAGATTCAATTGAAAGGCATACCGAAGACATGTACTGACGCCTTAATTAGAGGGTGTAGAAAAGTTCAAGAGACCTCTCTTTCAACTGACTTGCGGTACGTGTCCTGGTTTCACTGTATTCATGCTTCTGCTTAGCCTTAACTGCTGGCGCGACCGACTGACATGACACTACAAAGGCGACCTAGGCACGACGGCAAAAGAGGTCGAGGCTGCTTTGGAGACAAATTTCGCCCTGGCAAGCCGATGGGGATGTATCCTACTCTTGGATGAGGCCGATGTTTTCCTCGCACAGCGAACCAAAGAAGACTTTCAGAGGAATGGTCTCGTAGCTGGTAAGCTGAGCAACACCCCAAGACTAGTCATACAGTTAGGCCGCCATACTTACTCGTAATGTGGATTTTAGTTTTCCTGCGGGTTCTGGAGTACTACTCTGGCATACTCTTCCTCACCACCAACCGAGTCGGTGACTTTGACGAGGCATTCGCATCCCGGATACACGTCTCGCTATATTACCCAGAACTCGACAAAGAGAGCACCCTGGAAGTGTTCAAGCTCAACCTCCAGCTCATCCGACACCACTTCCACGAGCGGGACAGGAAGTTCCTCCCCGATGAAATGGGCATAGGTGCCTTCGCGCAGAAATACTGGGACGAGAACCCCTTTGACCACTGGAACGGGCGACAGATCCGGAACGCGTGCCATACCGCCCTGGCGCTCGCCGAATACGAGGCGCAAGGCGGCGGCATCGAGACATCCGTAAGGGCAAACGCCGACGCCGAGCTCAAGGTGTCGCATTTCGAAACCGTGGCGGCGGCCTATCTCGAGTTCGCGAGGTATATGAAGGACATATACGGGACTCATACGGCGCGCCGTGCTAAGGAGGCGGGCCTGCGTGCGATGTGGGTGAATGAGAAGGGCCAGGTGATGGGGAGCTTGGGGCCGAAAGAAGCTGCGGCTTTGAAACTTAGTACGAGCAAGTCCCGCTACAAAATGCGGTCGCAGGGGAGATATCCTGGTGTCGAGCCATGGCAGACTCCGAACCCAGGCGATCTAGATCCACAACCGCCTCGGAGAACAGGAGGAAATCAAGGATATGAACAGGGCCCAGGTCCGGGGCCAGGACTACCCCGACAACCGTCGCCGGCTTTCGGACACGGAGGCACTTCTCAGGAGTACTTCGTGAACCCTGGCCAACCGTGGCAGCAACGGCACTCACCGCAAAACCTACAGTGGGAGGTCCCTGCTGTTCCGCCTATAGACCGGGGACAGCGTGGGCATGCGGCTGGACAGGAGCAGCAGTACGTAGCTTATGGCCGGCATGAAGACGCTCATGGCGTAGCGCTCCACGAGCCTCAATTTTCGCAATCCCGATTTGCAAACCAGGAGCCTGCTCTGCCCATCCCTGGCTCTCAAGCGGAAGCCTCATCGCGCGGAGGTCAAACGTATAGACAAGGCGGTGAATTTCCATCGGATACAGGAAATCGACAAATTTAGGTAGAAACGAATAAAGTTCAGAGTGCGAAACCAACTCGAGAAGGACAACGCATTTACCAGGCTTAGCAGCGGTGGTGCTGGGAAATCGCGATGTCTACTGAGGCTAAACCAACCATCCTCGGTCGTATGTCTTGGTTCTTCAGTAATTAATTCAAGTAACAATCCAAACCTCGCCTGTATACTCACCACGGCCTCCAAAGCTCATCAATATGGGCGAGCCACTGAGCCATTGCCCCCTAGGTATCCGGATCAGTTAGCAACTCACTCCAGAAAAGCTTCAGGTTATGAAGGCTCTCACAAGCAATAACCCCAAGTGCTGAATATCGGGTCGGTGGTATTCTTAAATCCGTCCTACTATACGCCTAAATACATAGATGGCACACAGCACAACCTCACTTCGTGAATGCTAACCGCCAAACTCGCTCCCTTGCAAACCTCTCACAATCTCGCATCAACTCCCGCGACTTGTAAACTCTGGACCCAATTTTACAAAGCGCGTAAATCGTTCGGTGCCCATGGTGCAAGGCACCAGAATGGCAGCCGCAACATGACAGACATCCTCCACGTACTCCCAGACTTCCCCGCCGGCCAATTCTCCAAGCTTCTGCAGGTCCTCGACACTCACGGCATCACGACTACGGACCTCCTCACACTCGACGCGTCAGATTTGGGCAGTCGGACTAAGTTATCGGTTCTTGACCTAAAGCGCTTATCTGCTGCTGTCCTTGACGCGTTACATCGGGACCTATCAGTGCTACCAGCCCGGAATGACCCGGAAGAGTCGCAATCTTCAGCACCTACTTCCTCGTCTAAGAAGTCATTGGATGAATTGTGCAATGCTTGGTCTACTATTAGCACTCTAGATGACACTATTGACGCTGCCTTGGGCGGCGGGGTGCCCACGGGCTACATCACCGAGATAACAGGCGAGAGCGGCACTGGAAAAACCCAATTCCTCCTCTCACTCCTCCTCGCCGTGCAACTGCCACCTCCCCACGGCCTCTCGCGCCCAGCATTATACATCTCTACAGAGTCTCCTCTCTCAACCCAACGCTTATCACAAATGCTCTCCTCAAACCCGCTCTTCAAGACCCTCGATCCTAAGGACAGACCGACATTGGACAACATCGTCAGCACCGCCACCCCCGATTTAGAGTCCCAGGACCACATTCTCCAATTCCAGGTGCCCGTAGAAGTCGAGCGCCGCAACGTCGGCTTGATAGTCCTCGACTCGGTGGCAGCCAACTACCGCGCGGAATTTGATCGCGGCGGTGCGAATGCCTCCTCTTCTCGATCCGCCTCCCGCGGCTCTAACATGGGCGCGAGGAGTAACGAGTTGATCCGGCTGGGCGCCCAGTTGAGGGAGCTGGCGCGGAAGCACAACTTGGCTGTCGTGGTTGCGAATCAAGTGGGTGATCGCATCTCTACGTACATACCACTGCCAGGTGGCCCGCCAAGTAGTAGCTTCGAGGTGCCAACGCAGGAGAGTCCACTTGCATCGCGGGCTGGGCGTGCAGTCACCTTTGGTGACTCTCAGGAACCACCAGAGGAAGGAACGCAAAATGTGCCACCGCCGTCAGAGACACCGTCTGAGCCCGTGATGGACCCTACGTTTCTGCTTGACTTCCAGCAGCGTTGGTTTACGGGTTGGGGAGATGATCTTTTTGCGGACTATCCACTCAAGACGCCGAGCTTGGGGTTGGTATGGTCTACGCAGATTGCTTGCAGGATCGCTCTGTTGAGGAAGCCTCTATATGGCATGCTAAGGCTCGAGGAGGAAGGGGAAGGAGAAGAGGGGGAAAAATCTCTCGGGGAAGCAGGAAAGGAAGAGGAGGATAGGAATATACTCTTCCAGACACAAATAGGGTGGAAGAGGTGGATGAAGGTTGTGTTTGCGCCGCATGCGCCGGAATCTGGTCAGGGATTCAAAACAGCTGTGAGGTTTGATGTTACGATGGGAGGATTGAAGGCTTTGGTGGGCGCAGAGGCGGATGATGGTTTTTAGGTTAATGATACGGTGAATGGTGTTTGGCAGGGCGTCTTGTTTATTCTAGAGACACTCTTGGTTGGTTTATTCGGAGATGCTAGGATATGGGTAGCCATGCGAATTATTACACGATTTCTCGATCCAAAAAATAAATAAAGAGCATGATGGTTGCGTTTCATCTCTTTCTTCAGAGTCTTTACCCCAGGAGTAAAAGGAGAAGGGAAAATCCAAAAAGAAAATTGATGATTCGGCCCGGGCTCGATCCGGGGACCTCTTGTGTCCAGCACCTTGTGGATGTTAGACAAGCGTGATAACCAACTACACCACCGAACCAACGATTTGCTTGATTGTGCACTCGGTAGGTTAGCTTGAGGATCCTCCAGTGAGACGCTGCTCTCCTGTGTCTTGCACCAGTACGAATATTCTAATAAGCGATATTTGTAATTGACGAATCCCACCCACATGCTGATGCGCTTCTCCGCGACTTCTGCATTTACCGCCTGCCAAATTCATCGCCACATCTGCACTTCTCGCGGGGACCCCGGCAGAATCCAATAATTTTTGCCTGTCCCGCCTCTCAATCTTCCCACTTGCAAAAGCTCCGTCATCCCGCCGTCCAAAAACCAACAATCCGGACAACCGACATCTGGAAGCCCAAAAAAAAGCATGCACAAACACCGAACCCCGTTATGAAAGTAATCGACGACGGTTTCGAGGCCCTCCTCGAGCCGTTCTACAACGGCAAGAGCCTCAGCGATCCCATCTCCACCAAGGAGGACAAGTTCCAGCTGCTCCCCGCCTTCCTCAAGGTCAAGGGTCTGGTGAAGCAGCATATTGACTCATACAACTTTTTCGTCGAGCAGGGGATCAAGGACATTGTTCGCGCCAACTCGAGGATTAAGAGTGATGTCGAGAGCAGGTTTCTTCTCGAGTGAGTACCAGATCTGAGCCAATTGTTTTTCTTTTCTCTCTCTCTTTTTCTTTGTTTCTAACACGTTAAATCATAGATTCACAGACATTCGAGTCCTCACGCCGCGCCGCGTAGACTTCGTCGACTACCGATGCGATAATGAAATCACCCCCATGGAGTGTCGCCTCCGCGACATGACCTACGCCGCCCCCATGGTCGTCGACATAGCCTATATCCGCGACAAAACCCGAGTCATTAAAAAGGACGTGCCCCTCGGCCGCATGCCCATCATGCTCAAGAGCGCAAAGTGTCGCCTCGCCGGAGCCAACAACGCCCAGATGGAGGCCATGAACGAGTGTCCGCTGGACCCTGGAGGCTACTTCATCATCGGCGGGACGGAAAAGGTCATTCTGATCCAGGAGCAGTTGAGCAAGAACCGAGTCATTGTCGAGGCGGACGAGAAGAACCAGATCATTCAGGCGTCGGTTACTAGCTCGACGCATGAGCGCAAGTCTAAGACGTATGTCCGGCTCAAGAAGGAGCGCATATACCTGACTCATAACGTCTTAGTGGAGGATGTGCCCATTATTATTGTGCTCAAGGCCCTCAGCGGGCTGTCTGATGCGGATATCGTGAATTTGGTGGCTGGGTCCAACTCCAAGCTTCAGGACGACTTCCTGGTCAACTTTGAGGAGGCGACAAAGGCCGGCATCATCAGCCAGCAGGATGCCCTCGAGTACATCGGTTCCAAAGTCAAGATGGGCTCGAGAAGGGGTCAATTCGGGTCCCAGCCCCGAAGGAACCACGCGGAAGAAGCCCTCGACGTGCTTGCCAATCTAGTAGTTGCCCATGTGCCCGTCACCGGGCTCGAGTCCAACACCAAGGCCGTCTACCTCGCCTTGATGGCGCGGCGCGTGCTCCTCGCTGCGCGCGACCCGCGTCTCGTCGATGATAGGGACTTCGTCGGAAACAAGCGACTCGAGCTTGCCGGCCAGATGTTGACGCTCCTTTTTGAAGACTTGTTCAAGAGGTTCACGAGCGAGGTCAAGCTCAACATCGACAAGTTCCTTAAAAAGAACAACCAGGCCGTGGCGTTGGATCCGGCGAATATGATTCGCAACCATGCCAACACCATCGGCCAGGGGCTCAACCGAGCTATCCAGACGGGAAACTGGACGGTAAAGCGATTCAACATGAATAGGGTCGGTGTGACCCACGTCCTCAGTCGCCTCAGTTACATCAGCGCTCTGGGAATGATGACTCGCATCAGCAGTCAGTTCGAGAAGACGAGGAAGGTCAGCGGTCCTCGAGCCCTTCAGCCCTCTCAGTGGGGTATGCTCTGCACGTCAGATACCCCCGAAGGTGAGGCGTGCGGTCTCGTGAAGAACCTTGCGCTGATGACTCACATTACTACTAATGATGATGAGGAGCCAGTGCTCGAGGGCATCTTCATGGATGACGATGTGGATTCCCTCAAGACCATTGGCGGACAGGACCTACATGATAAGGTCCACGTAATTCACCTAAATGGTACACCTATTGCAACTACGAAAACCCCAGACACCGTCACGGCGAGGCTTCGGCGTCTAAGGCGGAAGGGCGCCATCTCGCCGTTCGTCAGCGTCCACACAAATTCTCACTACAATGCCGTCCATATCGCCACGGACGAAGGGCGTATCTGCCGGCCCTACATTATTGTCACGAACAAAAAGTCGAGGCTGAAGCCCCAGCATCTTCGGCTCCTCCAGCTGGGCAAGGTTGAGTTTGATGATTTCCTCAAGCACGGCGTGGTTGAGTACCTGGACGTCAACGAGATGAATGACTCGTTAGTCGCAATCGAAGAGTCCGACCTTACCAGAGCCCACACCCACCTAGAGATTGAGCCCTTTACCATCCTCGGAGCCGTCGCGGGTCTCATTCCCTTTCCCCATCACAACCAGTCTCCTCGTAATACGTATCAATGTGCTATGGGTAAACAGGCCATCGGAGCCATTGCATACAACCAGTTCAACAGGATCGACACTCTGTTGTACACGCTCGTCTATCCCCAGAGGCCTATGGTGATCAGCAAGACTATAGAGCTGATCCACTACGACAAGCTGCCGGCCGGACAGAATGCCACCGTCGTCGTCATGTCCTATTCGGGTTACGATATCGAGGACGCGCTCGTGCTCAACAAGGCCGCCATCGACCGCGGCTACGGACGCTGCCAAGTCTTCCGTAAATACACGACGGAGCTCCAAAAGTACCCCAACGGCCGACGCGAGCAGCTCGGCAGGCCTCCGCGGGACGACGGTTCGGGCGGCGCCGCCGGCGTGCGCGAGGGTAAGTACAACGCGCTAGACGCCGACGGGCTCGCCACCGTCGGGTACCGCATCAAGGCGGGCGAGACTATGATCATGAAGCAAACGCCGCTGGACCTGGCGACGACGGGCATAGGCCTCGACCGCGGCCCGAGCGAGTTCCGGGACTCGTCGATCAACTACAAGATCGCGGACCCGGCCTACATCGACAAGGTCATGCTGTCGCACACGGAAAAGGAAACGACGGTCATCAAGATCCAGACGCGGCAGACTCGACGGCCCGAGCTGGGCGACAAATTCTCCTCGCGCCACGGACAGAAGGGAGTCGTCGGCATCATCGTCGACCAGGAAGACCTGCCCTTCTCGGATCAGGGCATCGTACCGGATATGATTATGAACCCCCACGGTTTCCCCTCCCGAATGACGGTCGGAAAGCTCCTCGAGTGCCTTACGGGTAAAGCTTCGATCATCCACGGACGCAAAGACTACGGCTACGGCGACGCCTTCCGCTCCCACCCCGTCGAGGAAATGAGCCAAGTCCTCATCGACCACGGCTTCTCGTGGGAAGGCAAAGACTACTTCACCTCGGGCGTCACCGGCGAGCCCCTCGAAGCCTACATCTTCAACGGCCCCATCTACTACCAGCGCCTCAAGCACATGGTCCAAGACAAGATGCACTCCCGAGCCCGAGGCCCCCGTGCCATCTTAACCCGCCAGCCCACCGAGGGTCGTTCTCGCGACGGCGGCCTCCGCCTCGGCGAGATGGAGCGCGACTGCCTCATCGCGTACGGCGCCTCGCAGCTCCTCCTCGAGCGGCTCATGATCTCGTCGGACGCCGTCGACATCGACATCTGTCAGGAGTGCGGGCTCTTCGGGTATAAGGGGTACTGCCATACGTGTAGGAGCACGGCGAGCGTTACGAAGATGACGATGCCTTATGCGGCCAAGTTGCTTGTGCAGGAGTTGATTAGTATGAATGTTGGAGTTAGGTTGAAGCTGGAGGATGAGTTTCCGCATCCGAAGAGGTGAGGGGAAGATGGGTTTTCTGTCTATATGTATTGGGCGCTGTTGGTTTCTTTGTTCTATCGTGTAGCATAGTATTAGGCGAATGATGTTTATGATTGGAATTCTGTTCCTCTCTTACTTGTGATGGCTGGTTGTTGAGTTCCGAGTTTCAAGAAGCTCTTGTCCATCTCCAAACGTAGTCCCGTTCCCAGCGGAACTTATAATGACATGTAGCTTCTCACCACTCAACAACATTGATTCCAACCCACTTTGAGCTCCCAACCAACCGCGAAGAAATGTCTGACTCCTCCTATATTACGCCAGTATATTCTGAAGAGGAATAGCGCGGCTAACCTGGAAAATTGAATAAGAAAGGGAGAAAATCATGTGGGAAATTCATATTAAACCATTGTCAACAAACTACTTTAGTTTTCCTGCAGTTTGGTTACGTCGGAGGCTGGACTTAAATGCGTGGCGAACCTTTACGCCACCAAATCTCTTATATCCGAGTTCAGAAGGACAAAAAGAAAAAGTCAATTGCAATAAAAACTCCACAGGCAAAAGAAAACAAAAGGGCTGCTGTCGTCATTTCTAGAGATTTTGTGTTTGATTAGCGGCTGACCCGCTCGGTGAAATTGTTCCAACCTCCCCTTCCTTTTCTTCCATTCTTCCTTTTCAAATTCACCGAAATGGGACGGAGACGCCGTGTTTGCTTGGATGGAAATAGTTTGCTCCGGGGGAATGGGAAACCATTTCTCTGGCCGGGTAAATGCGAACGAAGCCCCAAGATTCTTCCTCTCTTTACATGTTTCGTTTTGGAAGAGAATTGCTGGGGGGGATGCGCCCGGGGATCTTAGAGGAAAACTTACGATTTTGATATCATAGATCGATCCCTTTTTTCGTTGTTGGGCTTTGTTTAGGCGTTCCTCAGCTCCAGCGCCTGATGCGGGGGAGGACACTGGACGGGACCGGGGATGATCTCCCCCGATGTTCGGGGCTCGTTGATGCAGAGAGGTGCAATGGAAAGAGGGGAAGCAACTGATTTTAATTGCACATCTTTTATTCGAGGAAAGGAATGGAGCTGCTTGTCGCAGACCCGTTACGCGGGAACCCGAGATTATGATTCAACATGTCGCAGATTCGATTTGTCTCATTCTGCTGGCCGACTAATATCGTACAAAGTAATTAGATGCGGCCTTCCATCTCATCTCTTCCAGGAGCTAGCCAGCTGGACCTAGGGCCATCTCGTTCCCTCAATGGGCAAAATTGGAAGAGGGACGGTCTCGGGCCAATCAGGATCCGCATGGACTCCTAAATCGTGTGTCCTCGTACGAAGGAGAAACAGTCTGATTATTATTAGCGAATGGCCACGAGGTGGGCGGGTAGATGTGATGATTTGATGGTAGATTGACCTGATGCTATTATTGGCAGACCTGAGCAGAGACTTGGTGCGTGAGTTGTACTCACTGACTTGTAGATTATTTCGTCCTGTCCAGCTCAGACTCGGGGTGGCGTCTCGCTTTTTGACTTCTGATCCAAGTGTCATTTAACATCCTCAGCCAGACCATCTCAGTGGAACGTGTTCCAGGGGCTTCCAATCGTTCTAGTGCACTATCGAATTCGACTCCGGTCGAACTGCAAAGTAAATTGGGACTTTATTCTGAGAGTCTAGTGAGCATCGATAGCCAGCAGCGGTAGATCGAGCTGGTGTTAGTTCTCTCTCGTCGTCATTTAGCAAAAGGGTACCCCTCTAGAACTCTAGAACAGATGCACACCGAGCATGGACCAGACCCGGTTGATGCTAGCCAAGTCTTTTCCCTGTGCGTGGCCGAGACCAAGTGCATGTCGTTATCACTTCGTAAGGGAAAAGGGCCCTTCGATGTCTGCTTCTTTCCCAGGAACAGACCCGCATCAGTAACCGCCACAGCAACACACGGATGTTTTTCCCTTTTTTCTTTTCCCACTACCTCAACAGGGTCCCCGCAGAGACACGCTCCGACTCCGCTTCAGATCGCTCACCGCCTCCCCCAAGGCTAGATCCTGAGGCAGCGGCGTGGTATTACAGCAGCGGCTAGCCTACAAGTAAAGGACCGTTGAGCGGGGGAGTTAGTTTCCTTGCCTAAGAAAGAGGGGTTGGGCCAAAGTGAATGGAGGCAAATCGCATAGATGATTTGGAAGTGCCGTTCGGCTTCTTTGTGCGGTGGAGGTTTGTTTTTTTCTTGTTCCTCATTGTTTTTTTTTTTGTTTGGTCTTAGGACCCGAAACCCTAACTTGCCTTGTCTCTACCGATGCGTCCTTCGTAGAATTTTCCTTGGTGACTCAGATTTCATTTCTCCACCTGCACAGTCCCGATCTGTCGTGTAAGCCGTCGCCTGGCCTGGCCGTGTTGAGAGCTGGAGTTTCAGTTGATGGCTTGGTGGCTTCTAGATGCAGCGGTGAGCAAATGTGGCAGTCAAGCAAGCTTGGATGGGTGGAATAGCATCTCTGTGTGAGGACGTGTACGAAGGATATCCTCGATAATTGTCTTCACCCTTGCTTTCGTGGCGACTTTTGAGGCCTGCGAGTTGTCAATCGACACATCAATTGATGTTTCTGGTCCCCGTATTCAAAGGGGATTGGTGAGATGCAGCCCACACCTCCCCGAACAGGCTTTGCCATCTCGAACTGATGAACGTCGACCAACATTGACAGTGCAAACAAAGCACGGAAGAAGAGAACCACAGAAGCACGAGTTGTTCAAGTACAGAAGTAGTGTGTTATAGCATTCCCCAACAATATCCCAATAATACCAATAATAAGCTTCTGCAAGAACGCACACCAAAAAGAAAGTTGTAACGAGATCACCGCCTCGGAACAATAAACAAGGGGCCCCTTCTGTTGATCAAGAAGCTTCGAAAGAACAACGGGTTCCCTCTCCATTTTTGTTTCATCTCGTGTTAATATCCCATCGTTGATGTCCGGAGGGTTTCCTTTGCTGCATGGGGGAGCCTTGGGAAGGGCAGGGCATGGGCCAGTTGTTGAAACGTCAGCCTGTCGAATCCGCATGCTCGGGCCGGCCTCGAATTGCTGAGATCGAGCCCCTGAACCGCTGGGATCACAAGCTAAACTGGGCCTTGCTGGCTCTTTCCCGGCAGCGAGGCCAGGCAAGCCATGTGCCGCACAGTGCTCCAACTGCTCTTTCCTCTCTTCCCTTCCCACCTTCTGAAGAAAGAACCAAGACTGGTGGGGAAGGAAGAGCGTGGGTGGACATGAGCAAGGGGTGATAAAAAAAAAGTGGGAAGGAGGTTCACTGATGTACCCAGTACCCAGTACGCACCCCTAGAGAGCGGAGCTTGGCTTACGCTGTACTGTGTACTCACGCACCCGCAGGTGGACTTTGGGAACATTGCGAGTCGACCATCTTCCAGCACCCACCCCAAAAGTCCCTGTTACATAAGGCGCCCGGACATAGAGAGTGAAGGGCAGAACTAGCACCAGTGTTGATCCGTAGCTCTTGCCCTTTAACCTAGCTCGGGCTAGTTTGCCGGAAAGACAGAAGTAGCAATCAGTCCTGTATTAAATTATGTGATCTCGGAACTGACGACTTGCGGACGAAGTCGCAGTTGATGGATCCTGCTCTCATTGCGCTTGTGCCTGACCACGAGACGGTGGATGCCCGATAGTACAGCCAGCTGAAGGTCGGAAAACGGAAAGCTTGCGTCAGGGATGCCGGCGCACAAAGAGGGCATTACGAAGGACGCTTCTACGTCGTACTTCGTATAATTATCCTAAAGACGTCTAAAGAAAGGAAGACCTACATAAAACAATTGTACTGGGCCGTCTTCACCTTCCGTCCTGACCGCTGAATTCCTCACTACTTCATACTACTGTGAGTGTACTTCGTCTTTCAAAGTTCCTGAGCCGGCGCCAAGGTAATTACTACCTCCTGGAGATATTTCCAGAAACAAGCAGGCACCTTCCTAGCGGCTGGCGAAACCAGACTACATCCACGATGGAGTACAAAAATGTGACTTGCGAGGAAGCGGCGCTTGCGGACCCTGCAGCATTTTGCGCCTTCGCCTTCCCTTGAGTTTCAATCCCACTTGTTCCTCCGTCCTCCATATTGTAAACTAGTTAGTTCAGTTCAAGCGGTGGAAACCATCTCCACATTTGGAATTCTGCTCATCCAGCCAGCGCTGTTTCGTAAATTTTTTTTCTTAGTTAATTCTCTTTTTCTTATGATTTTTTCTTTAATTATTAATACTTCGTTATACACATCGGAGACGGGTACTGACGTCCCAAGCAGATTTTCCTGTGGCTGGATTGATGCAATAAACCGTGGGACCCGACTGTCGCATCCAGTCCGTGCCATTGTGACAGAGCAACACTTGCAGAGGTACATGTCCATTATTGCAGTTACTCATCCCATCATGGCGCTGTCGGAGAAACCTGAAGTACACGGCATCAATACTCTGTACAATGCCATTGTATCAAGACGAGGAAAGTCGTCAAGCTCCTGAGTAATAATACACGTATTCTTCCCACCAGCAGAGGGTTTAGTTGGGTACACAGTACGCCTCCCACCAACATTTTTTCCCTTTTTTTTATTGAGCACACACATCAATTATTGATTGATTGCGCTCGGAAAACTACCTTGGATGCAAGGAAGCTCCGGTACCTATTAATACAATTTGTACCCGCTAGGCGAAAGGAACATGGAAGGAAAAATTGGGTTGAAAAGCGCGAAGAAGGACCCAAGGGCCAAGGACCTTCCAAGTCCAGTCCTGTACGAAGTACGCAACTGAAGGACCGAACACACAGCCTGGCAACGCCAGGCAATCGCGACCGAGAGTGCAAGGAGCGAAGGACGAAACAAACCTCCTAAACTATTACTATTGTCAACCCGTCCACACACCAGCCTTGGGCGATTCTCGTTCTCCTCTCTTCACCTCTCTCTCACTCTCACTCTCGCCCTCACTCCCGCGCTTCCCTCCTCCCAATCTATTCCACCCCTCCTCTAAGCTTCGTAATCTCTCGAGGCTTGTGTGTTTTATTCTCTGTGTATTCTGTGTTGTGTGTGCTGTGCGATTTTCATTCTTCCTTTTTTTCCTGCCACGCGATTTCGTCTCCCTTCCTCCCTAGTCTGTTCGCTTTTTTCCCCCTTGGCTTTCCAGGGTTTGCGACGTGTGAAGATTATACCTAGGAATTCCAACTTGCCGCGGTGGTTTGGTTGGTTTGTACGTTGAAAACAGAAAGGGAATCGAGGCAAGACACTTGACGAAAAAAGGTGAGTCTCGGTCTTGGCTTTCTCTGGCATCATTACCTTCCATGCATTCCACTCCGCTACGCTGCACTGCACTGCACTGCAATCCACTACAAATTCCTGCACGGCCATGGAATGGATTTGAAGCGCAGGCGTACAGAGGTCTGCCTCGATGCTTCAATCAGATCTATCCCAAAATCCCCGCCCCCTCATATTGCCCCCATGCCACTCCTCCCACTCTCGCTCCCACTCCCACTCACTCCCACTGCCACTACCACTGCCCCAGCTGCTGCCCCTGGCCGTGTCTAAGGGTTACCCAACATTCTGCGGCCCTGGCTACGAAGTAGTATGCTATCCTTGCTTGGGTTTCTCGACCTGCACCTCCCCTTTCGTTCCTTTTTCCCATTACTTGATTCTGCCCTGGCCACTACAAACCCTGGTCTGCGCCACAAGAGGATATTCGAACGTTCCTGGAGGGGGTGAAGTGACAGCTCGACACGCCTCCTCAAACCCCATCGTAGTCCCGCCGCACGACGCAACTCGTCCCCTCTTTTTTTTTCCGCACACACTCTCGCTTGCGAATCTCCTCCCAAAAATTACGAGACTCTGGGTTAGGCCACACTCTTCGCCAATTCTCGAAGCAGCCTAGGTATTCCATCTTCGACCTTTGTCCAGTTGGCGGAAACCAAGCAGCGCTGCGGACCGTGTGTGTTCTTTGTCTCAGCTCAGCCCGTCATCTCACTCATCCGTGGCCCAAGTGCCGACCTCGAAACGGACACCGATACGGGCAATCTACCCCCCAGCTCCAGCAGCAACCCAACTTTCCATTCCCCAGTCTTCGGATCCGCGAAATCACTCCTCGTTCCATCGCGTTTCCTCGCGTTACGTCCGAATACCTCTTTCGACAGGCCTTGCCACCATTCCCCCCCATTCGTGCTTCCGCTGCCCCTCTCATCGCTGCCAGCACCACTTTCTAGAGTACCTCTGGGTGTCGCTTACTGACCGGTGCCAACTCGAGTTATTGTAACAGTAATATAGAAACGTCCTGAATCCGACCTCTTGCCTACCGAGCGTGTACGAGTCACAGCGATCGATGTTTTAGTAGAAATATAAGAAAGACAGAAAAGAAGGAAAGAAAAAGGTGGAAAATCAAAGATGGATGACCTACGATATGTCCGAAACGACCCGGCGTTTAATGGCCTTGTCTCACCTCCGCGGAATGGTTCTCGCCTCCCGCAACCCGTCACCCATGATGCTCGAACCTCCCTACCTCGTCGCTTCACCACTGAGTCCGGGCGTGTACCAACATTGTCTTCACTTACAGCCCCGCGTGGCCCCGACCAGACTCAGGATTATGCATCCGTACGTAGCTTCTTCCCTTACATCCCTACTTTGCTCCCCATCGTGGCCGCGTAGCTAGCCCCATGGGCACGGGCCGGACTTTTGGGTTGGCTATGGATCAGGCTGGTCTATAACGGACTTTTTGCCATCCATCACCGCCTCTCCCGTCTGCGCATCAGTGTTCATCGAGCTGCTGGCGCCGGGCGCTGGGCGAGAATGCCTCCGGGGGATCATAGGCCTGTTATTATTGTTGCTGTGTTTTTTTTACCCCCTTCTTTTTTGGAATCATTTGAGCTGACTTGGGCGTCGTTTCTTCTAGACATATCACAAAGTCCAATTGGTATGTCATAAACCCGTCGCCACCGCACCGAACGGCGCGGGGCACCTCGGACTCCAGAATCTGTTGCCCATTGACAATCGCCAATCCCAGACTGCCCACAGCTTCGGCTTGGGTCCAGGCCAAACCCGTTTCGACATAAGACAAGGAAGACTGACGGCCGGACAGCTAGAGAAGAAGAAGCAGGAATATGAAATGATTAGGGAGCAAAAACGGCGATTCGAAGTTGAGCTTCAAAAGCATGAGCAGGAGCTTGCGCAGATGCAAGAGGACTTAAGAGGTCCCCTGGCCGGCCATCAGTCCGAACCTACCACACCTCCCGAGTATCGCGATACCTCGAGCGCCTTCCCCTCCATCTTTTCCCGTCCCAACAGATACTCGACCTCGAGCCTCACCTCCCCGCCTGGGCTCTTCAACCGCCCGGGTCGATCGGGCTCCCAACTGGCTTCACCCCAATCTGGTCTCCTCCAGAACCGTAGTCGGTTCGGATCGGAATTGCCTTCGTGGTCCGTTCCCGGATCGAGGAGGAACAGTGACGAGGATGAGAAGGAGGAGGCTGTTCGACAGGACCCTACTAGCCATAGGTCAACAAACGCGTAAGTTCCCGATCTAATCCCAATCTTCTCGTGCTTTTTTGGATGGTTGGGTGTGCGGTTGTTTGTTTGTGGCGCTAGAAAGGGGGGGCGCCGGGCTGCGATTCTGCCCTTTTCGGACTACGGGTAGCAGGCTGGACTGGACTCATCTCAAAAGGGGAAGCTCTCTGTTTGATATTTTCGGGAAAAGGAAAAAAAAAAAAAAAAAAACGCCACCCGATGGATGTTAACTGATGTCGATTAGTCTTCACCGGTACTCCATGCCAGTCACAAGGTCCCGTAATGGGCTCTATGACCTGGGTAATCTCGATGGTACAAACACGACTCGCTTCCTTTTTGGCGACGATGACTTGGGAGATTCAAAGCTTACTGCAACGACCACGGCTGACGACTTCCCTACCCTTGTTCGGCGGGATGATCCATTGGTAAGCCTATGACTCCCCTGTTGCTTGTTTTCGTTTTCGGATTTCTTTCGTTATCTTTGAGCGCCATCCGTCCGTCATTCGACAGGAGGCAGGTGCCTTGGGAGCATTCGAGGAATCCAAACATTGGCCCAGTGGGACCTTCCACGGGAGCTACCCGTCATTCATTTCTTTCCTATTCACCCCAGTGGGCCCCTTGATTCAAGAATTGTGAATTATTGGAAGTCTTGTTACTGCCCGTGCCCTTCCTCAATCAGCTATTCAGTGCCAATATTCACGTTTTGTCTGGCCTCCCTCCTCTCCAAGCATAAATACCCAGCAAACAGCAGACCCTCCTCCAGCCTTCCTTCCCACAAACCTACCTGCAAACTTTGTTCAATCTCAACATCGTCCTCAACCTGCTGAGAACTTATGAACCCTCTGTCTACCCGAACCCTTCATCCTAACACACTCCCCCATCTTTCTCGTGTACTTCTTTTCATCTTAACTACCAAGGCACTCTCTTGAAACTCGCACAATATTCCAACATTTGGGATCACTAATGTCATCTCCTTCTTCTCCTGAGCAGGGCCTCGCCGCCATTGGCTCTGGTCAACTCAATGGCACCCCTTCCGCGAAGTCAACAAACTCGCTTCGACACTCACTCGACCTCAAGTACCTCAGCGACGCCGCGTCTGAGACAGGTAACTCTATCCACAGCTCTTCTACCAACCACGTCATGGCCACTCCTCCGAAGTTGCAGAGCTCATTCTCCACTGGAGACGTGACCGCTCCAAAGGCTGGTTCTAGCAGCCAGAGCTACGGCAGCCCCAACAACCATGCCCAGCAGCATTTCCACAACCACAACGCTAGCCTCGGTCGCTTCCCCGCCGGTCCTATTGCTGGCCGTCACTCTCGCGAGTTGTCGAATGATGCCAACTCATCTGCATCGGCGCGCGACCAGTCTTCCGGCTACCCTTCGATTCAGTCGACCCTCCAGGGTAGTGTTGCGCCCTTTGGCCCCAACATGGTCGCTCCTGCCCACAGTCTCAATTCCAGCATCAGTGCTCCTGTCGGCTCTGGCGCAATGAATTACCCCTACTACGCTGGTGGCACCTATGTGCCCAATGCTGGAGGCCCTCCTACCACCTCTGCCCCTAACGCCTATGGCGTTCCCATCCTGACCATGGGTCTTCAGAACATGGGCCTCAACAACTACCCTAACGGCAGCTACAACGGTGCTTACGCTCCTCCTAGCTACCAAGGTTCCTCGCAGCATCAGCGCGACAGCCAGGCTCGTGTGATTCAGCACCGTCGCCAACTTGATAATGAAGGTATGTTTTTTTTTCTAACTCTGTCTCTACTCTTTTCCCTCCCCGCAACGTCTCTTTCCTCTTCAAAAACAGAAGAAAGCACTCATGAAGATATTCGTACTAATTCTTATCCCCTCTGTAGCCATGTCCAGGTACCACAACCTCCCTATTGAGGCCGTTGTCGGTCAGATTTACGATCTTTGCAAGGATCAGCATGGTTGCCGCTACCTCCAGAAGAAGCTTGAGGAGCAGAATCCCAGCCAGACCCACATGGTTTGGCTTGAGACTAACCAGCATGTCGTTGAGCTCATGACGGATCCCTTCGGCAATTACCTCTGCCAGAAGCTCCTTGAGTTCTGCAACAATGACGAGCGGACTGTCCTCATCCAGAACGCTTCTGTCGACATGGTCCGGATCGCGCTCAACCAGCATGGCACCCGTGCCCTCCAAAAGATGATTGAGTTCGTCTCGACCCCCGATCAGGTGAAGATTATCGTCGAGGCCCTCCGCAACCGTGTTGTCGAGCTCATTCAAGACTTGAACGGAAATCACGTTATCCAGAAGTGCCTTAACAAGCTCTCTGCGGCGGATGCCCAGTTCATTTTCGATGCTGTTGGCACGCACTGCATCGAGGTCGGAACTCACCGCCACGGATGCTGCGTCCTTCAGCGATGCATTGACCATGCCAACTCGGACCAAAAGGCTTGGCTTATCACGCGTATCACGGAGCACGCCCACGTCCTTGTCCAAGATCCGTACGGCAATTACGTGATCCAGTACATCATTGACCTTAACGACCCGGCCTTCACGGAGCCCGTCGTCAACCAGTTCCGCAGCCACGTCCCGCCGCTGTCTCGCCATAAATTCAGCTCCAACGTCATTGAGAAGTGCCTCCGATGCGCCCAGGATCCCTCCAAGGACATGATTGTCGATGAGATCCTTGCCCCTGGTGAGATTGAGAAGTTGATCCGCGACAACTATGCCAACTACGTTATCCAGACCGCTTTGGAGTATGCCACTCCTTACAAGAAGGCTGCCTTGGTTGATGCCATCCGACCTGTTCTACCTAGCGTTCGCTCAACTCCCTACGGCCGACGTATTCAGGCCAAGATTCACAACTACGACGGCCGCAACTCCGGACAGGGAACTCCCGCCGACCCCACTGGTGGCCAGATCCCCATGCGTCCTTCCCACAACCGTGGCATGTCCAGCGGTAACGTGTCTCTTGCCTCGGCTGGTAATGTCGGCTTCTCGGGCATCGGAAACGGCCTCTCTGGTGGTAACAGCTCCCACATCCAGCCTCCCCGCAATAACAACAACAATGGGGGCAACAACACAAACAACAACAATCACCAGAGCGGTTTCCCTGCTGCGAACAACATCATGCCGATCGGTGCTGCCCCTGGCCAGAGGATGCAGGTGGGACAGTTTGGCTACCCTCAGCCTCCTCGGAGCAACGGTAACACCGCGGGTGGCCCTCCTCCCCCTGCTGCCGGTGCAGCCTCCGCTACTGACAACGGCGAGTCTCAGTGGCTGTAATACTATGCCTTCCTTCTCTGTAACGGTATGAGATTTGGTGGTAGGTGGGTGTGTTTAGCGTTTAGCGCGCTCACCCCCGCCCCTACTCCAAATCTCCCCTCGGAACGCACGTTTACGACACGGATTATGACTTCACGAGCTTCTTTTTCCCTTGTTACGCTTTGTTTCAGCACTGCCTTCACAACGATATGCGCCCTCCATTTTCTTCTTTTTTGCGTGTACACTACACCACCTCGAAAAATCACAAAAACCAACCAAAAAGAAAGAAAGAAATATTCGATTACGCATTGGGAGATTCCATTACCACTGACCGGAGGGCTTTGCCAGTTAGGCAGCGGGTTATTTTTGTCCCTTTTTTCTTTTCCTTTAAGAGCCCTCGTCTTCGCAGACTCTTGGGAAAGAGGCCGCCAATTGGACGGGGTCGCAACATACATTGGGCAAGACTTTTGTGTCTACCACTTGGGCGAGACAATTTGTATCATGGCAGGTCTTCGGCCTGGGTTGGCTCCAGGTTTAGTTTCTTGAAACTACATTCTTGAGCTAGGAGGGTTTTGATTCTAAGGCGGGCGACACGTTTCTGAATCGATGACCGCTTCGATGGGCCCTGGTTATCTTGCCATCGAGTCCTGCTTTTGGAAAGGAGCTCGCGAGTCTTAGGATTCGGTGTGCCTCCATTAGAGCTGCTCTTTCCTAGACGCCTCTGGTCTGCAGGGCTGATCTCGGACAACAATTTCGTTAGCCTTGATCGCTCGATTTCGAGTTACTCTACAGACCTCTGTGGTCTGCTTTTGTTTTTCTTGTTTTCCGTCGGCTGATGCTTTCTTCCGGTACCCTTCGACCGCTGTATCCAATTATCAAACACCTTTTTTTTCTAGTTTGTCTTCCTTTACCTTTCCCTTTCTCACCACCATTTTCGAGGACGTACATTTTGTGTCTTTTGGTCTGGTAGCTCTGGGGGGATAGGCGGAATTCAGTCAGACATTTTGTGGAGGGAGGAACTATCAAAATAAGAAGTGCTGGGAGAGCTGGTAATTTTGTGTGCCTTTTTTTTCTGACTTGTGTGTTTTCTTGACATTGTGCTTCCTTCTGACCTGTTCTTTTCTGTTATTTGCCCCTTACACCATCCATCCACCCTTAACAATTGTTACTATTGTATCACTTCTCTTCTTCTTCCCCTTCTTCCGTTCTCTGTGCCCACGTTCCCGTTTTCCCTTGAAGTGTTACCTTCCGTTTATCTTGTTTTCCCTGACATTGTTTCGCATGTAACTACCTTTGCTAGCTAGATCTCGAAGAAGAACCCTTTTTATGTATTCATACTAATACATGGTTCTGTATCTGTTAAAAACAAGGTATGAAAGTGAGTTTACTCTGATGTATTTGCTGCTTGCCCCGTAGACATGAGAGATCGTGTCGTTTCTCGAAGTAGACCGACGTGTGTTTTGCTTTGCAGAACAGCGCTTTGTGTGTCTCGGAGAGCTTCGCCTCATCTTGTTTAAATACCTCGGTATAGATCTATCAACTGCGTAGGCTTGTTTGGAAGACGGCTTCTCATTTTCTGCATGAGTGGAGATGATATTCGTCTTTGTTGGAAGTGAGCATGTTTCTACCATGAACTTCCTCCCAGACTCTGAAAATGGTTACACGTCTTAACGAGAACGTGGGAAACCGTTCTTACACACAAAGTACTAATGCCATATACACTCTACTCACCAGTCGAGAAGGATAAGACCCGGGGTTAGGATTCCATTCCGCATTATAAGGATACTACAAGAGACCATCACATACGTAAAAGAGAGAACAGGGCCAGCTTCCATCATCGACGTGATATCATTTCATCATTGTTTTCCTTTTCCCTCCGTTCCTCGAGGGAAAAAAAAAACAAAGAAAGTTTGGAACAAAGGAAGAAGAGAAATTCGCGAGACCCTGACTCCGATTTCGAACAGTTTGTGTGCTATGAAGTTTTCTTTCTGTCTTGTTTCGCTTTTAAACCCTTTTAATAACCACCCCTTAAAAACACTGCCCCGAAAGAGAGAAGAACACAGAGAGAGAGAGAGAAAGGGATAGGCATAAGTCCCCTTTTCTCTCTTCTGCCCTCCCACCCCGTTTCTTTTTTCTCCTCCCCCCAAAAATACCCCACCAATCCACAGCAACGAGGCTAAGAAAAGCCTCGCGCTTATCGGTAACGCCAAAGCTGGAGGGTATTGTGACGCTTCCAGGTCTTCCTGCGTCCGGCCCGGGTGTTGTTGTACCTGTGGCCCTTGTTGAGGCCGCGGGACTTCTTGCCGGTGGCGGTGAGGCCGCGGGCCTCGCGGTGCTTGTGGACGGGGTTGACGATCCAGTTGATGCGGGGGTCGAGGCGGATTGCCTTGTGCTGGGGGTCGACGAGGATGACCTCGTAGTACTTGTAGGTGGAGTCCTCGTTGATCCAGTAGGAGTTGAGGACGCGGAGGTTGGCGCAGCGGCGGCCGACGCGCTCTTCGGCGGTGGCGCGGAGGGAGCGCTGGTACTTGAGCTGGTTGATACCGTGGCTCGTGGGCTTGCCTATTGGACGAATTTTCGGTTAGTTGCACTGCTTCTGAAAATGGGAGAGAGCGCGTGGGAAGGGAAGTGAAAAGAACATACCATAGGTGGCACCCTTGGGAGCGGGCTTCTTGCGTCCACCACGGCGGACTCGGATGCGGTAGATAACGTAGCCCTGCTTAGCCTTGTATCCGAGGCGGCGGGCCTTGTCGGGGCGCGAAGGGCGGGAAGCGCGGTGGCAGACATTCAATTGACGGAGCTATATTGATGCAGTCTCAGCAAAATGTTCAACGACTGTATAGCAAGGACGGTTGGGGAGGTCGTTTCTTTCCTCTTGCGGTCCCTTTTGTCCTCGCTCATTTCTCGATCAAAAACTCAAGCAGGGTTTTTGTCTTTCGATCCGGCCTCGCCATGGAATGTCTTGGTGTCTTCTTTCTCTCCGCTTCCCTCGCAAGATATCTTCCCTGAGAGAAGACATTGATCATGAGGAAGAAGGGAGAAGAGAAGCCAACCAGGACAGGCGAGTGGATCGGCAGAAGAAAAAATTGAGCAGAGGACGGGCTCTCTCGCAAGGTAGAAACAATCCCCGAAACTCGCCCACAGGTATATTCGAAGAATTGAATGTGTATGTGTGTGTGTGTTTCGGTAGGTTTTCAACGTACTTCCCAGCATCGGACTCGGAGAAGGAAGCGCATCACATCGGACTGCTTCTTCTTCTGAAGCTCTTCGACATACTTGAGGGCACCCATTTTGACTGCGAGAACAAAGAATAAGGAGCCGACGTTAGTTTTTCTTCTTTCGTTTCTAAGTTAACGAGATGAGGGATGAGAGGAGGGAATTGGAATAGACAAACCGGCTGTTCTATGTCGAGGGGGGTTAGTAAAGTCGTTTGGGGGTGAGGATGGAGGAGGGGGAGGATGCGGATTTCGGACGAGTTCGAAAGTTTTAATGGAAGAATTGCCCTTATCACGGTGGATTTGGTTTTTTGGTGGGAGGGCAGAGTTTGTGGGCTGCGCAATGCCGAAAAGGGTTTAGTGGGAATTTCAGGGATTTTGGACCTGGCAAGCAGGACCTTTGGCCAAGTGTTCCTGGTCTCGTGACCTCAGTGGTCCGTGCTCGGTGAGAGTTTCCTCACCGGAATTCCTGTGTCGGTGTCGAGAATGCCGTTTTCTGGTTCCTCCAAATTTGGTCACGTGAGGACGCAGTAGCTCTGCCCTGTCCCAATTTCTGTGTCGAACATGTTCTTAACCACCACCAAGTCGCTCTTCTTGCAAGGAGTTTGTCTACAATTTCGCATGATACAACTACTCATCACCGTGGTGCCTCCCCGCCTCATTCGAGCCTTTAATTTTGGAAATGCCGTATCCGAACTAATGCATTTATCCACGTCGAGATCTTAACAAGGATAGAGAAATTTGCGGGGAATTGAAGCCATTCCTCTACCTATGGAGACCATTTGGACCTTAATTCGGGATTCGGTCGCAAGTGGACACCGTGATGCCGCCAAAACTTCCGGCTAGAGGTACGAGGCTGCTGTTAGAAGATGCGCGGGCGTTCAAGGTCAGGGAAGGGATCTACGGCTGTGGGGATATGATCTCTGATAAGGCGATGGGGCCGCTGGACGAGGAATGACGGCACAAGGCTATCTACACACTGCTATTCGACTCGAACAAAAGGGATCCTGCAAGTAAACGCGCATAAATATGATTACGCAGATGAAGAAGCTCCATCGATTTAAGGGCCAAGAATCCACGCGGTATAGCTTTGCGAGTCGAAGTGGCGCGTGGATGCTCGGACAATGATCAGATAATGACCGGATAATGGCCGGATAATGACCGGATAATGATCGGATAGTCGGGGCCTTGTCGGGGGATCCCCGGCAGTCAGGCACGGCGATAGTGCTAGTTGGAATCAGGCAGCAATGTGGGCAAGAAGTCGAGGAGCAAGTTGAAGCGTACATCGCAGATGAGAATTCTTGGTGTAATGACCGTGGTTGGGTGTGGCCACTGCCACTAACTCCTAGACTAAAGATCTACTAATTTCCTCGTCCCGACGAGGAAATTGCATGCAATATCTACTTATGAAGCCGCCGCGGACCCTATACTGCTACTTAATATAATATACTACCTATTACTGAGTATAACTATTATAAATTAATTAAAATTAATTTATTTTAATTTTTTAAAATATTTTTTAAAAAATATAATATTATAATAAAAATTAATTAATTTATTTTTAATAATAAGTTTTTATAATTATTAAAAAATAATATTATTATAAATATTATTAATATTTAAAATTATTTTTTTAATTATTTATTTAATAAATTTTAAAATTTAAGTTAAGTTTATATTAAGTTAAGTCTTAAATAAGTATAAACTTATTTCTTTTAACTCTAAGAAATATTTAAAAGAAGAGTCTATCATATTATAATCATTATTGATCTCTGGAGTTTTCGGAATATACATATATACTGCATTCGAGACGAAGCAAAGAAAGTACTGAGACGGAGCAGTGCAGCCTGCCCGCACACCACAAGAAACAAAGAAAGAAACAAGGAACAAATGGTCAAATGGTCAAGAATGGTTCCTGCAAGAAGCTGCTGCAATTCCGCCTGCAGGAATGGAAATGGAACGTCGGAAATGGTTGATCAACGGAAATAGGGCCGTATTACAACCAAAGGAGGCTTCCAAATAGGGGGAAGCCAAAGATCATGTCAGAGTCAAATAGGGGACACTTTGACATACAAAACAATAGAAGAATTGTCCGGAGTCACCACACAAGATGATCCATAAGAGATGATAACAATGAAGTCAATTGAAAGAAGAACTAATGACTATTATACTTAAAGAACTTGAGAACTTGTTGAAGAACTTGATCTTCCCCCCCGAGAGGAAGAAAAGGAAAAGAAATAACTATGGCCCTGGGCCACGGCAAGGAATAATGTTCTTCCCCCCCCCCCCAATACTTGCGGAATCCTGAGGACGTCCCTCTTTTCACCAATGTCCCCTTTTTCACCGTCACAGTACCTGTTCATCTATTTAGATCAATTGTGTCCTTGATTTTACCTTGCCACCTATCCAGTCGTAGAACTCTGCGGCAAAAGCAGTCCTGTCGCTATCGCCCCTTGCCTTAAGGGAAATATTCCGTGATGTTCCTTGCTGAAAAGCCGTCAAAATTGCGACCCGGCTTAGTGTCTTCGACAATGTGTTCGCGATCCAGATGTAGTGGCTTCAATTACACATTGACCTTTTACGCCGCTGCATGTCCTGATACGCTGTCACGCGCTCAAGGGCTCGGCTGTCATCCCCATCTGCATATATGGTTGCGGACAGCCCCAGACTTTCGGAGCAGCTTGTTGGCACTCAAGGGTGATCCCGCAGTCGGAAAGAACCATGCCGTCCTTACAACCTCACTATATTCTCTCTAATAGATCCAAAATGCTGTCGTCTCCGTCGAAATCGCGACGTTCAGTCTAAAACACCCGAATTGATTGTACCAGCTACCAGGTAATGCCAATACAGACATGGTAGCCTATTGTGAAAGTAGCTGATAATACTAATTCATTAATAGAGTACCGCATGAGGCCCGTCTCATCAAAGAGGGAACACCGATCTTGAAATTAGAAATCTCCCCAGGATCGATTTACCGAAACAAAGCAGAGCTTTCCCGCAGTTCTGACAAGGCATATAATATTAATTCACCGGACTTCCGGATCTCCCGCTCGCAGTCGTCATTTCATGTCTACCTTGCCCTTGCGACTAGAAGCCTGGATTGATGTGAGCATTTGAACTCATCAGGTTGGCTACAAATGGCTCATCGCAACACTTCAATTCCGTTGGTTGAAGCCCAATTGGCTTATCGCGGAGCAAGTCCCAACACACGTCTCGATTGTGTTCCATAAGGTGGCGTGAACAAATACTGCCTCTCGGTAGGGCAAACTCATGCTGATTCCTGCGGGCGATATTGCAAGTTCCTCGACTTTGCAGCGGTTAGAGCGCGTCCGAGGCCTGCGTTTGGTTTAGGGATGTCCTATGCGATGATACGTGGGCGTCTCTGGTCTTAGTCGACGGCAAGAGTCTCTGCCGGAAACTTATTGCGGGAACTCAGTGGGCTGGCCGTGTCCATGTTCCATGTTCAAATAATATGCCAACAAGTCAATTTCGGATCTTGACCGCTGTTTACCTCGATCCAGTCGGCGCTTGGATAGAGGCAGGCCTAGACGGATAACCTGTTAATCTTGATAACGCAGGAAGATGCCGGGATCAGTGTGAGTAAAATCACAGCTACTCCTGACCGAAGTCCTCACCTCTGTGGCTCACGGTCCACTTGCCAGAGGGGCATTAGAAGTCCCGATTTCTCATTTCTTTTCCGGGACACACCTGACAAATCCCGGCATCCAGTCTAATACGGCTCGATTTTCTTGACTATGCTTTCTTGGGCAGATCTCCCCTACAGGGGCATTTACATCTGACCAGGATGACAGCAGCTGACAAGCTAGTCGATCCACTCTTACCCAGCTGTTGATATGGAAGTGAGGCCGGGTTGTTGGGGCACAGACAGTTACATTTGTTTTGGGAAAAGAGCGTAACTTCGCTTTTCATCACATATCTATGACGAATTCTCGACGATCTAGTCTTCAGCATGTCTCCTAGCCCTCATCTCGACCAATAATTTGGCGCCTTTGCTGAAAAGCACGGAGAAGACAAGGTCCTGACGGAAGAGTGTTGGGCCCTCTTCCCAGAGAGCGACAAGCAGGCCACCAATGAATTCGGTTAATCGAGACGTCCAGGTACCGTAGACACGCTTTATCTTGCCCCTGGACAATGGCACACGCGTTACTAGCGCGCCTTTCGCGTGGGCCGCAGGATTGTCGCGGTTGCGTTCTGTCCGGCTCTGTCCAGCCACAGCAGTGAAAGCTCTTGCCAGCAAGCAAGATCGTGTCGGTCAAGCGATCTCCAATCACCTACAGTCGAAGCACCCTTGTTCAAACCCGGACCTCGGGTCCGAACGTTGACACCTGCGCCGCAAGCCCTAACCTCTCCTTGCATGACCACAGGTAATGGCTTGGTGAAATAGGTTCTTCCCGAGTATTTGTTTACACAACCCATCTTTCTAAACTTTTTTTTCACGGTAACAGCGTAAATTTCTCCTTATGAGTGACTATCTCGCAGCTTTGCTTGCTTCCCGAAGTCAGCTTTTACTAATTCTACTATCGAACACTCCATTTTCTCTTCTATTTCCTCAGGCCAGCTTCTCTTCAAGCTCGTCCACAAGGATTGTCGTACCGCCTTGGCAATGAGCCTTTTCAAGAGATTATTGAGATGGTTTTCCTCCTCCGGCAGCTCGTCCTCAAAGGAGCCCAATTTTCGTCCCCAGCATATCAAAATCAAGCCAGCAAATAAAGGGAATTAAAGAGCCCGAGTCCAGGAAGAACAAGGGCGAGAAATGAACTGCAAAGGTCTACTCCACAAGGTTATAGAACTGAAAACATATTGCCTGGTGGTCTATAACTGACTCGTCTCTGTACTGGAACTGCCGCCCTCTGCCGTTTCCCAATGGTTCGCGAGTAGATTGGCTGGTTGTCGGATTCTATCCCTTCCCTTCTTTTCCCCTTCTTTTTCCCATGACTTCTTCACTGTCCTCATCGATGACTTCTCCGTTCTTTCCCTCCGTCAGCCTAGCATTGTTTTGCATCGCAGGAAACGCCGGGATCCAGGACGGGGGAAGACGGAATGACTTTCTCCTGTTCTCTTGCTTAAATCCCTATTTTTATACTGGCCTCGCCCTTCATTTGGAAGGCCGGCTCTTGAGAAAATTGAGGGATCTTCTACTTCCTAGTACGGCTTTCAAACCCATTCCCCACCAAATCAGGACCCCTCCATATAACCTCTTAAAGCAGACGTACTTATTTCTCGTCTACCAGACTTTCACCAAGAAACAGTATTGCGAGAACTTCCCCTATCTGTAATTTCACATCCTGCCGAAACCCTCTACGCCAGCTATGTCGAGTCGAAGTCGCCTTTCGATCAGTCGCCAGCGTCGATCTCAATGGTGGCCCCGCCAATTCCCCCACCAAAAACGGGAAGAGACCTCGACAGAAAGGAGAGACACGAAAGGAGATTCTGTCGGAGGACTCTATCCCGGTCTACAATCTCAAGGATGCATTTAGTTAGCCAAAATTAGACAAAATAGAATGGCGTGTATACTTGAAAAGGTTCGAATTTCTCCGAAATGGCTTTTGAACCATCACGATATTCACGAGTTGAAGTCGTGCGGGTTCTCCTTATTGGTCAACGGTACAGGCGCACAGGCATGGCTGGTGGACATATTTGATAGGACGTTTCAAGAGCAAACGTTTAGGCTCGGAGCTGGGACGGTAACTTCCAGGGCGGCTGAGAACCAGCACTGAGTACCAGGGTTCTACTTCAAAACTACCCTTAATCTCGGGTTGGCAGAATCGGGCCTGCACAAACCACGTCACCTCTTTTCCTTTCTCCTTGAGATGGTGTCCAGAGATCAAAGGAGACTGGTAGATCATCCTTCCTCAACTTTTGTACTTTCGACGGTAGTTGTCGATGAACTCGTACCAGGCTCTGCATTTATGCCAGCCTCGAGGCTATAAATCTAGGCAAAGCCCACCAAAAGATGGACTGCTATTAAGCAGCATGAAGCTTAAGCTTTGCCTTGACTCACCTTTTATCGATCATAAGCGTGGGAGACAGTATATCGGATAAAGAAATGGCCTTAGCCTCCGATACTGAGAAAGGAGAGGGATGTATCCGATTGGGTCCTCCTTGGCGTTGGCTCAGATCGGAACTAGAGCCGCACTTGGACGGTGATGGTACACCGGATGCGACTCCCCAGGAGCACTCGGCCGAAGAAAACATTGACGATCCTAGCGGATGGACGGCCTACGCCAAGCTCGAGTGTAAGACCGACCCAGACGCGTACTGGTTCTTCCCATGACCGTCGAATTGTCTCCCAATTCAAACATTTACTGCCGCTAATGCTGGGTGGTTTAGCACGGAACGACTGGGCTGGCGTTGCACTTACGATGGCCCTGGACCGCGACCTCAGCATCCATGACGCATGCATCGCAGAAGCTAATTTGAGTCTGTTGCATCAAAAGCTGAAAATGAGAAGGATTGTCCGCGATATTATCCAACGATATCAGGACCGCTGCGCTCCGGAACTCGGCGAGGATGATGAACTGCTGGATAATCTTGTTACCATCCAAATGAAATACCGTATGTGTAATCCTGCCCTCGCAATATTGACTTTGGGTATAAAGAGTGTTTCAGGACAAAAAGTAGGAGGCGAAAGGTAAGCCGAGAACAAGAGTGCATCCAAGGGCTGACACTGCACTTTCCCATTCGTAGACGAAAATCTCGCAAACACCCGCATAATCTACGGTTTCGACAGGCCTTCCAAAGCAGACATCAAGCGCTGGAAGGATTTCGTCACGCGACGAGTCGACCAGGACTACCGACTTCCCTTTGACGGGAGCCCCAAGGATTTTATCACTTACGCAAATCGAGAGCCTTTGCATAAGATCGTAGGGTTCATCCTGAATCACAGGACTGACAACTTGATGGTAAACTCCCTTGCTGATCCCTAAATCTCGTCTGGGCACTACCCAATATTGACGAATATATTGAGCCCAATCATTGTTGCCGCGCCCAACTGATGGACTAACATGATGAATTTCATTCCGCAGTTCTGGTTGCCGAAGGATATGACCAACGTTGGCGGAAACGACGTTAAAACAATTTGGATGGAACGGAAAGAAGCCACTGTTGCCGTGTTGAAATTTCTGTGTCACGCTGCGACTCTGTTCTTGCCCAGTATCATGATGGTCTTTGACATCGTTTCGACATGGGTACTCAAATTGATCGTCCTAGTTATAGCCATCGTTTCGGTAATTGCCGTGTTGACTTCGACCAGCGATGGCGGGACAAAGCTGGTCATGCTTTATATGACATTGATGTTAACCATCATCGCCAATAAGCAGTCTTGAGGTTGTGCTGTTGTCGAAAGCTGTTAGTGCCTGAATTGAATTCGACGTCAGGACCCGGGGGGAAGGAGGGGAACGACTCGAGTACGGGGAATGGAAGGGGAATGGAGGCGATCGAGAAGGTCTCTGACTGAACTCATTGTGTCCTGCGGGTGTTTCTATTGGCGTGGGTCTGTTGGATTGAAGGTTGAGTTCAGTTCAGTTGTACAAAATAGGGTTGGCCAGGCTGGAAACGTAGGGGAGAATTGAGGAGATGGAAGGAAAGTAGAAGTAGGAAATAGCCTGTAATTGAAAGTGCCGCCTCTCCGCTATTGATCTCGCTGGACATGTGGCTGACGGACAATGGAAAGAAGATGTATGATGGGCAATAAAGTCAGTATTATGTAGATGGCGCTGATATAAGTCTATTTTGTAGGTATATTTTGTGGTGGATATGTACATGCATGGGAGTTCTGCCTCATTTACCTGGTGAAATGGTATATGTACTTCAAACCCAAGGTCATGGGCAGTCTGATATTGTGTTTTTCATTTGATGTGCGTCAGCATGCCCCTTGTGTGTTTTCGATTTCAGAACTCCAATCCCTGAACATTCATGTCGTGACTCGATAGCTTGCTCAATCCTCCTATGCCACTTCATTAAGCTTTTCTTTGTTGTCTCCTACCCTTGCCATCCTCCCTCACTTGCAAGACAGCAAGAGAACTGCCATTAATGGACGAAAAATTCTTCCGAACGACGCGTAGACTAGGAGCAGAAGATATAACCCAGCCGTACGCTATGAAATAGCACGATCTGATGTGGTGCCTTGTTTCGACTTCAGCCATCCTGTGCCTGCCCATTGGTTCTTGTGGGTCCCAATCTCTCTAGGTTCTTGGACATAAGGAATCCCCTTTACTTCCAAAAACAAACATGAAGAAGGTGAAGGCATAACAGTATGCAGGAAGCAACCTGGACAGCCAAAATAGACCACTCTTATGTAGTACTCCTTCATATGGGCCGAACCAGGATAATGTTGCACTTTCATTTCCAGTTTGGCTTTTTGTGTAGGGCCCAATCTTGCTCCGCCAACTCGTCAGCCATACCGCACTTCATCTCAAAGGGCAAACCCTTCCCTTGAGCACATTCATCCGCTCTTTGTCTCAGACCCATCGGCTCCCTCCTTTAGTTCCCATTGCACAGAAAATTTCCCTTCAACTACACCTATCGAGGGATTAGACTTGTTAGACTGGTACGACACCTGCAGATCTATTCCCTTTTAGGAAATTGTACCAGTACTTAATTTAAGTAACAATCTACATATAAAACTAAGTACCAATATGGTCCCCTCCAAGAAGAAGTACCCTGTTCAGTCGCATTACCATAGAGTGTGAAAGATGAAGCAGAAAGTCATGAGGTACAGCTTCCCAAGCTTGTTCAACCACAGCACGAAGCTCCCGCCGCCCAAGTGACTGCAGATTGCAGTGCATTTCAATCCAATCTTTCATCCAGAACCACACATTTTCAATCGGGTTCAAATCCGGGCTGTTTGCGGGCCATGGCATCAAGGGTATACCCATCTCCCGTAGGGCCTCCTTCGTGGCATTTGCTCGATGGGATGGTGCGTTATCTTGCTGGAAGGTTGTAAGATGTGGCTGGTTTTCGTTGAAGAAGCCTCTCACAAGTGGGAGGAAGTAGAAGATATATTTCTGGGCTGTAATCCCACCCCATTCCTTCTCCCAGAAGTGACCAGGCCCTTTCCGCGCCCCTGCAAACATACCAGCATACATCCAGCCTTGTGGGTTCCGCCGAAGAAGTGCCCACATTTCCGAATCTTCATCTTCGTGGACTGTGATCCATTGTTTCTACATAGGGTCATTAGTTGCCCATGTTTCATCGGAGAATATCACAGTTTCCCAGTCCTCAGGATGTAGGCGCAGTCGGAGCTGTTCTTGTGCAAATGCTATCCTGTTTTCTTTATGTATAGCTGTGAGGTGGATATGGTGTGGCCGGACTTTTCGTTCAAAGCCAAGGAGCTTCATTGCTGTTCGGTATGCTGACTTGCGGAACCTGTTTAGTGGTGATGGGGCAACTAGATAGATCTCAGACCATGGAATACGTCGATGAGCAGTGGCCTCGCGTAGCCATGCTGCCAACTGCTGCCTTATTGGGGTTTTTATCCCTGGGCGTGTGACACGATTGCCTCTCTGAGGTGTCACTGGGTTCCCACATGCGTACTGCACTTGGCGATATGTATATCCAGTATGTGAAGCTATGCTTTCGTAGGTCCAGTTCGCATCAAAGCGGAGGACTCGAATTCGTATCCGATCATCGCGTGTGAGCTGTTTCGAGTATGTTCGTTTCGCAGTCGGGGGCTCCCTATCATCATCGATAACGATAATCGCATCTTGAGGGAATCCTACAGCTTCCGGAAGCTGTAGTCGTTCAGCCTGGCTTGCTGTATCCGCGAGAATGTGCAATAAGTCCATGATGATGATGATGTTTCGGCTTCGTTTTTCGAGTTTTTCGAGCTCTAGTGGGGTGAGAGGGGTTATGTCGATGCGACTTTGTTTGTTTTGATTTCCTGTATGTATCTTTACATACAAATTACTATGAGGGAATACTTGACAGGGACCCCTGGTCATTGTGGCGTGTCGTTTCGAGCTAACAAGTCTGATCCCTGTGGGAGTTGTAGTAATACCCCATTTCTCCGGCGCCAGCGGTTCAAGGAGGGCATCTTCTGGTCCTGAGAATGGACAATGGCCGTCGTCCAGCCAATTCTGATGACACGATGAGGCTACCTGACTGGATTTCCGTACATCGCCTCCCCGATATGACATCGCGACTCCGTCTTCGACCTTCTTTTACCTTGGCTATCGCGAAGGAACAGATAAACATACGCTCCTCAAAAGTCGAACACCGATTTGGAATGCCGGAGTGAGAGATCTGCGTTCGCCCAAAAGAGATTTTCGCAGCTGCTTTTTTTTAACCAGCTTCGACTCGACGAGAGACATTATATGAGCCGATTAGAGAAATGTGTTGCCCTGCAGGTTACGAATCTAGGCCAGATTCCTAGCCTCTATGCAGCGCGCTGAACAGTTTCCAACGCATGAGAACTGTCCGGTCCGTGGCTCGAAGGGCAGAGCCAGAGTTAAATAATATTGAGATCGATTGTGGGGAAGGAGATGGCGAAGATCTAGTGGACCGTTGGATATGCATGCCACACAATCCTTACCCCCACCCACGTTCACGGAGATGTCTCGTTTGGGTCGTTGGAAGTGAATTGAGTTGACAAATCATGCAGAGAAATTGCCCACGCTTCACACCCAATTTCAAGCCCGGCTTTGGGCTTCCCGCCCCAATATATCTGCCCGCTGTGGGTGCCCGTCTTTCGGGGCTGTATTAGGGGCCCTCAAGTCGATCTACTCGGGTTGGAAGATGCAGCTCATTGGGCTACACGTAGAGGTATCTTTTCGGAGAGCTCACAAGTTGCAGGAGTCCGCCCCAGTTTCTGCTAGCTACGGACCAGGATACCCGCAGGCTGGACACTAGTTCCTGGCTTCGCTGGGAATCATTTTCCCTCGAGCCACCTCGCCGTCGCCGGCATGGCGGAGGTTTCCATGGGCCTCTAGTGGTACTCCACATTTTCGCTCCGAAATAACTTTCAATCCCAGCTGGCGTTCCTGACTGCCCTGAACATTGAATGATCTGTATGGAGCAGAGGAAGTTGCGCGAGCACATTCGCCCTCGATAGGATGTCGTCGTCATCCACCTTCTCAAAGTCGTCTGAAGTGCGATTTGTCTTTGAGAAGCCCCCCTCAATATGTCTCTACGTCGTATGAGACAGTTACAGTTACTTTTCAATTTGTCCTTCGGCTTTTGCGAACTTTGTGTCACAACCTTGGATCTAGACCATTTCAAATCCATCAATATCTGCCCAAACTGCTATCATCGCCCATAGTTCTGCATCAGGCGTGCAAGAAGGCCGATTACTTCTAGAGCGATGAAGCTCGCGAAACATTTAACATGTGCAACTTTGTTCATTTGCGACCCTCCTCCTTCATGGATTCCGCCACAGGCACACCTTCTGGGCCGTCTTCCACGGGGTGTGTGGGTGTACTGACAGATGTTCTAGCCTATCAACTCTTTTTCCCATCCTCGGGGTTTGCGCCATCACCAACAGACTCGATTCGTACCTCAAGGGTATCTCAGATGTATCCACCGTGGACATCTCGTAACCTTTCATTCGACATTTTACTCAGAGTTAAGAGGCACGTCCATGAAGGAGGTTCCCAACAGGAAGTATAGTCGAGTTTGAAGAAACGTTTTAAGATCTTCAAGGAGGTGCTAGAGGAACCGTTCAACTCCCCCTATCCCCAACCTCTTCCTAGATCTTCCCCTGCGAGACGCGGGGGGCCCGTTTTCCGAAATCTATTACACGGTTATACCCCACCGTCTTTCCTCATTTGTGCCAGATTAGGCTTCTACGGACTTTGCCGTCCTTATTTGCATATCACCGAGAAATGATGGATACCGTACAGGCTACATGCTGCTGAGCCTGGACGCAAGCGCATTCATTGGCGGATACACTCAGAAGGTCGTGACAGACGCCAAGGAGATGGATGAGAGGACTGTAGACTCAGGCATGTACCTGAAATTATCTAATAGATATACTTCGTTGAGGTGCTCGAGGATGCCGAAAATGGCACCCGCCTGCCAGCCAGAAACGGCACCCTCGACACCTCCACCTAATGTTATTATGGAAATTCAACGACAAGTCTTCGAGATGGGCAAGGGCGAATGTTTCCCAGATAATGTAAGGAAATCTATTAATGTAATATTAGTGAAGGTTACATTTAGAGCTTGAATAGAGACGTCAATCTCGTTTCATCTTAGCTAGCCACTTTCTCGAAGAGTTCACGAACAGCAGTATCCCATCTAACAAACTCTCAGACTTATACCCTCATTCCAAGATGGCTTGCTCAGCTACCCCAGACGGCCTCCAGATACAGTCCTCCGGGGGTTTCATCATTTCTCAGGCGGGGGGTGCAAGGCATCACTTCCCCGAATTCCATTTGAAATGCAATGCCACGCCTTCCAAACAACCCAGACCTCTTCGCCCCACGGCTTCTCCTGATGCGAAGCCAGACTCTTCGCAAGGAAAGAGTGCGCCAGCCTCTCCTTGTCAGTCTTCGGCTCGGGAATACCAAGACCGCCCCCGCCGACATGAGAGGCCTTAAAAGCTCTCTCGACCAGCTTTCTACCGATACCAGCCGCCATGTTCGTAATCTCCAGCACTTGACCCTTGTCCTCGTCGCTTGACGAAGCTGGCAGGGCGTACTTTTCGCCTTGAGTCAACTTGTTGGTTTCCTCGTAGTGTTTCAAGATATCTCGACATAGAGCTAGTGTCTCCTGGCCTTGTCTGTAGAGAGGCTGCGCTCCAATGTCTGTTGGCATTTCTGACGGAGAATCTAGCATCGTCGATAACTTAGAGCACTTGCTGTTGATTTCCTTCGTAAATGCACTGGTGAAGTTCTCCCTAGACGTACTTTTAGCCATCGCTCTGATAGTATGGATTGTGGCATGCATACATTTGAGCAATCTTCTTTTGCACAAACTCAGTCAGACTATCCTCCTCACTCTTCTGCTTCTTCAGAAATTGAGAAAGACACTTGGCCGACCTCCTCGTCTCATTCTGGCCGGATCTATGTTGCGATGCGGCCTTGTCCACTTTGGCCATAGCTCTAAACACACCATGTTAGCGATGTCTTCCAAGGCCACGATTCGAATCCGGTTCACTTACCGGACCGGGTGAAGTTCCTCGTCTTCTCCGAGGCTAAGCCCATTCTCCCCAGTCCGCTCGAGACTCGGACCGCCCTTACCCCGTCCGTTTTCCGCACCGGGATACAGTCTCTCTAATCTCGGCGACCTTCGGGTTGGCTGTCTCCGGCTTCTCTTCACTTTCTTGTTTGCCGAACTTGATACCACATCTGAGACATCACTATCTAGCACTTACAAAGAAGTAAGCATGAGAGAACTTTCTCCTTGTCTAACAATTGAAGTAGAAGAAAGAGAGAGAGAGAGCTTCGCTAGTAGTATACTTACAGTCATCTCGGACAGACTTGCGTTTGGCCGCCTGTCGTCTAGGAGCCATGGCGAACAAAGTAACACAATCGGGCGGACTTCTTCCAAACTTTCAAAACCTCGAAACAAGGTATTGAGGGCCTTGGAATACAAGCAAGTGCAAAATGTATGCGACCAGTTATTAAAATGTGTAAAGAGATTCACACAGAGAAAATACCCGACCGTCGAGTTGTCTTCGAGAGTCTGTTCAAGACGAATCGGCCTTCAAATGCCGAAGACAAAGACCGCTGTATAATGAGTACCCCTCTCCATCCCTCCATCCGTTTGTGTTCTTCGTCCTTCGATCCTTCCTTCCTTCAGAAGGGAGAAAATCAGTCCTCTCGAGCATGTGACGATTACCCATTGAGACTCACACTTGTAGTTTCTCCACAGGCGAGAAAGCATTGCTCTTTCCTCCGAAGCCGAAACCTGCGTAACAGCCCGGAAGTCGCTCGACCTTGGGATGAATGAAGGAAGGAGCTACAAGTCACGAAAGTCGCGCGGCTAGCTGGCATGTGGCATGGCCTGTCTACATACTTACATGTACCTGACCACCTCGAAAACGGAAGGCATGATAGGTTGTGAGGAATTCAGTCACGTTCGCTCTAGAGGAAGCTCCGCGAATCAACATCGCCCTAACATGGAAGTATCGAGATATCAGGGCGAGGCGTCTATCTTCCCGAGTCACAAATCTCACAATGGAGGCAAGGGTCATCAAATAAGGGAGGTCATAACCGCATCATCGATTTCCGCACATTATCCAACCTATCTATCTGTCTGAATACCTGTCTTTTGGAAAGAGAAGAACAAAAAAAGGAAAATTGCAAGACAAAAAGGGTAGAAGAAAACAAGAATCAAAGAAAAGAAAAATTGCCTGAAGTTCCACCAAATGTATCGACCAAACACCAAAAGTAACGGGAAAAAAAGGATACCAAACGAAGAATAAAAGTCTTTCAAGTTAGTAATGTATCATCCTCCCAGCCATCATACTTGAGAGAAGGACGAAGAAAGGAAGAGACAAACCCTGGAAGATCGAAAAGGGGTACGCAGTAGGGGGGGAGACGAAGAGTAGACGAAATAGACCAGCGACAAGAAGCAGCAGGTCGAATGAAATGAGGAAAATTAACGAGGATTTCAGAAAAGGGGTTGGGGGAAGGTTGTCAACTCTCAAGACACATCCACAATACACATCTTGACAAGCCCACACAAGAATCATGCATGCATAGACAAGGGCAAACGCCAAGCCAACGAATCGAGAGAAGGGACCAGTTGAAAAGCCATGTCGAACGGCAGAAGTAGAGAGGGAAAGGGGGAAAGGAACCGCGGGCAAAGTGCAAGTGTCTACCATAAGTGGCATTCAGGAACAAATTAGGAAAACAGAGAGGCCGTTTTGTTGGAGGCAAACAAGACCGAAGAAGAAATCTTTGTCTATGATAGTCAGGTATCCGCGGTATAGAAACAGATGTAGCAAAACCCTTTTTGCAAAAATCAAAAACTGCAAGTGCTGTCTTTGGAGTCTTTTCCTTCGACATTGTATCATAAACCCCCCCGTTTAATCCGGAATCATTTTCGTAAAGGACAGTGTTGTAGTAGTAGTGTAACTTCGAAAAGTCAAAGTGCGCCGAATTGAGTAAAATGCATGTCGACTTGGTTTGGCTACCCATCCCAAGTTGGAAGCAAGAAGGGAAATCGTCGTTGCGCCTAAAACAGATGACACTTTGCGGTGCCACCAGCCAGAGATTCTAGCAGATGTCTCACGAGAAACGCCGACGACCGCGGTACAATAGGTACCGCAACTGTCTTAGCGACTGGGACTTCGGACACTGAGACATCATACCAAAAACATCTTTGCATGAATAATGGACATGCTCCGCCGAATCCAAGTCTTCGAGCCAAGAGTCCGTCGTAAAACGTTGAAAAAAGAACAAGGCATTGTTGAATGGTATCATGAGAATCCCCCTTCCCGTTTTCTAAAAAGAAGGTCGAGGTTGGGTTCAATGGTGTTGCTCATATCCGGGGAATTCGAGACAGAATTTTCGCGCTTCTTTATAGTGCCGTCTATGTCGTGTTTGGTCTCTCATCCCTCATCACGTCTTCCATGAGAATGGCGCTCAAAGATCAAGAGAGTCGTACTCCGTCGTGTCGTAGGTGAAACAGTGAAAATGAGGAACAGCGCTACGTCCCTCACTTCCGTCGTGGTGGTAGGGAAAAACAAACCAGGGTTGGTAATTGGTGTCAACTCGTCACCTCAAATAGGTACAAAGAAGTAGAAAAGTCGTCGAAACTCGTGCAAGCCCGACTCTCTCGCTTGCAATATAAGGGGCGAGCCCAAATCGTAAATCTGACAAGATCACGCAGGACTCGGGCGCCCAAAGCCGTCTTGATTTATCGGGTCAATGATAGTCCCTGGAATGACGAAACCCAATCTTGCTGGTTGCCCAGCTGGGAGAGGCCGTGTCCGTGAGGACCGGTACTGGGTCCTTGACCAGCGACGCGTCTCATGCCGCCCGCGAAGTCATTCTGTTGCGAAAAACTCGAGCCGTATAGGTCTGCATTCGAACCGGCTCCCGCATGATAGGGCATGCTAGCCGCACCGCCTCGAGACGCAGCCCCGAATCCTAAGCCGCCGTACTGCTGTTGTTGCTGTGGCGGTTGTTGGTAGGAAAAGTTGGCAGGTGAGTAACTAGGAGCAGACGCTAGGGTGGGGCCACGGTCGTTGCCAGAGAATCCCTGGCCAAACCCAGTGGACTGGAATCCACGTCCAACCTGGGATGCACTAGAGGTTTCCTGCTGAGTCTGGGTGGTGCGACGCTCAGGGTGACCCAGGCTTCGTCCAACACCCACTGCTCCAGGGCCAATACCACTAGGAGGCTGCAAACCAAGAGTGGGGTTGGCGAAAGACGCAGGGTTCACTGCAGACATCCAGATTCGAGTCTTGTAGATCTTGAACAGATCAGTGACGAGTGAGTTGAAGTTGATATAAGAGTCGGCAAAGTAGTAGAAGGTGAGCTTCTTCCAGTCCCTGGGAAAAAAAAGAAGGAAATAAGTCAGCACCGGAAGGTTTTAGAGAAAAGTCGAATGAGTGAAAAAAAGGTCAGGAAAAGTGTATGAGACGTACATTTGGAATTCAGCATCAAGAATCTCCATGTTAAGACCATGTTCTTTGACCTTTTGCATGCAGACACGCTTGGCCTTGGCTTCATTACCTTCCTTCTCCCGCAAAGAGTGGATTTCGTGACTCTGAGCGAGGCGCTTAATGAGCTTCGGCTTGAGCTCGCCGGGGTTTGACTCCTGCATATGATGGTGGCTGGGAGGACCCATGCCTCCCACGGCGCTCCCTTGAAGGCCGTTCGTGGCACCCATCAGACCCATTCCGACATTTTCTTGAGCCGCAGCCGCATTTTGCGAATACATCATCAGCCACTTGTAGTGCTCCTCGGCGTAGTATTCCTTCAGCTCTCGGGCCGTCTGCCAGTCCACATTGTCCCTCACAACCGTGCCAATGTCGGTTCCGCGATCGGCCTCAACAATGACGAGATCACCCGGCTTCACTGTAAGGCCGGTGCCCTCCTGGATGTAGAACACATCTGCTCGTGAGCACTTGAAATAAACGATGTGCAAAAGTTGATTCTGGCGTGGCTGGCTCATGCCGTAGAGGGTGCGATGAGGCGATGTAGCACGGTTCGCTCCGAAGGGACCTTGGAGGTTGTAGGGAGATGGGAATTGGCCGGTATATGATTGCGCTAGACCCGATGAGACAGGGCCGGCGGCTCCGGGATACTGCGACGAGGTTCCTGGCTCGGTGTTAGTCAATTATTCGAGGTGAAGCCCCACGATTGGGGTAAAAATGAGAGGTGAAAGCGGTAGGGTGAGTGAGGGAAGAGGGGCAGAGAAACTTACCAGCACCGGTCATGGGGAAGCCGGTGGTGTCTCCATAGCTTCCGGGATAGTCTTGAGAAGTTTGAGCGTCCTGTGCTCCAATGTCAAGACCGGCAGAAGCAGCAGCATGATCGCCCAGAGAACCGATTGACGCCTGCCTAGTGGGTACATCTGCAAACGAATGGCGCCGACTCTGGGAAATGTCGCCAAGGCTGCCGAATCCAAGCTGACTGTGCCAGAGGCCTTTCTTCACGGGGACATCGTGCTTCCGAGAATCCATGCCGAAAGGCGATCGGAACGCACTTGGACCGAATTCGCTCATCCTACGATTTAGAGTCCTTCTAGGGTTGATCAGATCGGCAACGTCGTTCGGCTCGTCAAGCTCATCAATGGCATATTCCGATTCCTCGGGGACGGTCTCGCGAAGAGTGTAGCCGCTGGAAAGGCCGTAAGCGGCAGCGGTGGAGGATCGAGGTCGCAGACGCGCACTGTGGTACTGCTGCTGCTGCTGTTGTTGGCGCAGCATCGCATTCTCCCTGGCGAGCATCTCAATGGTTTTAGACTCTGCGGATTGGTGGATGGAGCTTTGATAGAGGACTTCGGATGCGCTCTCGCCATCTTCTTCGTCATCCTCGACTTCTTTAACTTTGTCAAGTCCACTCTCATTCGACATTTCACTTAGCATGCTCGGTCGGGACGGGCGATGCTGGATGCTAGTGTGACCATGCGTCCGAGCACGGCCAAGAATCGTAGAGGAGCTCATGGAGGGTGGGATGGAATCTGGATCCATTTGTCCCGTCGAGTAGGACTGAGAGCGATATGTCTTCGGGGTTGGGTGGAGTGAAATGCTGTACGGGAATTGAGAGCCTCCACCTTGTTCCCGGGGCACGGGAGATGTCTGAGACAAATTTCCAGTTTCAGGCCCGAATACTGAGTTTGCAGGAGCGCCCGGAGGCAGAGCTGTAGTTGGGGAAGGCAGAACCTCGCTCAGTCGGGATGGCTCCTTCCTCTCACTATTCCATATCGCGGTGCTCCAGGAGAATGATGAGGCTGGGGCTCGTCCCATCATGGCCGATGAAGCAGAATTTGATCCCCAAAGGCCGCCCGAGGCATCGGCGGAAGGCGTGCCCGGGTGAGAGGTTGTTGGAGACATCGAGTTACTCGCGAAGGAGTCTTTCCTAGGTCGAGGTATCTGCGGAGAGGTATCGTTCAGCCACGAGGCGCGTCGAACGGGCTTATGTGGCGGGGCAAAAGCTGTTTGTAGCGATTCGGGTACTCTCGACTCGACTTCGTCGTCTGAGCTAGCGAGAGCTTCGGAATCGGGTGTCAAAGCCCTTGCGGTTAGTTTCTCTAAAAGAATGGCTTGACTGGAGGGTGGAACGGAGGAAAGTCCGCCCTGGCCAATCTTGGATGGCGTGTCTGGTTTGATGGCTACCGAGCTCATTCTCTTATGGGAGGGTTCCACGTTCTAACTATCCAGCACCAAGGGGGTGTATGAGGCGTTGGTTTCGGGAAAAGTAGCGGAAGTGGCAATAGGCATGCACGCGAAATGGAGGATGCAAGCCGGCGCCCGTAGTGTTTGGGAAGCGGGATTGAAGATGAGTCGAGTGTCTTGCTTGTCGCGCTCGAAGGGGTTGGTAGTAGGCGGTGTGTGGAAGGTCGCGTATACAACAATTCCACCGAAGAACCCTAACTGTCGCGAAGAAGCGTAGAATAGGGTTCAAAGGTGCATCGCCAATCGAGCACGGGAGGAGTAGATGACGTGGGTTCGCGGGTCGGTGCAGGAGAGGAAGATGACAGGAAAGTCGGTAGAAAATAAACGGTGTTCAGATGGCAGTTCGCCAATCTCTGAGGTACGGGAAATAAGTTAGCGTCGGTGTCACAAGGCAAAGTCGTTTCTCTCGACGAAATAAGTATCGCAAGCAGCCTGTGTGAATGTGTGTCGAGGGAGCGCTGGATGGAAGACCCCAGGAGCTGAGGGCATCAACCATGGCAACAAAAGTCGATCTCCACCGACGTGTTCCCCGCAACGGAACAAGCACACGAGTGTTTCGGAGACCCACCGAAGCTTCTGTAACGAGTCGTGGCGAATGGAATAATGAGGGGACCTGAGCCAGACTTACCAGGCTAGACACACTGGGAGAGAAAAAAGAAATCAGTGTTTTAGACTCGAGGTGTGTCGCAGACTTGTAATCTAGAATGATCACAGAATGTCGGTTCCAATGTTGGGCGATCGAAGGGTAGGATTTTTGGCCACAATGTCGCGTCTCGCAGAAAAGAAAGGGTAAGGGTGGCGGAAAATCGACCGAGTTTTTTGGGGGAAGTTAAAATGCGTCTGGATGTTTTTGTCGTCGACTCGACCCAGTCTGAGAGCAAAGGAGGAAAGTAAGATCTTAGCAGAATAGGAAAAGTAGGTGTTTCGTTTTTTTGGTGCGCACAAAGAGGTCGCGATCAGAAAACAGGATATCTAAAACCAGGTTGTCTAATAGGGGACGCCTAATGATAAATCTTGATGGAAATGTTGACCGGCACAGGAAACTTGGTCTGCTCGTGGGGCAATATATGCTATGCCTTGTAAAAGGAAGAAAGACTGCATGCCTTGTCGCTCCTGAGCGCCTTCTTCTCGCTACCGAATTCCTCTAAAATCTCAGAGCCCGACGAAATGCGACAAAGAAGCTTTCTCTAAGGGAAGCTTTCTCTATGCGTTGGCCATTGTCTGATGGGAAATCTCCTGGCGTATGCAAACGAGGCGAGCGACAGCGACAGCGCGACCGCCGGTGTTGAGACCTGCGACTAGTGTTTATGGGGGTTGTGGGCGAATCCGATGTTGAGACCCTGTATAGGTGAGCGGTGAGAGGAACAGGACGAGAAAAAAAGATGAGATGTTGTACCAAACGCTCGAAGATCGCGATCACGGCGAGGCCCCAAGGAGGTTAGGATAGAAAAAGAAAGGAAAAGTAGAGAAAAAAAAATATAACGGGTTTCAATAAGAGAAGGAAGGTTCCCAAGAAGCGGGGGGGGGAGGAGAGGTAAACGATGTTGCGACACGAGACCACTGGCGGACGACGTCTAAGAGCCCGCTTCTGGCCTCAGGTTGGCCACAGCGTTCGAAGATGAGGGTGGAGAGGACATTACACCCTATTTCGTATGTGCTACAATTACTTCATTCAACATACACCCACCCATGGAGTGCCACTGCCTGGCGCTATTCAAAGTACTCTGCTCTAGCGTCCGGGTACACTAAGGTAAAGTGGACGCTATGAGACGAAGATGGTGGGTTGGATCATTTGAAAGGGGAGGAAGGAGGGTGGCTGGTGCGCCAGACTTTGGGGCAGGCTCAACCTGACCCAGCGTCGGTCGACCAAGGCTGGCCCCGGCCCAGCCAGCTGCAGGTGGGTAATATCAGAAATCGAAGGGGGAAAGGGGCAAGAAACGCGAGGAAGCTATTATGGAGTAATATCAAACATTGCTACAGTACTCCGTCGTGTGCACTACAACACGGTACCCCGTACAGTGCGCTAGCGTTCTCTGTGTTACCCTTACCCCATCTCCCGCCACCACCCCTCCCACCCATCTTCCAGCCGTGCCTTCTTGTCTTCTGGGGGATGGTTCTCCGCTCAGCCCAATGTACCTGCCCTGGAAGAGTCTGCGACAGAGAACTCTCACTTCCTTTTCTGTCTGAACAATCGCACAGAGGAACAAAATTTTGGGTTTTGGGTAGTCTCGGCACAGGACCACTTTCATCATAAATTCTTGAGAAATCAGGGGATTTCTGCCGTCTTGCCTGAGCTTATCCAACTTTAAAGTGGAGAGGCGCGATCATGGGAACAATTACATCCCATAGATGTACTCTTGTTCTATAAACTGGCACGGTTGACCTACTTAAGACAGTATTTAAGGACAATATATACTGTATTTTACTGTACCGTGCGGTCATGGATGGCGTACCATAAATAGGAGGTACAACAAAGTACCTTGATGCAAAGCTGCAAGTCGATCCACAAGGCTTTTTGATCGATTGTCATTGTTAATTTACACACGCGAGTCTCCAGTCACCGTTATATGTAGCTGAAAGGCGATATTTTATATTTTGACATGCGCGGTAAAGAGAATCGTTTGATCAATGATCAATATCAATATAGCACGGGCAAGTAGCCGAAGCTGCAGCTGTTTTAAAGGAAGTTCTTCATTCCTGTTGCGTCTTGCTGCTCGTTAAACTCTGCCAGCTCTCGATGTGGTCTTGTGGGTGTTTATGTACTTTCTCGTTCCACCCTCTGCTTACCTTGTATATATGTACATGCGTCCAGAGCGGAGGTACCTCCACTCCGCTGCAGCGCAGTATCACCATTCTCCTTCGAAGGTGGAGGCTTGACTGCAGGTGGAAATTTACCAGAGCAGGGGCCAAGGAAGAAACCCTTGGTACCTGTGTGGGATCAATACATAATCCGGCATAGAACAAGTTTAGTGTGCCTCACTCGCTTTCGTACTGTATTGCCCACTCCAGACGACGACGCAACTCTATCAAAAGGGATGCAGATATTATCATCACGCTAAACATGCAAGTACACTGCAATGAGCGGGGAGTAGGGGGCGGGTACGACTACCTTGCTAGTACCTTACTAGGTACATTTGCCACGGAAACCTAAATAATCTCTTTGCTCAAGACGTCGGAGTACGCTTACGACAGGCGATTTCGAGTACTGGGTACGAGGACGTCAGAGGAACTACATCTGTTAAGGAGGTGTTATTCTTTTTAATGTGGATAGTGACACTTCGAAGTATATGTAGCGGGGAGTTTATTGCGGAGCAGAATTCCGGGGGGGGTTAGCCAAACCTTATCTCCAGCGTTTTTTTTTATCAAAAAAAAAAAAAAAAAAAAAAAAAAAAAAAAAAACGGGTTTAAGGAAAAGGAGTAGAAAGTTGGGAATATTACGTGCCCGAGAGAAAACCCAAGCAATTGAGACCTTAGTGGGGAGGAAAACAAAGCACGGGAAGCGGCTCCATTCGTGGAGATCATGGCTCTGGTAAAGAGTCCAGGCCCAGAGATTCATGTTCGAACAATACCAAGTCCCCTCTAGGTTGATGCAAGGCGCGAAGGAACAGAGCACTCAACCCTTCCTGCTGCGAAGCCCATGGCGCCCTCCCTCACTCCTTGAAATATGCAAAGTGACTTCCCCAGAGAAACGAACAGGGTAGCAGGATATGCAGATGCGGGAGAGTTTGAGAAAAAGTCAGGATGCGGAGGATCTGCCGCTTGCAATTCGGATGTCGTCAACCAGGGTAGTATCACAATGTGCGAAGGAGCCTGAGAAGGGTGCAAGCCTGCATGCATTGAACCTACACATGATGGCACCAACCTCCACTGCCTTGGTCATTATCAGCGGAGAAGAAATGGCATTGCGTTTCCCCAGAACGCGGCCTGGGGTTAAAGTGTGGGGAGTAGGGGTTTGGCGAAAAATCTTTCATGCAGAATCCATCTTCCCTTCGTACTCACCGATGGAAATATTGCATCGAAGGGTTGGCACGAGCATCCACGAGAAAGGGAGGGAATATTATAATCTTCTACCGTTAATTACATGCTCCGATGTGTGCCCTCCTGCAAGCTCTAGTCCCAAAACGTAATGCGGAGATGCGGTGCTTCCGGTTTGCTGGGAGCATTTGACTAGACTTCGTTGGAACTAATACTGGTACAGGAGCCGGAATTTTGATTCAAGAAACGGAATCCGGGGGTCAATTCAGATGATAGCTCCCAAGTTCATTCAGCCTGCCCCTGCGACGAGCTTTATCGATTCCGAGGCTTCTTTCGTCTCCCCACAAGCCCCAGCAGGGCATCCCTGGAATCTTGCCTCTTGAAGACACCGTGACAAGGTTGGAACGGATACTGTTGTGGAGCTCCTAATATGCCCAGGCAATAGTGCAGATCGATGCCCACATCTCCCCTTGTTCTGAGAAGAATGGCAACCACTCATCATGCCCCAAATCGCGGTTCTCGTCCGATTACAGAAAAACTTGCCTGCCGAGGACGTCTTGTATTGCTAACACTACGAAGAGTATTTCATGGTCTGGAGCAGGCAATTACATTGTCATGCTAAGCGACGACGTGGACGGCGCGTCGTCGGTGGGAACTCAAGCGAAGCCCACATTAAATCTTGTTCCAACTATGCTCTGTCCAATGCTACACCTGCCCATTGGGATGGGACAAAAGCCTCCATATGAGACTAGGGCTAGGCTAGCCGGATTAGTCGTTAACCTCGATTGAAGAGTGACGATTCCATTTGGGAGTCGGAAAGAGTGAACAAACCGCACAGTAGCTTCAGTTCTGTGATGGCACTATGTTTCCCCAGATCTTTGCTATTCGCAGAATCAAGCTTACACTGGGAGAGTGCGCTAGACCATTGGCTATTTCCCCACATGACGCATGTGGCAAGTGCAGCTCAAGCTGCAGATAAGTCTCTGTACATGCCCCATATTTGTCCTTTGGTAGTGTGCGGTCGTCGTCTAGAATGAACCGGTGAAGGATGAAGCAAGCACCTAGGGGAAGGGGGAAGGTACCGATCGACGGCTTTGCGTGCAACGAAGGCAAGGGCATTTGACCTCTATCGCTGTCAGAGCGGGTCGATGACAGCATTGAAGGGATGTCTGACAGGACAAACAGACAGCCTTGCGGGGAGAATCAACGCTCTGTCTCTGAGTGCAGATAATTTTCGTTGGCATCGGTGATAATGATGAGGATTAATACTCTCGACTCTTTTTTTTTTTTTTTTTTTTTTTTTTTTTTTTTCCGGTTTTTTGAAGGCCTCTTCCCGAACTGTCCTGCACCGTGTCCGACCCGTCCACGCACGATCCGGGACCACCTCCTCTTCGCCCGCAGACAACGGGAGAGATACTACCGACAATACCGACATGGCAGACGAGCTGTTACATACCAATGGTACGATCAAGAGGAGACCATTGTTTTTTCCGTGAGACAAGGTCCCTTTGTGACTCCACGCAGAGCTGAGAAAGTGGCGCGAAATACCGTCTTCCGTACGACAATGGCATGCAGCGAACAAAGGGGAAGGTCGTGCCGCATTCGAGGATGCAGCCATTTCATTCATACGAAGTACTACAAGCAGACTTCTGCCCTCACTTGTCGAAAACCGGCTGGCCAATGGCGACTCAACATACCACATTCGACGATCAGTCACGGTGCCCGTTGACACCGATCGGCGATCGTTCTGTTGGTATTACAACTTGCGATGAGTTTGGTCGTGACTCGTGCCCTAGGCTTTCTTACCACGTTAGTCGATCGACAAAGCGAAAGGAGAGCGGCCCTTCACTTTAGAATTTCCAATTGACCGGCCAAAATCCGAAGTAATATACGTGTTCCTGGGTTGGAGCAGAACGTTCTAATTATACCACATTCATACCTGCCAGTCTTGTGGACCGGTCTGGTACTTGTTTAGGGAAAGGCTAATTAAGAGGGTTCAAGCACGACACCATCTTTGGCCAACCTATCACGAAGCTTGACGAGACCGACCCGCGTTCATCCCGGATCGCTTCATATGCGGTGTGCCTTGTCGAGAAAGCACTTCTTAGTAGCTAGCGACGCTACCTCCGTGCATTTCGTGCAAGGCAGAAGGATGTTAGCCTGGGGATTTCCAATGCCTAGGTCAGCGAGGTCATGTAGGTAAGTGGTGTTTCAATGAAGCAAGCAGTGTAAGTTGGACCCCATTCCAGCCTAAATGAACACAGATAATATATCGACAATGTCTCCCTCACCTACTCATTGGTCTGCATAGCACAAGACACAGGTATATCGCATACATTTCGTCGACTGCACCCTGACCAGGCAAGAAGCGAAGACAGTCCGGCAACAAAGATTACCGAGCTGCGAGAAGGACGATGGATACCGAGGGCAACTGGTCTCTCATGCGAATTAGCAACGCAATGCACTCTTACACGCAGTAACTGGCCTGTCCTACTTTGCAGGTGCTGTTCCCAACGAGACGAAACCCATGGGCTTGGCTCTGTGCGTTTTTGGCGGTTTATACGAAGTACTGTCTGGTGCTTTGGCTGTTCCGTGGTACAGTTTGATGTTTGATGGGCTTGAGCTTGTTCCATTAACTGAACTTGCCTGGCGACTCCAGGATTTTCAGGGTTCCTGAGGTGCCCTTGGATTCGATTTCAATGCTTTTACCCCGGATTATCCTCAGTTTGGGATTTTCTCTGGGCTGTCCCTTGCTTTAACTATAATTCTCAAGCATTGTAGCACCATGATACCACCCCAGATCCGCATGAACCTGGCACGGCCTGCAAAGTACTTACATTAATAGGAAGGGTAATATTATTACATAGTGGCCCAGACACACTTCACGAAGGCATCCGGACTTTCAGAGGACAATGGACGCTTCGAGGTAACGGACAAAGAACAATAGCTTCGCTCCAGTGGAGGATGCCCTTCTTCTTGATCTTGACGAGTGAGTCGTCTACGACAACCAACCTTCCTTTACCTCAGTAACTGTACTTTCTTTCTTTTCGCCCCCTCGACACGACAGAACGCCCGCATCCATGGCGCGTCGCCTATCGACATGATTAAATGCATGCAGCCGTCGCGGAACAATGTAGCGAAGAAGAACAAAAGAATACAAAAAATATCTACGAAGTGAGAAGCGAAAGTTGGAATCCATGAGTGGCATGATTTCTATCTCTTTTCTTAGTCTCTTCTTCCGTCATAATTCCATTTCAAGCTATTATTGACCTCCTGTTTATTTTTAAGCTTTTTTATCACATTTTCCACACCTTAACAGAAAATAACTTTGGTGACATCAGAACAGACGAATCCTCGAAGAGGAACTTCATTCGAGATTGGAACCTTGTTTCCGTGTCACTAGGATCAGTCCAGTTCAAATTGTCCGGGTGGCGTCGGTGAACCTGCAGGTGGAGTCGTTTTTTGCCTCGACGCAAAGAAGGTTCGGCACGCGGACAATTCAGGTGCGAAGGAAACTTGAGAACTTGTAGCAGACACGCATCACATTTTGAAAGTGAATAATTTGCCTCTTTCTTTCTTTCCTTCTTTTTAAATTTTTATTTTTTTAATCTGATTTTTGCATGATGTCCTGATAGTGATTAGATTGAAGTGCTCCGTGGGAATTGGGGAAAATCAATTCAAAGGAAAATACAGTGAAAGTTGCACATTATTGACACGGTAAATCGACCTACACTTGCTCAATTGTCCCGCTGGAAGCCCCACTTATACAGTGCGAAATACCATCATCAAGTCACGTCTCACAAATCGCGGGGGGAAAGGCTCCCCCACCAAAACTGAAAACCTCGCGACGCGTTGACGAGTGATCATCAGCGACGACTCTCTACAAACTTCTCGAGAGAACGAAGAGGTGTTTCTAGCCATTGCGCGCACCTTCAAAAATGAATCCCCTAGCATCTCCTCCGGAGCTAACGCCCCTGGAGCAAGAGGTCCTGGAAGAATATGAGCGTCTCGCCGAGAACATGAAAAAGGTTAGCCCCATAAAAGGTCACAGGAAGAGGGAGAATGCGCTAATAAGAGAGAATATAAAAAAAAACAGCTCGCCTTCCTATTAGACGATCTAGCTGATAGACCTAGCACGGAAATCCTAGACGGCCTGAGGGATCTGGAGAGGAAGACGAGTTTGGTGTTTACGTTGTTGAAGGCGAGCGTTTACAGTATTGTGCTGCAGCAGGAGATTGATTGGGGTGATGGTGCTGCGGGGAATCAGGGGCAGGGAGGCGAGGAGTACTGAAAGTTGTTCAAGGTGATTTGGAAGAGTGGCTTTGAGTTCGAAATTCGGAAGGCGGCCGAAGATTGTCAATTTTTGATTCCCTGTTACATCCAGAGACAATCGACCCGACATGGTGATGAGGAGTGAGTGCAGAGTACGAGAAACCTTGTCCAAGGAGCAGGTAGCCGGAGTATGTCGAGAGACCCCTCCGTAAACCCGAGGGGAGTGACGGATAGAAGCTGGACTTTTAGACGAGTTCACGAATAATGATACCACTACAAACCAGTCCCTAGTCGCCATGAAAGTACAACAAAAGCCAAAACTTCTATAAAAACAAGCGGGATATTTCTTCTTCTATGCCCCGGGAAATTCTATACACAACTATACACTAGTATACAGAGCCACCATAGTACACCTTCCTCACATCCACCAACTTCTTTCCCCTACCCTTGGCGATCTCCTCGGGGTCGGGCTGGTTCGTGAGGGCCAGGAACGTCGCCTTGACAGTGTTCATAGGGTTCCTCGAGCGCGGGATGACGGCCGAGATGTCGTGAATGCCGGCGGCGCGGCACATTTCGAAGAGGCGGTAGGGGACGCGGAGACCGAAGCCTATTGTTACGTACGTTAGCATCATGATCAAGAGAGAAAAAGAATAATAAAAATCAGAAAACACTCACCAGGAGGACGGGCCCGGAGCTCGACAATAGTACCCGAAACCTTCTGCCTCACAGTCCCATAAATCGTCCGGTTCTCATACCGCCGAATAGGCTTCATGTTTCGAATAGCCAGCATGCGCGCCGCCATAGCAGCCGTACCGAAATCCGCTGACTTGGCGACGCCGACGCCCAGACGACCGTTGCCGTTCCCGGCAATGACCATGACGGAGGCGCTGCGCACCTTGCCGAGACGGGTCTGGTTCGTGACAAAGCGGGTGACGAGCGTCTTGGTGAAGAGCGAGAGGATGTCGCGGACGGACATGCCCGTGACCTTTTTGAGGAACTGGTAGGTTCCTTCGTCATCGAGGCCTTCGTCTTCGGGGTCGGCGGCGTGTTTGTAGAGGCCCTCTACGCCGGGGACCTTGCCGAGGGGTGGGGCGTTGCCCGAGGTGGAGATGTTGAGGCGGTCGTCTTCGTCAAAGATTTCGCTCGAGACCGTGTTGTCCTTCTTCGCCTCGAGCGACCTAGTAAAGTCATCGACAAGCTCGCTCAAGATCTTCTGCGCCTCCTCGGAGGAGATAGTGCCCTCAGGCGCCGCAGCCTTCGCATCCTTCTCCTCGACCATCTTCTCACCCCCTTCCTCCTCATTAATCAAAAACTTCTTCTGCAACTCGGGCCAAGTCTCCATATCCTGCAACTCCTGCACCGTCAAATCAATCTCGGCTCCCTGCGCAGCCTTCACCCTCTCCATCGACCGCTTAAACGCCTTCGCCGCAGCCTCGTGCATGTTCTCCGTCGACTTGTCCATCATCTTCTCGAACAGCTTCTCCAAAAACTCCTGCTCCGACAACCACTTGTAGTTCTGCGCCTCTAGCTTCCGCTCCGCCTTGAGGTCGATCACGGGCTGCACCACCGAGAAATCTTCGAGGTATGGTATCCGGTACTTGTCGTCCCGTACCCGCCCCTGAAGCGTCATATCCTTGGCGTCTACCGCCGCCTCGCCCGCCTTGACGGCTTCCATCTGCTCCGGAGTGTACTCGTATACCTGCTTCAGAGCCTCTAGCTGCGCCTCGTCGTACTCGGGGAACTTTTGCTTCGCGTACTCGTCGATCTTCTCAGGTGTCGTGAGACCGAGCTGGTCGGCCTTGATGCTCTTGAACCGCGGTCGGCGAGGAGCCGCTCGGGACGTCGAGCTGTGGAATGGTCGGTTATTTTGACATGTTGCCGTCGCTGTGGCCGTCGCCGCCGCCAGAGTCGGAGCACGTGCTGTGGGTGCCGTCGTCCGGGATAAAGGCAGGATGCACCTCGTGAGGAGCGATCCGCCGGGGCGTACGGTACTCATAGCTGCTTGTTGGACTCTCCCACTCGACGCGAAGGGGGGGTGCTTAATAGCAGCTATAAGTTGATTTCCGAGTGTCGTTGTGTGGGCTCAATTGGCGTCAACGAGGTTACTCGGTCGCGTCGTTCGACACCATCTCAAAAATTTTGGTTGCTCCTTGCGTCTCAAAAATTTTGGTTGCTCCTTGCGTGAGGTTAAAGCTGACAATTTTCCCAATAGCCGATTTGCAGCTGTCTAGGTGCCTCAGGCAGACAATGAAGCGACAGGCCAGAGTGATTATATCAGCATCGTGGTGGATTTTGTTTTAACACTGTCTTCCATCCTGGCCAAGTCCAAGTCGGCAAGGGACAATGGACAATGGAGCTGGTCCCTTGCATCAAGGCCAGGGCACCACTCTTCAACTGTTCCAAGGGCCGCTGTTCAACAATCATTATTCTTGAAGCCGAATGCATCGCACATTATCATTCTATACTATAATAAAATTTATACATTTAGAATAGCATATGTGCTCGAAGAAGAGATATCTACGCAACCGACCGCTGCAGTCGAGAACAGATCCATTGCGCATGCAACCAAATCAACCAATCAAAATCCCCCAACATCGGTCGATTTCTGCTGCAATCTTGAAACGCTGGGCTCCCATCTCCAGCGACCAAAAGCGCCTGAGCTCTGCTGCCTCATTGGGTGCACTGTGACATCCCCCGTTTCGAGATTTCTCCGATGGGCGACAATGATCAATGATCGCCATCCCCTACTTCGTACATCTGTTCCCTCTCCCTTCCTCTTCGTCCTCTTCTCCCAATTCCCTTCCACCACCACCTTTCTTTGTTTTCCCTTGCTATTCCCGCTCTCCTTCAAAAGCCGGTTCTTTTCTTTTGTTCATAAACTCGTGACAGGTGCACATTGGTTCTCTTCACTTAGACGATTTTCCCTTGGATATCCTTGGTTCTTTTTATCCACATCAATCCAGCAAAGCCTTAAAATACGATTCCACGGCGTCGGGCCTAGTCATATCGTCCTTCTGTCCGACCAAGCCGCATTAAACTCGCTAATACCGTCACCATCGACTGCGATAAACCTCATCTCTCTTCCTTCACATCAACAACAACACCAAAATGGCTACGGACGGGTCTGTCGTCAAGCTCACCGGCGGAGGCACCCAATTCCAGTGGTTCCGCACTCTCGGAGCAACCGAGGAAGCCGTCATGGTCTTGAACGACCAACCCGTTCTCTTCACCATCCTTCTCGTCGTCCTCGTCACCCTTATTCTCCATGGTGTCCTCCTCTGGTACATCCACCACGCCACGCTGAAGCCCGAACAGATGAAGAAGAAGAAGAAGGAAGCGAAGCCGGCAGAGAAGAAATCCGGAGGTGGTGTAAAGGGGTTCTTCCCGGCGGCGTTGAGGCGTTAAAAGGGCAAGATAGGCGGGCCATGGCGTCCGAAAGAAGTCTACCGGTGGGTTGATGGTGTTGGTATCGTGGGAAAACGGTCGGCATTAGCACCCTTGGAGGACGGAACTATTTCTGGTGCGACGCTATCTTCCTTTCGGCTGCGAGATTCCGATCACGTCCTTCGTCCTGAACGTTTTCAATCAACTTGGGGAGGAAAGTCGCCGCCGCTGGAAGGTGGCTTTTTTAAGTGTGCGATGCGTGTCCTACTTCGATTTTGGCAAGAATCATCCGACGGGCCGACAAGTTGCGGTCATATATGAATGGCCTTCTTCGTTCCCATATTCTTGCAACGGCGTTGTGGCGGGAATTCTCGGTCGTGGGAATGGAGAAAGATGGAGAAAAACAGACTGCCTCCATGTTTGGTTTGTGGTGGGTCATGTGTGGCGCATCTTTTAATTCATTAAGCGTATATCATCGAATGTGTTTAGAATTCTCTTCTTCGTCAGCAAGTCTGTACATAGGCAGTTAACTGGATATGCCAAGAGATATACTCAGGATTCCTTCATTGCTCCGGCGAGGGCGTGAAGATGGACAATAGAGTTTTACTTTGCTGATAAGCTGTCTCTTTGGTCAATGTAGATCGTCCTTTTTGAAAGCAACCCACATCCTATCAGGGTGCGAAGCTCTCGAAGCCATCCCAAGCAGAACAGTTTGCCGGGTACCAATGGCCATCGGAGGAAGACCCAAACCCCCCATTGGTAACTAAAATTTCCTCGTCCACCGAATCCCAGGTTGACTGCGTATTAGACTCGGAATTGCGATTATACAATCCTCCAACGTCGACTTGCGGCCATTCGTCACTCCTACCGACCTCAGGTCCATCGTGCAAGTCTTGCTGGCGGAAAGATCCAAGATGCCAAGTATCAGAAGCGCATTCGGGATTCTGGTCCTCGGAGAACTCGCATCCAGCAGGCAGATGACCGGTTACAGCTTCTTCGGGGGCGGCGACATCGTGCGCAGGTCTCCATAGTACTCTCGCTCTATCCGTCATTTTATGACGTGGGTTCTCCACGGCCATGACTTCTGAAGAAAGAGTGTCCATATCCCCAGAATATAGAGACGGTGGATAAGACGCCAGGAGTTCCACATCAAGGCCGTCTTCCCGGAGTCCATGAGGAGAGATTTGGTCTCCTTGGATATCTTGGGATGAAGCGCCAGGTGCTTCCTCGGCTACTTTGGTTTTCGATTTGCTGGTGCGATTCACTCGCCGAATATGATCGCGTGTCAACGCCCGCAGTCTTTTATATGCAGGGCCACCTTGCGCGGCGGAATTCTCAGTGGAGCCGGTGTCGTGGTTATTCTCGATTAAAGCCTGCAACTTCCGACGCAAGCTAGGTGTCCGGGCAGCCGCTGCAAAGTACTCCATCGTCTGCGTTGATATGTGCACCCATCTCATTCTGGTCTCCACGGCCTACAGAGGAAGTATTAGAAAGCGGGTTGACCAAGTTTTGCATGGTTTTTGTACCTGTACCATGCGTTGATTGAAGATGGCTGGAGCTAAGTCTACCAGAGGGAACTCGTTTGATTTTCTTAATCTCTTAGTCCGCCGGGAACACGACCCTAGTAATAGCTGCTCTACAAGTAGGGACAGCAACGCTTCAAGTTCTGGATGATGATGACAACCAGCTGCACCATCGCTCGGAAGATCCGTCGTAGGGGGAGGTTTCCCAGAGGGAGAATATTCGCCGAAACCCGAAGGAAGTCGTTCATCGCTGTGGCTCAGCCCGCTGTCAGCTCTTAGGATACTGAGCCTTCTCTCCGCCATTTAGAAGTATGGAAGTATGGAAGTATGGACCTTACCTAGCTCCGCTGCCATGGTTGGCTTTCCTTTTCTTTCTTAACCTGGTCGACTCAGAGCCCTCGGCTTTCCTTTTGACTCTTCCGAGTGGCAGCCTGGTATGCCGTCCAACTTTGAGAGTGCAGTGGACACTTTCAGCTTTGGCCACCGGGATACGACCGTTGTATAAGAATGGCGGCTCGTTGTTTGCATTTCCAAGAGTGAAGCTGAGGCCAGATGAAGAGCAGCGATGATGGCAAGGCTCAGTGCTTGAATGAACTCGAAGGTTCAGCTTCCTCCAGACCTGATATGGCCGATTAGCGATATGCCACAAGTTCAAATCTCGATAACTCACGTTTGACTCTTCTATGATGCATGAGAGTAGCCGCAGAAGGGCGAAGGAATCCTTTTCCAGATTTTCCGTACTCGAATCTGCTTCTCGTATAGCTAGACAAAACGTGATAGAGAACGCGGTCGTGGATGAAACGTGAAGCTTTTCCTCAACGACCAGCTCTCGGAGCTCATGTGCACTGGAAATTTCGCAATATTCAGAAGGCAGTCGTATGAATAACGATATATTGGCCGTGATGCTCAAGGCGCCATCTGTACTAATGGCGCAGAAATCCCCGAGGTCTATCACGGAAGAATCCATGTCTTAGAATGCCGAGACAATCACAATGCTTCTGTGCTTTCGGCCACGGCCCAAAGCAAAGAGGGATGACCAAAGTGAAGAGCTTGATGGGTCTGGCGTTCCATTGACTCGTCCTCGAAATGATAAGAACAGAGCCCGAAATCCCGAGTGCTTAAAAGACACTCGGGGTTAAAGCACATGAAATAACGGCTCCATGTATCTGATATACAGCATTGAAATCAGTCATCAACTTGACTAACATCACAACTTCGACAGAGCTATTCGAGGTGACGTCTACATGTCTACATCTCGGCTGCGTCGGGTAGTCCAGAGGAAAGAAAGATCTCGTCTCTCACAAGCCGACTAAGACGTCTGCTCTTTCCGCAACTCCTCATGTTCATCCTTCCTTCCATTCGTGTCTAAGTTCTGTCTGTGGGGAAGGGCCGCCCGCGGCAACACATTGTTAAGGGAGTCCAGACCCCGACATTGGCCTCTCAGGGTAGGGCTTGGGAAGAGTACAAGAGTTCTTTTCCTGACCCAAGTTCTGAAGAGGTACTCGGATTAATTCATTCATTGCAGCTTCCCTGGTTCTGATTTCCAAGATTACTTCGTAGAGGAATCCAAAATATCTCAAAGGTCGATTTAACTTCAAGCCTCCCGAATCCCGGCCAAATCCCAAGCTCCCCGTCCAGTCCCATCGCCCTAGATTAATTATTAGTGCGAAGACTACCCGTGCACCTCAATGAGCCAAGCCAGTTTGGCTCTGGGCCTCCACACACCAATTTGACACTTTCTGGGCTAGGCGAGCCCAGCCATGACGTATTTTATTTGTTGTACAAGTACTTGTACAAAGCAAACAGCCCATTCCAGTCCACAAGAGCTCAACTCCTTCCCATCAAGATCCCTACCTGCCTTGCCAGAGCATCTCTCCTGCCTCCTTGCTTCTTAGCCACGGGTGGGTCTATAATAGCGGCAAGAGCGACGCTGGCATCTCACATCGTGATCAGATCTATTCAACCTTCAAGGGTCTGTCTGTGAGAAACAAACATATCTCCCCATCCAACATCTCACTTCATCCAAGTCATCTGGTGTGAGATACTGGTACGGACAAGCACCTGCATGAAGGCTACATTAGAGTCAGAATTTTTACTTTCCATCTCACCAGCACCTCCAATCATATCCTCACCCGACACCCTACTTGGCTACTTGACTGTTCCCAACCCGCCACCTCCGATCCGACTTCGCCAGCCTTCGACGTCCCCCACCCGGTCACTCTCGGCAACAAAGCGCCGGCGAGCCATAGGACTGGACTCCTAGCGGAAAAAAAAAATGCCACTCTCAGACATAGGGACGCTACTTATTGAACACATCATTTTCATTGTCTACCTCGCCAACTTTTACGACGTCTTTGTCGACCATGACAATAGACTAGTTTTGCCCACCATCTACATCATTTCGAGGGCCTTCGGTGCTTATGCCGACGATTTGGACCCTAAAAAATGGACTCACCTCACCAATCCACGCCCGTACTTCCAGTGACGGCGCGAGATCACAATGGTCACAATCCCGGTTATCAAACTCCAACCGAGCGATATTTTCCGCAAGAAACTGTCCTATCCCCGCCCACCACTCCCACCCCGCCAACTACACCGACCACGGCGAGACTGCGACCACAAATTTTACGCCTCACCTCGTATCTTCGGAGACAGGATGCGGCCAACGCGACAGGCAATGGACTTCGTCCTGATCCAGACATCCAGCCAAGCCTCGATGAGCTGCTGCACGTGTCTAGTAGACCACCAAAGTCTGGTGTAGTGACCATCAAAGATCGGATCGCATGTTACCAATGGACTTTCTTCACTATGGTAAGTGTGTTGCGTAGTGTGGATCGCCGACTCATTTGTTTCTGGTCGTGGCTAACTAATTTGGTCTCACTTAGACAATGGTATGCTTTTTGTAGACATCGCCCTGTTCCGGGACTGGGACATATGCTGATTTATTCAAGGCCACCGGCGGCATGGCAAACGTACTCTCATCCAGTAAGTAGATTCGGTGATGGCAAAAGGTGTGTGTGCCATGCTAATATACTGGCAGTACCTTATCGAGCTGCATGGCTTGAAGGCTTAGGTCTCGCTTTCGTCATGTTGAATTTGATCCTGTTCATCATGAACTGTGTATTCATCACCATGAGGTTTCGCATGAAGCCGGGATCCTTTACCAGATCCTTCACCGACCAAGTCGAGTCTCTGTTCATCCCTGCATTTGTAAGTTCTGATAGACCATACCGAGTGTACTTCTCATTAAGGCTGACTCCTGGCTAGTTTGTATCGTAAGCGCTTTCACCTTCGAAGAGGCTTGTTGCCTTTTAATAGAAAACGTCGTAATGAATATCACGCGTTGCCTAACGGCTCAATTGATCTAGTATTGCTATCATTCTCACCAACATCTGCCAATACGGTATACCAAACACGGGTGTGTGGCTGCTTCGACTGATGGAAGCCCTGTTCTGGATCTACCTGTCAGTGAGTGTGCTTAGTAGCGCCGCCATGTACTTGACTCTGTGGTCTACCCAGTAAGTCCTTAGCCATTTGCTCATACACACCACGCGGTCCCGTACTTACACATGCGTCTTTCCGCCAGGGTGTTTCCAATCCACATGATGACACCCACTTGGGTCTTCCCGGCGTATCCCATGCTCTTGAACGGCACGCTCGCCGCAAGCCTGATCAGTGGGGCGTACGACACGGGCAACGGCCTTTCCATCGATCCACTGGCGGTAGCACTAGGCGGGTTTACCACGCAAGGTACGGGGTGTCTCATTGCCTTTATGATATCGGCCGCGTTTATATACCGCCTAATGACACAGAAGCTCCCCAGAGATTTCCAACGTCCTGGTGTGGTAAGAGTCTAACTATCAGTAACTGAGTATTGTGTAAACATTTGCTAAAACAGATGGTGTTAAGTTCATCTCTATCGGGCCGTTTGGCTTTACTGTGAATGGCATTGGTATGGATAACAAATCAACCCCCTTCTTCGCCTCTCTTATCTGTACTCGAAGTTCACTAACACGAATCTTTAGTTCAATTCGCTATCCACGCAGACTTCATCATCCCCCCAAACTTCCTCGGAGCGGAACACGCCGTGTCCATCATCAGGGTCGTCTCCGTCCTAGCCGGCCTCTGGCTCTGGGGCCTCACCTGCTGGTTCTTCCTCGTCTCCGTCGGCTCCCTCTGGAAGTACGTCCGACGCGGCAGCAAGATGCCCTTCCGCATGACGTGGTGGAGCTTCGTCTTCCCGAACACGGCCCTCGTCACGGCGACGCAGTCGCTCGCGCGCATCCTGAATAACGAGGGCTTGAAGATTTTCGGCTGTGTCATGGCGGGGGTGCTGCTTGTTGTGTGGCTTGGGGTGTTTATTACCATGTTGAGGTGTTTGAGGAAGAGGGAGCTTTTGTGGCCTAAAGATGATATCTAGGCTTTTTGTCCTTCTCTCTATATCTTGTGATTTTGGCGTTTTCGTTTCAGAGATACCCTACATAGCATGTACTAGACTTAGCTCGCTTCATTTAGTTGTTCACAGGTCTAGAGCTCTATCAGAGGAGATAATAGGAGAACCCAGTTTGAGGGCATTGAAACGTAGACTTTGTATTGATGAGAGGCTAGGCATCACAAAAATCTTCCAACGCCCGTGAGAACAGTCCAAAAACAAGGAACACCAAACGAGGACCGAAAAAAAAAAAAAAATAATCAAAAAGGCACCATTAGGGGGGTATGTCTATTGAACCCAGTAAGTATCGTCGTTTAAACAAAACACACTGACAAAAGAACCCTTGAAATTCGCCATCGATATACCGCAGTGGTTCGCATGGCATTCGGCCGCGCCGGGCCTTTGGTCTTTTTTTTTTTTTTTTTTAAGGGGGGGAGGAAGAAAGGGGAGGGGAAAAAGGGGGACATGAGAATATTGGACAAAGTGAATGTAAGAAGAATAAAAAAAGAAACAATAAATGCTCTTCAAAAGAAGGGAGGAAGAAGAAGAAAGAAGAAGAGGAAGAAGATAAAATTTCCCCCAACAGACAGACTCACTTGGAAAGCAACCCGGCATGAAAATGTAGAATGGAGAAAGACGATTGCCTCCAAACACACTCACAAAAAAACCGATGTCAAAAGGAATGAAAATAAAAAAGAAGCAGAAGAAAAAGTCATGAAAAGAGTGTAAGAAGATAAGGCCGTTAAAAATCGAGAAAAAAAAATGAAAAAAAAAAGGCGGAAAAGAAGAGGAGAGGAGGAGGATATAATGATGATGCGGAGTCGTGAAGAGTAAAAGAAAAAAAGGAAGAAGAAAAGGAAAAAGGAAGAAGAATAGCGAGAAAAAAAAAGGAAGAAGAGAAAAGAAACAAAACTCGCAAGCTAAAAAGAAGTGTCCCGCCGCATTCTCTCATCCCTCATTACCACCGACCCCCCCAACCCACCCACCTTGACCCTCAGGAAAACCAGGGAAAAGGATAATAAAAAATTAAAAGGGGGGAAGTCCTTTAGAGCTTGGCCTTGAGAGGCTGGTTGGATTTGGCGGTGGCATCGAGGTTGAGGGTGATTTGGCCGGTCTTTTCGCCGTCGCCGAAGAAGATGACTTGGACGGTCAAGTCGTCGCTAGGGAGATTTGTAGCGTTAGCAAAGAGACAAGAGATCAATAGAACGAGAGAGTGAGAGGGGAGGGAGAGAGAAGTTCATACCGGTACCGCCTAGAAAACGGCGAAGGAAGTGTGAGCAGTGCAGAAACCTGCTCCTCATTCCTACCACCCAACGCATTCCTAACCAAATGCGTCGCAACATTCCTATCCTTCGTGATGAACCGCCCCTTATCATCCGGCGAAATCCCCCACTGCCTCAGCCTTATAGGCGTCTTGGACCCGTCCTCGCCGGGGTTGGCCCCGCTCTTCTCGACGGGCAGGTCTTTCACGGAGGCGGCGTCGGAGGAACCAAAGATGCGCGCCCAGAGGGAATCGAACTGGGTTTGGCTGCGCTGCTGGTGCTGCTGCGTCTCGATCCATTTGCCCACTAGGCCGACGACCTCGTCGTTGGTGAGCATTTCCCAGAGGCCGTCGGTGGCGAGGACGAGGAAGTCGCCCCTTTCGGGGGAGATCTTGGTCGTTGTGATGACGGGCTCGGCGGTGACGTAAGGAGGGGTGAGGAGGCGCGGGGAGGGCGTGCGCGCGAAGAAGGACTTCTTTAGACGGTCGGTGACTTCGCGGGTCCACTTGTACGCGGCGTCGCCGAAAGCGCGCGTGGGTTCCAGACCGCCGAGGACGCGGCCGTGCTGAATGACGTGCGGTTCGTTGGGGTGAAGGGCGCGCATGCGGGCCTCTTCCTCAGGGTTGCTTCCGGTCTGATCGACGGACAAGGCGGTGGCCGTCCACTTGCCGGAGTCGGAGCGGCGGCCCAGCACAGCGCGGGAGTCTCCCGTGCATGCGACGCGGAGGAGCTTGGAGCGGGCGTCGTAGAAGGAGAGGAGGGCGCAGGATCCGGCGAGGGCCGGCGCTAGAGCCTCAGCTGCGAGGGTCTTGGAGTTTTCCTTGAAGACCTTTTCGACGGATTTGTGGACGATTTCGTCGTCGAGGCGCGTGAAGCCGGTTTTTATGGCGGCGTCGATGGAGGCGTCGGAGGGGAGTTGGCCTTGGGCGGCGATGTAGGTGTCGTTGAGTTCTCGGGCGACGAACTGGATCAGAGAGTTGCGGAGCTTTGCGGAGGTGACCCAGCCACTATGTTATACACTAGTTAGCATCAACGGCTCGTCGTCTTAACCAGCACCAAGAAAAAGGGGGGGGAGGGGGGAAGAGTTCAACTCACGAGTGACCGTCAAAAATCCCCCAAAACATCCAGTCCGTAACCTCCCCCCCTTCCTTCTCCCGACTCGGCACCTCTACAATCTTCTCGGCATGATCATCCTCGATAGGATTATTACTCGGCAACTGCACCAGATCATACCTCACGACGCCCTGGCCGCGATTCACGAAATACGACTGCTCGCTCTCGCGCAGCTTATCATCGACCTGCTCGGGGCTCAGCATCTCGATGACCTGCCTACCATACTCGCTGCTAAACTTGGTCAGCGGGCCGTCTCCGACCACTGTACCCGTGCGCAGCTCGTCGGCGCCGATGACGAGGACAGTCCGCGTCGGGGCAGCAGCGGCAGCTGCGTCGCTCACGGCGCCCTGGGCGGAGGACGTGAAGCTCCGGGTGAGAGCGGCGGCGGAGGAGGAAGAGGAGGAGTCGTTGTGCTGGCCCTTGTAGCTGTACCAGGCGCCGTAGCCGACGAGGGTGGATACGAGGGCTACGGAGAAGCGGCGGATGTACATGGAGGATCTTAGGGGCTCGATGGCATGCTCGGAGGGGCGGCGCGGTTTACCAAGGGAGGAGGCAGGGGAGGAGGAGGAAGAGGAGAAGGATAGGGACCGAGGTCGGGAGGCGGAGAGGAGTGGGTTGGGGAGGGAGGTGAAGGGGCGGCGGGGGAGGAGGCGGGCGAGGGTGGTGCGGAGGAGTGTGGGCTGGAGGAAGGGAGTTCGTCGCAGAGCCCGGACTGCGACGCGATGCATTGGTGTGGATTGGGGGAAGGGGGGGGGAGGGTGGTTGTTGGCTTGTTCCCTTGGGAGAGAAAGGAAGAAGAAGAGAGGTTCAGATTCTGTCGTGGAGGGTTTCGGGGGTTTATATGTTCGACGTCGGGGTCGTCTGGGTTTGTGGAACGATTCGCAGCTTTTCAAGAGTCGTCGAGGGGAGACTGGAACTTGGAGGTTGGGGGTGGTGGATTGTACACGGGAGCAGCGAAGTGGGAGCGCAGTGTCAAAGTGGTCAAGATTGAAGTTACAATGTTGCTTGGTATTTTTTTTGGTCCAGGTTCTGTTTGAATTTCTCCCTTGCCTTAGTCGCAGCTGCACGTCGCCGAAGCACGGGACCTAAAATTGGCAGACTTTTGCCGGCCGAGTCTGTCTGTGAAGGTGTCCAGGTACCTCGGGCAGGTGCCGCAGTGAGCGACACCGCTGAATTATCCCCCTAAAGCTTCACAAACTTCACAAACTTCGCACACTGCAGACGTTGATGTACTTCTTCGACTCTTCAAACAGGTCGTTCACGGGTCCTTCACCGAATCCTTCAAATCCAAGCAAACATTTCCATGTTTTCACTATCTACGGCAATTGAACACTTCAGCATGCAGACTGCAGATAACCAAACAAAACCAATGATTTGAGAGGACTCCAACCATTGATCCCCAAACTCCATCGTACACCACATGTACTTGTAGTACGTATGTCCTGCTTGTCCTCCTTGTCCTTGTTTTAGAAACCGATTTTCTTCGGTACTTGTTGGCTATGGTCTGCATGTGGCCTCGTCGTCAATACTCATGACGATTTTCAAGGTCGTAAGCTGCTGGAGAGTAATATTTCTCCTTGACGAGAGGGAGGCGTTCTTGGCCCAGCGGTCGAACGATTACCTTTAACTTAACGCGCTCGTTTCTGTATTCTCATGCGAGCCGCAGCAAGACGATGGTGCTCGCTCAGGTAGCGATGTCTTGCAGCAGTACGAAGTAACTCGCACCGCATTTCTCACCCATGGCTCATCGGTCCGGGCGAAGCTTACACGTAGAGGCAGAGTCCAGATTGTCATTGTCACGTGACCCGAGAAATGCCTGCAGCCCAGCCTTGTCCAGCCAGGACCAGCGTCACAATTGCGGCGCTTAGAGCCTAACTCAAGACATGCCACGGCTGCAAGCCTTCATTCCGATGTTTCGAGAAGCTGACTTTCGCCGATTTCTTTGACACCATATCACGCTGCCTACCGAGTACGATCGTGGCCGTCGATTCCAGGTGTTCGGCTTTCTGCTCCGCCCCCTCCCTATCCGCTTCGCCACTTGAAAGACCTCATAATGCGGCTGATCAATGTCAAAACATTGAGGCTGGAAGAATTCCTCGACGACGACATTCCTTCGTATGCTATCTGTCAGATGTTCCTAGCGCCGATCAGTCTCAGCCCTGGAAACCTGGATCAGAGTTCCGGTCGAGTCGTTGGTTTTCGAGAGGATGGACCTTACAGGAGCTCCTCGCGCTTTCGAATTTACAGTTCTATAGTCGGGAGTGGTGCAGGCTGGGAAGCAAGGGAGAGCTAATCGCTTCCATTGAAGAGGTTGCCAATATACCCCGCCGCTTCTTACTTGGTATAGCGAAACTTCACGATGCAAGTGTGGCGCAGCGTATGTCGTGGGCTGCGAAAAGAGTCACAAAAAAGAAGGAAGATCTTGCATACTGCCTTCTCGGGATCTTCGGGGTAACAATGCCGATGATATACGGCGAGGGTGGTGAACAAGCTTTCTTCCGACTTCAGGAGCAGATCATGAGGACAACAACGGATGATTCGATTCTTGCATGGCGCCTTGCCTTGGAAGAAGGCCCCTCCGCCAGTGACCCCGCCCAGATCACGCCCACGCCAGGCAAAGTTCTTGCAGCTACTCCGTCGGATTTCGTAAATTGCGGACATATTGTTTCACGAGAACAATCCGCTATGAATTCCCTCGATATCTCTGGCGGTAGTCTTCGAGTCTCCCTGTCTCTCCTTACATCCGCCAGCGGGACGGTTGGCCTACTGAGCTGCGGGCCGGAACATGACACAGAACAAGCAGTTGGCATTCCTCTCACCAAAACGACTTCCGGTATGTATTTCAGGCCGAGAGGATGGGATTCAGTCCTATTATCGAAGTCTACGTCTACCCCTTTGCCAAAGTTTATTCACGTCGAGAACAATCTGCGAAGCAAGACTTCCGAGGGCGTAAATCAACAATACTGGTTCTCAATCGATGGATACAAGGAAATCAACCTAGAGTTGATTGACGTAGAGCCTCGATCTTGCTGGGATAGAGAGCAGGCTCTGATTAAGTCGATAATCAAGGGCGATAGAGATGCTACGCAACCAACCTATATTCGGCTCCGTCATGCAGAGGGATCCCAAGATTTCGTGATAGCGCTCGAAGTTAAAGAGCGGGGATCACGCCTGGAGGCTCAACCTCACTTTATGACATGCCACAAGGACACCACGTTGGAAAAGGTGGCTGAATCGTTTCAATACTTGCCGCAGAGAGTATGTGGGAGGAGACATGCCAGCAGTGGAATGCTTAGCCTGCGTCTAGAGTGGACGTCTGTTACAGGGAGGCCAATGTCCGTTATCAGACTAGAGACGACATCCGACACTCCAGAAAGTACTGTCGATATAACCCTGGAATTGCAGAAATTAGACCTGCGACTGGAATTGATAAGAATACTCGAAGAGGAGAAACAACATGGAGCAGAAGAGGAGAGGTTGGCTAGTAAGATAAGAGAAGGAAGCGACCGGGTAGAACAGATAAAAAGAGAACGGGAGGTAGTAGATGATAAGATAGCAGAGCTCGAAGAGAAGAGAAGGATACTAGTTCAAGAGGAAGAGGCGGTAGCTCTGGAGATAACCCGCTTAAGGGAGACACAGGAGAGCGTCAAAGAAAAAAGAAAGGGCGTGTCTATACGACGGTTACAGGTAAAAGAACGTTGGGGTGAAGTCTGGCGTACCGATTGCGGAGATGTTCGGGGGTTGAAGGGGATGGATAGTTTGTCACTGTTCCAATGGGCATGCAAAAGCGGCAACAAGGCCGTAATGCAGCGTCTCCTTGCCGTAGGCGAGATCGATTCCAACTCGAAAAACCGCGACGGCCAGACGCCGCTTCACGTGGCGTCTCGGTACGGCCATGAAGCCGTAGCGAAGCTTCTTCTCGACAAGGGCGCCGCCGTCGACGCAAAAGACCACCACCGCTCGACGCCACTTCACCTGGCGTCTAAGTACGGCTATGAAGCCGTAGCGAAGCTTCTTCTCGACAGGGGCGCCGCCATCGAAGCAAAAGATATCGACGGCCTCACGCCGTGTTACGTAGCGTATGCGACGCAGCTTCTCGGCAAAAAAGACCAGCGCGGCTCGACGCCGCTTCGTGTAGCCGCTAGCCACGGCAATGAAGCCGTAATGAAGCTTCTTATCGATAGGGGCGCCGCCGAGCCTGGATTCCGCTTCGTATGGCGTGTAATTACGGCTACGAGCAGTAGCGAAGCTTCTAGTCGAGACATGGAAGCAGGAACATCTGATGAAGATTAAGAAAAGCTTCACCTTGCTATTAGTTTAACAGCTTTTCGAAAGAGGGTTCAAGGGGAGCACGTTAATATATATTACTCGGAGTTTCTCACCTTCTGTTAGATCTAGAATGTTTGAGAAAAACTTTTGTGACATGTCCGTATCGTTTCCCGCCAGCTCTTTCAGTGACAAGGACGTGTTCAAGAACCCCCCCCCCCCCCCTCTTTTTTTTTTTTTTTTCTTCGTAGCATGACATAATGGTAGGCTACAACCACAAAACTTTAAGCCAGCATGTTTTGTTCGAGCAGGTCATCTCAGATCCTAGCACAGAGCTTGTACTTTTTCGTCGTTGGTTTGGCACGCGTGGAGCTTCCAAATCTGCCAGCTGAAATTCAGTGTAAGAGCGTGAAGTATATTGATACTCGTAACAGGGCACTACGAAAGCAGAGTTTATTATATTAGGAATTTTAGCGCTGGGATATCCCGGGCATGATCGATACAGGAGGGCAGGTACGGAACCCTAGCGATTTCCCCAGAACTGGAATGCAGGCTCGGAATTTAGGAGTCTATTACTCTCAGATTCTACGAAGTAGAATTTAGAAATTCTGTAGGAGTACGACAGCTAGAGGAGCAGGGTGCATTAGATCCTAGGCATAATCTACTAGGCGTGCAGGTTACTGAGCAGCCTCAGCAAATACCTGGAGAATCGGAAATCGGGAGTCTGGCTCCCGAGCCTAAAATTCGGATCACGTAAGCCTACGTAAATTGTACAAATCCTGTATGGAGTACTTCGTATACTCCATTTCCCCTCTCCTTTATGCACGGATGCTGGCTCACTCCTGCTCACTCCTGCTCACTCTGCTCCTCCTGAGTGGACGGCCGTGGCGAGCAAAATCCACAGATGTTTCGAAGTGGAACACAACTAAGAATGCGGTTGCGATTCTGGTAGCCGTCAATATTTCATGCTGGCAGCCAGACTCATCGCTGAGAGGGAGGGATTGTGGAACGCGACGAGAATAGCTGGAGGCAATAGATCGGCGGATGGACGTGGATCCTGGCCTGTTTGCCTCTGGGCTGGCAGGTGGGTTCCCGGCCTGCAGGGTCCGCCCCGAGGCTCGCGATGGACGGAAGCTGTCGATGTGTGAATGAGTGACCGGCAGGAGACTCGAAGTACAACGCAGACTCTGTCAGGAAGAGCTGTATCGTAGACGTTTAGATCAATGAAGGATACTTTGGATGACGAGGACTGGAATTGCCGGCGACGGCGACGGCTACGGGCCAAGTTTGCTCGTTTTGTGTCACACAGACTCGCTGCACGTCAGAGCAAATCCAAATCCATTTGATCATGCATCTCATAGTCTCAGACTCACTCATCAGCCCGCGCTTGCTTGCCTCAATGTTCTCTTCCGACCAAGGCCAGGAGCACCCGCACCCGCAGCAGGTCAGATAGCTCAAGCTTAATTCAAACGTGCTGCAAACAAAAGCTGGCAGCACCACCCAATCGACCAGCCCAGCCAGACCGAGTCCGGTCCAGTCCACTAAGTTTGCTTGGTGCATATTGATATCCATCAATTGATCCGAGCTCTCTACCTTCCCATCCGCAGTCGCACTTTGCACCTCAATCCACCCATCCACATGCTCACGCTCTATTGATTGCCGTCTCTCTTTCTCATTTGCATCGCCAAACGGAAACGCCCTCTTATTCCTTCAGGCTAAGCATCATACAATTCTGTGCTCCCACACCATCCCTCTCACTCACAAACATCCAAACATCCAAACACACTTCCTCACCTCACCACAATGGACCCCTCCACCCCTCCCCCGCCATCACCACCCGCCCAAACCTCGGCATCATCACCACCCCCCAACGACTCCGACCGCATCTTCATCGCCTTCGACACCTACCCCTGGGCCAAAGATCCCAAATTCCTCGTAAGTCTCATCGTCTCCTCACTGCCAAATACATGGTTCCAAATCAGGAAAAAAAAAGGACAAGAAGCAAACAAGATCACATGCTCACATGCTCACACACACACACACACATCTAGACCCTCATCTCAACCCTCACCAAACCCCCCAACACCCCAACCCGCCCCAAAATCCTCTTCGCCCGCTCCGCCTACTTCACCCGCATCCTCGGCCTGCCCGTCTCCGTCCCCGAATACACCGCCTGGCTCTCCTCCCATCCCTCCCACCCCTCCCCGGACGACGCCTTACTCGAGGCCCTCCTGAACCCTGTGTCACCACCCTCTTCTTCCTCCGCTGTGCAAGAAGAAGAAGCAGCGCAAACGAAAGCGGGAGACGACGCGAGGCCAGCCTGGCAAACCGCCGCCCCCAAAGCTGACCTCTACGTTGACCGCTCCTCTGCGTCCTCCGCTCCTGGCCACCAGTCGTCTGAGGGCCCGGCTTATCCTGAACGCTTTGCCGAGCTGATCCGTTGCATCAAGGAGGGTTTGCCCGTCCCTGGTGTACGTGAAATTCCTGAGACTGTCGTCCGGGATCCTGTAAGTTGCCGTCTCAGCGTTTTTCGTTTCCCCCCCCCCCCCCTTTTTTTTTTTTTTTTTTTTTTTTTTTTTTTTTTCTTTCCATTTCCATCTTGTTTTCCCCTTTCCTTTTTGTTTGCGCCTTTCATTTTCTGTTCCTGAATCACGCCTCTTAACAATTTCTTTGCCTGCCGCACAGTCCGCGAAACCTTTTGGCGCTCGTGGTCCTGCTCCCAGGAAACCTTGGGAAAAGGCCGTAGAGTCTCAACCAGGGTCTGCCTCACCGCCCCAGGGAGCCGAGGAGGGCGCCAGTGCTGGTGCGCCGACTTTCTCCCCACCTGCTGTAGACCAAGAGTTCCCTCCGCTGGAGACGGAGGAGGCCTCGGAGCCTGGAACGACCGCCGAGGGTGATCAAAAGGGAAAGGTGCCTGACCTCCCGGACGTGGAGAAGCTTAATCTAGAATCAGATCCTTCAAAATAGTGTCATCTACTCATCTACCTTAGAAAATACCGTATAATCATGTTCATCTTATCTCTTTCCAACACTACGGCCACTGGCTGTGCTTGGACCCTAGACATGTAAATCAAATGTAGTATTGAGGCAATCACTAACACTTCGCTGCTGATGAAGATGAATGGGGTTGAAATTAGAACAATCTGTATCTAGGCATCGAGAGTCGCCAAGCTGCTCCTCATGAACAAGTCTAACGTATAAGACGTCGTCCTCCTATGTCTTTCTCCGCTTGTGAATGCGTAAAAAATATTGTTTCCTCAATGACCGAGGTGCAAATACAAGAGAAGAAGAAAAACAATGGTGATATGCCGGTGGGGGGAAGAACAAAATAAAAAGAAACACCCATAGCTTCGCGACGACTGATAAGGCTATATCCGCATCGATACCTATCGGGAGAAAAGATTTTCGACAATCTTGCCTAGCTGTGTAAGACATTGGAGGTTAAAAGAGCCCACTGCTCGAGACAAGGAAGCATTCATTGAGCGCAGAATCATCGCCCTCAATGCCTGCCGCCCGAGAAAAGCAGTGTTTTTCCTTCCGAGGTCTCGACTGTATCGCAAAACGAACAACAATGACGTGTCCAATGCGCTCTGAGTGACTCTCCTGAACAAAAAAAGGGTTGTCGAGCGTAGGATGACGACCTGATCTGAAGAACATTACTTGGCGAAGATGCTAACCGGTAGAACAACCCGACATATCATCAGCCCCCCATTTCTTCTTTCTCTATCGCCTCATAGGCGCTGTGGGGGGAAGCGGAAGTCCTCGTAGACGACTCCCACTTGCCCTAGCGCGACCTCCCCTAACGGTAGCTCGGGCCACCGAATCGGGATCCGGGATGCATACGGCCTCCTCCGCCGCCTCCGCCTCCCATGCCGGGGCCCATGGCAGGTCCGGGACGGGTGGCGCTGGCCGGGTTGGTGCACAGCATGCCCACTCGAGAACCAAACTTGGAACCGCGAAGCGAGACCATGTGCTTGCGGATGTGGGCGGCCACAACCTCACGGTGCTGGGGGCCGGCGTGAGTCAAGATATACTGAACCAGGTAGTTTCCGTACTGGTCACTGGCGATGTCAATGAGGGGAATGCGGGGTCGGTCGGGACGGCCCTCGCAGACACGGTCCAAGTAGCGTCCGAGGAATTCGGGTCCTCCGATCTTGAGGCACTTCTCGACGACCTTGGACGCAAACTGGTCGGTGCTGTACTCAGACGCATAGCGAATAACATGATCAATGGCCCGGCTGCGGTCGGCGGGGGCACCGTGCTCGCAGATGTGCTGGATGCACCAATTGCCGAACTGGCCGTGGGCAACAATGTCAATGTTGGCAAGGACTTCCTCAATGCAGGGACGCTGGCGGAATTTACAACGTTAGTGATTACACAAATACTAGAGAGTGTGCTTCCCTGAGTGAACGTACCTTGTCATCCTCGAGACAGTTCTCGAAAATGTTCTGGACCACCAGACTGCCAGTCTCGCCAAGGGCCACTTCGTGCCACATACCCTTGAGAGCATCGTTGACATACTTCATGATCTGAGGGGGAGTGTCGGTCCAGCGAAGCTCAAAGAGCTTCTGCCAGACGTGGCAAGCATAGCGGTGAATGACCGTCTCCGGGATGCGGCGGAGGAGCTCGTGAACCATGACCTTCTTGTAGTCCTCGGGGACCGAATCGAATGCCTTCTGGACGACATGGCAGCCAAAGGGATCCATCGAGAGATTAAGGGTATTGCCCCGGATAGCCTCGGCAATCTTGACGACCTGCTCATCCGTACCGTGCTCGAAGCATCGCTGGACAAGGAAATTTCCGAAGCGGTTCACCATCAACGGATAGGCCTGGGAGACGATGGCCTCAACAATCTCATACTTCTGCTCGGGAGTACCGACCTTGAGCTTCTGCTGAAGGAAGATGGAAGCCTGCTGGTCATTATTGCAAACGATCTTGTCAACGATGTACTTCCAGTTGCAATTGACGTTGCGGTCGAGGAGGCGTCGATAGTTGAGAGGCTCGGTGGGAGGCAAATAGGTCGGTCCCTCCGTAGGTGAAATCTGTTGTGAAACATTAGCATAGAACTTGGACATTGCAGGAGATGGAAGGGGAAAAAATAAATAAAAATAAAAATAAAATAAAAAGAAGAGAGAGAGAGAGAAAGAAAAAGGTGGCAATTGATGCTTTACATACCTCGCTCTTCCAGCTGCCGCCGCTCGAGGTAAACTCCGTAGCGTGAGGCGAGAGAGCATTCGCAACCTGCTGGTGGTAGCTGGGGTACACGCCCATACCAATAGTGCCAGGTCCAGGTCCATTGTTGCCTGGTCCGTTAGCCGGTCCCGAAGTAAGCTCGTACTGGCCAATGTTCTGATTAAGGTTGAAACCGCCGCCATAGGGAGGAGCGGAAAGGGGAGCGGGAGAGATGTATCGATTGTCAAATCGACCTCCACGACCGCCCACATCGACACGCAAGGCGAAGTCAGGGTCGGGAGTGACCCTCTCGCTAACGCGGAAGTTCTCCATGGGGCCGTAGGCGCCGTTGTTAGCCTCGACGAAAGACGGGGCGAATCCGGGCTTGTGGGGGAACCAAGCCGAACCGCTCGAGGCGTCCGAGGAGCCTCCCGAAGGGCCAGCAATACCAACGGCGGGTGTCTTGAGATTGCCCGCCCACATACTAACCGAAGGAGCCCTGTTGATCTGAATGGTGGCCAAGTGCTCGTTGGGCGACGGCTTGTACTCGTCCTGGCTCCAACCGCCGTTGTGGCCCGGGGCAGGCATGGCAGCAGCAACAATGGGGCCAAAAGGAGGGCCAAAGGCTTGGGGAAGACCGGCCGGATAGTCAGACACCGCCTGCGACATTCGAGGCATGCTTGGCTGCCTCTCGAGCTGAGAGATCTTGGCCTCTGCCTGAGCGAGCTGCATCCTGAGACGAAGGACTTCATCATTGCCCGAAGGGCCCTGGCTCAAGGAGGCACTAGCGGGGCGAGTGGCGGGCTCGGACGATGGGAAGTCTTCGAGGGCAGGGGTTACCGGCACCGAGGTGCTGGAGGACCGGTGGTCGCCAGGGCGGACGAAGATCTTGTCGTGGTCTTTATTCTTGATCACGGTCAGCTTCTGCTGGTGCAGGGTCTCTCGTTGTTCATCAAGCTTCGAAAGAAGGAGCTCCATGGGGCTTGGCTCAAAGGTTGGGATGTTCTCCTGGTTGTTTGTAACCTCGAATAGAATTAGCAACTGTGCATTGGAAAAGGCCTTCTGAGTATGAAAGAGCTTACCTTGACACCCCCTTGGTGAGGAGGCCCAGTAGACAACAAGGGAATAGGCCTTCCACCAGTCTTGTAAAGACCAGATCCAGTATCCTAAGAGAAAGGAAGTTAGAGGGCTGGTCAATCTGGGAAGTGCAATGTGAAGAGACATAGTTTTTGAGAGCTAAGAACTGAGTTTGGGGCTTGGAGTCTGATGGCCAGAAAAGATAGAGAGCTCGTTCACAACCCAGAATAATTGAATCACACAGAAGTGAATTCACAAAGAAGGGAGGTAATAGGAGGGCAACAGAGAGGGGAATCCACGAAGAACAGGGAATCCAACTCCCGTAGAAGCAGAATGTAAATAAAGAATAGATGGAGACACGATGAACTCACATTGGCACCCAACATCGTAGGGTACGAGGGCTTGATGCCCTTCTCAGCTGTGTGACCCATCGAGGTCAAGCTATTGGGCGAGGGAGCTGAGGACATCTTGTCCGTCATGCTCCAAAAAACAAAGGAAAAGGGAATACCTGAAGATGGCAATCGACAGATAGCACTGAAGTTGTGATGATGAGAATGTCAAAAGTAGATCTCCGAAAAGAGGTGACAATGGGGAAGAGAAGGGAATTCCAAAATCTCCTCAATTGGATGAAGAGGTGATGGATGGAATGGGGGAGATTGGATGGGGAGAAGATCTCTACCTGGGAAGAAAAGAAGAGATGGGGAGATGGGGAGGGGAAAAGATTAAGTCGTGGGTGGGAGGGTAGAAGAAACTAAGGGGACAAGAGGAAGCTGAGGAAGCTGGGGAAGTGGAGGAAGGAGAGGAAGTAGAGCTCTGTGAGAAGGTGCAGTATGGACCTGAATCATATGAAGTCGATGGTCAGGTACGGCAGGCACAGAATGTGCAGGTGTGATAAGATGGCTCGACTGGAGCAAGGAGACTCGAAACAGAAGCAGCACATTGTAACTTCCTCACCGAGTAACCAAATCCCACCCGAGCCTTTGCATCCCTCGCTCCTTCCCGTGTTAAGTCGGTGGGGTCCATATCGTCAACAATTCGACTACCAGCGCAGTCTCGAGGCTCACGGAAATTCGGACCCGTGTAAAACCGTCCTAGGAATGATCAAGGCACTTGGAACAATCCTACGCACATATATCTTCACAGTGCAGCTCCATCCATATTGAAACAACTATCTATACATCATATCCGAAGACGTCTATCGAACCAATTTGTTGAATATTATACAGATTTTTGCATGAAGCCAGTCGTCACATTACTTTCTCCGAGTCGGGGCGGCTGCGAAAAAAGAAACTTGTTAGCAATCCCGTCGCGCTACGTTTACCTGTCTCCAAAGTTGACTTACCAGGAGGTCCAGTCTTCTTCTTAGGCGCTCGCTTTCCTCTGGCATGCACCCTAAGTTATCCAGTCAGTAAGCCTATCCAAATAAGGCCCAGTCGCAGGGTAGAAAATCTCCTAAGCTCGAACGTACTCCTCAATATGCTCCAGCCTCTCCTGCTCGTCCTCATCCCACGTCTCGACATTCGGCCCAAACATGGCATTCATCTGCTTCACAGACACCGTCCTCCTGGGGTAGTACGCCGCAAGCGCCGGGCCGCGTAGTCTCTGGCGGAGGACCTTGTTTCCGAGGCGCAGACCGTCGGGGTTATATACTGTCGCAAAGACCTGGCATTGCGTCTGGAAGAAACAAAAAAATCAGACGACGTTCAAATATCGCTTGCATAGGAGCGCTGGGTTTTCGGGATCCAATTGGGATATGCATACCTTCATAAGCTCTAGGAGCCTCGCTCTTGGAACGCTCATCTTGGAATTGAGTGGGTTGGGCTGGCGACTGTTGGTTTCAACATCCCCTTGCTTGCATTCAATTGTCGAAAAAGTTCCCGCGGTGAGGTTGAACGTGGATCGAAAGTTTGAGGTGAGGCTTGATGAGGATTCCAGCCACAGTCGTGGCTTGTGCATACGGTGTTATATTAATCATCTGTACTGGTTCATGCTCACTCTCAGAATTGCTCCATCCATTCTACTATGCACATTCCCTTTCCTTTCCCGTATACCATTGAGAGGCCTCTCCTTCCTGGTTGGCACTTGCGAGTCCTCGTTGCCCAAGCTTTCCCATATCTCTCCCATCCCCCAGATGAGTATCAGGAGGCCTCGTGTAACCACAATGCATGAAGTTGGTGGTGGTGGCTGCCTAACGAACGGCTGATGCATCTAATTCTCTGCAATAACTTATAAAACATCGCACGGGAGCCTGGTAATAGTCCAATAGCCAACTGATTTCATCCTCAGTTTTTCGTTCTTCAAAACCATGCCTCTCTCGCACCGGTGTTCAAAATGCCAGCTGATTACCTCCAAGTTTGTCATGGCAGATGTACTAGACATAAAGATCGCCCGGGAAATAGTCCATCACGATTTAGCGACGCTTAAGCGCTCAGCTACGCTTGGCTGCGAGCTCTGTGTCTTGCTTCTTCAATACATCGCCTATGCCACGCCATATTTTTACGGACAAATAGGTACGGAGATGACAGCCGGTCCTATCACCCTCAGAAGCTCAGCACGGCATGTGATTACGAGGAGGGGATCGACTGAGAGGGCGTCTCTCCTTCCTACTTTGTACATGAGTGGTGCATCTAATACCGTCGTCTCTGATGTGGATTGCTCTGTTAGCGCGGCACAGAATGATAGCTCGAGGGCGATGTTGGATCCAAATTTCGTGCCAATGAGGATAAAACGTGAGATTTTCCTATACATGGAGGGCCTCAATTGGTAGATTTAACGCAATATATATACATATATATTTACTGACTTGCTACAGGACTCGCCCCAAGTGACCGCGAAACGGATGTTCGGGACTTATAAAGCAGGTAATCAAGCCATGGCTCCGTAGGTGCAGGGCAAACCACGCGATATGCCGATCTCTGCAAGAGACCAGCATCGCCACCTCTCCTCGACTCCTCCCAACAAGAGTCATAGACATCGGACTTGACGGCCGGAGTCCCCGACTCTACATCACTGATGAGGAAGACGTCCGCACAGCGGAGTACGTGACCCTTAGTTACTACTGGGGCAAGAGCAACGGCCCAGCTAGAACGACAAAAAATAACCTCGAAGCCAGACGACGCGAGATTAACACTGCAGAGCTCCCTCAGACGATCCGGGATGCGCTTTTGATCACCAAGCATCTCGGGGTCCGCTTCCTTTGGGTCGATGCCATCTGCATAGTCCAGCCGACTGACCAAGACAGGTCTGATTGGTTGAACGAGGCGCCCAAGATGGGTCAATACTATTCCAACGCTGCCTGTACTATTGCCGCCTGCGTAGCGAGTGATAGCGCCGAAGGTTTCTTGCATGAGAGGCCGCTTGAGAAATTGCAGCCGGAGAGGGAGTGTCCGCTCGAACCCTGGACACCCTCACCAAAGCTGTTCCCCGAACCACCTGCTCACGTCACAGTCTTGAAGCCGTCCCCGTCGCGACTTGGGTTTAGGGTGGCTTCGAGTCCACTCTATAAACGGGGCTGGACGCTGCAGGAACAAATCCTCTCTACGCGCACCATGTACTGGACCAAGCATGCACTCTTCTGGGGATGCGCTGAAGAGCGCGCTGCCGAATTCCGACCCGATGGTCTTTCTGCCAGCTCATTTCCGGGACACATCACCTTGTCGCAATTCCTGTCTAGTAACGCGGATAAAGCCCTTGGAAATATGTGGCTCTCTGTTGTCGCCCACTATAGCAGTGCGTCTTTGAGCCACGAGTCGGACAGGCTAGCTGCACTCATGGGCCTCGCAAGTCGCCTCCAGGATCATTTCGGAGACGAATACCTGTTTGGAATTTGGAAGTCTCAACTGCTTGCCGGGATCGCCTGGCAATCGGTGGTTAGGTCACACCACCGCATCCGAGAGGGGATGGCATGCACGTTGCCGTCCTGGTCTTGGGTAAGCTTGAGAGCACCAGTCATCTTCCCCTTAGATTGCCCACTAGAAATAGAGTGGTTAGCAGAGGTAGTTGCGGTTGAGGGGGAAACCAACGTTCTGAATCCCGTCGGGGAGAAGGTCTTTGAATGCAGGGTGCGGATCAAAGGCAAAGTGATCCTCATCGACCAAGTTCCACCCGATACAGTTCAATTCGGTAAGGAGGATCAGGAATGGGACTTGGGCGGCCAGCGGCGGACAGTCGAGATTTTGATGGCTGAAATGGACTGTTCGCCAAAACCGCACCCTAATAACGACCTTGGGTGCTTGGTGCTCGCGAGTTGGGGTATGGATCAGACGGCGACGGCGAGGATCGAGCTGTCCTGCCTGTTCCTGGCGGGAGTGAGCGGGTGTCCTTGTAGATATAGACGTATTGGATTTGTTCGTGTTGCGCTCAAGCATCGGACCTGGCTTGAGCAGGTGCAGACACGCGTAATTGAACTAGTATAGGCAATAGGCCGGGCGTGAATCTATTACTTCTTCTTCCCAAGGTCTGCCGGCAATCGTGAAGTCCGCCCAGCTCGCTGCCTCTCACACTATTAAATACCAAAAGTCCCCAGCAGTTTCCAACAGCACCAAAATGCAAAGAGAGGGAATAACCAATGCAACACACTCCCCACCCCCACCTTCCGAAACAAACCTCATGGTTGCGGAATCTACCCGATCGATGACGCACATTCATCGGATCTCGGGTGTTCCGCCCGTCCCAATCCAGTTCCAGCCAAGCAATATTATCTATCGCGATTAGATCATTGATGATATTCTTGCGACTTTGTACTTGACAATCGTAATTGCCCCGTTTTCCGTGTTCGTCTTAGTAATTGAAACGTAGGACGGCAGGTGCGACCGAACAGGACCTTGAGACTATATCTTTCTCTCAGCTTCGTAGTTTAGCTTCTTCCTGGGCTCTCTCCTCCCTCTCTCCTCACTACCTCGGTATTCTAACAACCATCCGACGAACATCGTCTCGCGATACCCCAAAGTCAAGTCCAACATGTCCGCACCAAAGATTCCCACCATCAAGCTCAATGACGGGCACGAGATCCCCGTGGTACGTCAAGGTCCCCTTCTCTCCCCGCGCCAAATGAAGCCAGCAACGACTAACATTCAAAAACCACCCACCCTCTCAGCTCGCTTACGGTCTCGGAACGGCCCGCGCAACCCGCGGCGGTCCCCTCGACACCTCCCTCGTCGAACTGACCAAGAAGGCCATCGCAACAGGCTTCCTCCACCTCGATGGAGCCCAGAGTACGTCTTCATTTTCTCCAGTAATCCCCATCATTATCACATCTCAACCCGAACTAACAAACTCTCAAAATAGTGTACGGCAACGAAGCAGAACTAGGCGAAGCAATCCGCACCTCCCCAACCCCGCGCTCCTCCCTCTTCATAACAACAAAATACTCCTACTACACCGCCCCCACCCCCGCCACCTTCTCCGCCTCCCTCTCCAAACTCGGCCTCGACTACGTAGACCTCTACCTCATCCACCACCCCTTCTGCGGTGGCTCCTCCGGCACCTCCCTAGCCCCTTACGACCCGGCCAAACTCCAGCAGACATGGGCCGACCTCGAACAACTCCAGCGGGAAGGGAAAATCCGCTCCATCGGCGTGTCGAACTTCTTGAGGGAGCATTTGGAGGTTGTCTTGGAGACGGCCAAGGTCGTGCCTGCTGTGAATCAGATCGAGTTTCATCCGTATTTGCAGCATAGGGGGTTGTTGGATTTTCATCGGGAGAAGGGGATTGTTACGGAGGCTTATGGGCCGCTTACACCTATTGTGAGGGCCGTTGAGGGGCCCGTCGCGGCGATCTATAATAGGTTGGCGGAGAAGTATGGCGTTTCGGAGTCTGTTGTTGGGTTGAGGTGGGTTATTGATCGCGGGGTCGTGGCTATTACGACGAGCTCTAAGGAGGAGAGGTTGAGAAGCTATATTGAAAAGGTGCCGTCGTTTAAGCTGACCGAGGAGGAGGTTAAGGAGATTTCCGAGGCGGGCCTGCAGAAGCATTACCGTGCCTTCTTCACCAACCGGTACCCTGAAGATGATCGAAGCTGAAAAGTCAAGCTAGCAATACTCAATAGCCAAGATTACGCAACAAATACTGTGAAGGCTGTTTCTTCTCCTTTTGTGTACTGCGGGAAAACAAAAAATAACGTAGGAAATCTGATTTTACTTCGTCTCACAACCACCTCTACCGTTCCCGGAATCCGAGAGAGAGACAAACATTATATACATGGATGATGTAATGCGATTCAGCAGCCCGAGCAACACAGTAATGAACAGTCTATTTCACCGAACCATCTCTTATTTCTTCCCCTCTTCCCTCCTCTCACCTCACGCGCCGTAGGCGACCTGGCCCATTGGCCTGTCCTCCTCCATACCGGGCGCCATGAAATTCGTCTGAGGGTTGCCCGTGGCCTTGGCGGCCGAGCAGCGGGCCATGGTAGGTGAGCTAAATGGGAGAACAGTGTGTTAGCCATGTGATTCAGAAGACCAATGAAAGAGTTGAAAAAAATACACACCTTCTTGAGATGACATCGGTAAAGTAAAAGTTCTCGATAACCTTCGTCAAGGGCTGGCCCGTGGGCTTGGATCCCTTGTTCTGGTCTACCAGTTGCACCTTGCTGAGCCGGGGAAGCGCCGTAGGCTCGATGACGTCGTAAGCGGCGAGCGCGGGGCTGATCTCGGTCATCCTCTCGCGGAGAGCGGCAAGGTCGTCGTAGGGGAGAGGAACGCCGAGGAACTCGCTGGCGGCGCGGACAATCTTCCAGTCGGGCCTGGAAGCGCCGGGGAGGGACGTCGCAGCACGGGTGGTCTGGACGCGGCCTTCGGTGTTGACGTAGGTGGCCGACTTCTCGGTGTAGGCGGCGCCGGGGAGGATGACGTCGGCGATCTCGGCACCCTTGTCACCGTGGTGGCCCTGGTAGATGACAAAGGCGTCGCGGGGGATGGAGGCGGGGTCGATCTCGTCAGCTCCGAGAAGCCAGACGATCTTGGGCTGGGTCTGGGCGACTTCGGGCGAGGGGGTGGTGAAGCCGACCTCGAAGGCGCCGGCGCGCGAAGCGGCCCTCTGGAGGATGTTGAAGCCGTTCCACTCGGGAGTGATAAAGTTGGCAGCGTTCTTCTCGACGAAGGCGCCAATGGTCTCGTAGAAGGCCTTGGCGTCGGGGTGGTCGGTAACACCAGAGCCCACGATGATCATGGGACGCTGGGCAGCCTGGAGCTTCTTGCCGAAGGGACCGGCGAGGGCCTTCTTAAGAGCCGCGTGGTCGGTGCCGAGGTGGTCGAACTCGAAGGTGGACTCCCAGCTCTCGCCAACGACAGCGATCTCGAGGTCGGAGCGGAGCCACTGCTTGCGGATACGGGCGTTAAGGACGGCCGCCTCATGTCGGGGGTTAGTGCCGACAATGAGCAGGGCGTCGACATCCTCGATACCCCAGATCTTAGAGTTGAAGCGGTAGTTGGACCTCACATCGACACCGTGGGGGATGGGCTGACTTCCAGAGGGCATATCCAAAGCCAAGTTGTCAGATCCTAACCTGTTGGCGAGGTCCTTCATGGCGACCATGGACTCGACGTCGGTGAGCTCTCCAGCAATAACCTTGAACTCGTTGGCCTGGGGCTTGAGGGTGGCGAAGGCGGCGGCGACCTGGTTCAACGCTTGCTCCCAGTCGGCAGGCTCGAATCTACCCTCCCTCTTGACAAGAGGCATGGTGAGGCGCTGAGTCTTGAGACCGTCGCAGGCGAATCGAGTCTTATCGTTGATCCACTCTTCATTCACATCGTCGTTGAGCCTGGGGAGAATCCTCATGACCTCCAAACCCCTCGAGTCGACACGGATGTTGGAACCAAGACCGTCCAGGACGTCGATGGACTCGGTATTCTTGAGCTCCCAGGGCCTGGCACGGAAAGCATACGGCTTCGAGGTCAAAGCACCGACGGGGCAGAGGTCGATAACGTTGGCGGACAGCTCGGAGTCGAGGCTCCTCTCGAGGTAGGTACCGATCTGCAGGTCGTTGCCACGGCCAGTGGAACCGAACTCGTGAGCACCGGCGATATCGTTGGCGAATCGGATGCAACGCGTGCAGTGGATGCATCGGTTCATCGATGTCTTGATAAGGGGTCCGATGTTCTTGTCCTCGACGGCACGCTTGCCGCCAATCTCGTGGAATCGGCCACGGTCAGCACCGTATCGCATCGACTGATCCTGGAGATCGCACTCGCCTCCCTGGTCGCAGATGGGGCAGTCCAGGGGATGGTTGGCGAGGAGGAACTCCATGACACCCTCGCGGGCCTTGTGGACGAGAGGCGAGTTGGTCTTGACAACCATGCCGGGTTGTACGGGCCAGGCGCAGGATGCAACGGGCTTCGGTGCCCTCTCGACCTCGACCAAACACATACGACAGTTTCCGGCAATCATAAGTTTCCTGTTGTTCGGGGGGGTTTGATTAGAAATTATCTCGTTTTTCGAAGGTGAGAATCGTAGGCTCGGGTAAGGCATACTCATGGTAACAGTATCTGTAAAGCGATAATTGATTAGCATGGAAGATCCTTCTCTTGTTTTCATCGAGCTGGGAGGACAAACCTTGGTACAGTAGCTCCGGCCTTTTCACACGCCTGAATCAAGGCAGAGCCAGCTGCGGATAAATATTAGCAAACAGAGCCTTCCGCCCGACCGCAGGAAGCTCCTTACCTTCTATCGACACCTTCTTCCCATCTAAACTGGGATTAGTAACTCTAGAAATACCAATTGAGATGCCTCAAGATTTGTTTCGTACCAATTGTGAGTTCCACCTCGGCCGCTCGCTGGGCAGTTGCCGAGAAAGCCCTCGAGGCATTGGCGACATGCCTACCGCCCGTCCGCCAGGCCGATCGAGCCAAAGTCTGCCGTAACATCGTGTCGCCCCCGAATTGATGCAAAGGAAAGACGATGTGTCAGGGGCGTAACTCTTTCCCGGAGAGGAAGGGGTGGTTTGCGGGAGAGGAGGGGGTTTTACGTCTGTTGGATAGGAACGTCGTGATGTGGTTTGAGAGCATTTCGATGAGAACTTGATGGTGGATTGATTACCACAGCCGTGATTGGCCAATCCGGAAATGCCTCAGGCCGCCAAAATTTCACCCGCTCCGCTCCTGCCCAGAAACAAATCACGAAAATTGTCGTCCGAATTTTGTCTCTCTTTCTTTCCTTCTTCTTTTTCTCATCAACAAATTGTACACGGGCGCACTTTATTGTAGGTGAGCTTGAACTTTGCTCCGCATCGTTTTCAGTCGAGCCTTCCTCTATCTTGTGCCCAAGAGAAAATATTTTATGACGCCGATTATGGATGCATTGAAGAGCCTTAAACTCGATGACCTTTGCTTCTTACCGCCGGTTGTCACATTTCTTCGTTTAATCAGGGCTTTGATGGGTTTGATGGAGGATCACTCGGAGATGTAGGGGAACTGCTCTGGACACTTGCCAGCATGAGGGAGGGGATATTCGAGGTCCATGAGGTCGTAGAATTTATTCGTAACTTCGTAACATACGCACCACTCAGAGGTACTGTCGAGGTCTCGTCGTGGGCAAGAGTACAGGATGCCGGAAGAGCCCCGGCCGCAGCTTCATCTACGTGCAGCTCGGTCCCGACAAACGGAATGAGAGCCCACTGCTGAAAGGGGAAGAATACGTGATCAACTCAGGTCCATGGGATCACCCAGCTCACACAGTCGCCCTTCCACAGCCTTCCTTTCCAACTGCGCCAAACGCATCCTATACATTTCAATCACCCTCTCGACATGGCCCTCATAGCCCTGCAGTTCCTTAACAGTCGCCTCAGCCAACTGCATCACTCGAACAATGTAGTTCCTCTGAAGAATGTCCCCAGGGTTGCTGTCAAACCCGGTCCGTTTATCGGGAATATCCTCAACCCTTTTAATCTCGTAGTTAACACCAGGTTCCGCGGGAGCGGCCAGGTTGGCGGCGAGTTCCTTTTCAGCTCTACGTGTCCACCTGTGAGCGGACGTCGGGGTCTTGACGGATTGATACTGGCGGACGATGACTTCCTTCTCGAGAGTCATGAGCTTGAGAATGTTGTGTTTGACATGATTGGCGTGGGCGTAGATAACGTCGATGCTTCTCTGGAGGTACTCTTTCTCGGTGGTCGGGGGTTCGGTGGGAGCGAGGAGGTCTTCTGTGATGGGGACGAAGATGGCATGGGAGGCGTTTGTTAACCGGGGTACCAAGTTCTCCGAACGCGACCCCATTTTCCGATTGGCTTTTGCAGCAGAGCTGTCGGAGTTGAGATCAATTGATATCAAGAACAGAAAGGCGATCTGTGTTGCAATCTTAGCTAGCGCAACACCGAATGAAATCGGGGTTGAGAGAGACTGGGAAGAAGATTGGTGGTGGTGAGGTTGAGAATTTCAGACTGGGGAGGAAGCAACGGGGCGACTCGAGTATTCGGGGCGAACAACCCCTCCACAACGAATAATACCGAGAATTCCCAGCTCACGATCCCAATTTACAGCGAAGAAATAGAGTTTACGGAACCTGATGAAGGCTACTTATCGACGAGATCTGAGTTACGAAATTTTAATTAGTCTGCTGAGATAGTGATTCGGAAAGTTGTGGGTGTAGAGACTTTATACGGGCCGCTTGATGAGTATTAGCCTGGCCAGTGACATTTGATATGGTGCGGCTTGAGCGACTAGACAATCACGCGTTTAGAAAAGAAGTCTTCTAGTGCTATATGCATAAGATGGCCAGGAATAGAGATAGTTTCCGAGAATCGTCCAGGGTCAAACGCCGGTGACCTTTTTTTTTTTTTTTTGGTTGGTAAGGAACACTCCCAAGGGCCATCAAGACGGCAATGACAATATGTGCCGCTGAGAACTGATGAAACAAACGCTGAAAAGGGTTCAGACGAGGAGCTAATTTGATTCAGGATTGATTCTTCCAACCAGAACAAAAGCATGTCTATCCGATCCCCGAACTCCTAACGCCGCATACCCCATGATCATTCCAGCCCCGAGTCAAGCACCTGTGTAAGACTGATCGATATGCTAATAGTTGCCTGTTCCCTGACGGAAAGTGGCTCAGGTACGGAAGTCTATAACGATGCCGTAGCTCTTCTGAAACTTTTCGTCCGCAACCTCTCCAATTTGACTCCGCACCGAAGCTGTCGCTATCAACAGTCATCCACTGGAGATTCGGGTGGTTGTAGAGGCCGCAAAGGGCGATGAACGGCACGAGGAAGGCTGATGGGTTTCCGGCAATCCCGGGTGTATCAATCCGCGCCGACAAAGGCGAGTCATATCGTTCCCATTACTATCACACGAGCACTATACCCACTGCGTCTCCAGTTACTGCCTCCGACTACTGCTGTCCCCGTTGAGGTGCCGATTACTGTTACCTGATGGCCCCCAACACGCCTCCAATCGCAGCATGCCGAACTATCGCAACACTAGCACCAATGATCGCCGCGGATTCCAGCATAGCTAACAGTAAATTTGTGCAGGGCCAAGAATGTTTTCATGGCGGGTTGATGGCAACTCGAAGCGAAGGTCTAGGATAGTCTCACGCAATGCTAATGATCAGTGGGGACCTTGAATGAAAGATCAATAGGCGTCAATGGGCCACGGACATCTGGTACGCGCGTTGGCGATAGCACATTCTTTTCCCATCTGCTCCATGCCTCTGATCCACTCTTGTACATCTAACATTCTGATATCGATTCCCTCGCTCTTAGACCCATACAAATAGAGTTCTGGGATGCGAACACCTAATCTACAAAGTTAGCGAAGTCCAGAAATGCAGAATATTGGAGTTTAGTCACACGCGCCTTTGAATGCACTCCGTATTTTGACCCATGCTTCCTCATCCCAGTTCCTCTTTCGAAGCGAGAGAAACATCATGGCAATCGGAAAGCGGAAATCCTTGTTGTCAGGGTAGCAGAGGAATTTGTCTGCAATCACACAGGCATCCGCGATGTCATCGTAGGTAACACGGGCGCCCTTGACGGGCCGCCCAAGGATATCAGTCCATCCCATTCGCAGCCAGTAATGACTCCGGAGAAGGCCTTCGTTCAGCCTAAGTTGCCTCAATGCAGGCAAAAGAGTATGCATCCACTTTGCCGCCCATGGGAGATCAACGTGTCCCACGATGGTATCGCTAGGCACACCGCCAAATGCGAAGTACTCGTGGTAGGGATCATCATGCCAGGGTATATTCAGCACCGGGACTTCAAGGTATGCAGCCAAGAATCGAGCTGGGTAAAATTTATCCTCCGGTATCTTCCAGGTGTCGACCAGAAAGATCTGAATGGCCTTGTATCTTTGCCTCCGCAGCCAGTCCGCGTAAGTGAGTGCCCAGAGCAAAGAACCCGTCAAGGACGAGATTACAAAGGGCGCATAGTAATAACGCCCCGCCATGTGAGCTGAGATCCACGGTCGGAGTTCTTCCTTGGTGAAACACACCGGGTCCGAGGAAACCCACGCGCCCTGGTAACGGGATTTCGTTGACTCGACTCTCCACGCAAAACGAGGGGTCTGAGCCAAGACGGCTTCTAAGGCTATGCGGGTCAGGCCATAAAAACATTGCAGGGGACGCAATACTACTGAGCTCAAGACTAGCCTACTTACTAGGAGCCATATTCCGAGTCTGCTCAGGAGTCCTATTCTGTCCAGAATTCCATGCCATGTTTCCGAAGCGGCGTGTTGGTCTGGGTCCTGCTTTGCTGTTTCTTTCTTTTCGAGGTCTGTTTAATCCGGGATTGCGTAGCAATTCTGGATGATGGAGAGCAAGAACAATATTGAAATGGACATGGCCCCTTTTTATGCTGACTACCCCGGTAAATTCAGCCGATGTGCGACCCTTGTCTTCGAGGACTTTTTGGTGGGGAGGAGCCGTATAAGACTAAATCCTATCAGGGAAGGCCTTGTAGTGAACCGAAACGCGGGTGAGTTGGATTTGGCCGGTAGCGAGGATCATAGAGTCCGAAAACTTGAAAAGTATGGGAGAGAAAGAACTGGAGGATGGACGGCATGGCTGATGAGATTGCAAAGCGAGTCGCGAGACTGGCCTGCTGCGCTTGCATCGGCAACGCGCCAATGCACGTCGTGTCATCGACCAATCAATTCATACTGCGTCCCGCGGCAAACCTTGAGACTTCAACTTCGACGTTGGGCCGTTGGGTCGTTGGAACTTGGGATTCCAACATCATTAAGCGCTCGGTTTTCGCGAAGCGGAGGGACAATTTAAACGCGCATACAATTGTGTTAGTCCCCTAAGTAATTGTATTAGGACCAACTTCACCTTGCGGCTCCTCCCGCCTTGCTTCCTTGAGACCAACAAACCAACAGACCAACAGACCAACAGTCGCCTCCAGAAGCGCATAGAGCCGCGGCGCCCGTTGGATCATGGGGATAGATCTATTAATGTCTCCAATCCACTACCGCGTTGCGAGCGGCTAGAGAGTTAACGGACCCTCGTGTCTCGGCTAGGTCGGCTCTAGAGCATGTTGTGTTGGCGCGGCATGCTGCCGCCAGACGCAGGGCATAATGATCTTCACCTCCGCAGCCAGCGCGCTTGCGGCTATAATCGGAGGGATATCGTTGGGATCTAGGTACGACCGAGGAGGTTGAATGTATGTGCTTCACTTGCGCCAATGCGTCGGAGCGGATGATGAGGCTGCTGAGGTTCCTCTCTCTCTCTCTCTTTTTTTTTCTCTCTCTTTTTTCTCTCTTTTTTCTCTCTCTTTTTTTCTCTCTCTTTTTTCTCTCTCTTTTCTCTCTCTCTTTTTTTTCTCTCTCTCTCTCCCCCCCCCCCCCCCCCCCCCCCCCCTTCCCCCCCCTCTCCTCTCCTTTTTTTTTTTTTTTCTTTTTTCTTTTGTTTGTGTGTTTTTGGTTGGACATGATAAGTTAGGCGCGTGCTGCCGAATTGTTAGGATATTTTCCGCACTACCTGGAGTTCGTGGGCATGCTTAATATCAATCAACCGACCCTTCAGTTTAGATAGTTGGAATGTTCATTGTTTTACCTGGGTAGAACGACTTTTTTCTCCTTTCATAGACAAACATGGCCCGGGCTTGTGCCGGACGGCATTAATTGTCTGGAATGCCTGGCGAATGTAGACTTTGTTAACTGGGATCATCTCACAAATTCGAGGTGGCCGATATTTAGATGTTAATACTCACGTAAAAAATAATAAGTTGATGTCAAACACTTGAATTAACATCCCAATATTTCAAAGACGCTGCCCGAGGGGGCGATGAGATACTAAACGATGGTAAGTTGTAATAATACCGTTGAAAATGTACATTCATCTATTCATACATCTAGATACGGATAAGCTAGTTGGAGCAGAGGAGACGATCGGTCTATAAAGTCCGTCTCTAATCTAGACTTTGCCGGAGTTAATAAAGTTAGAATAAACAAGAAAAGTCGTCCCCTTGCCTTGGCTGGATTATGTGAGTAAAAGTGCGATCAGAAGTTGATCTCCCGGTTGTGATGAGTATGAGACAAAAGAAATCTGGAGATGGAGGAAGAGCGAGTCGTGAATCGCTTGGGGGCTCGATATCCAGACCCAAATGCCATATATCGGCGTTCTGTTCGTCAGACAACCCTGTGGACTTGGCGTGTTAAGTCTGAGTAGTGATGAAGACGAAGACCGCGCCTCTCCTCAATGGAAAAGCCGCTCATGTCCGCTTAGCCCATTAGAAGAGGTGAGTTGCTCGACTACCATCACCTGGACGGCACAACTTTGCGAACATACTCCCTCACAAGCTTCAGCGCCGCCCTCACCAAATCCTCCAACCTCCTATCCTTCCTCTTCCGCATCCATATAAGCACCACGCTCAACACCACAACATCCACCACCAAATGCCGTATCGCCGCCCAAAACAACCAGGCGAACCACGCCCGCCAGCTCATCTCCTTCCTAAACTTCCACTCCCTTCCCGTCGTGATCTGCTCCCGCAGCGCCGCCACCTCCGTCGACAGCTTCACGAGCGCCCTCTCGACTTTGCGCGCCCACTTGCTGTTGCCCGCGGGTGTTTCGCCTGTGCTTGTCGGGTCGTAGTCTGCGTCTTCGTCATCGTCGTCGGCGAGGTTTAAGCGACGGTGCGACTCGAGCTCGGCTTCGTCTTGTTCGCTCATGGGGCTGAGGATTTTCATGGGGCTGGGTTCGTGGGTGGATTCGGCGTGGCGTTGGCGGGCGGATTTGGAGGGGGAGGAGGAGACGCTGGAGGTGTTGGTTTTGACTTGGTTCCATACGAACTCCAGTTCGGAGACGAGTTCTCTAGCGTCACTACATACACAACCCGCGTTAGTTGTACACCAAAAAAAAAGGACAGAGGAGGGACAGCACGACAGCAACCCACCCAGTCGTCGCGTATCGATGCATGGTCGAAATCAACGTCTCAATATACCGCTTCTTCGCCTCCGTCCTCGAAAGCCCCTTCTGCGCGTCCCACGCATCCCACTTATCCATCTCCCTCTTCAGATCCTCGGTCCGCATGCCCAGCGACGTGGCCGAGGGCCGCTCCATGACGCCATCGACATCGCCCTCCATGGCTTGCTTGTATAGGCCGTAGAGACGTAATCGGTCGGCGGGCGGGGGGCGCATGGCCCCCGTTTTGGGGATGCGCTTTACTGTGCTGAGGGCATGGACGAAGACTCGGTCTGAGGGGAGAGGGCATCGGTGTTAGCAACGGTTCGGTTGGGCTGGGTTGGGGGGGGGGTTCGGGGTGATTGTGAGGTGGGTTTAAAGAGAGGGGGGCTTGGGCGCATTTGGTAAGACTTACCTACTGAGTCCGTCATTGTGCGGTTTTTCGATGGGAGGGAGCTAGGAAACGGTGTAAATTCGAATAATGGGAATAGTCTTTCTAATTTTCAAAAGTTTGAGGTCGAGAGAGCGAAAGCTACGGCGTCATATCGCGTGGCAGCTCGCGCATGCAACGAGCCGCGGCTCGGGTTCCGTGGGCCGCAAGGGACAAACGAGAAGACGAGGCTAGCAACCCAGTAAAAGGCAGCTGATAACGGGGCACCCTTGCACCTGAACGCCTCAGCTGGAAAGCGAACAAAGCAGCAGGGGAGAAAAAACGATTGATGTTGTACAAAACCAAAGAAAGAAAGAGGTTAAAAGCAATTGGAAATCGCCGAGATGCAGACAATAAAGCTTCAGGTGTTCCAGCCCATTAATCCAGCCGGGGACTGGAGGGACTGGAGAAGAGGGTGGATTCGAGCAAATCAGATGTATTTTTGATTGCCCAGACCCAGACCAGACTTTACCAGACTTGGAGCCAGGCCCAGACCGAACAAGTGTGAATGTGAAATCTGGGGGCGGTTTGGAGGTGTCCATTTGGGCATTTAGCGTGGGCGGCTTGGATTTGTGCCTCGGCGCAAATGTGCGGCTTCGGAATGGAGCCTGCACCAGCTCGGCACCTGTGCCTTTTTCCCCGTGTTCATTGTCTTGTTCATCAATTGATCTATCCTACATCGCCGACTCTGCTAGGGTTTAAGTCCACTACAACACGCTATGCTGCTTGTACAACCACACCACGACGACACTATTAAGCCACATCAGCTTTGTCCTGAACACTTTTGAGCTTTTCAGATGTCCACCTCGACGCCATCAATTGACTACAGGTGATTGATGCTCGTAGACCCGTGGACCCCTGACGACACATTGGTCGTGAAATGCTGGGTGGTGTGCCGTGTTGGTGCTGGGGGACGACACTAACTCACAGTCGATGCTACTACTCCGCATCACTTTTCGGCCATCGACAACGGCATTTTGGCTGTCCTAGCCCGTTATGGTCAATAAAGTGCTATCAATCACTGTCGCATGAGCAATTGCCAGGCATTCCTGAGCAGCTGCAATGCAATTCCCAGTTTACTCCCACCAAGCACCTCGGCGTAACAAGAAAACAGCCTGTGCAGCTGCCCAGACTGCCATTTTTGGGGGCAAAGGAGTGCCGATTTCAGAACTCCAAGTCAGCCTGGATTCTGGAGCTCAAAGTACACTATCGCTGCCCACCTCGAACTGGTACAAGTCCAGACCGGAAACGGGCATTGAGAGCACCATGAAGCTTTAAAGAAGCTCAATGCTGAGACAATACACCAAATGCAACAGGCTGTTAATAACAAATCAGAAGGCAAGCCACCTAAGCTAGCCAAGGAGCTTCAATGGACAACCCCTCTGCCCTTGGAAGGCCAAAAACACTAAGCTTAATATTGTCTATGCTTAATGCCAGGAGATGGCTTTTATGAAAATGATTGGAAATGGGGACTAGAGATCTATTGTCAAATCACCCTCATATGAGAATAGGAGTGTAGTTGAGGTCTATATTTAATACTTGCTTTAATAATATAGATTGTGTCACGGGTTGAACCCCTAAAGATGAGTGTCAGCGAGACTGGCACCCAGCGAACCCTCACCGAAGTGATCGCGACCCGTCACCGAGCCCCATCGTGGACGCGTCGCGTGCCCGTGTAAATCTCTATACTATCACTATGCCGACGCCTTGGAGAGCCCCCGGGCGCCCCCCACAGCGATATAGCCCCTATCTCCCTACCTTCCTTTTCCTTCTCCTTTTTTCCTTCTTCTCTCCTTCCTCAATTATTTTATAATAGATATATCTCGGCCCTGCTGAGTAGCTATGACATCGCGGCTAGCCCGTAACAAATTGAGACTCTAAGAAAGAGCTCTGTCTAAATTATAAAGAGCTTAGAAGAAAAAAAAAAAAAAAAAAAAACTTAGCTTAAATAAATAGATGAAATTAAAAACTGAAGGCTTAACTGCACTTGCATTTGAATGGGCCGGGCTAATTTTTCTACATACTACTGAGACGGAGCAGTGCAGCCTGCCCGCACACCACAAGAATGAAACAAAAGAAACAGTTGGTCAAATGTCAAATGGGTCTAGAAATGGTTCCCGCAAGAAGCTGCTGCAATTCCGCCTGCGGGAGCGGTAATGGAACGTCGGAATGGTTGATCAACGGGAATAGAGCCGTATCGCAACCAAAGGGAGGCTTCCAAATAGGGGGAAGCCAAAGATCATATAAGTGTCAAATAGGGGACACTTGGGCACACAAAACAATAGAAGAACTGTCCGGAGTCACCACACAAGATGATCCATGAGAATTGATAACAATGAAGTGCATTCAAAGAAGGACTAATAGCTGGAATACTTGAAGAACTTAAGAAACTTGTTGAAGAACTTGTTCTTCCTCCCCTATGAGGAAGGAAAAGAAAAGAAATAACCATGCCCATGGCCCATGGCAAGGGAATAATATTCTTCCGCCCCTATTCTAGGGACCCGTGAGAACACCACCATTTCCTCCGCTGTCACCTTTTTCCCCGTCACACTACCTGACCTCAAAGTTTAATTAAGAATCCTGGGGTGCTGATAAGGAATGAACGGATGCGAATCCTGTTATCGTCCTTCCTCCGTCGAAACTCTGAACTCTGGAGGTTGAGGGCGGAGTCGAAAAGGGATTTCGAATAGAGCTCAGCACTTCCATTGCTTGATTTTTCCGCTCCTGGTCTAGCAACTCAGCTGCAAAATGCCTCTTTCGTATGATGGCCTCTGGAGCTTGGTCGCAGTACCTCATTAGAGCTTCAATCACCATTTGAAACGCCTGAGATGAGGGATCATCAAACTTGACCATTCCGGAATGATCCGCTGCGATGCCTGCTCTCTCCGTCTCGTCGAACGTCGGCGCGGCACTTTCCACTGACACAATATAATCTTTTTTTCCGAATTTGATTTCCGTCATCCTTTGCTCCCAGAAGAAAAAGATGTTGAAATTTTTCATTAGGGGAACAAAGTAATCTGTAATGTTTTGCAAAGTCTCCGACTCCTTTGCCAGCGCCGAGACCAGGTCTGAGTGAGAGGTCATTGATACTTTCTTGAGGTACGCGAGCCAGTTCGCCTTTTCGGACCCAAAATGAGGCGTGCCGAAGAAAAGTATGCCGTAGGTGCTAGCAAAGATATTGTACTCGTGAGATACTTTGTGCCCGGTTCTTGTGTGAGAATATGATAATGCCTTCATGAAATTTTTGTTAGCATGTCGTTCTTTGTCTCCAGGTTAGCGCTGCATGACATGCATCATGAGGGAAGTGTTCTTACACGTTTCACAATGATGCCTCCGAGAGAATGACAGAGAAATATGATAGGCTTACTATTCATCCTATTAATCTATTCAACCACAAATATTAGACGCTGTTTGCATTGTGGACCAGTCTTGCCGAAGTTGTTATTTAGTTATTGACATTACTTACCCCTCGGTTGGCGGATAGGTTGGCGACTAGAGTATGGGCGTGCTGGTGTATACGGTCCTTGGCTGGCTCGTCGCCAACGAGAGATGAAAAGCTCGAGTTGTATCCCCAAGTAAGGACTCGGGCCTTTGTTATGTACTTCGGAAGGTAATCGGGGTGATTTAGCCAACAGACGTCGCCTGTTCTCGATGTCCATGTTCTGCGGGCGCCCCCATTGAGGCCATGAACTGCGACGATGCTACAGGTTATGTTGTCAACAAGACGTCAGAAAGGAACTGATCCTGGCTCAACTTACTCTATCTCTGGCTCGATGCCCACGGGCCTCCACAGCTCTTGGATTCCGTAGGTGTCCATGCTTGGTGGGGCGATCTCGGGGTGGATCGAGGATCGACTTGCGCCGGGCTGGTCTTAAGCAATGAGGCATGGATAAATCAGCCTTTAATGCTGGGGCAGGTTCGACTTTATACAATTTGTTTCAAGTGATGGTTGGGTGGCTGTGTTGGATATGGATGGGTCGGGAGAGGGCGCCGTAGCTGCGGAGTTATGCAGGGTGACCCAACAATCACATACGTTGTTGGCGGCTTTGGCCGACCAACCTGTTTTAAAGCAGCCATAAGGGGCCGCAGGCAGCCATGTACCTGTGAGTCGAAAAGAGAAAGGGGGGGGCTGACCCAAACTGATCAATCTATTAGAAATAGGGTACATTTATACAAATCGAGCGTAAGATTTGGACCTTCCTTTCGTTTTGGGGAGGAGAGGAGGACCAGGGGAGAGTCGCTCTCCCCCTTAGTCTCAGACATAAGGCACGATAGGTAGGCAGAAAATCTTCCCAATCCACCATTGATACCAATACAATGTGCCTTGTGCTCTTAAACGAGGCTTCCGTCTTTCTTCAGTCTAACCCTGCAGCCATCAGCACTTGACAGCACAAGGGTCAGCGTCTGGCGCTCCGACCCCACCGCCTCTATTGTTTCCCCTTCAGGCAATTCGATGACAGGGAAAGTTTGTAGCAGGCGCACAACAGTATATGAGACCTCCATGAGAGCAAAGTCCTCCCCGAGACATTGCCTCGGCCCGCCATTAAACGGGAAATACGCCCATCCAATCTCTGCGAGCTCACCAGTTCCCCATCGCTCAGGCTTGAAGTCATCTGCATCCTGGCCGTATATATTCTTCTTCCTTGAATTTACGTATTGTGAAAACACGACGAGTTCTCCTTTCCTGACTAGGATTGGGCTATTCCCGTCAGGACCGCCTCCTGTAGGTAATATCGTCGTCCGAACGGCTTCTCGATTATTCAGCGGCACAGGGGGATAGAGGCGGAGACCTGCGAACAGGGGATTAGAAGAGTTTTGTTCTTATTTGCGGTGTTGCATTTTGACCTACTTTCTTTCACCACGTAACTTAGGTATAGCATTTTTCGAATCTGCTCCCTGGTGGGGCTTATCGAATCCCCCATAACGCCGGCAACTTCACGGCGAAGACGTTGCATGACTTGAGGGTAGCGAACAAGGAGGCGGCTATACATAGTTTAGCACCCGTGCTGAGAAGCCAGTAAACGGTTTGCTAGGGGCGCTCACAATGTCCAAGATAGACAACAAGCTGTAGTATCTCGTCCCGCCAGGAGCACATTGAGTAGCTGGTCTCGAAGGTCTGAAACCGTTTCCGACTCGGAGGCAACTTGGTCAATGAACCATGGCGCATTCTCATCCACGGCTGCTCTATCTCTCGAGACAGAGTCAGTCAACTGTTTTTCGCGGATATACCTCTCGACGAATTGGTGGACATTTCGGCACGCCTTCCGAAAGTCAGGTGGGTTGTAGACGAAGTGGAATGGCGCGAGACGGAACCGTTTTGCGAGTCCCTCCTGAGCAATATTGAAACTCTCCGCGAACTCCTTATTCTCAGCAGCCTGGTCGATGTTCGCCCTCAGACTGTAAATTGAGGATCCGAAGAGAAGTGCGGTCGCAGTATCTAGTGTAAGTCGAAAAAAGAGCGGCTGAAGATCGATGACATCATCGGCGGGCATACAATTGACGAGGTTATCAACGTGCTCACGGAAAGACAGTTCAAGGTTCTGGTATTTTGCCCGGACAAACTGCTTTCGTAGAAGTTCTCTAGAGTGTTTCCATGCCTGGCCTTCCTGTGTAAAGATGCCGTTCCCGAGTAGCGGTGCAAAGACAGACCGTCGACTGCCAAAGCCGTAGTCTGGTGTAGCCTTAGTGAGAGAGAACTACAGACCCGTAACAGAGTTTCGAGGATTGATTTTTGGTTGCTTACCGTTGAAATTTGTCGACAGGAGCGCTTCGACGTTCTTCGGGTGAAGGATGTGATAAGCGCGGGGCCCAATAAGTAGGTACTGAGAAAGGTTGTTGCGGGGCTCATAGTCCTTTGCTACAGAGCAGAGAAAAGCCAAAAGCCGCCCATCAGCGTTAGAGTCCCACAGCTCTTTGATCCGATCGATGCCTAGAGGCCACCGTTTTGGTAGCTCGGGTGGTGGCTGGCAGCCATGCCGATGGCCTAGAGCAGTATCGGCCTGCTTAACGTGAGAAGACGAACGTGGGACGTCTCGCTGCTCTGACAAAAGGCTCCTCACCTGGTAGTCCAATATTTTCCGTGAGAGATGGTAAACCAAGCCTGCAGCAAGGGCAAGCAACAAGAGGGTCCTCCAAGTGCTGGGTAGCTGGAGATCTGTTGGAACATGAAGCGTCATTCCCATGGTGCAAGCGGAAGAGATGCTGTGCCAGACAGCAACGGTTTTTGTAGCGTTTCTGGGAATTTGGAGGCTGGAAAGACCATCGCGCACGGGTGGCGCTGGGTAGACATATTTCGAGCATCTGAAGGCCCTTGCTCGACCTCTTTTTGTTCGCGGTCCCAGAACATCCTGGCGGGGATGAACGTGCCGTGTGGTTGATTAAAAGCGGAGCAGAGTTCCGGTTCGGCCAATCGCCGTCCTGGAGCGGCGATAATAGGCGCCCGGGAACAAGGTCTGGGTTATTCCCTAGGTCCTATTGGTCTTGACGCAATGGGAACGCGCACGGTCGCGGCCTGAAATGTTGGCTGCCGCTGAGCTGACAAATAAGGTGTCTGATATTTGTTTCAACGGGCCGAACCCCCAGCCCCATCGAGCCGGCCTGCCACCTTGTGGCATGCGCATGGAGCGTATTGTCCAACTCCGTACTTCGTAGAGCACTCACTACTTTGAGGTGTTCATATCCGATTTTGTCCTTTTCCCCACTTGCTAAGCGCAAGTCTGGTTGACTCTGACGATGCTAGCTGTGTCGCAGTCTTTCCATTGACGATAACCGCATCTATCGTCAGTCGACGACGACGCACGTCCTAGTGTCCATACGATTTCTTTCTTGGAAGAATGTCACTGGGTTGTCACTGTCTCTACGATGGAGGATCAACCCATGGCGCCAGCTCCAGGAGCAACCTGGTTGAGTATGTTCTGCGGCCCCTCGCGCAAAGGTTTCAAAGCCTAAGTTTTGTCCTAGTATCGTTGCTCTCCACGATGTATACGAAGACCCTTTCGAAGCCTGGACTGATCCCGAATCCGGGATCAACTGGCTCCGCGATCTCCTACCCAAACACGTCCAAGTCGGCCGTGTTGTGTCATACGGCTATGATTCCACGGCCCGGTCCTTTTTCGGCAACGACGCGCCGGAGAATATACAGAGGATGGCAGAAAGTCTGGTTCAAGAGCTTCGCGCAAATCGACAGTTCGCCGGGACCCTGAGACGCCCAATCATTTTCATCTGTCATGGTCTCGGCGGCGTGCTCCTGAAGAAGAGTCTAATCTATTCGTCCACCCGAACAGCGCCCAAAGTTGTCCACCTGTGGGACCAATTCGTCTCAACGTTCGCCATCCTTTTCTTCGGAACCCCACATGGAAAGACAACCGCATCGAACTGGTTGGCACTCGAAAAACAATCCCATCAATCACAACTCGCCACCTCTTATACCCTCGCCCATGGCCCTACAAGCGTCAGAGAGAATAATCAGCTTGTCCAATCCATCAGCAGCGATTTTATGCCGCTTATTAAGCAGTTCCACATGTTCTTCTTCTGGGAGGCGCTGCCAACCTCGTTCAAAGGTCGCTCCGTATTCATCGTCGATTCCGAATCTGCTGTACCGAAACTCGACAATACCGAGGCAGCCGCAATCTATGCGACACACTTTCGGATGGTCAAGTTTAGCTCGAGAGAATCGTCCGACTATTGCACAGTGATTGCTGCCCTCACTAACTACTGCGAGAAAGCCCCTGAAATTATCTCTCATCGGTGGGGTCAGGCAGAAACCGCGCTTCAACAACTTCGTGCTAGCGAGGCCTGGGAGCTTGGAGGGTATGGCTTTGATGTCCACCTGAGGGAGCCATTCCGGCATCAGAATATTGCGGTTTATTATCATTTCTACCCTCCTCAAGACATTACACCTACCTTTGTCGGGCGTAGAGACAAGATCGAGGTTGTGTATACAGCCCTTTTTCCTACTGACCAATTCGAGTCCTGTCCTAAGAGAAACACATTTGTCATATTCGGGATGGGAGGATCGGGCAAGACGCAATTTTGCTCAAAGTTTGCCTATGACTATAGACACAAGTATGGACGCCCCAGATCCTATGCCGAGAGTGAATTGCTAACAGGTCTTAGATACACAGCAGTTTTTACTATATATGCTGCCACGAAGGAGACGGCCGCGGACTCATTCTGTAGGATCGGCAAGCTCGCTGGTTTGGAGCCTACCGAAAATGCGGGAAGACACTTTCTCTCGCAACTAACAGGGCCCTGGTTGCTCATCATTGACAATGCCGACGATCCCAAGCTGGAACTTGCGGACTTGTATCCTTCTGGATACGCTGCTCACATTCTGGTGACTACTAGGATCGCTGACTTCCGTCAACAAGGAACTCTGGGATTCTTGGAGCTAGGAGGGCTCAACGAGGAAGAGGCTCTCCAGTTACTCTTAACAAAGGCGGACATCCCAAGACCGTGGGACCCATCGACCAGAGAAGCGGGTGGTTTGATCACTAAGGCACTTGGCTACCTCGCACTCGCCCTTATCCAAGCCGGCAATTGCATCTATCGTCGAATATGTGACCTTGGAGAGTATCTCAGTCTCCACTCCGCCACTAGGAGCACATTGCAGCAGAGAAAGTCATCGGCAGCACACCAGGTGGACGAAGACGATATTTTCAAAGTCGTCTACTCTGCGTTCGACGTGTCATTAGAATTCCTGTTGAACCAACGCTCCATAAAGGGCCAGGACGCATCAGACCTTCTCAAGATCTTCAGCTTTTTCCATTTTGAACACATTCCAGTTCAGATCTTCTCGAAGGCCTTTCAAAATCGGATCCAAGGCCTAGAAAGCATCTCTACCCACCGCATCCACTCGAGGCTCGTCAATACAGTGTTAAAGCGTCTTGAGCCGCCGAAAATGCTCCCAGAGTTCCTAAAAACAAAGGGCGGAGGGCTTGACAAATATCGAATAAATCGGGCCATAGCCGAGCTCGCGCGTCTCTCTTTGGTTAGTTTCGACGGAAAATACATTTCCTTGCACCCGTTGGTTCATGCCTGGGCCCGAGACAACCTCTCGAACCGGGAACGAGACGTCTGGGTATCCATTGCCCTTAACACTCTAATGGCGTCTATCTCACTACCTATGGATGGTACGGGGGAGGATGATGGCGACTTCTACCGGGATGTGCTACCGCACCTTGAGGTTTGCCTCCACGAACACGGAGACCCGGTCTCAGAATCGATCAAGACCCTTGGAACCTCCTATTTTCGTTTTACCCATTTCCTCCAACCGACCAAGATGATGATAATCCGTGACCAAGTCCAGAATGCCGCAAAGTGTGGTTGGATATTTTCCCAGCGGGGCTTGTTCGAAAAAGCCAGCATTCAACTCCAGACGGTGAAAGAGGTGTTGACCCAAACGCTAGGCGAAGAAAATGAGAAAACAATGACAGCAATGCTAGGATTAGCCGCGGTATATTGGGGCTTGGGTCGATTAGAAGAGGCCATTACTCTGCAGCGTGCCGTTGTAGATACGCGATATAGGATATTGGGGCCCATGAACGAACAAACCCTTCAAGCTATGGACCATCTGGGAAAGTCCTACTGGCTCCACGGACTGTATCGAGAGGCCCTTGAGCTTCAAAAAGTTACTGCGGAGCGAATGAGGTCAACAATCAAACCCGATCATCCAAACTATCCCCATGTGCTTGCCGCCATGGACAATTATGGGGTCACGCTCGGGGCATGGCGCAGGTACGAAGAAAGCCTAAAAGTGCATCGTGAAGTTCTAGAAGCTCGCAAGAATACTCTGGGCGAGACCCACCTAGATACTCTTACGACAAAAGCCAATTTCGCGATGGCTTTACTCGACCTCGGGCATGTGGATGAGGCTAGGCGACATATGAAGGACGTATATGAGGAACGCCAGCGGCAGCTCGGCAAGGAGCACCCTTGGACGCTCTGGGCTTTGTGCTATCTTGCCAAAGTCTACATTGAAAACGGCGAGCTCAATGCCGCAGAGGATATCCTTATCTGGGGGATAGCAGCTGGAGTGAGAAGCCTCACTGAAACCCATCTCGGTGTCCTCATGGGCCGTGGCGAACTTGGGCGCGTCTATGCCAGGCAGGGTAGGCTGGACGAGGCAGAGAAATTGACCTTGGAAACCATGAACCTCATCGAGAAATCCCGCGGTATAGCACACCCCGACTGTGTCTACGTGCTGCTGAAATTGGTCCAGCTGTATGTGCTCCGAGACGACCGAGTACGGGCTATAAAGATTTGCCGCTTAGCATTAGAAAGGGTGGACCTGCGGATCACGAGGGCACATCCGCTGGGTAAGGAGCTTGAAGGGATGTTAACGGTCCTTGAGGATCCTTGTTCCTCTACATCAGATCTGGCGAACTTGACTCCCCGCGCGAAAAAGTCAGCATCGAGTTCAATCCGCGAGAAGCGAGGCGGACAGGGGACTAGCAATATAACTAAGAGAGCTACCCCCAAACGAAGTCTGCGGGCTCCTACCTGGTGAAGGTGATGGGGTGGGTTTATGATGGGTTACCCTTTAAGGAGCTGGGGCGGCGGCCCATGTACCAATGTAGCATCTCTATCGAACCTCATGGACACAGAGATTGGGAGACTCGCGTGCGTGCCTGCGGCCATTGAACGGGACGAAGCGCCGGAGGTTGTGCAATCCACTCGTCGTTGCCCTGTGAGATGGATAGCTCGCGTGTGCAGGTAATAATCTTTTCGTCTCTATCTGAACCTTCTTGTACAATATGTTTCATTAGGTAGCAATGCCAATCAACTGGCTGTGTGTTAGAAACGAATACATCCTTTAATCCGTACCTGACCTTTTTGACAGATGCATACTACCAATACACCCCCTTCCCGCCAATATAATCCCACCTGCCACCTGGTACCGTTCGGCATTATTCAGGGAAGTGGAGGCATGAGAACGGGTAGGTTTATGAGTGAGTGCGAAAACAAATATAGGAAAACGGAAACTTTCATATGTCCATTCTTTTAGGTTCAGGGCTCTGGAGCGGAGTGCCTTGCAAGGTACTTGTCGTACAGGTCATCGCACTGTCAGGATAGCACAGGTCTATAGCACGTGATAAAAATCCGGGGAATCAGAAACCGGCATTCCTGGCAACGGCATGCACATTACACGCTTCTTCGTGGCTTGCTCCCAATCTTGATCGATCTAGACGCCAATATGATATTTTGTACAGTTTACAGTTTTGTAAGGTCGGGCATTTTTTACTCCAGCCATTGTTTCCTCCGTCCGCCATTTAGGGTATATTGCATAGTAATACAGCTAGCATCATCCAGACATCATCTTCCAGCACCTTCAAGTTGAGCCCAGGCCTCTAAGCACCCTTCTCCATCTGCTCCATCTGCTCCAAGTACGCCTTCTTCTTCGCCTCGTAAATAGCCATCTCCTTCTTATTCCCCAGCGCCATAAGCGCTGCCTTCTGCCCGGCCTCCTTCTTCGACCCCGCCGTCCCCCACCCCAACAGCTTCATCTTCTCCCCCCAGCCCTTGAGATAGAGCCTCACCTTATACAGCGGCAGCCCGTTATGCTTATTCTTATGTGTCCCCGGCACGTCCTCGTAGATTAAATCAACGCCGGGCACCTTAATCGCCACAGACAACTTCTGCTTCGCAAGCGACGCCTCATCCACGTTCCTCTCCTGCCCCAACTCCGCCACCCTATGAACCTCGGGCTTCTTCTCCGCCCTCCTAATCTCATCCGCGATCGTCCTCGCCCACAAAGCCTTCAACCACGCCACGGCCCTCGCCGCGCCCCTTTCCTTATCCGAGAGTATCACGGCCCCAACGTACGCCTCGAACATGTCGCCCTGGATTTTGATCCCCTGCGGCGACTTAAGATCGACCCACTCCGGCAACTTGGTCCGCTCCAGCATATTGTAGTCCCGGAAATACCCCGCCAGCGTCTGGTTGCGCAGCAGACGCTCGCGTAGCTGTGAGGCTTTGCCGGAGTCAAGCCCGCCGAAGGTGAAGAAGATGAGGAAGCTGGAGACGAGGTAGATGTTGGCGTCGCCGATCCATTCGAGTCGGTCCCAGTCGATCTCGCCGGGGAGGGCGACGGCTTTGTAGCGGAAGGCGGCGGAGGCGAGGAACGGGTCTGCGGGGGGGAGGGGGGGTAGGGAGGGGAGGATGTCGGCGGTGGTCCAGGGGGTGATTTGGGCGGGGTTTATGGATTGGGTTTCGCTGGTTACGGAGAGGATTTCGTCTGTGATCTGTTGGGCTTTAGGCTGGGCTTTGGGCTGAGCTTGGTTACTCTTACAAACTTGTTAGCTACACTAACCTCAAGGCTGAAGGGTGTGTAATAGGAATGTAGGAATACTCACCAGGGTCTGGACGCTGGAATCCTCTGGTTTCGCCCTAGCTAATGTCTGTATGGCCGGTAAGATCTCCTTGCTCAGAGAAATCAACGTCTCGTCGACGCGACCACCCCCAGAGCTCTGCAATCGTCGCAGGCAGTCAACAAGGCTGCTCGAATGGGACCTTAGGACCTCCACGGCCTCCTCGGCGGATTGCACATCCCTTTCCGATTCCTGTCGCTCATGGCTGCTCGATCTTCGGCGCTTAGATCGGTCTTCGGCATCGGAGGTTTCGTTGCGTGGTCGTTTCACCATTTTCTTTTTTGGATTTTCTTGTGATATGAACTTTTTGAGGTGTGTAAGGCGGAAAAAAGACCAGTTGACGTGGGGGTGGGGCCAAAAAAACCAAGTAGATCACAGGCGACAGCTTCAGCTCTCGGGGAAAAAGAACAAAGGATGAGCAAATGAAAATTGGTGGACTTTCGTCTTACTTCGTATTTCAAACATACCGAGATGGATTTGGAATGCTACAGGTAACTGGGATATTTGATTGGATTTTATCATTGCTTTTTCTTGTTTATTTTCGGAAATATTATTCTTCATGCTTCACACCAAGTTTGACCTTTTGCTAACAAATCGAGAGCTTAAATAAAGATGGCACTGTTGGGAAGTATCTCCTGCAGATTCAGCTTCAGTACCTATTGGTATTCTCACCAGGATGTCATTTTCTCCCCTCCGGGGAAGTGCAACTATTTCCGGGCCACAGCCACCCAGGAACATTGTCATTTCTCAGTGGCAGGTCACAGATGCGGCAAGTCAAAAATGATTGACTATGCTCCTGGAGTTGAGGCGTTGCGAGAGGCTTATCAAGTTCGGAGAGAACTTGAAGGCCGTATGTAGTGCAGGCTGGATTCAGTATGTATATCCGGACTCGCCGCACTTCCCACAACCGCAATGCTGCTCCAATACAGCGAAGTTGCATGTACATTGGGCCAGAGATCATCAGAAATTGAAAAATATACCCGGCTTTGATGGTTTGCCCGGTCATATATAGTCCTCGTGAGGACTCGTGAGGAGAACATTTCGATTCGAGTCCGAGAATCACTACTCTCTCTCTCTCTCTCTCTCTCTTTTTCATGTCCATTGTTCCCCCGGAACCTCTATGAACTGCACCCCTTTCCCATATAGCACGTCGACAGAAAATGAGCGGACTGCTATGGATGACGACCCCATCTTCGAACCAGACCAAGGCGACGCCATCATCCGCACAGCCGCGTACCACCGCCGAGACTTCGGCCTCTCCGTCCTCGGATCCAGCCCCTCCGAAGACAACCGCGTCCGCAAATGGATCGCAGACCCTTTCCCCTCCATGATCCTCGCCAGCCTCGGCATGCTCGACCGCCTCCCCCTCGAGCTCCTCTGGATCATCTTCCTCTCCTTCGATGTCCAATCCTGCTTCAACTTCCGCCAGGTAAACCGCGGCGCCCGTAACTTGATATCAAACCTACCCAAGTACCACGTCGTCGCGCGCCACGGGCTCCAGTGTCTCCGCGCCGTCCTCCAAACCGGGATCGGGCGGTACGTGACCATAGCGGACCTCTACCATCCCCTCTGCATGGGCACCTGCGCCGTGTGCAAAAAGTCTTTCGGAGGGTTCTTGTTCCTGCCTACCGTTACGCGCTGCTGTTTCCGCTGCATCACCTCATCCCCCTGCCTACGCGTCGTCTCCCTCTGGGCCCTCAGGACAAAGTCGGGCGTCTCGGTCAGGCGCCTTCGCCAGATCTTGCCCGTGGTACGCACGCTTCCCGGAACATACACGATATTGAGAAGACCCCGCGTAAAACGCACCGAGGTGGTCGCCGAAGTGCGAGCCATGGACCTCCTAGACGCCATGGGTTTCCCTGCCAAAACCTCGGACATTTATTTCAACGCCGGCGCTGCGGGATACGCCTACGTCTGGAGGTTCATGGTGTCGACGGTGCTGCCGCGTCTTGACCCGAGGACGGGTCACGTCGAGCAGGGGGTCTCTTGCAAGGGCTGTCAGATCGTGCTTGAGAAGCCGAGATGGCTTTGGCCTGATGACGTGTTTGACAGGCGGGATCGGGTTTATTCGAGGGAGGGCTATTTGGACCACTTTCCGCTTTGCGCTGAGGCGATTAGGCTTTGGCGCCAGAGTCGGGGAGGTACCGTCGCTATTCGTGAGCCGGAGTTTACAAGGAGGGGCGGCTACTTGGCCTCCCCGGACTGTTGTGATCGATGCAATGTTCTGACTCGGCGGATCACTTGAACAGCCGGAAAGAAGCTTCTGGGATGGTTCGCACCTCCGCTCCCGCACCAGAGTTCTGGCGGAAAACTGTTGGACGTTGCATGGTTCGTTGGCATAAGGGCAAGGAGAGACGAGATGAGTGAAGGGAATGTGGATACGGGTTGTAAGAGCGCATCTATTAATAATCCACGGCTCGGAAGTAGGATGCATGTAGGGTAGGGTAGGTAGCAGACCACTTGGGGAGGCAGAGGAGCGGATCCTTCGCATTAGCACTGACAGATGATTGACGGGTGTCTGTGGTAGGATTGGATCGGGCATTGTTGGCGGTGAAACTAGTGATGTCTGATATGGAAATGGTGCAAGCTTGACAAGGAGGAAGAACTGGATTGGAAGCGGGTGTGCTTCCCCAGCCTCTAGTGTACATACGAAGTAGCTGGTCTTCAGGGTGCATTCTTTACTTCCTGCTTCATAAGCGATCATCAATACAATTTTATGTCTATCACCTGCATAACCCAAAGTTGTCAACAACCCGCCTTTATATCTAGATCGGAAACACGTTTTGGATAAATATCTGTGAAATCAAAAGCGAATCCCCAAAAAGTGAATTACCTTGTTCCAATCGATAAGGATACATGCGAGACGCGGCATGATGCTCTCCGCCGTGTACCAGCACGAGAGCGCACGCTACAACTGTACTCTCCAAGTACAGCAACTGAGGTAGATTCTATTAACAATTTATAATATGACAATTGTGTTTGCACGCCGAGTTGAGTTGGGCATACTTCGTATCTGATAACCTAGTTCTACTTAGCACTCCATTGTCACTGCACAGGTAGCAAACAATGCGAACAAACAACCTGAAACGACGCTCACTGATCTCGTTCAAGGGTCTCTTCGGTCACTGAGAGTCTACTAGTGGTTGAATCAATATTGGGTAGCACAGGCACCACAGCTCACAAACACAACCCCGGAACTGTGATAACAAAAGGTCCCTTAGAGACGCAGACATGACGTCAAAAGGCTAAAATAAAATTCTAGAAGATGCTGATAGATCCCGAATAATTTTTAGGGAGTACTCGTTTGCCGTCCACTGCACTACAGAGTACGAAGCAGCCATATCCCGAACTAGGGAAACTATTACACTATCGCCTGCGGTTCCGCACGCCCTTCCATTTCCCTTTTTTTCTTCTTTCTCTTTTCCCTTTCTGACTCCTCCGCTGCAAACCGATACCGTGCTATCATGTGGAGAAAGCGGCATATTCCCGTCCATCATTCTTACCGGAATTCTTTCGAGGGGAGAAAGAAAAAAGAAATAGAAAAAGAAAAATAAGAACGCAGAGCTGCCTTCTATGTTGCTACCATCCCGCGCCCTCCCGAAGCGCTTACTCCCTCCCGCCTTCACCATCTCAGGACGAATACGACTCTCCCAAGCGACTCGAGCTTACATCCCCTTTCGATCGAAAGCCACTATGGCAACGAGCGGACCCGACGGCGACTCGGCCTCCAGCTCAAACTCCTACCCGGGCACCACGCTCGCCGACCTCCCTCTATCATGGACCTTCCCATCCTCCCTCCCCCATGACGCATTCTACCCCACCCCCGCCGCCTCCCACGCCACCCCGCGCGACCAAATCCTACCCCGCCAAGTCACCGGCGCCCTCTACACATGGGTCCGCCCCGAACCCACCCCCAACCCGGAGCTCCTCTCCGTAAGCCCCACCGCCATGCGCGATCTCGGCATCCTCCCCTCCGAAGCCAAGACCTCCGAATTCCTCCAAATCGTCGCCGGGAACCGCCTCCTCGGCTGGAACGAACAGACCCAAGAGGGGGGCTACCCCTGGGCCCAATGCTACGGCGGGTTCCAGTTCGGCGCTTGGGCAGGCCAACTCGGCGACGGCCGCGCCATCTCGCTCTTCGAGACGACGAACCTCGCCACGGGGACGCGGTACGAAGTCCAGCTCAAGGGCGCCGGGATGACGCCCTATTCGCGCTTCGCGGACGGGAAAGCCGTGCTGAGGTCGAGCATACGGGAATTCGTCGTGTCCGAAGCGCTGCATGCCCTGGGGATCCCGACTACGAGGGCGCTTTCGTTGACGTTGTCGAGGGGCTCGAGGGTGATTAGGGAGAGGTTGGAGCCCGGGGCGATTGTGGCGCGGTTTGCGCAGTCGTGGTTGAGGTTGGGGAATTTTGATATTTTGCGCGCGAGGGGCGATAGGCCTTTGACGAGGAAGTTGGCGGGGTATGTGGCTGAGGAGGTTCTTGGTGGGTGGGAGGCGTTGCCGGGGAGGTTGGAGAATCCGGAGAAGCCGGCGGAGGATGAGTGGCCTAGTAGGGGGCTTGATCCGTCTGAGATTGAGGGACCGCCTGGTGCTGAGGAGAACAGGTTCGCGAGGCTATACAGAGAGGTTGTGCGGCTCAATGCCGAGACCGTCGCCAAGTGGCAAGCATATGGTTTTATGAACGGCGTGCTCAACACCGATAATACGTCCGTCATGGGCCTCTCGATCGACTTTGGCCCCTTTGCTTTCATGGATAACTTTGACCCTTCCTACACCCCCAACCACGACGACAGCCTCCTCCGTTACAGCTACAAGAACCAACCTACAATCATATGGTGGAACCTCGTTCGTTTCGGCGAAGCTCTCGGCGAACTCATGGGCGCCGGAGCAGGCGTCGACGACCCCGTCTTCGAGAGCGAGGGCGTGAAGCCCGAGCAAGAAAACGAGCTCGTCGCCCGCGCCGAGAAGCTCATCACGCAGGCCGGTGAGGAATACAAGGTCGTCTTCCTGCGCGAGTATAAGCGCCTCATGGCTGCCCGCCTCGGTTTGAAGGCCTACCGCGAGTCGGACTTTGATTTACTATTTAGCTCGCTGCTGGATGTTATGCATGAGCTTGAATTGGACTTTAATCTCTTCTTTAGGAGGTTGAGCGCGTTGAGGGTTAATGAGATTGCGACGCCCGAGGCGCGGAGGAATAAGGCCTCCGTTTTCTTTTACAAGGAGGGTGTTACGGTGTGCAGGGAGGATGATGCGCGTGTCAAGATTAGCGAGTGGCTTGACCGCTGGCGCAGGCGCATCATCGAAGATTGGGGCCAGAAGGGCGTCGGCGAAGAGGCCGGCGTCATTACCGAGGAGCAGGATGAGCTGCGCAGCAAGGCCATGAAGGCCGTGAACCCCAACTTTATCCCGAGGGGATGGGTGCTCGACGAGGTTATTCGACGGGTAGAGAAGGAGGGCGAGAGGGATGTTTTGAGGAGGGTGATGCATATGGCTTTGAATCCGTTTGAGGAGAGCTGGGATGGGAGGGAGTTTGAGGGGGTCAAGTATGAGGGGGATGCGGAGGAGGAGGCGAGGTGGACGGGGGATGTTCCGGAGGTGGTGAGGGCTTTGCAGTGTAGTTGTAGTTCGTGAGGGAAGAGTGGAAGTTTACTTTTGGTTATCCTTAGGGTGCCGGCCGGTACTTTGCGTATAGATGGTGTTTCGGGTCTTGTATATATCATCGGGTTATCTCTCCTCTTGAATTCATAGCTGTCCACACTCTACGTTTGCGCCGGCTACTTCCAGTTCTACTCAGAAGGTATTCCCACATGCTGCAAGAGCATAGATATCAACTGTGCCTTCCACCGACGCTCTGTTTCATTTGTTTCACTGACTGCGAATAGCCCGTTTGGTCGATGCAATAGCAATCTAGATAGATTGCAAAGCCCCCAATACCTTCTTCCCGTGTCAAACTTCTTGTGCCGCTTGCTGTTTATGGTGTCACCGTTAAGGGTCACTTCCTGAAACTAACCCATCTCATTCACATGGATGATATTTGACCCGATCCTGCCACACAATGATTCATGATAGCCAATTCACGGCCAGGATAGGAAGACCCAGAAACCGTGATCTCGCCTAGGTTTTCAACTATAAATAGGACCGTTCCCCCCTCATCCTCCTCTCTCATCCTACTCTCTCACCCTCCTCCATCATCATCATCCTCCATCATCATCTTCCCAACTTCAATCGCATCGAGACGTACAGACTCTTCTTCCCCTTCCACATCCCCAAGAACCAGTCTTCGGGAACTTGGACGGGGACAAAGTTGAACTTACTTCCGCGATTGGCCACGAAGAAAGAACCACGTAAACCCCTCGAGCCGAGCTATGGTCCAAAAGGTCAAGAGGTGTTTTCGGATCCCTGGACAGCCTAAAATGGCTTCTTCCTCTATTTTTATTCCTTCCCCATCTCCTTAATGCACTGCCACTGGACACATAACCAGGTGGAAGTTGCGTTTTATGAGGGGTGCCGAAGTCAACCTTTCCGAAAAGCGTCCAGATCGTTTTCCCCTTCGCTGATCTCCCGTGCTCCTTACAATGGCTTACTTCAAAGGGCAGAAAGCTCCAAAAGAGAGCAAACTCCTTAATAGCAAGGAGAGGGGCCACATATACACACCCTGACGAGAGATTGCCGCCGACAACGACACGCGACTTGACACACCAGAAACGCTGGCGATCCAAAACCTCTCAGCTGGATCTGCCTCAAGGCCGAGTCAAAACGGCTGCCCGTATTTCCTCTATCCAGCCACAATACCTATACACTGGAGCTGGGATATGTTTTACGTGGCTGGTTTCCGGGCGGCTTGATCGAATGCGGGTCAGTTGCATTCGGGGATGGGTAGCAACCGATCCCGTGTGGACGCTGGCACTTGAGAGTGTATTTTCCGGGCGTGCCTACGGGAGATGGTAGTCCTTGACGACGAGCGGTGGGCAGTCGCTGGGGACATAATCTCCGAATATTAACGGGTCAGGACTCCCTGGTCAGCGCGTCCGGTCTCAGGGTGCGACTGGCCTGCCTGTCTCATCGTTTGGTTTCCCTCCTTCTAGGCGTCGTTGATCTTGCCTGGAACTTTCTGCTTCGTGTATCTGGAGAATCCCGGCAAGAACTCCGCACGCTTTTCTTCCGTACTGTCCATTTCCCGAAGATCTCTCCTCTTTTCATCTTCACCAACGTCTTGCTCCTGTACTGTACGGCTACCCGGAAACTGGTTTTCTGGAACACAATATAGACACGACTTTTTACAAACTTCATCCCCTGCTATTTCTCTAGATATCCGTCGATCTAAGACTGTAAGCCCTGCGCCAACTATGGCAAACCAACGAACCAAGGATCCAAGCGAACTCCGGAATTCAGTCGTCGATCCCAATAGGATCTGAGCGACGGTTTCTCGTAAGTAGGGATGCCCCAGATACGAATGGCGGTTCGATAAACTAATGAGGTTTTTGTTTAGTTTCACATTGGATGTTACGGCGCGCCAATTGATTGCTTCCCGCTTGGGAACGAGCGAAGGGCGAATACAGAGAAAGAGAAGGAAAGCACGATTGGATGGATGCCGCTTTTCAATGGCTAATTCGGACGGCGCATAACTCTCAGTGGCTGTTCGGGACAGCTCGAAAAGGTCGATCGACAATGGGCAGCAATACTAGCCGTCCTCGAGTAAGTTCTCTGGTACCTCCCTTCGTCGTCATTGTAACTGGTTTGTAGATGTTTCGCTCGAGCGCGAACTCTCATTGACTACGGGAAACAAGTGTCCGCTGCCGCCACGCCATGATCTGTCTCTAGTGCGTAAGATGGGTCAAACAATGGAGTCGCAGATCCTTATCCTCACGGCCACTGCCTTCTTTTCCTCATTGCACTAAGATGGCTGTTCTGGGGTTGGTCGGGAGACAGGGCCTCGCGACCGAAAACCTTAGCCAGTATGTGCCGTGCCTTCGCTTCAGCAGAGGAGATGGTCAGGCGCCCGTTGTTAAGGAAGATCCTAGTAGTGTCGCCAAGTTTGGCCTCCGGGGAGAGGATCGCACGTCGGCGGCGTGGATGATATCCGAGACTTAACAGTTGCAACAGCAACTCATCGTCGATTGTTCCCGACTTACATTCGCTGCAAGCGGCCATGGAGTGTCCAAGTGTCTTGGTAGATCGATGCCGCGGGTTACTTCGGAAAAACCCTAGTACCACCAATACGAATGGATTTCGGGAAACACCCATCCTAACAGCCATGGCCTCCTTCATCGTGGGTGATCCCTGCTTCGTCGCGCAACATGGGTAGTTGGAAACCTAGACTCGCCATGTCCAAGTTCATCAAGGGTCAAGGAGATAGAAGCCAGGACAGAGGTTCGGCGGACGTTCGGCCAGGTTTTCGCTACCAAGATCTAAGGCCGTCCATATTTCGCCTCGCTTGATGTCAAAAAGGCGAGCCCGGCAGCCGGAACATGCGCCCAAACCCTGTGTCGCGCCGCCGAGATTCCTCCACGTACAATCCCTCATTTCCCCGGTTCGATACGACCAACTCTCAATGATATGCAGCTGCATAAGGAACTGATTGACAATATCCGCGAAAAGGGACGCATGTTCATTCCCTTGTCCGCGATCGGCGCCGAGTACGACATCGAATTCGACCCTCCTGGGATGCCGGATTTGCTATATTCCCAGGAGCAGAAGCTTCGAGAGGGAGAATACCCAGATCACGGATTCATTCTTGTATGTTTGTGCGGTTGGCTTATCTGCCATAGCTCGGTCGTATGCAGTGATTGAAGTGTCTAGCCACTTGACTCTCAACCAGCGTTATTCGAGATGCCATACCAGAGTTATATCTATGAGGTTAGGTGGCTGGCTTACCCTCTGCGTATATATCATTTTGTACGGAAAGGCCGGCTCTTCGGGTCTCTGGTGAGAATGTACTGATCGGATCTCCTGGCGGTCGTTCTCCTCGTGTTGCAACACAAACGCCAGTTCCCCTACAGACCATCTGGAGGGTGAGCATCATGGACGAAACAGCCTTAAGCCTGGTGCGAGATATCCATCGCCGACTGTCTACTGTAAGGCTGGGTGGATATCATGACCTCCACGGTGATACTATCCCCGTCTGCGCCAAGATAGATCATCTCATATTTTTGTCCACTCGGCTGACGGTACTCTTCGGAACGGGCGCATTCCCATTCTTTCGGCCAGAGACGGACAACTCGGCTGAGACTCAGGGCAAGGGGGCAGTAAGAGCTGGAGTCATTGTCGCAAGAGTTGTTTTTGCTGGCCTCTATCGGCCCAGTCACCCGATGTATCCAGGGGCATCTCGAAAACATCTTCGGCAGTCGACCTGCGGCTGAATGGTACCCTCAATAGATAGAGAGGTCGGCAAGTTAGAGTATTATCTGTCGGTCCTCGTGGTGGGTCTATTGCACTCTCCGCCACTGCTCTGCTCCCCGATGGGGAAAAGAGATCTTGTGGAGTTTGTGCCCGCTTTACCATTTACCCTTGATCATGGCGACCTCCCAAACGACTTCACCTATGCTGAAGAGACTCGTCTTGTCCACCAGCCGGGGGCCATCGAGGTCGATGATTGGATCAACAAGAAGTTCGGCCTTAAGCCCCCTGCCGGTAAGGTTCTGCCCCTCTTTGTCCACAGCGAGGGCTCTATCTGCGAGACCGATGCCACACACTCTCGCTTCAATAAGGCGCAGAATGTGTTCGGGTGTAAGGCCACTCTCGTCGTACCAAGGGACCCAGATGATTTCTACAACAAGCCCAACAATCAAGTATAGCGGCAGAAGAACAAGGAGTGTGCTGATGGAGTTACCCGTATTCTCCAGCAAGCGTTGCTCGATGAGCACGACATTGTACCCCGATAGCATTGGGAAACCTTAATTACCAGTTTGGGCGGCCTCCTCGGGGACGTTTTTGAAAAGTATCTTCGTGTAGAGCGCGACCAAAGGGACCTCTACCTTCTTGGCTTGTTCCGCGCGGAGCAATATATATATATATATATAAAGGCACAACTCGATTCGCCATCCGTTCCCCGATGATTTCTCCCGGAAGAGGAAGAGTCCTTCTGTCTGGATGATGCGACTTATGGATCTTCCGCAAGTACATCTCCGCCCTAAGCGGCCAGAAGGGTCCCGGATGAAAGTTCAGAAAGGACGGTGACTTCAAAAAATGCCCTGCCAGCCTGTTAATGGCGGCCATATTCTTGACTCGGCACAAAACATACTTTTCCAAAACCCGATGCTATATACTTTGTGGGCGCAAGGGATATTTGCCTCGCTCACTGTGTTTGAAGATCTTGCAACCGATCCGGTGCTCCATCTCCGACCGCCGCAGGAGAAAAAAGTCGTCGCCATGAAGGATCTGGCGTCAGGACACCCGCGTTTAGACGGAGCTGTTTTCGAGCTCACTCAGGAGGATCCTAGAAAGGAAGTCTCGGACGAGCCCCTGAAGCTCCAGTGGGACTTGCTTCGGATGGCCAGGTTTCCTGGTCCGACTGAAACGGTCAATGGCCCGTTCATGGAGGCCAGATGGGGACATGTCGAAACTCGAAGAAAGCGACGATGCCAGTAGCTTGAAGGAGAAGATCAAGAAATCTTCCCCAAGGCGTAGCGAGCGCGGACCTTCCTTCCATATGTTCCCTGGTCCTTTCATGTGCCGCAAAGAGAAGCTAGTCGACAGTGACAGTGGCGAATGATAATCTATATATATATGGCGGACATTGAGAAGGGCTTCAAGCGGCCGGATACGAATGGGGATATTTGAAATGGTCGGGTCGATCTCGATTTGTTTTCACGAAACCCCAACTAGCGGTCTCTCTGCGATCTGTCAACCTTCAAGATGGACCCATACACTACTCAAACCCGACCCTACCAGATGGGATCTGCCACATACAATGTTCTTGTATCCGACAGTAGAAATCCCGTCAGTTACCCCGATGCTGGATACACCATCGGTGCTAATAAAAAGATGCGGTGCGTTGGAGTGGATGAGTACTCTGGGGCGCAGGAGTTGAGTGTGTCTGCGTATATCCAGTTTAACGATGGCCACGAGGTTTCCAAAAGGAGGGTCAGAGCAGAAGTGGACGTTCTAGAGGATACGGCCATCTTCAGCTACTTGGCAGCTGCTGTCGAGCCTGCTTGGCCGTCGGCTAAACGAAATGCGGGCACAAATCGACGAACTTGGAAGGGATTTCGAAGAACCGAAACATATACCGCAGGCATATTCCGGATCGGCAGTCGAAAGCCTTGGTACTTCGTGTACGAAAATGACCGAATTGAAATCGCAGCCAGGGGTACGGCGTGTCGCTGGTAGGGGGTCGTGACGGCGACAGCAGCGGCACCAGCGGCGACAAGTGTCGTTCGGCAAGGGATAGGCCGTCAGGCGCGTATCGGCCGACATAGACCTGAGAGATGGACGATCTTACCAGTACGGAACTGGTTCTCGACATATGGCGAATCAGCTATGACCCACCAGCGCCAGCTCCTCATTTATGAGGCCGTCTCGTCTGCGTTAAGGCGGAGACTTACAGCAAGACTTCGTACGAGGCATCGGTTTCCCATCCTTACTGCTTCCAGATTTCGCCCAAACCTTGGCCAGTATAGACGACGCGGTGGATCGCTAAGCATCGATGACACTGCCGACGCCCACAATGATATATAGAGATCTATACTTCCTCTCTGTACGATGCCAACACCAACCCTCCTGAAGGTAGCTCTGGTGAGCCCTTGCGACGCGTCTGAGCTCAAGGTCGTCTTTGCGCAGCTACTCTAAGGTACGCGGGAAATTTCGTGTCAATACTTCGATCTAGTCACTATGGATATTGCTAGAATCTTCGGGCTCGCGGGATCCGGTAAGACAGAAAGGATTGCTGTCACGACGATGGCGCTGCTGACGAACCTAAACATCAAAACGGTGTACGGCTCGGCGCCAACTCATGTGATAATCTCTGGCCTCACCGTGCGCCTGGACCGGGTTAGTACTTGAAATGAGGATCATGATGTTGAAAGAGATAAGTCTGATCACCCGTCCTGAGGATTCTCTTCCTTTATATGCCCTCCGAACAGTAGTGGAATGGCAGGACTTAGGGCTGGAATCGCGCTAGCTTTTTCTCTGCTACAAATAAATTCTCTCGATATTCCGTGCTACGGAGAAACAAACTCTTATTCGGTCGATGAACCAAGATCGCTGTTCACATCGTTTTCGAAGACGACAGCTTATCTACGGAAGGGGATATGCCCCCCTTCCCGAAGCAGAGAAGTCTCAGAATTCGAATCCGGACGGCCACCGGCTACGGGCTAACACCAAGAGACTTCGCAAGAGAGGTCGTTTGGTCTCGGCGCAAGTCGTGCGATCGATTCAGCGGGCATAGGAATGGAGGAAGAAAAGTGATGTGAAGGGTCTGGGGGAGGACAAATTCCCCCGACGATGGAGAGGGCCTGTCATCCTGATTCGTGCGGCATCTCAAGTCCGTTGGGTTATCCGAAATCCGCATGGTCGGGAAGGGAGAGTCCGGTCCATGTGGACCACCTGAAGACACCCGAGCAGGCACAGGCCTACACGAGGAGACTGATGAGGGGAATTCCACTGTGCTTCTTCCGAGATCTTGATGGAAGCAGGATCAAGAACTCGTTAAACCTCCTGGCTACTGATAAAAGCATCGCCAACTTTAGTAGTCAGGCCCTTATCCAGGGTATCAAGCGTTGTTTCAGAGCTGCGCGGGCTGCTTCAACTCCGATATAGGATACGAGCGGGATACGCCGAAACACGTTGGGGCGGGGACTTGTGATTGGGGAATTCACCAAGAAGACCACCCGACTGTCCGGAAGCGGAGAGCAGTCGCCCTCCGCCAATTCTTGGAGCCTGACCTTATCCGAATAGCGCTGCGCACGCGCCAGACTTATCAATTTTGCTTCAACTGCCAACGGCTTGTTGAAAAGGCTGCAGCCACATTGTGTAAGTAACGTCCCGTCGTCACAGCCCATGCGCGAATCCCTGAGGTCTCTCTCTGGCCCCATCCCAGACGCACCTGCCCCGTCTCGCGGCCACGGAGTGCTACCATATTACCTGGTCTCTCTGCCCTGCCTCACGGTCACAGATTCCTCCCTACCAATCCAATCTACCATGGTTGAAAGTGCTACAAGAAGAATATGACATCGAAGGATGCTTTCGGGCCCCAGGAATGGCACCGACGGGGGATGCGAAGGAAGTCTTCAAACGACTCAAAGGCAAAACGCCGAGAAAATGAGACTACCGACGGAAATGAAGAGAGGCGTTCGAAACCAGAGTTCTGAGGGCCGAACAGAGGAGGAAAGGCCTAGCGAACGCAAATCCTGAGAGTGGAGGTAATGAACAGGAGGCTGAGGAAGGTCTTATAAGCCTTAGGGGCAAAACGCCTGGCGATCGAGACTTCTCAACCCGGGCTGGATGTCAATATCAGACCTGACTTTGACAACGCTGATCCAAGCAGTTCCTTGGCTTTATCAGGATATTATATCACAGAGTATCCGTGGAAGAACACGACCGCCCTCCGCATCTGTGGCAAAACTTTGAGTTCCGCATTTATGCGTCGTTCGCGGGGGCTTCCAATCTTCGAATCTTCCCTCCGGGGCGAAGCTGACCATGACTTGGCCGCTGGGCCTGGTTCTCATCCCGTGTTTGCCGTGCGCCCTGTAGCGCTGTGACGATCCTCTTCGAATCTGCGTCTCTATTGAAGGACGCGTTCTCACGCCCGAACTGAAACGAGACCTGCAGACTGCCCGGTCTGAGAGCGGCCTCCATTCCGGGGTCATGGTCTCGTGCTGGATGTTCCAAATGCAAAAGATTCATGCCCAGAGGTAAATTCTCCACACTGTCTCCAAGTCTTCGGCTGACTTTGTGTGCGTGTGCAGACCCCTCAAGACCTCTGGGATACTGTCCAGAAATTCCGCCAGTGGGTAACGCTGTTTATGAACGGATGTTGACTGAGGACACTGACAGAGGCGAGATCCAAGGTTACGCGAGGGACAAGTTCCGGGCTGCTCTTTTCTACTTGTTTCGTGCAAGGCAGAGGGTCTGAATTGGATTCATCTCGAAATGGCGAGTGGTGCGTAGTAGAGGTTTCGGCTTCAACGCGCTGGTGGCTTCAGGCTGTGGGGAGAGAGATTCCATGCCGAAAGCTACGGCCACGCGAGAAGGTGGAAATCGACCTACTGGCTTCAAGGAATATATGATAGTTCCTCAATGACAGAAAAATGTGTTGAGAGGGGGAAGATGTCGTCAAACGCGGCGCCGGTGACCGAACACAACTGTCGTATATCCTCACAACCCTCGATCTCGGCTTTCTTCGCCCTGTCAACATTGTCGGACGGCGGCGATGGAATCTGACCTTTGTCTGTGAGAAGACCAACAAATTCCTTAAATTTGTTGTCGGACAACGGCACCGGACGTCAACAGATTGGGTCGCCATATATATATATATACCCCTCAAAGCAATCCCTCATCGACACCGGAGACCATTACCTTTTTGGCAGATATCGCTACCGCGCATATATATATATCAACGAACGCTACCTCCGCGAAGTGGGCAGCGGTTAATGCGCGGAGGATGATGCCGACTATTTCCGCGCCGTGGATCACTTACTAGAGGCGCCGCAGGCGGAATTCCTGTACGCGATGGACGGGCGACGTCATAAATGGAACATGGACGCATATGACACCGTGATCCCGCCCAACCGGTCCGAGACACGATTCGAGCCCCTACATCGAGTAGATATATACGAAGATCGCCTGACAGCCATGATGCAGTCAGTTGCCTAGGATGTGTACGACATGGCGAAGAAAGTGGCGGAGATCCGAGCCTGGGAACTAGGCTTCTTCTTCGTGAGTGCTGATAGAGGCCGGCCCATAGAAGAGAGCACGGATCTCGTAGCGGTGACGCTTCTTCCTCTGCTAGTCCTGTCTCTTCCCCTTCGGGGCTTGCTTCTTCCTCCCCGGCTCCTGCGTCTTCCCCTGCGCCCCCTAATCGAATCGACTCGTCAATCCTTCCGGCCGCAAGTCCGTCGCCGCGGCGACTCCGGGTCCACCTAGCGGCGTCTCTGCGTCTTCTTCCCACAGCGGGGGCGATCCCGGTCCCACCCCGCCGCCTTTCCATCTCAATGCAGCACTCGCAGCTACTCCTTCTTCCCGGCGCAGTGTCCCCGCTGGCCATACCCAGTGTTTCCGCTGTGTATACAACAACGCTCGTTGGCGTGTCCCGAGGGCTAATATGGTGGTCTTCCACGCCGTTACCTACATCGAAGAGGACACGGAAGAAAATTTCGCCGACACCCTATGAAGGGTCATGTAAGGGATAATTACAAATAACCTAAATTGGGCACCGTTCCCTCACTCGTATTTTTAACTTAGAACTTTCAATACAAGTCTACAATATCCAACCAACTGTTTGACCGAAATGATGCTCTCGTCGTGACATCTGATCCATCAGACGGTTCGTAAGGATACCTAGCCTTACAGGTCAACAAGGTAGGAGACGGGGCACAAGCAGAATTCAACCCCCCGAAGAAGCCCGCCCCTGGTACGCGCAAAGACGTGCCGAGCGCGGATGCCATATGGTATGGGGAGATCGTAGATACCGACGTGGTGCGAGGTATGGTGAAGCTACCGACCAGCGGCAGGGTCATGGCTGTGGAGGTACGGCACTTCCAGGACGTCAAGAAACACTGCATCCGCCTTCCTCGAAACGGTTTGGCCCCTATGGACGCTGCCATGGACGGCGGCATGGAACGCACAGTTCGTATTATCTTCTCCCCTGGGGTGGCCCGGCTGCTAACGCTATTTTGTCAGAAGAGCGACTCGGCCCAGGTAGCTGTCCCAGGAACCTTTCGAGGCGTTTATGTCGCGTCCGGTGCCGGACCCTCTTCAGCCAAATCGACCGCGCGTCCGTCTTCAACTTCCATCCTGCTTTTTAAATGGCATCCCGACATCTCTATATAGGGTAAGTAAGTCACTTACACGAACCCGAAAGCGTTTTCGGTCGTTCGCCCTTTTTTTCTTTTTCTTTTTTTCTTCTCCGGCGTAGACAAATATGCTGCGGCTGGTCTCTGGCAGACGTGGAAAGTCATGTCGGTTAGAGAAAAGTCCACGGAACACCAGAACGTGTCAGGAGCAGGGCTGGCGACCAGTTCAATGTGGATACGACGGAGGCAGAAAACTTAGACTTCACATGATCATGGGCACTAGATCAAGGAGAACGGAATTGAGGTTTATTTCCATCAACTTATCGACCATCTCTATCAAATCTTTGTTCTATCGAATTGGCGTATTCGATTCCGCTCTTCTTCTGCTTTGGTTGACGAGACGTGGCGGTTCGAATCAGTCAAGCAGTATTGTAATGACATAATTACATTAAACCACTCAGGTTTGAAGAATTACACACTGGCCAGGATGGCTGGAGGAAGAGGATGTGGCAGTTCAATTCAGTTGAGGTCAGAGGAACGTCGTGGTAAATTGGTGGTAAATTGGGAGCAGTTCATCCATAATAACTCGGGAACAGTAATAAATAAATTTGGATTTAATGCATTGTGCGAGAGGCGCGTAAGACTGGTGAACAGGGTCAAACAATGACTATGACTTTTAACAGGCTACCGCTCTGTACCCTCGGTATGCGGACGGGATCCATGGTCCAGTCCACCTCCGAGCTGTTGGGAATAGCTTCAATTCTCCTCGTCCAACCAACAATTGCCTTGGAAGTGAGATGTGGAGCTTGATGACTTAAGAAGCCGAGCTGCGTTTACCTAATCAAGACAGCTTCCAGCTCCCAGTTTCCAGCATTCTGATTGTGCCAAATTCCCGGTGTGCCGGTCGTTGCCAGGTTGCAGCAAACACCGATAAAACCGAGGATCTGCCATGCGTTTCTGACCAATCATTGCAGCCGAGAACAGGGGTGGTATTAATTTTTTTCTCTCTCTTTGGCTTGGTCCAAGTCCCAAGGCCGAAGTACCTGGTCGTACTTTCCCCATAGAAGCTTCTCCAATTTGACGGATTTTTTTTTTCCATCGATTTCCAAAGGAGCATCAACTTTCTCTCATAAACTTTCTCTCCCTTCCTCCATCTCCCCAAGTCCGCTTCCCGCTTCTTCCCCATCCTCCACATCCTCACCTCGAGCATCCAGAGCTGCTGCCATCTCTGTGTACTATCTACGACTAGTTTTTAATCGCAATTGTCTTTTCCTTTTCTCTTCCCTCTTCCCTCTTGTACTCTAATTCGTAACACAACCCCAAACTCACAATGCAGCGCGCTCTCTCTTCCTCTCGAACCAGGGCGGCCGTCCTCTCCTCGGGCGCTGCCGCCAAGTTCCGCTCCGGTGCTGGTCTCCGTCAGCAGCTCCGGTTCGCTCACAAGGTAAGGAGAACTTCGATTTGACAGCCTTTCGGTTGCAATTGAGCTATCATCGGGATGCGATGCGCAGATGCAGAAGAGACGAGACTAACCGTGATGGCTACTGTAGGAGCTCAAGTTTGGTGTTGAGGCTCGCGCCTCCCTCCTCGCCGGTGTCGACACTCTTGCCAATGCCGTCTCTAGCACTCTCGGCCCCAAGGGCAGGAATGTCCTGATCGAGTCCAGCTTCGGCTCTCCCAAGATCACCAAGGGTAAGCGACATATATCTCGTCAACATGGATTTTACACAAGGAAGCATCAGATAGCTAACATATCTTCTCCAGATGGTGTCACCGTTGCCAAGGCCATCACTCTCCAAGACAAGTTCGAGAACCTCGGCGCCAAGTTAATATCGGAGGTTGCTGGAAAGACCAACGAGGTTGCCGGTGACGGTACCACCACCGCCACCGTCCTCGCTCGTGCCATCTTCTCCGAGACGGTCAAGAACGTCGCCGCCGGCTGCAACCCCATGGATCTCCGCCGCGGTATCCAGGCTGCCGTCGACGAGGTTGTCGACTTCCTCCAGAAGCACAAGCGTGACATCACCACCAGCGAGGAGATCGCCCAGGTCGCCACCATCAGCGCCAACGGCGACCAGCACATCGGCAGGCTCATTGCCAACGCCATGGAGAAGGTCGGCAAGGAGGGTGTCATCACCGTCAAGGAGGGCAAGACCGTGCAGGATGAGATGGAGGTCACCGAGGGTATGCGCTTCGACCGTGGCTTCGTCTCGCCTTACTTCATCACCGACACCAAGGCCCAGAAGGTCGAGTTCGAGAAGCCCTTGATCCTCCTCTCCGAGAAGAAGATCTCTGCCGTCCAGGACATCATCCCCGCCCTCGAGGCCTCCACTCAGCTCCGCCGCCCCCTTGTCATCATTGCCGAGGACATTGACGGTGAGGCTCTCGCCGTCTGCATTCTCAACAAGCTCCGTGGCCAGCTCCAGGTCGCCGCCGTCAAGGCTCCCGGCTTCGGTGACAACCGCAAGTCCATCCTCGGCGACATTGCCGTCCTCACCAACGGTACCGTCTTCACCGACGAGCTCGACATCAAGCTCGAGAAGGCCACCCCCGACATGCTCGGCTCCACCGGCTCCATCATCATCACCAAGGAGGACACCATCATCCTCAACGGCGAGGGCAGCAAGGATTCCATCACCCAGCGCTGCGAGCAGATCCGTGGTGTCATGAGCGACCCCAGCACCTCCGAGTACGAGAAGGAGAAGCTCCAGGAGCGTCTCGCTAAGCTCTCTGGTGGTGTCGCCGTCATCAAGGTCGGTGGTTCCTCCGAGGTCGAGGTCGGTGAGAAGAAGGACCGCTTCGTCGATGCCCTCAACGCCACCCGCGCCGCGGTTGAGGAGGGTATCCTCCCCGGTGGTGGTACCGCCTTCCTCAAGGCCGCTGCCCAGCTCAGCGTCAAGCCTGAGAACTTTGACCAGCAGCTCGGTGTCAGCATCGTCAAGAACGCCATCACCCAGCCCGCCAAGTCCATCGTCAAGAACGCTGGTCTCGAGGGTGCCGTCGTCGTTGGCAAGCTCATGGACGAGTTCGCCGGTGACTTCAACAAGGGCTTCGACAGCGCCAAGGGCGAGTACGTTGACATGATCGCTGCCGGTATCCTCGACCCCCTCAAGGTCGTTAGGACCGGTCTCGTTGACGCCAGCGGTGTCGCCTCTCTCCTTGGTACCACCGAGGTCGCCATCGTCGATGCCCCTGAGGAGAAGGGCCCTGGCGGTATGGGTGGCATGGGCGGCATGGGAGGAATGGGCGGCATGGGCGGTATGATGTAAATTGATTCATACCCTCCCTTCCCCTGTAATCCTCTCGTGTCACACACACACAACGAACTCCATGACTTGATGTCGCATCTGTAACACAACACTTTTTCATTTTTCCAATCTCTGGAACTCATTCTCGGAGGATGGTGGTTCAAGGCTAAAAAACTCAAAACGGAGGGGGAGCATGGCTTTGGTGTTCTTTTACTATACAAGGTTGGGAAACTTGTTTATGTACTTCATCCTGTACTTTTCCGTTGTCTCTTTTGCATCTTCCTTTTTCTTACCCTCTACTTGGGCCAATCTCCGCTCTTCCCCTCTTATATCCATCCTCGATTCCCTCCCATCTTTACCCATCCCGTTCTTCTCTTTCTCCTCTGCCATTCTCATACCCGGCGAGGTGAAGAAACCACAAAACTGGGGTCGGGACTTGTTTCTTCCTCCCCTTGGAGTTGTTCAGTTTGGGAAACTCCTTGAGGAGGAAAAACAAGGAGATCTGATTTGTCTTCTGTACGATTTGGATCTTTCTGTACTGTAGTGTACTACTTAGAGACTTTTTAGCAAGCAATAAAAGCTGGTGAAGTTGTCTACTATATCTGTTTCCTGCCATAGAGGATATTTCTTCTGGTCTTTCTGTATGTCACAACACTTGTGCAAATATATCCAAGACGGTGTTAAAGCTCCAAAAATCCATTCTTTAAAATCTAGAAAACGCCCAAAGGAAATTTCCCATGCTATACTACTATAATACCAAACCATACGTAGTACATCACTCCGACCCTCCCCATTCCAAACCTCTTCATTTCTTCGCCTTACCAGTCTTCGCCTTCCTCGCCTTCGGATCCAAGCCCCTCCTCCGCATAGCATTCCTCTGCCCCTTCTCAATATAAGCCTTATCCCCCTCATCATCAAATCCACCAAAGTCATCCCCATCCGTACCGTTCTTCTTCTCATCATCGACGATAGGCGTCTTATCCACAACGTCGACATCCATAGCATCTCCGTCCGCCCGCCTCGACCTCTTCGTAACAGTACCGTCGGGGGCAATCTTCTTCAACTTGGCGACGAAGAATCCGTCGACGTTGTACGTGTGGGGATAATACCTCCTCGTAAGCGTCATGGTCGGATCGAATTTCTTCCCGCGATAGCTCGTGAAGCCCTCCTTACCAAAGGTGAGACCCGTGTCGACTAGGCGTACGTTGGGACGCTTGTTGAGGGCGTATTGCACGACCTGTTCGTTCTCCTCGACGGTGACGGAACAGGTCGAGTACACGACCACGCCGGCGTCGCCTTTTCCGTCGAAGCGGACGGAGTCGATGGCGGCGAGGATGAGTTGCTTTTGCGTGTGTGGGAGGAGCATGAAGTCGCGCTGCGTCTTGTTCGTCTTGACGTTGGGGTCCTTGGCGATGACGCCGGTACCTGAGCATGGGGCGTCGAGGAGGATGCGATCGAAGGAGATGCCGAGAGCCTTGGGGAACTCCCTAGCGTCGTGGTTGCTCACGACGACGTTTTGGCATCCAAGACGGTAGACGTTGGCGACGAGACTCTTTGCACGGTCCTTGTTTGGATCGTTGGCGACCACGAGCCCCGTATTCTTCATCAACGCGGCGATGTAGGTCGATTTACCACCAGGAGCAGCAGCCATATCGAGCACGCGCTCATTCTCCTTCGGCTCAAGAGCCATAACGGGCAAGAAAGACGACGCAGCCTGCAGGATATACTGTCCCGCGACATACTCGGGCGTAGCGCCAATGGGCACATTACTATCGAAGATCTGCAACCCGACCTTGGACCATTTCCCCACGGGCTCGAGCGTCACGCCGCGGTTGATGAGCGCCTGGGCGAGGTCTCGTCGTTGCGTGCGGAGCGTGTTCGTGCGGATGACCACGGGGCGGGGCTTCTCGTTCGCTTCGAAGAATTCAAAGGCTTCGCGGGGGGTGAAGAGGTTGAAGAGTTTTTCGGCCAGGTATTCCGAGTAGCCGTAGTAGTCGCAGATGTCCTTTAGTAGTTGCGCCGTGTAGTCGGCGCGCGAATGGCCGTCTTCGCAGAGGTCGGCGAAGTTTTCGAGGATGCGGATGTTGTCGTTGATTCGGGTCCGTAGGAGCTGGAGATCGGGGGCGAGGAGGGCGTTGGTCTTGACGCCTTGTTCTTCGTCCGAGTCTTCTTGGTCGAATACGCCCTCGCCGGCTATATTCGTCTGCATTGCCGATTCTTGAAGATCTGCTTGCGCATCTGCCTCCTCCTGAGCCATCTTCTCGTCCAATTTCCTCGAGAGACCCTCGATATTAGCCGCCGTCAACTTTTCCTCAAAATCCGAATCGTCCTCATCCTCCGAAAACACATGCTTCCCACCGCCCGCACCGCCAAGGTCCTCCTCCGCAGAATCATACACCGAAGAACCCTCATCGTCATCATCTGAGCCTAGGAAATCATCCCCCAACGCAGCAAGTTCTTCGTCGCTGCTCAGGCCCGAAAATTCATCCTCCACAGGCTCGGGCGCCTTCTTCGCCTTCTTTCCTCCGGCCTTCTTATTTGCTACACCATTTTGTTCTTTCTCAACTTGGCCGCCCTTGGCCGTCCGTCTGCGCTTCTTCTTGGGCGATTCGGCGGCGGGCTCGTCGACGGGGAGGCCGGCTTTCCGCTTTAGTTTCGCGAGCTGGGCTTCGGAAAGGGGTTCGGGGACGCCCTGTTTCTTGCCGATTCTCCTTCCCACACCCATTGTGTGATTTTATGTATGGGATTGGGAGAAATTAGTTTAAGGGAAAGAAAAAAAAAATGCTGGCTCCCTGAAATTTTGGGTCCGCCGTCAAGGGCATCAATCGACTTCGTCCTGGAGGTTGGAATAAAAAAAAAAACGTTCCTTGAACAAATTTTGGCGGGGCGGCGATAAGAACGTCTTATCTCCACGTGATGCACCGTTGCTCCTACGTTCCCCTCCAAACGTGCCAGCGACATTGTGGGGTTCCTGGCTTCTGTCGACGTTGACAGCTCCAAGCTAGACGACCATATCGGCGACCAGACCGCAAGCTTGCCCAGCAATTACACGACCATCTCAGCTTCTTCACCGGACTCACATCGAACAATTCCACATATCACTCCCATAGCAAACACTCCAATCAGCCATCCATCCTCTCCAAAACCACCGCCGCCATGACAGAACTCACCTTCGCCAGGGCCTTCCTCACAGCCCTCGACTCCCGCCCCATAACCATCTCCGCCGACCACGTCGAAGATCCGCGCTCATTCCCCTCGAACCGCCCGGCCGTGCGTCTCTCCCTCTAACCAACCCAGTCCTACCTCTTTATATTCAAAAGAGAAGACACGACTAACACACAACGCAGATCATCCTCCCCAAAATGCCCAAAGCCATGTCCAAACCAACAACAACCACCCCCCAAACCGACAAACCCCTAACAATAACCCTCAAATCCCTCCGCAACCCCCCGCTCAACCTCTCCCTCCCCGCAACCCCGCAAACCTCCATCCTCGACCTCAAGCAGGCGCTAGCCTCCCAGGCCGGCGTCCCCGTCGACAAGGCGCGCATCCTGCACCGGAAGAAACCTGTCCCTGATTCGAAGATCGTGAAGGATCTGATTGAGGGGGAGGAGGATACGCTGGAGTTGGCGGTTATGGTTATGGGGGGTGCGGCGGTGCTGAAGGCACCTGCTGCTGCTGCTGCGACATCTGGGGCTGCTGTTCCGGGTCTGGAGGGGGGCGACGAGGGCGCGGAGAAAGTGGTAGAGTCGGATGCATTCTGGGAGGATTTGAGGGCTTTTGTAGTGCAGAGGGTGAAGGATGAGAAGGTGGGTGGGGAACTGGCGGTGTTGTTCAAGAAGAGTTGGGAGGAGAATAAGGGCAAATAGACTTTTTATGTTACATCAACCCATATTAATACAGTTATGAAGGACTATCGGCTCTCCCCTAAAGATGTAAGGCGAGGTTCTACCGAGTTAAGTAGAGCCTCGTTGTGCTCCGCAAGCGTAGAGATTCCTCTCGAGGCATCAACTTGTGGTTAGGATGACACATACAACCGCAGTAAGACCGTAGGAATGGGTTAGTACAGACTTAACATTAGGAGCACCGCGTAGTCAGGGCATCATATCCCTTCACTCCGTATATCCTCTGGCAGAAAAACAAGCATGACCAGCAAAAAACCTGGTAATCAGAATTTTTGAAAAATGTACTTCATGAAGCGGGCTGTTCGAGAGAGAGAGAAGGAGAGAGAGAGAAAGACAGGGTTTCCTACGCGACCATCATTATCATCACTGCCGGCAATCGACAAGCAGGCCAACATTCTTCCATCCGCCAATACACACACGCTCCCACATGGCACCCATCGTCGTAGACCCTGTAACGAAGTAAAAGAGGGTCCATGATCGACCTTTCGGCTTTTTAGGTGTAGATAGAAAAAGGGTTAAGGGGTTGTCTAGACACCGCTTGTGCCTTGTATAATCGCGCTTAGTTCCCTAGCAGCGGCGATTTGTGTATACATCCAGGCATTCAGCTAATGCCACCGAGTCCGCTTCCTTCCCTCGTACCCTCCCATCATCGGGTGGAGATTCAGGGCGTGGTTTAAGCGAGACCCTTGGAAACGGTCTTGATGATGCTGTCGTATTCGATGTCGTCGGCGTCGTTGGCCTGGAGTTCGGTGGCAATGCCCGTGAGAGTGCGCTTGAGGGCCTCCTTGGAGGAAGCGTAGATCATCTTGGCCTGTGGGAAATGGGTTAGTACGAGAAAGAAATGATGGCATCTCTGGGAAAACACAGCGCGTACCTGGATACTGGCATCATCGGGGGACCAAGCAATGAAGGTGAGCTTGTTGCTGTACACCAGGCATGTTAGATTGCATGGTACTTTATGAGCTATGGTGTATGGACAGTTCTTACCGGATACCGTCGCCAGAAGCAAGCTGGTACTCGAAGTCATAGACAGCGTAGCGGGGGCCCTTGCCAAGAGCACCCTTAGGGAATGTTAGCACGAAGCTCAAATTAAAGAATCTCTCGGGTGTGGTAAGGTAAGAAGCATTCAGGCAAGGGAGTCAAGTAATGGTGTCGAGGCGGGGAATAGAAGCAGTACACGTACAGCCCTGTTCTTAGTGGTGGCGTTGATGAGCTTCTCGCGGAAAACCTCCCAGTCCTTGTTGTCGGAAGCCTCCTCGACAACAATTTGCTTGTTGTCGTCTGAGAGCTTGTAAATGATGAACTTGTACTTTTTGGAGAGCTTCAGCTCATTGTAGGCAGTTATGCACTCCTGGGCAACGGCCGCACTGAGGGGTGGGTGGTTAGTTTATCTTGTCCAAGAAAGGCAACAGCAGCATCGGTCAGCCCTGGATTTTATGATTGAGGAGTGTGTTGTTTTCTTCCTTCCGTCGAGGTCGAGGGGATCGATCGGATGGAAGCTCATAATGTGGCTCAAGAAACGGTTCACGAGGAGAAGAGGATAAGAACGAACCCGGATTGAGACTACGTAAAAGGGCTCGAGTTAGCAAAATACCCCTCCAGCTCGCATCAAAAGGGGGGGTCAAGCTAAACTCGCGCAACTCACCATTGCGTTGGCTAAAGTAAACGAGATAAGAAGAGGAATTTCGAAGGTTGTAGGACGAGAAAGGGACCGACTTGGGTCTTTTCTGCTAGCTCGTCAGCCGAAGGATCGTGACGGAGGAAAGCTGAGGACAATTACGCGGCGAGGCGCAAGAGCGGGAAACGAAAGCTTCCTGAGGCGGATGGCGGGGTAATGGAGAGTGGGATCGAACAAAAGAGAGAGCGGCTTTGATTAGTCCGACTGTTAAAAAGGACTTACATGATTCGTGATTCTGGGGAGTGCGTACGAGCAGAGATTGCAGCAGAAAGAGAAAGGAGGATGGATTGTTTCGCCGAGGGATTGTCCACAGAGAGGAGGGGTGAGGATGGGATCAAGTATGTGTTGACTTGATCCTTTGTGTGATGGGGGGAAATTAGAGGGGTGAGGGGGGAAAGGGAAAAGGCAGCAGGACAACAATGGCTAAGATAAACCAGGCCAAACCAACCAGGCAACAGCAACAAACAGCAGCCTTCAATACGTACTGCAAGTACAATTACGAAGTACAATTGTACTTGGTGACGAAGGTGGGGGGGGAGCGGGAGACAATTGTAAGAATCAAGTCGCCAGAGGGACCAGACCACACACCACCAGACCACAGCAGAGCCGAGAAGTCCGCCTGGGCTTGGTGGGAGGTGCAGTTCATAGGCCCGCCCAGGCCCAATGCTGAAGCCTAGAATCTTGTCTGCCGATGCAAGTCCAATTCTGTCCCACATAAGGCCTCAATTCGAGCCTGGCTGTTCACGTACATCATACTTACATTTACATCCGTTCGTTACCTGTAAGTCTTCCGGCCAGCATTGGCATTAGGTGCTGGCAGCAGACAACACATGACTGGCCCAGCCTTCAGTTGCAACTGGATATTTGATCCGTGAGGTTCTCACCAAACCCGCCTCAATCGGGTCTCAATCAGCATCCCCATGGCCTGACTTCCTTTCGACTGGGAAAGCCAAGTCACTAGGAACTGAGGTCGAATTGGTATCTATAACCGAGAGCTAGGTCAACTTGAGGTAGCTATATTAATACCTCTCAAGTCTGCTGTGGATGGCAATACGAAGAATTATAGCATACGTCACCGGGGGACTGATAAAGTCCAGTCACAGAGCGAAGTAGAGTACTACACGAGGCGAAGATACGGGGCACGAGTCGCCATCGTCCGAAGAGTTGTTCAAACCGCAAGGTATATTCTTTTCGTGTGATTATAGGGTACGTGTCAAAGGGTATCCATCGCGAGGCTCATGATAGCCATTGCCCAAAACGCAGGCGACATGGGGAAAACAAGGAGAAAAGCTCAAAACCAAAGCCAAAAAAGTCAATAAATAAAAATAAAAACCCAAAGTGTTCTATGTCCCACACTGCAGTAAAGACACCATGAAGAATTTATAGTTCAAGGCTTCTTCGTTGGTGCAGGGGTCTTGGCCACGCATTTGAGAGTTTGTCCAGCTAGGCTCACGTTGTCGTTATCCCCCTCGACCGGATCATACACTATGAGCATGGCCTGAGGGGTCATAGGTTCCTTCTTGGAGAGCTCAGAGACCATTCGACGGCGAGGCGGCGGAGAAACGGGTGGGACAGATTTAGAGAGAGCATTCAGTCGTTCATCCACCCATGCTTTTCGATCACCCTCCCAGGGAGGGTAGTGTTTTGTGCTGACACTTCGTGGGGGCATTGTCATGTCCATCATGGCATAGGACTCAAGCAGGTCCTCAAAATCGTGGCGAGTTTCTAGGGCTGAATGCGGCCTCGCCTCGTCATCTGGGTGAGAGACGTCAGAAGGCTGGCCATTTGGCTTTCGTGCTCCGGATTGGGCTTTTTGGACGTTCGACTTTAGAACAGGCATTCGCATGTTATTTCTCTGGCCTCGTGCGGATACTGATCGGTGGCGTGGGGCAGCCTTGGAAGGGGGTTTCCTATTTTTCTGATCATTTGATCTCGACCGTGATCGAGTGCCGTGAACAGGGCAATCTTCGGACGGGTACTCCTCGATCATCCGAAACTGCGAAAGATCGATTGGCTCGGCGGCAGTCTTTGAGGAGCCCCGACCAGATCCCTCTCTCTTTGATTGTTTCTGGCCACTCGGGGTGCCAGAGCCTGCATTAGATCCTGGGTCGTCTGATCTAGTGCGTCTCGACCTGCCGCGACTCTCCTCTCTGAATTTATCAGTCGAAGAAGCACGAGGGACCCTAGGCCTCGGGGAGCTGGTTGCACCTACGGATGACGGTCCTCGCCCTCGTTCAGGTTCGCCTTGGGCCTCCACCCGAGCACGTGGATTGCCGGCATTTGCTTTTCCGCGTGACGATTTGGATTCGTTTGAACTGCGAGATTGGGAGTCCCCGATATCCTGGCCAGGAGGAACGCGGCTATGCGAAGTGGAGCTCTGACCTTCTTTGCCGGCACGCTTGTCTTGCTTGGGTTGCTCGGTTCCCTTTGAACTGGATGGTCTCTGGCCTCCTTGTTGAAATCCCCGGGTGCCTGACATCTGTCTCTTCTTCATCTCTTCCATATGCAGCTTGGCATAGTCGGTGGCTAGCTGCTCTAAGGTCCTTGCCTTAGGAAGTGATTCTTGCATCTCCTCCGACTCGTCAAACGTAGATAATCGAGCAGGTGCGCCCAAGCTACGGGACGACTCCGTTCTATGGTGGGAGGCGCCCGCTGCACCGCCCGCTGCACCTCCACGCCCCGTGTGTACAGAACTGAGCTCCGTGAAATTTGTTGATTCTGTTTGAGTAGGGGAGTATTCCACTCGCGTCGATGAAGGAGTCACTTGGACATCCCAGTTGAAACGGCGGTCCTCTTCGGCAGACTTGGCGGGTTGGGCAATAATGACCTCTCCCCCAAAAATCCGACCTGGGATGGGAGGAGTGTACACATTAGGATGCGGAGTTGGCACAAAATGATGTTGATCGAGGTACCTCTGGGTCCACGATTCCGCTGGAGGGATGGACAAACGTGGGCGGCGAGAGATCGGGGTCGGACTTGGGCCCGTTGGGGTTGGAATATTCGGAAGGTCTGGCTCGGTCACGCTCGGACCAGTGTCGAGAGACAACTTTGGCGGTTCTCGGGCTCGTTTCTGCGTTGCTTTCTCTGGGCTTTTGCTCGAAGGTGACCCGGCTGACGTCTTGTCCCCGTGCGGTTGTGACTCAACAGGCTCGGTTGTTGCGATTCCCTTGCGGGGAGGAGCGGGTGGTGGCGGTGGCGGCGGCGGCTGCGGAGATGCCCTGGGAGATTTTGATTCGTCCTGCTGATCTTTACTATAGAAAGCCTTATCGCCGGTAGCAGCACCCTCGGGACGATAGACAAGTTTCCCATAGGGCTCTTTATCCGTGTCGACGATAAGGATCTCTTTCTCCAGCCTTCCCAGAATGCCGTAGACGTTGACCTCTCCGTCGCAGATGCCAAGAACAGCACTAGTTCCAGCGTAGAGAATGCCGTCTTCACTCCCACATCGGTTGGCAAAGACGACAATAGTTTCCTCTTCCGATTCATCGTGTATGAGAGGACCGAGACGCGACATCCAATACATTAGGCTTTCCATGTCCGGTTCTTGGGGTGATCGGCTGAAGAGATGGTGATCTTGACTCGTTGGCCAAGCCAAAGTAACAATGACAAGATTGGACTGGACGTTGAGGACATGGAAGGCAAATTCGTAAGTTATCCAAGGGGTTTGGAATTTATATGGACTATTTGCAAAGGGATTAGCGGCGCAACAAGGACGTCTTGACGGTAGAGTAGGCATCCCAGGACAAAACGGGTGTGATGGGATGGTCACGTACGCTATATCCATCGAAATGCCGAGGACTGCATTTTCGACGCCCGCAATATCGCCACAAAAGAAGCCATCGTGTCCTTCGAGCGCCCAAGTCTCGTCGATACTGTACAGGTGGCTTTTCCGATAGCCTCCACTCGTCTCGCCGTCCTGATTCACAATGATTGCGGAGTTGTAGTACTCAGGGGACGCGGGCCATTTGTCGGATATGTCTACCTTTTCCGGGTAGCCAACGACGACAGTACATCCATACTTCAAGGCAACTGTGCGAGCCCAGAGGCTGCTAATACCAGAACCGGTTGGTTCCAGATGGGGAAAGATCTCCTGGAGAGATTTGTAGTAGTAGCCTGCCCAGAAACTATGTTAGCTATTCGGCCAAGGGAGGGAGAAATGAACAGTCTGGAGGCATCGCGACGCGACATTTATTCCGAAAGTCGCACACAATCTAGGTCGAGGACCCGGCGCCAAATTGTGTCGCTTGAAAACCCCGACAATAAAAGGGACTGGATTTTCGGGTGAGATGTCTTTATCTTCTTGTATGACATACCAGAAAAGGCTAATTCGGGGAGCACGAGGAGATCCAGGCTCTCCAAATCGTCGACATTCTCCTTGAGGAGGACAGCGTCCGCCCTGGATAGATTATTGTTGACATCCCCCTTCACCGGGGCAAACTGCAGACAGCCTATCCTCATTATCAATGACTTCTCGTCTAAACCGATGAAAAGAGCTTCGACTGGATTGGAGATGAGAACAAGACGATCTAGAGAGCGGAAGATCGGGAGACCAAGGACTGAACCAAATCTAGAAACGCAGGGTAGGCCGTTCTCTAAGCGAGGAAAGGAACAACAATAATAATGACGGTGTCGACTAGATCCCGATAACCAAAACCCAAAAACAAGGAGAAGAAAAGAATAAAATAAATAAAAAGCGTAAGGTCAGAACTCAGAAGCCGGTCTGCGAATTGTGTGAGGGCATTTGGTGAGTAGATGTAGACGAGATGGGAGCAGGGCGGGGGCTAGCGTGGATTCCAAGAACCAACGTCGAAAAAGCGTCGCGGATCAATCAGGCTTAAGAGGTCAGAACCCCTCAGATACTACCTGTTTTGCAATATGGAGGACGCCAGGCTTCTCTTATGGTCTCGACTCTCATCCAAGGACAGTGACCTGTTTCGTGGCAGACAGGGTACCAGTACATGCTCATGTTCCACAACCCCCTCCCTTGGTCGTGATAATTGTGCACGCGCATCTGCCCATACAGGCATACACCGTCCAATCATGTCCCGATCCGGATCCATCCTAGGTGTTATGGGAAGTTTACAGCAGTTTTACTGGCTGTTGTAGTGGGTTCCAGTTGATGATTGGGCGGCTACGCGCCATTGCATGCGCCAGCAGGACCCTTGCTTAGGAGAGCGACTCCGGTCTGGCATCAGATCTACGAAGTACAGGCGTTAGATCAATACCTCTTATGAAGTAAGGACACTCGGTATGTAGCGGCAAACTGATTTACTCCGCGTGGTTTAGCCTGGGAGGTCTCTCTTTCGCTGGATCTGCTTGGCGCCCAAAGTAGGAGTTCAATTCAGGGATGTAGGAGATGGTGGACTTTGGAATCGAGGAAGTACTTCGTAGTTTATATTCTCGCCCGACCGTTCCCAGGGTATGATAACACCCTCCCAGACTTTCCATTACAAGTACTTTATACATCCAGGTGAGGTTTATGGGCGAGACGAAGTACGGAGTACATGTACCGCTTCTGCGAAAGAGTCTCTATGCGTGCTGAGGCCTTTCAAGAACGGTATAGCTCCTCCCGACAGTCTGGGACTTCATTTTACTTCGTATCAGTGAGCCAACGGGAGATGATTATGCCACATTGAGGCAAAATTTTAGGGGAGTATCAAACCCCCCGCCTGCAGGCTGGCATCGAGGTTCCCTTGGCCAGACCTCCTCTTCCAAACCTACGAAGTACCTCGTAGAGCGTTCAAACCGAAGGACTCTCTCCTTCGGAGGGTATTTACCATGAGCACGACTGCGTCGCATTTCCATCATATTGTACCCTATTTTCCCTTAATAAAAGTAGGTAGAGAGAGATTGAGAGGAATGGTTCTTGACGTAAGGGTCGGAGGACCCCGCCATTGGGGGCTGTGTGCTGAGAAGGGTCGCCAGTACCTCACAAGGGTAACAAGCAGCGCAGGGCATATGGCGTATGACTGGTGACAGACGATACAGATGTGCCTGGGCGAGTCACGAAGGAATCGCGCACCAAGGTGCCAATAGCCATTCAATCACGCCATTTAGTACCCGCCCAACCTGCGACTTGTCCTCGGAAACTCGGGCACTAAACTAAACTAGTACAGAGCACGAAGTAAGGGAGCGGGCGCTATTTATTATAAACTACTGCCCCTGGGCGACACGCCGTCCCGTGACAACGATAAGCAGTACGGCGATCACTTGAAACAGGGGCTCACGATTTTCTCTGGGGTAGCCGCGCAACATTGGCATTTCCAAGTTCCGAGATCCCTTCTTTTTTCTTTTTTTTTTTTTTTTTTTTTTTTTTTCTTTTTTTTTTTTAACCTTTCGTTCCGGATGAACTTCCCCATATTTGGGGGCTGATGCTCGGTACCTCGGTACATATTGATATTGATGTTGGAGGCCAGGCTCGGCCTTTGCAGGACGCCCCCGCCCAGCCCCCTCCTTGTTCCGCATTCCGTGCCCAGAGCCAACATCCATTTTTTGATGGCTGTCAATAAATGCGGAGGTATCCAACCACGTGATCTTGGAGGTTGATCATCGTCAAGTCCAGAGAAACTTCTGTCCTGTACAAAGGTACATGTCCATGGATGCCCAACTCTCCATCGCCCTTGGTCAAAGTTGTTTCCCGTGCCCGATAAGACGCGAAGGGGATGCTCACGAACTAGACAAAGCTCACCTTGTAGATACTTAAAACCCTAAAAGGAATATAAGAGCTCTAATATCTTTGCGTGGGGTTTAGATCCAGGAACTCTGGCCTTGAGAGGAATGCAGCCCACTAGCGCGAACCACTCAACAAGAGCTAGCCAGAGAAAAACAGAAGAAATGAAAACGCAGGAGACTGGATGTCAAGCTGGCATGTCACATTATCGTACACTTCTGTACACACCGTTGCATCCCCGTTCAAGTTTATGCCAAGGCGGGATGGCTAGAAACATTAACCTCAACGAGACCAACGGGACAGCAGGACATCAACGATGCATCGAGACCCTCAACAATTCTCAGCTCCCATTTTGTCTACGAGTAAAACCCCTCACTGTAAGAACTAGCCATAAACGTAGCGTACAAGCATGCTCCGTGAGCCTGCCTAGGAAAAAAGGCATAAAATAAAAATAAAACAATCAAGCATCGCAGCTCTTCAGAATAGAACCTTGAAGAATAAAGGGTTCAACTCGTGGGCCAGGAGGGTCAGGTTTCCCCTGTAACTAAAAAAGCAACGCTACCAGATGCAAGTTTTCGTTAAAAGAGAAAACAATAATAATGTAATGGCCATGGAAGTTTCATCATGCATTAAACGCCTAAGGTGTGTCGTGCAACCCCAGCTGAAAAGCCCGGCCTGTCCTCTCAAAATTTTGTTTCACCTGCTTTTCATCGTCCTCTTCTCGAGCATTGCGCTCCTCCGTTTTCTTCTTTTGTAAGAGGCCATCTATCTTCCCATTGGCCTTCCTTTTTCGTCATCGTATTGTTCCGGCTAGCAACTGGACAGGTTCTGCCTCTTGCTCGCCGAACGTCTTTGTCGTCTTTATTCCGCATCTTGGTCGGCTTCTTCCGGTTCCGTTGTCGTTCGTCATCATCATTCAGAGGTAAAATCCGAGGCGTTAATTTCCGCTTCGTATGAACTGTTGGTACACGGCTCTACTTCTCGTAGAGTGCAATCCGGGTGTGTAATGAGAAAGAGAAGAGAGTGGTGGATGGCATAAGTATTAGGGCTCAGGTATAACAGTTATCATAATCGGAGAAGGGGAGGGTAAAAGTGTGTAAGAGGCGAGATGATCTCGGAGGGTATCAAGGGCATCAAGTCGTAAACATATTCAATGCTGGAGGTTCCAGAGGTGGAGTGAGAAAAGAACGACGAAATGGATCCGGATTAGAAGAGGGCGTCTCCGGAAACGAGTTCGCGTATCGTCCATCGCCACTCGTCGTAGTTCCTGGTATTCCCTGTAAGCCAGGATTCGCACTTCTTCCTCCAGCGCTCTTCCTCCTCGCGCTGGCGTCGTACAAACTCGGGCCCCACGTCAAACTCTTCGCCTACTAGCCAGTCGTCCCGAACATCGCTGAGGCGTCCCTGGCCGCCGTCGTTTGAATCAGCAGTGTTGTCTTCGAGGTCGGGAATGTCCTTGAACGGGTCATCGTCATCTTCGTCGTCCTCGAGACCATTGAAGCCGTCCAATGGGTCGCCCACCTCCGAAATTGGCCTGGCCGAACTACCGATCTTGAGCCAGCACATGTTCTGAGGATCGAAGACCATTCCGCCGACAACCTGAACTCCTTTGGTAGAGCTGATGTTGGTGATTAACGCTGGTCGAGGCGTGGCATTTTCCTTTTCCCTGAGCATGTAGGGCGGCAACGAAGTTGTGGACGGCGAAGAAGACGCTGGAGGATCGAAAGCACTAAGGACATTATCGTTACCTTCCCAGCGGAAGGTGACAGGGTTGTAGACCATTCCATTGACAGCTATATGCGAATGTTAGCGTTCAGTGAAACAAAAAGCCCAGAGCCATCCATATATTTGATGGTTAGACGCGGGACGGACAGAAGGATCGGACGGGGAGGGCAATATACTCTTCGATTCTTTCGCAGAGTTCAAATTCGCAATCAAATGGGGCTTTAGTTGCTGGGAACGCTTCTTCTTAGAGCGAACTTGAGGCGAGGGAGGCGCCATCGGGTTGAGATTGCTTCGGGTCGAAAGCTGGGCAACTCGTTGAGCTGTTAAGGGCGCCAGAGGTCCAGACGATGGAACACGTTGGGCGAGCGAGGTCTCACGCGCGATCCGGCTTGCAGCAGTATCTCGAGCAAAGCTGGGCGTGTAGTCAGCCCGCATAGGTGAGTACGGCGATACAGGAGACGAAGTGGTGCTTCTGTCGGGCAAGACATTTTGATAAATCTTGTTTCGTAGCAGCGGCTTGGAGTCTTTGCCCACAGGTTGCTTCACATATCGAGCCTCCGCGTCCTTTGAGACAGGCAAGTCATCAAAACCGTCAAGTTCGGAACCATTTCCAAAGGTCCGCTGGTGACGGGGCCTACTAAGCAGACGATAATGAGTCTCCGTGATCTTCTCATGAGTCGCGGGTCTCGCGCGTCGGGGACTAGGCGAGCGCATTGCCGATCGGGAGATGGCACGAGAGTTTGGCCGGAAGTCAATAGAATTCTCGGAGTCATGGCGTCGGAATACCCTACCACCCTTAGCCGTCACATGATGAGACTGAGCAGAAGACCCAGCTGGTAGGAAGGGAAGTGGGTTCCGCCGGGTAGGAGGAGCCATCGAAGCGCTCGAGTCGGGTCGAATGCGTTCAACTGGTGTCTTTGGTCGCATTACTGGCGGGGGACGCCCATCAGTCCGAGAAGGAGGTCGCTCGTATCGTCCGACTGCGGTCGTTGGCTTTGCTGGCGACTGGGGTGCTCTCATAGCAGGCAGCGACCGCTTCAGTCTCAGCAACTGCGCGTTGGTGGTGGTGGGCTCGTTTCGAAGCGAAACGGCAGAAGTCTTCGTCACGACCTCCCTAGCTGTGCGTCGGGGGGTGGAAGGTGGCAGTGACTGGGCCGAAGAAGGTGTGGTGGGCGTCGGCAGGCTAGAAATAGAGGATTGTGCGGAGTGGCCAAGTCTAGACTGCGAGCGGCGAATTCGGGGAACAATGGGACCACCACTTTCGGAGACTGGCTCCAAGTTAGAAGGCGCCCTATCATGGCTGAGGCGGGGAAGTCGTGAGGGTAGTTGCGCGACAGGTTTGTTAGTGAAGGTAATGGATGCGGCTGTCTTGGGCCGCGAGGGACTCTCAGGCCTCGACTCCTTGAGCTTGATGTTGCGGTGGAGGGTAAGCTTCTTGGAATCGAAAACAGCACCATCGCCGATATCTAGGCCAGACAAAAAGTCCTCCTTGTCAGGCTCTGCCTCGAGAGGTTTCTTTGCTGGAGCTGCTGGCTCCTCGTCGATGCGTTCAGGGGATCGGCTCTTTCTTCGCAACTTCAATCTTTGCTCAAAATTGACAGGGCCTGGGGGAAGCACGAGACCATCAAACGTCTCGTCTTCGCTCTCAGCAGTGATGGAACTGGATATGCTAGGGCTTAAAGCAGAAGCAGAGGAGCTGCGGTTCGAACGGCCATCCCTTCTAGTACCGCCGTAGCGGGTACCAAGACTTCCCTCACCCCAATCGAGATCGTCCATGCCCAACGATGGCGTCTTGGGAATGTCTTTCCTAGTGGACAACCTCAGCTTGCCATCGGAAGGAAGCTCGAGATCCATTTCGAAATCATCCTCGCCTTGAGGACCGGGCTTCTGCGCCTTCTGAGGGGTTGGCGGAGTGATGAGCGGAATGGGTTTGGAGAGACTCCTAGTCTTGGATACTTTGATAGTGGCCGATCCATCTCCAAAGAAATCGTCGTCGTCATCATCGTCCCGGAATCTGTCTAGATTGATTGCCGCACTGAGTATGCTGGATCTCGATTGGTTGGAGTCGCGACGATCACTGTGAATGATAGCTGGCGCTGGCCTACTGGACTTCACGGGGCTTGTGTGGACGGAGCCACCGCTGACTTGCCGAATGGCATCTGGGAATTGAGATGCGTCCTGGGTCTTGATCGCCAAGGCCTTGCCTGGCTCGGGTAACTCCAAGTCGGTTTCCCAGTCTTCCTCTATTATCTGCTTAATCTTCCGACCGCCAAGGCGTTTGATAGTACCACCCATAAGGGCAGAATGAGGTACGTTCTTCGGAATGGGGATGCCCATGTTGGCGGCCGCCGCTATCGCATTTAATGTTGACTTCTCGTCGCCGTCAGCGATGTGAACTTGCCGGTCTTCTTCGCCGACTACAGACTCCAACTCAGAGCGCAGAGACTTGTGGGAAGAAATGGAATCGCGGCGCTGGGAAGGCGGGTTGTTGGTGTTTGTCGAGCTACGAAAAGTGAGATCATCGCCGTCGTCGAGCATAAAATCGTCGTCATCCCAGTTCTCGACGTCGGGCTCACGCTCGACTGGTTGGCGGTGTTTTAATCGTAACATCTCCATATTGCGGTGGGATATGGTATGGCTGGAGTAAGGTTACGGTTGTGTTTGTGCGGTGGGTTCGGACTCGGTCGAGTTGAGATAAGGATTTTTTTGGCTTCGAATAGCAGGAAAAGGTGGAATAGCAGATTTCGTGCACAGAGAAATGCGAAAGATCCAGGCTCAATGGTGAGAATGCATATTCAACACCAACATGTCCCTAAGTCTCGTGGCATCTCCTTTAGGGCAAGTAGGTTGAGCCTCGTGGAGCAAGGACGTCTGAATAAATGCGGAAAAAGGTTTGTCTCGAAGAAACGTATGAATAGGAAGGAAGACCAAAAGAAGTTCAAGGGTAAGTCCAACCAAGAAACTGGCCAGTGAATCACATAAACAGCCTAAAGTTCTTTGTGAATGTTGCTCTAATGCGGTCTGAGTGTGAGTGCGGAAGTGGAACAGTATGTCTGAGTTGGAGTTGGCTGGTTGGGAGGAACAGGTGGCGATCGTGAATGCGAGTGGACTTTGGTTGGTAGAAAGGCTGGTGGTGGGAGAAAGTGGGAGGAGGGAAACGTGAGCTTGAATCAGAGGAAGGAGCACTGTATGAAAGACAGTGTCAAAACCTCGACTCGAAGTCTTAGACCAGGCAATTGTAGTGCTTGCTCCAGGACAATGTTGCGCCCAACGGGAAACGCGGAATAATGATGATGGACCAAGAAAGAGAGAACTTGAAGGCTTCTTTCTCTCCAGGCAACTCATTAAGGCTGTATTACAAAAGAGGGACACTCCGTAATTTGCGACGGGGTCGGCGAGAGAAGCGAAACGGAAGAAGGATAAATTGGGGCCGCAAAATGAGACCAAGTATGGAGGATTGCGCACTTGAGTGAATGCAGGTACCAAGCATTACAAGCAAAATTATGAACAACTCGACGAGAGATTGATCAATTGAGAGAAAAGATGCGCCTCCTATTCTACATTCTATTTATTGCGTAATTATTCTTGAGTGCCCAATATCCTCACATCGTAATACCGATGGCTGGGAAGGCTTGGATTATGAGCGAGCCGGGCTGCAAAATGGGCCCATGATGTGGGATTAAGAGGTGGTTGGGAGGAAGCATCATCTCAATATCGTCCGGTAATGGCTTGCAGCTGGGCGCACTGTGTCCTTCGATCGCAAGACCAATGAAGACCGAGTGAAGACCCAACTAAGGAAGCAGGGAGCACAGCGAAGCCCGCAGAATTTTCCACATTCATATCACGTGATGACACGGACGGTAGCTTTTGGAGACTATTGGCCAGCAGGTCGCGTCTAGGTGTCACGACGAAGACGCGTGCGCAGAACGCGTCGATTCTTGGGAGGGTACAAAGAGCCTGCATTGTGCCCTTGACTTTGGCTTTTGTGTGGGAACATTATCACTAATATGGCCGAGGTGTGGCACTGGTGGGTTTTTCCCAAAATGCAAAGTGTCCATTTGAAACGCGTCATACCTAGAGCACACATGGATGGAAACATGGGAGCGGAAGTCTGTCTCTGCCTCGCTGGGTAGGATTTCCAAGCGGAATATTTGGCTAGCTACTTCGTTTGTGGAGTGGTCTCCTCGGTTTTGACTCTATCCTGTGGGGGCGCAATCAGTCATCAATCCAACACCAAAGCCATGCAGAGGCGGGGTCTTGCTCGAGTTTCAGCATTCCAACCCAGGAATGTATTGATGCCAGCTCTCCCACAGATGTCATCAGCTGCACCCTGTTAGACAAGCTCTAATCAACTTCACCACGTAATTGGAAGTCATCTTGTTGGACCATGGTCGGTCAGTAGGCATCCTCATCAAATGAATCCATCCATCTTCAAGATCCTAGAGCCTGGTGGTGATCATACATGTTACCCAAGAAAATTTTGCCTTAGGAGTTTAAGTCCTATCCTCTAAAGTGCCCCTCCAATTTCGCAGACTACGCCGCGTCTCGACGCGTCGCCGAGGCCTGGATACTTCTTCCGGATTAGGAGCCGGTGGGCTGCTGTCTCCCTCCATTATCACCATCAGTTAAGGCTATTATAGCTCGACTCCAACTTGATATATCCGGAGAAGATATTTGTTCTTTTTTTCATTCGTCCCCTGTCATCGGACACACCGAATTTAGTATCCCTTCGACCTCTGACCAAGTCCAAGTGTATTGTGCATCGCTCGCGAACAAAAGGTCCCATCGTCTATCCTGCCCGCTCTCAGGCTTGTTTGACTGGGGCAATTCGGAGACTGTTTTAACCTCAGCCCAGTCTTGTCGGGTAAGTTGTCCCATCTATCCCTCAGCTGTCTATGATCCAGACATTTCCCCCCCTCCCCGCACGAGTCCATTCCGCGAATGGTTTCCCAATATATGAATATCCCCCCATTATTCCGTTATTTGCTCGACAGCTACACTCCGCCCAATCCCCCGTCCGTCTCGTATACCTTGTGCCCCTCATCAGCTGCCCTCTCGGTCCGTCCCAGCTTTGCCTCGAAACATCTAGCTTGGATCGCCTGTCCTCGCCCCGTTCTCTTAGAACACACCCTTTTAGTCTTAGCCGTGCTCTTTTCTAATTCGACCACATCATAGTTCCCATATCACCCTTTCCCAAAGAGGCAGAAGTGCCTGCGTGCTCGTCAGGATTAACATTCCTCCCTCAACACCCACACTCTGTTCCGAATCCTTCCCACTAGCCCCTTCCACCAACCCAATGGCTCCGAACCAAAGGATCCTACGGTTTGCCCAATCGAGGAAGAAGTCGGCATTCGTCCTCGTGCAGGCCGCCTCTACCGGACGCCACCCGCTCGATCTAAAGCTCATTGGCACAGACGGTTTTTCCCCATTTGTCGTGACATGTAAGTGAAGCCCACACCATCTCTCTCCCTCCCTCAAGTCTAGGTCACAAACCGGGGTGTCCCTGATAAACACGTTTATGCACTATATTGCATATGTATCAGAAAGATAGAAAAGGATCCAATCGAGCTAACGAGAACGTTTCAACTGCGCAGTACGTCAAGACCGTGTTCTAAGCCTCAAGCATTCTTGCCCGGATGAGGAATGGGAGGAGATACTGATCACCCTGTTTTCTCAAAAGACAATAGAGGGTATTCAAGCGACCGCGAGAGTCGAGGAGACTCAGAACGAGGATGAGCCTCCCTCTCACCTTACTATCGAGGTGAGGAGAAGTGTACAGGGGATAACCGTATGTTCTTACAACCACCTTGGGCTCGTAATTATTACGAACCTATCACTGATACGCATGTTTCCGTCCGTAGAAACACATGGGAGATATTACCCTCCGCTACAAGCCGGAAGAACCAATCGATGTAGTAGACTGGTGTAACACATCCATTCTAGCCTACGAAGAAGCCACGGCAGCCCTTGAGAAAGAGGGCCAGCGAGTATCAAAGCTAGAGAAGGAACTCGAAATCCTCCAGAATCAACTCAACGAACTAGTCGATGCGAAAAAGGCCGACGAGAATGACCTCCTGGAGAAGTTCCGCGATCTCCTCAATGAAAAGAAGGTCAAGATCCGCGAACAACAACGTCTCCTAGATACCTCCTCACATGGTGTCCCTCCCACAGTAGAAGACAGTCCCGAAGCAGCCCCACCCAGTCCCAAGGTAAAGAAAGAACCCAAAGAGTCCCAACGCCACATTCCCGGTCCTTCGAGAAGAGGGAAGAGGAAGCAAGCCACTCCGCCCGTCGAAGAAGAATCCTCCGACGAGGACGGCTTCGAAAAGATGGACACAGACGAACCGGCCAACGCCCGCCCACTCCCTGACTCGGAGGACGAGCGTACAACGACTGCCGGCTCAGAAGAAGATGTTACGGCCAGCGAAGACGAGGAAGAAGCTGCGCCGCCCCCAACCAAACTTACGAGAAGGGCAGCAAGCGCGAGGACGAGCACGAAGGTTGCGTCGCAGACGGTAAAGTCTAAGACGAGCGAGAAGGCGGCTGAGGGGGCGCCTCCACCCAAGAGGGAACTACCGTTTGCGACGAGGAAGAAAGGAGGTGCAGCGAAGGCCAAGCCGCCGCCTCAGGAAGGAAGCGAGACGGAGTCGGATGATGAGCTCTAGTGACAGAACGATCGGGATTGAGAAGCTTGGATCTGAAGGCCACGCAGACTGGACGAGGCCGAGTCTGTAGTTCCGATGAATGAATATCATGACCTTTATTCTTACGATCCCCAACTGTCTAGCTGTAGCATTTCCTATGAAATTAAGTATCACGACGACATCAATCATGTATGTACGTAACTGACATCCACTTCCAACATCACGATCATAATAAGGAGCTTCAAACCGACACCCTTCGGCTCGATAGATACCGTAGTTTTTAGCTACCTCATAGTCTACAAGCCTAGTTGAAGAGGAATCTACGAAACAAGTTGATCACGAAGACGGAGCGATTTATTTTCTTTTTTCGTTGACCGAGGTCAATTACTCATTTTATTGCTTGCTACCCGATTTTACCTGGACAGAACAAACCTCCCAATTTTCGTGGCCCGATTGCCAAATTTCATCACTCTAGCCTCGGGGGCTTTGCCATACGTTCGTCACCCCCTCTCCACATTCCCTATCGGATAAAACACTTCACGAAAAGAAAACCGAAAAACCCTTCCTCGACCAAATTCCTTGTAGCTACTGGAGAAGTTCAAATGAACTTCTTGATGATGGCCTTAACACCGGCGCGGAAGCCGTGGCCGTGCTTGCCCTCGGACTTGTCAACCTGGTCCTGCTCACCAGCGGAGGCAGGGGCCTGGGCCTGGGCCTGACGGGCCTGAAGAACATTGAGAAGCGCCTGGGCAACAATTGGATTGACGCCGCCAGAGGCTTGACCATTGTAAGCAACACCGTGGCCATAGGCTCCGTTGCGCTGAGCAGCAATGATCATGTTGAGAGACTCAATACGAGCGTTCATCTCATCGACGAGGCGAAGCAAAATGCCAAGAGCACCGTTGAGAGTGTTGACCGAAGTGTCAATGGTGTTAGCCGAGGTGGCGATCCTGTTAGCGTTCAGGCGAATAGGACCAGTGGCGTCGACAAGCGAGTTCTCAACGACGTCAATGAGCTCCTCGGTGATAGCATCCATGTCAGCGGGAGAAGGGTTCTGAAGGCCACGGCGTTGGGCGACCTCCTGGGTAAGCTCAAAGTAGCGTCGCTCCTGGTAGGCAACGCGAAGATAGGTGTCAACGCGCTCCCGGGCAGCACGAATGTTCTCGGCGTCATCAAGCTTGTCATCACGCTCAGAGATGAGACGAGCTACCTCAACACGAAGGGCAACGTACTCCTCCGAAGGAGGAACAGCAGGGTCACCACGAGCATCGCGGAGCTGGGTCAGAAAACCATAGTCCTGGACAATGGCGGCGGCATCAAGAGCCATAGCACGAGTAGGAGGAAGCTCACGAGTGCCGCGAGCCTGAAGAACCTGGTTCAACATAATGCTGATCTCACTGGCGGTGTGGACGCCGTTGCCCAAGAGAAGACCCTGAGGGCCACCGAGAATCTGGGCATTGATAGCCTGGACATCTTGGATGACAACGTCATCAACGGTGGTAGCAACGGACGAAGTAGGCGAGACAGTCTCGGCCTCCGACGAAACGCCAGAGATAATGGAGGATCCGCTCTGAGGCGAACCGTTGTTGGCCTCGTAGCCCTTGGTAACGACAATGGAGAGCTTAGCAGGAGCCATTGTTGTTGCAAGATGAATCAAATGAAGAAACTGGTATGGTCTGCAGTAGGAGTCCAAATCAAAGTCAGCGACAGTCTCAAAGAAGCTTTGGGATGTTCCGATGGGACTAGAGAAGGAGAAGAAGATGAACTTACGAAGTGGGATTGAGAACTCTTAGTTCGAGTAATAATAGTGACAGCGAGGTCAGAAAGTGATCTTGTTGATCTAGGGCAGACAGAGACGATGAGGTTAGCGAGAGTCTCGATGAAGTTTGATAGAACTTGATGAAAATGGGAGATTGGGATGATGGCGGTGATGGAGTTACCAGATATTGATGATGACGGATGATGTTTAGATGAAAAACAACGTTGGTGTTGTTATTTCTGGATGGGAGTGATGAGGTTAATGGTTGATCCGATGGAATCTTGGTGATGATGAGAGGAAAAGGGGAAAAGAGGATGGGGAGAGGAGAAGGATCGAGAATAAATAGACGAGGGGATGAGAAACTAAGCTCCGGTGATGGAGAGATGCTCCAGCCCCTGGGAGTCAGGGAAGGAGCAAGTAGAGCGACTAGAGCTCGAGGGGACAATGGGAATGGCTGGAGCTCGGGAGATGATGGGAGCAAGACAAGGGAAATGACAAACTTACCAATTCGCGACGAGTGTCGTCGATTGTAAAATAATCAGACCGGAACTCGTGGTTCGGGTCGATGGTATCTATGGCAACGACGATGAGATCAGAATTGGACTCGAAGACTCGGAAACAATCGCCGACGGACTATGACGCCTAGAGGGAAGAGACGAGAATGGAGATTTGAAACTTGAAACTTACCGATAAACGACGAGTGTCGTTGATGCTTGGACGAGAAAGACCAGAACAAGAAATTCAAGTTGAGATGCTGTATCACGTCAGTAACGCGGTCGACTGAGGGAAGACGCGCGTGTGATAGGGGAAGAGAGTGAAAATAGAAACAGAAAAAGGGTGGGAAGAGAGACAATGAGAAAAGAAGAGACTTACCAATTGGGTGTGTCGATGATAGTAAGGATAAAGAAGTGCTAGAACAAGTGACTCGAGTTAATGTCAGAGTCGGGTCCACGACGAGGTCAGGGATGGACTCAAGTGGGATGTTGTGGGAAGTGGAAGAAGTAGAAGAAGAAGAAGGAAATGAAATGAAACTTACCAATGGGGGATGCGGATGCTGATGAAAAAAGATGACTGGAGCTTGGAGTCCAAGTCAGCGATCTGTGTCAGGTTGGCGAGGCCGTTAGAACTGGGTTGGCGGGGGGACACAGTGATGTATGTTGAGCAAGGAAGAAGATGGGAAGAGGGTGGGATGGGGAGATGGGAAGATGGAGATGAAGAAGACCAGAAAGGAGACTTACGAATTGCCCCGATCAGGCGAAGCTTTCGAACAGAAAGATGAGAACACGAATTCGAGTCCGTGATCTGGGTCGAGTTGGCGACGACGTCAGAAGCAAACTCGAGATGTGCGGAAGAAAAAGTGTGGGAAGAAAGAAAAAAAAAAAGGAGAGCGAGGCAAGTGAAGAGATTTTCGACTTGTGTGAGAAGCTGGAAGATGAAAAGTTTCCTCCTCGTCTCCCGGGTGATTTGTGATTTTCACCTTTGTGGGTTGGAAATACAGGGGATGAGGTCGAGGAAGGAGCCGGTGTGATGGGTGTTTCCCTGAGAATCAAGGAATTTGGGGGGAGGGAAGATGGTTGCCGGGCAGAAGGGCAGAAGGGCAGAGGACCAGTGTGAGACTCGGTCCTCGCCAGCCGCGATGACGAAGGAAATCGGTTTTCGAACTTACTCGAGGATTAAAACTCACTTGGATTTGGAGCGATGTTCCGATGATGGTGATTGTTCGAAAAGAACAAGAAGAGCGGAGATGCCGATGCTGTCGAAGGTCAGTTGGTGCGGTCACGAACTGAGATTTCGAGGTGGGCGAAGAAGAAAAGAGGGAAGAGTTTCAGAGCGCTGTAGGTTTTTCAGAGATGTATATGTGCGGCTCCCGCTTGCCTCACCTAAGCTGAACGCGAGGTGGGCGACGCGTGTGGGTGAGGTGGTGATGGCTCCTTCCTCGAGAGCTGAGATGTCGCGTCGTCCGGTGACGCGAGAGAAGCTAGGCCAACGCGTGTTGGCGGGTGACTGGAGCAAGACGAAATCAAGATGGGAAGGAGCTCTTGGTACGGGAACGAGACTCGAGCATAATGCAAGGGATATGGCTACGATTTCTGAATGAGAGATGTAGAGTAGACGCTGGTGCAAGTGCTTGAATGAGGTGCTTGAGTGGGCTCTTGCTCTTCAGATCATAAGGAGACTCCAAGGACGACCCCCGAGGAAGGTATTTGATGATTTTACAAGCATAGTTTCACTCTAAGATACTAGTACCGTCAAAAAGAAGGCCCTTCTACAGACGATAGAGACGGCTGCGAGTCGTTGTTAGCGGGGACGGGCGGGATAGACGCGCGTAAGCGTCAGGACAGATCTGCCTCCGCAGAATAAAACGAGAGTCAATGAATGGCGCTCCGAGAGACATCCTCCAAATTACTCTAGCTTCTATCGATCGTCAACGGCCGTAGAAACTACCTAAGATGTTCTTCTAGGGATGATGAAGTCGTAGTGATGTTTCGTAGGATGAAGCGACAGACGCGCGCTTTAGCGCTTTGCGTGTAAACAGGCGCAAGCGCCAAGACAGCTATGGCTGTCTCCGTAGAAAAAGGCAAGATTTAATGAATAGTGTTCTAAGAAGTTTCTTACTAGTTAGCCTAGCCTGCTCTGACTATTATATACTAGAGATACTCGCTAAGAGGCTCTTCTGTCGATGATAAAGCCGTCTTGATACTTCATCGAATGAAGCGACAGGCGCGCGCTTTAGCGCTTAGGTAAACATGAGACCGCCTCTATCGAGAAGGATAAGATTCGATAAATGACATTCCAAAAAGTTACCTCCTAGTTAATATCGCTCTCTTACACTATTTAATATCGGAGGCACCAACTAAGAGGCTCCTCCACGGACGACGAAGCCGTGCTTTAGAAAATGAAGCGACAGACGCGCGTCTGTGCGCTTGAAGCGGTATGTATTCATTGATATTTTCTGTGACCACAACAAGAGTTGTCGAGGCGCAACTTGTGTTAAAAGAAGCACACCACGTTAGGGACTCTACATTAGAAGTTTCACCGGCGAGAATTCCGTAACGAGTCTCTGATAAAAGAATGCAAAAATTCCGTGGTAGACGCGCGTGTATGCGCTTGTATTTGACGCCGCTTGACGTTGGATGTTTGATGTTGGGTGTTGGGTGTTGGATACCCTGCGCGGCTCGCCGAAAGGCGGAGTGCGACACCAGGCCCTCAGGGATAGGAAATCGCAAAGGATGCGGCAGTGGATGATCTGCAGCCAAGTCCCGAGTTTCAGGGAGCCGAACGACTTCTTTGCTTGAAGGGGCCCCTGCCACGCCTGAGGGGGCTGTGGTTGAATCTTCGCGGCATCTAAGTAGGCCAGCCATTGGGATAGGGATGCAGTTCGGCTACTAGAGGTAGTGGGTCCGAGGGGCCGCGAGCGGGTAGGAACGGGCTTGGCAGAATCAGAGGGGAGGTGGGACACCCTGGCATGTCACATTAGCTGGCTGCTCGAGTTTCCCTCTGCCACTCTTCAGTTGAAGAGAGAGTCACCACGAGACTTAGGAGGGGAAAGGCACGAAAGGGGCTCGCGTAAACATGCAGATGGGCTTTGGCTCGATGGTTTGTGGTCGGAGTAGATGGATCACACATTGCATTGTGGCTACTCTAACTCCTCTTGGTTGCGGAACATTAGTCGGAGGCTTATTTGTTGGGGAAAATAAGAGGAAGGGGATACGGTACTTTCCCGGTCTCGAAATCGGTACTCGAATGATCCCCGAGTACTCGAAGCCTTGCCATTATCCTCGAGTATGGCGTCGACTACGAGAAGTTTCAGTGGTAGAACAGTAGACACAACACAATAAGTTACGGCAGTGGAGCAATTTCTAACACACTTTTATTTCCCTGGTGGATGGATCTTGCCCATGAAAGGGCGAGTCCTTGAAAAGGCAGCATCCTAGAGCCGCCCTTCCTCCAACCAAGATAAAACCCGATAGGTAAAAACAGAGAAAACTCCGACAAAACCAGAACAATAACTGCGGCTTTCTCTCTCCTCGACCACTCATTAGTAGAAGCCATGAAACGAATGTCCCTTCCCTCTCCTCCTCAATAGCCCATTAGAAGAAGGAATGATAAACTTGATCAAGAACGACTGAGAACATTCCCACAAAAGCAAACAAACAATCGCATCTCTCTCTCCGTCCACAATAGCCCATTAGAAGAAGCCATGGTGAACTTCATCAAGAACGAAATGAAAACAACCCCGTAAAAGCAAACAAAGAATCGCGTCCGTCTCTCTCTCCTCAACCACCCATTAGTAGAAGCCATGATAAAACTTCAAAAGAACGACTGAAAGCATTCCCATAAAAGCAAACAAGCAATTGTGTCTCCCTCTCTCTTCCCCTTCAACCACCCAACCGAAGAAGCCATGATAAACTTCAAAAGAACACACTTAAAAAAAATTCTCAGAAAAGCAAAAAGAAAAACAATCGCGTTATCTCTCTCCAATCACCCATTCGAAGAAGTCGTGAGATCTTGGCGACCATTCGTTCACTCGTCGTCCTCGTCGAGCTCCATGCTGAAAATCATATCGTTCTCAGCATCAGCCTTGATCTTCATATCGATGTCCTGATTGCGCTTAACAAAACCCTCGACGACAATGGTGGTGGCCGGGGCCGGGGCCGGGGCCGGCTCATCGGTCTCAATCGACTGATAGATAACCTCAGGTCGTCGCTCAGGAATCGGAAGAGGCGCGGATCGACGCAACACGCCCCGGATGGCAAGCTGACGATCGGGGCGATACTTGCGCTGAGTGATCGGCTGGCCGCGTTCGTCGAAGACGAGGGAGCTTCGACGCTTCGAGAGCCAATCGTGCTTGGCGGCGAGGGTCCAGTAGTGCCGCCGGGCCCAGGTCTTGGAGCCCATCTCGGCAAGCTCGGCGACCTTGGCCCAGTCGACGTCGGGCTCCTCGGGGAGACAGGCGGCGAGCGCGGCGAAGTAGTTGATTTCGGACCTCGAGTACCTGCTCGGGTAGAAGTACTCGAATTCGATGGTGGACCTCATCGACAAGGGGCGGCTAGAGAAGAGAGAGCCTTTGGGTTAGTGGCACATCTTTTTTGGATTGGGAAAGGGGAGAAGAATGGGGAGGATGGGTGGGGGGGTAGACATACTTCTGTTGAACCGACAAAATATCAGCGGCAGCGCTGTTGGTCCATGGCGGTACACAATTAGCGAGGGCGTTGGAGCGAAGAGCAAAGGAGGAAGCAATGCGATATCGTAGCAAGACATGATCGAAAGAAGCGAGAAATAGCAAACGACCAGATGGAGTGAAGGAATCGTTCTGCTGGTCTATGATGGCGGAGATCCTGCGGATGAACCAGGGGGTACCCCGGGCAACCCCCGCGTCGGCACGCCACGGCCACGGCCCTCCTGTCAAAGGCCCACCTGGGGCCGGCCGGGTGTTGGCCAACCGGCCCCCGGGGTTGTTCTGCTCATCCTTGGCGTCCGGGGACGCCTCCGGAAAGGTTGCTCTTAGCTCCCTCAGGATATGCATCTTTCGGTGGCTCAAGGACGACAACGGGACGGAATCTGATTATGGAGAAGCGAAAGGGGGAATACAAAAGGAAAAGATAGATTTTGAAGCAAGAGGAAGCGATGAAAAGCAAAGCCCATGCCCTCAAAGTCTTCATAGCGATGTGAAGGGGGAAATGCTATAGAAAGACTGAAGGAGACCTACGAGAGAAAACTCATTTTAGACCTGAGGTACTGGAGCTAGTCTGGGAACCAAATCGCTTAAGTTAACAGGGAGAGAACGAAACATTTGAAATGACTGTTGGGGTGGGTTCACCAATGTCTTCCAGGCTAGCTGTTTCCTGGAAGGTGATAGGGGGCTGGAGTGTGCTGGAGGAACTAAATGCGAGAGAGGCTTACCTTTGAAAGCAACAGGAACTCCTCGTTCAAGAGTTGGAGAAGAGACTCGTTGGTCTTGAGATGGACAGGATGCTGAAGCAAAGTTGCGATGTGCAAAAGGGCAGTTGACTAGAGGGTGAGTCCAGTCTGGTAGGCAGAAGAAAAGTGGAAGTGATCTCCAATGGAGACAGTAGGGGTTGCAGTGAAGAGTGGTGTTGGAGCTTGAGTGACGCTTGAGAGGAAGCTGGTGGGTGAAGAGAGAAGAGAGGATGGTTCAATGCTGGGGGGAATCGGGAGGTTATATAGACGTTCGAAGACAGCGGGGACGAGGACAAGGACGAGGAGAGGAGTCGTCCTCGAGACGGGGGAGGGAGGTGATCCCTTACCGAGTTCTCTTGTCCGTAGCCAACTCGGAGCACGGCTCAAGAAAGCCAACCTCGTTTCCAAGATGTCCAAGTGCCAATACTTTCGGACACCATCATCACAAGTTTGCCTCCCGCAAACGACCATTCATGCCCACCTCCTCAATAATCAAGCTTTTGGTCCACGACAAGAAGTACCACCCCCGTACCCGGCCGGATATTGGTTCTGTCCTCCCCCAGAGCTGGATGCCAAAAGAGGAAGAAAAGCGGCTGTTTGCCTTCTCGCCTTGGTTGGATAGGCCCAGCGCGCATGGCCGCATGCATGTTCTGCAGCCATCTCGACCATTTTCGAATGTCTCTGCTTTGTGTACCACACCTTCACGTCAATCCCAGTTTGCTCACCTTTCCCCCCTCTCCCCTTAGAGCACTGAAAGAGGCCTGGGAGTGTGTGGGCTTGGAGAATATTATTGGGCTTCTCTTGAATTGGATGTCTCGAGAATATTGGTGATACAGACCGTTTGGCGGGCTGCGCGTTGAGGGTGGTATGATGTGCACCAAACCTGCGGAGACAACAAATCGTTCGGCGTTTGCAAGCGTCAATAGAGCAGAGAGCAGATACGCCACATTGTCGCCAAACCGTCAATGAACTCGTAAACAAGCAAAAGAAAATGGGACAGGAGAGTGAGAGCGAGAGAAGGAAACGAAAAAAAAAGGAGGGCGGAAAGGGGAGTGAGAGACCGCCCACATCACCAAATGGTATTATCATTCCTCAGAATCTCTCCAGAAGGCCTGACCATCACAGGAACAATTGGGACGAGCCGGATCCAACTTGGCGACATTTTCGAAGGTATTTTTGATTGTCATTTTATTTTTGGGAGATCCCTCAAGCTATCATGTATATTAAAGTCGTAAACCGTGCCTTTCCTTTTTTTATTCATTATTTTCAAGAGAGAAGAACTATTAACCGAAGAACCCGATATCCTTTTAGAATACAGTAATTGACCTATGAAATCAGTGACCGTTGCATTATTTTCATCCCAGACAAGTGCAAGCTGTCCCAAGAATGGGCAAGCTGCTTTTACTGAACAAGCTACATGATGTGGAAGTCTAGATGGTGGTCCCTAAAACAAGGAGTCCCAGCATTCAGCCCTCACGGGTTGAGAATGAGCCTCAGCGCCGGCAGCAGCGATGAGCGCCGCCGCCTCTGCCGCAAAATCGGGTGCGTGCTCATGGGTGAGGTCATGGATGTGGTCGTGAGTGTGATCATGAGTGTGTTCCACAGAATCGTGGGTGGTGTGATGGCCTTGGGTCTGAGAGTGCGGATCGCACATCAGGTTACCGTAGATACTCATGCTGTAGGCGGCATCCAAGGCAGTGTAGAGGGGGGTATCGCCCCAGGGATCCTGGCTCTGGCTGTCGTCTCCCGAGGTCTGCGGATGGTGGGTGCACTGACCGAGACCAAAAATGCCTGTTTGCCCCAGTAGGTCTGAGGCGGGACTCATCGTCAGAGCGGGGGTACCCAGTATGTCATCGCTGCAAGACGAGATGAGGGAGGTGTCCGTCATCGGTGAGGGCACGGATGCTGGTGAGAACTGAGAGAGGAAGTGAGCGGCATCCGGCCTCTCCCGCTTCAATTTGTCGGGAGACTCGTCGCGTTTCCGCTTCTTGGTGCTCGAGTTCGCGTTGATGTCGGTCTCGACCTTGATGCTGTCTTCTTGCTTCGTCTTCGTGTCCTTCTTGCCCTTGGTCGACTTGCTCTTCGCGGCGCCACCTTTGGTTCGCTTCTGAGGTTCTTGGCCCAACATGGCAGAGCGGAATCGGGAGTAGCGCATCCGGGCTGCATGGCCGTTTGTAATCGGTTGGGCGAGGATGGGATCTTTGGCGACTTCGTTCCAGTCGATCTTCGAAGTGGGACGGCATGAGTTAGCGCCACATTTCCAACTCAAGCCAATCTGAGAGTCCGGTTCAGTTTGGCACTTACATCCTTGAGGCATTTCTGCTTGAGAATAGCGAAGAGGAATCGTGTCATCTGGTTATCGTTGTTTGCCATGGTGACTGGAGAGAAAGGTTTGATGATGAGTGAATATGATGAGGAGAGTTGAGGCTATGCAAGGGAGATTGGATGATGCTTCGAGTGAAGGAGTTGGAGTTGGTGATGAGTATCCTAGGTGAGATGGAGCTGGAACCAACAGATTAGTTCTGTCCATCCGTTAGGTCCCAGGTTTCTTGTGGTGTGCAGCGGGGTTGAGTGGGTTCAGGGCCCTTACCTGGAGTGAGAGTACTGTTACATTCGGTGAGGTGAGGCTGGCAAGTCTTATGGAGGGGGTGGACTTTTCTGAATGGCTGAGCAGATCTACCCTCCCTACTCCTAAGATGGTCTGTACCGGATTTGACCACCGATTCTTTCTTTCTTCCCCAAATTGTTTGTGTGCAATGAATATAGTAGGATTAGGGGGACACGGAGAGGGTAGGCAGAGAACAACGCCTTCAATTTACAGCAGCCTTTGGCGGGTTACAGTGGCCGGATGAGGCCTTTGATGATGGATGTATCCCTTGATCCTCTTTTGTCCTTTGTGTACTTGATGATCAAGAAGATGGAGTGTGAAGAGAGGGTGTAACGCCTTTCTTTGGCCAGTCGAAGGAAAACTCGCTTCCGCTATAGAGCTGCAGTATGAAATGGTGTATATGGTGGCGAGGAGGGATGTTTGCCAAAACTCATCCAGTAGGACGATCTAAGGGTAGGTGACGATAGGCTCGGATGGATTTGGAGGCGGCACCTTGCCGAAGACTAGCAATGCACGGCACAGGCGAAATGAGAGCACAGAAAGGAATCAGGGAAGCAGTCGAGGCGCGGATCGAGCGGAAGCCGAGACACAGGCGAGTAAGACAACAGTTTGACACCGAATGCGACAATCTCAGGATCCTGCAAGAGCGAGATTTCGTTTGCGAGCAGCTCGACTCGAATCGTAACTCGCTGAGCGGAGTGGACCGTTGGTCGCGGAGTCCAAGGCCGTATTGACGTTGTGTAAGGAGATACGTGGCCGACGAGGAGGAGGAGGTTGGATGAGGAGGAGGTTGGATGAGGAGGAGGAGGAGGAGGAGGCGAATCGATGTGCGTTTCCGACGCCCGCTGCTGTAGGAGTGGACAAACACAAGCAAGATTCCCAACTTGGAAAGTCTCGTTTCCGATTTTTCTTCTTTGCAAACGGCGGAAGACAAGAAGGAACGAGGCCAGGGACCTGGAAACGCACGAAGCCGGGGAAGTTTGCTGAATAAATAGACTTGGTACGACGTACAGGCCGACGGGGATAGGCAGACAGGATGCGCAAGGTGTGGGTGTGGGTGGGCACGGGGGGTGTGGACGGTAGCAATGCGCAGGGAAATCTCAAACACTAACACACGAAGGATGAACAAGTTGGACGATGATGTGGAGTGGGGGGGATTCACGGAAGCGGGAAGATTGGGCTGGCTGCAAAGGGCGCCATTCCCAGAAAGGTTTGATGAGAAGCCCCATGGGAACACGGATCAACCTGGATCATAATGGAGGGTGGTGTTGAGTTTCGTTTGAATGAGTCGCCCGTAATCTGCACTACGCAAGTATTGGATTCGGTGGATGATACCCTCCATTTCCTGATTCCCAATCAGGATTGGTGAATCTTTTGATACGTATGCACTTGCGCTTAATCTCTAGTTGTTTGTGAAGCTGCGGCCTGTCCCCGGCGGACGAGATGACGCAGCGATCCGTTCAATAGAACATCAAATGCAGCCTCGAGAGTTTTCTTTCCTCTTCGATTCTCTCGTGCGTCTGCTCGAGCGGAGCGCGCCGAATGAAAAAAAAAAAAAACGCTCGAAGAATGTTTGCTCTGTCGTACACATCGTGTACGCTGCACTGAGCCGACAGCAGGGATGTAAATGGGAAATGGGAGATGAGGGGCTCGGACAAAGTCACTACGAGTACGGAAACACAAGGCGATGGACGATTTTTAGCGGGGAAGGGGAGGGAAAAAAATGAAAATGAGGAACATCAATAAAAAGGTACCGCAAGTGAGTCACGCAGATGCAAGACTAAATTGGTCGGGATCAATGTATTACGGTGGAATGGGATGGGATGAATGAGATGGGGAACCGAGACCGAAAACACTCGAGGTCTGTGGGAATTGTTTGCTTGTGGCGACACGATAAAGATTATTGGACGGCGAGACGACCGGCAGCTTTGGGGGCTACATCCGGCATGACGTTGTGCTTGAAGGATCATGTAGAAATCTGCTTGTTTGCCCTGAAGGACAACTGGCTCGCATCGAGTAAGAAAAAAAAAAATTGAAATCATTGATCCGTTTGTCTGTTTGAACGAGCAAAAATGATCAAACCTAAAAATTAGTCTATCATCATCGCCTCCATCGATATCCGAACGGATCAAGGTGTCTCAATGCTCAAGGAGGGGGGGTGTAAGCGAAGTCTAATGTTAGCCCGGGCGCAGCAATAGCCTGTTGTTACCTTGGCAAGGAGGCGAGCAAAAAAAAGTTCTCTCGCATTCGTTCGCAGAGATCCATGCACCTGAAAAAAAAGACGGTCTGGAACGGCTCCTTTGGCTTACCATCCAAGGGGCCTCACCAATTGGCCATTCTTGACATCTCGACGGTTACGCAAGGTATGCGGACGGGGGAAATTGTGCAGACCATAGAGGCTTCTAGTTTGGGCCGAATTAACATGCCATTTTCCAATTCATGGACCAGCTTCCCCGTCGAGAAGATGGCGATGGTTGATGGTGGTATGAGGTGAGGTAGATGAAGCGACGCGTTGCCGCGAATTGAGGCGGGGGTACGAGACCCATCGCTGGTGCCAATTTTCCACGAAACCACGTGAGCGGGACCAGCGGTGAAAAGAGCCCGAGTCAAGGGGGAGAAACCTGTGCTAAAAGCCCCGATCAAGCGGGATTCGATGGGGCCTAGCTCAAATCATGATTGGAATTCGTGGGGAGTGGGGACGCTGCTGCCTGTTGCCTGATGGCCTGAGTCCCAAAGGAGCTGAAGTCACAGACCCCTTTGCTGCCTCGATTGTCAGGCTGGATGGCAATTGTTCCGTCCTCCGGCTCGGGAGGTGCAAGGGTCATGACACAATTCCTTCGTATTTTGTGCTGAAAATGGACTGTATGACTGTATCAAACCAGTGCCATACTGTGGACAGTCTTGGGCATTCGCTTCCGTTTCTTCCATTTTCCCCAACCCCTTGAATTTTTTGCTGCCCTCCCCTTGCTTTCGTTTTTCTGCCCAAAGCACGCAAGAGCGCTGCGAGGAATTCCTCCCGAGTCCCGCTGCGCCATTGATCTTCACACTGTCCTGCATAGTGAATTGGACACTAGAGAATGCAACATTGAACCGTGCGGATTTGACCGGATTTTGACAGAGCAAGCAAACATTTGATAGTACAAACCAAAAAGTACCTGTCGATTACCAATTGCTCTGTCCACGCTCTACCAATTTCCCACCCACAGTTCTCTGTCTCCAAGATACTCCCATACCACTCCTCTTCTCCACAACCCCTCAGACGTGATATCGCACTATCGCACTATCGCCACCACACCACAGCGCCATCAATCACTCGGAACAAGAAACATCCCGGCCGTTTCCCACGTTTTGTTTGTGCCCCCGAAAGCTCCGATTTCTTCGGGAAGAGCGCTAAGCGGCGTGAGCATTAAGAACAAAAGTACCGAGGGCTGATAATTTTAGTAAAAAGTCGGGGGACTCTCTCTAAACGCAATGAGTAAGAACTGGAACGACCGCGCCGACAGAGACTTGTTCTTCACCATCTTGTCGGTGAAGAATATCGGCGTCATTAGCGGAGGGGAATGGACGACTATCGGTAACCATATGAGAGCTTTGGGCTATGGCTTCACCAATGAAGGTTGCCGGTAAGTCTTGGGGCCTGGCCTGTGCTATGTACACCTGCACGTTTGACATCTCTCAATCCCATTGTCCCACCTCTATACATCCTCTACGTATTGTTTTAGACTGGTTTCTACCATCATGTTTGCTTTAATACCATCCTCGACTTTTCTGTTGTGTTAGCTCGACCTTGTTCGCCTGTATCTGATCTACATTGCCTCTACAGTCTCTCTCTCCCTTCTCTCATTCACTTGGTCATGATATTCTTGGATGTGAATCAAGCTAACACTTAGTCGGCAGCCAACACTTTCAAGGTCTCCGGCGAGCACAGGCCAAGGTCGAGGTCAATGGCGCTCTTAACGCAGATGGGACGAGACGACCCGTCGACCCGACCTTGAACCCCATCACTAGGCGTCCAGGTCCAGGCCGCGGTCGACCAAGGAAGCACCCTCAACCCCAGGCGCCTGCTCAGCCACAGACCCAGTTCATTCATATGCAGCCCCAGCTGAAGATAGAGCAGCAGCAGCAACAACAGCAACAACAGAAGCTCCAGCAGCAACAACAGCCCCAGCAACAGCAACAGCAGGAGCAGCAGCAGCAGCAATATCAGCAACAACAGCCGCAACCACAGCAGCAGCCGCAACAGCAGCAACCGCCGCATCAGACCCCGACCCCGAACCCGCAGATGATGGTCAGCCCGGTCCCCGTGCCCACCGTCGGCCCCATGCAGCCCAACGCTGCGCAGTCGTTGTCTCCGCCCGTCAACCAAGCTCACGCTCACGCTCAAGCTCAAGCCCAGGCCCAGGCTCAGGGTCATCCTCATGCAATGCCCGTTCCTGTGCCCGTCCCTGTTCCCATGGGTGCTACCGACTCTCCTGCCGAGCCCGAAAATGATGAAGATGACGAGGAGGAGGAGGTAGAGGAGGCGGAGGCGGAGGTGGAGGCGGAGGCGGAGGTGGAGGCGGATGGGGAGGACGAGACGGAACCCGAGCCAGAGGATGATGATGACGATGAGCCCGCCGCAAAGCGGGCGAGGCTGGATGACGGTCAGCTTGAGCAGCCGTTGAATGAGGATGTTCTGGGTCTTGCTCATGGGAATCCTGCGGATAGTTACCCTTCGCCCACGTGAGTTATCCGCATTTTGTCTCTCCTTGGGACATACTCGAGCTTCTTTTATGCTAACTCTCGTTGTTTCTAGTTTCAACTATGCTGAGGCCTAAGTGTCCGTTCTCTCTTTTTTTCCTGAACTGGACAGATACAGAGTGGATGAAGAGCAGAGTCACTTAATCGGCTGTTTCCGCGGACAGTGTGTGCTTCGTTGATGTTTCGGGCCGTTCTTTTGTCTTTTGCAGTGCTTTATCTTATTTTTTCCTGTATAATAGGCGATGACGAATTACGGATGTTTTGTTCTTCCTTTTCTTTCTTTCTCTCGTATCTGGAGTCGGCGAGCAGCGGAAAGCAGAGTTGTAGGGCTGTCTGGGAGTTTGACCTGAGAAGAAGTGAGCTATGTATATTAAGTATTGCATTTCGATTACCTTAATGACTAGATGATGGCTCCATCCCGAGTCACCTGTGTGTTTTGATGGTTTGATGAGTCCTCCTGACGACTAAGGTATTGATCCATCATCACAACCTCTTCTCGCCATAACAGGAGTCTGACAGCTAAGATGACCAGGATGCATGAAACACAAGACCAAGGATACAAGGTAGACTTCACACCTTTTTCACGATATCGTCAAAGGGATCAATGCCCTTTCCATCCCCCCAAGTTAATCTAAATGAAAGCTCTCTCTTCATCTCTAGAAATGAAAAGAAAGCCTGTTCCCACTACCTACGTGAGCATTCTCCGGATCTCCTCCAGATTCAGCGCTTCACCATTTCCTCGAGCAGTCTCGTCATTGTGATCTTCTCGAGTGCTCTCCATTCTTCTTTCCCAAGTGTCAACGTTTCTTTACCCAATCTCCTCGTCGCGTCCACTTCTACCGCGTCTCGTTTTTTCAAATAGTTTCTTCCTCCAAGCTATTCTCATCATCAATCCCTTCATCTTCACCACTCAACATCCTCATTTTGAGAATCAAGCGCTTCACTAACGCGCATAGCCAACCTCATACCAAAACATATTTCTACTCTATATCCAAGACAGCCGTCACGATGTCGAAGTCTAGTTGGACCCCTGATGCGGATCAGGACCTCCTGTTCTCTATCATGATGGGTGACGCCGTCTCTCGTCCCTCGCCCAACTGGGAGCAGGTCACCGCCGTCATGCAGGAGCTGGGATATACCTTCACCAAGCAGGCTATCCGGTATGTTTTTCTTATGTCTCTTCTATTTATTTGTTATTACTGTTTCGGTCTTTGCCTTTTCCCCATCCTCGCCGTCACGTTTCCCTTAAGAATATCCAGAACCCATCTCTGCCGTTCCCGTTTATCCTCATAGAGCCTCTCCCTAACGTCACCCCAGCCAGCATTTTGCCAAGAAACTCTGGGCCGCCTTCGAGGAACGCCGCAGCGGCGAAAAGGAGCCCTCCACCCCGTCCCCCGCGAAGAAGATCGCGAAAACTCCTACTTCTTCGCAGAAGAAGAAGAAGTTGCCGCTCCTCGCGCCACCCCCTCGAAGCGCCCCAAGCCCGTCATCGATGAGGAGGATGAGGACGAGCTTTTTGAGGTGGTCACACCTACCAAGAAGCCCAAAGTTGAGAAGGAGACGAAGATGGAGGTTGAGGACGCGCTCGAGCACTAAACGCCTGAAGAAAGGTTTGGAAATAGAAAGACAGGTCGCGAGTCCTTTGTTCTGTAAGAAGACTTGTTCCTCCCCCCCTTTTTTTTTCCCAATCTTGATGTCTCTGTATCTCAGTCGAGAAAACAGACTAACTGGTCTTTTCCTTCTTCGGATAGATAATCTAGGCTATACCTCATCGTCACTCGTCCTTGTCTTTTCTCTACCTGCTTTGTTTTTAGGCGGATATGTTTAGTTCCATCAGGTGTATTCGAGGTGGCTCAATATTAAGCATCGCTGTTTGTGGGGGAGGCTGAGTCTCCGAGTTGATCTTTTCAAGTCTCACTGTTCCTTTTTCTTTTTCCCTTGAACCTGTTCACGGAATTTCTTGAGAATCAGATGGATCAGCACTTGTTCTTATCCACGGGATCAAGCTTGCATTAGGAGAGAGAATAAAAGGAAGTCAAAACAAAATCGAAAAAGCCATTCGGCCTCTTCAGTACACACACTGCCTCGTGATCATCGTAAAAAGTCAAGCTTCGTAGACCACCGGGACTCCTCATAGAAACGAAACATCACAGAATCCATAGTAATAAATAAAAGAAACAAACTTTGATTAATGTTAAACTGTTACCTGGTCCTCGACGAAGACATAAAATAGTGGTATCGTATCACACACCCAGAACGCCATGCCCGTATTCTTTTAAGCCCTCCCTGACCCAGGACCCATGGCCGCCATCGGGGCTTCCTTTGCTCCCCCAAATATCCCAGGCCGACTCATATAACGTACAGGCTATAATGACAAAACTCCAACAGAAAATCATGCCCCGCAAACTACCCCGATCATATGAAAGCCCATTTCAATCAACGTCCGTGAGGAGGCATGGGGCCTGCGGTAGGCATGGGTACACCCCCATTGTGAGGCACAGACATTCCGGGGACTGGTTGAGGCGGTCTGACGTGAGAAGAAAGCATGGCTGTAGCAGCATTATTCGGCTGCATTCCGGTAGCTGGCTGAGGCGGCCGAGCAAAAGCAGAAGGCATGGGTGGTCCGTTGGCAGGCTGAGGCATTCTTCCAGAGATAAGATTTTGTACTTGAAGGGCGGGGCTCTGTGTTGGTGTGGAGGTAGCCACGGGCGGTGTTCTCACGGGAGGTGGCGCAGTGGGAGGCTGAGAAACAACTCGCCTTCTCTTGGCCTCTCTCTCCTCAGTGGCACCCAGCCGGGCGAGAATATCCCGGATCTGAACGCTATGGCGCTGGAGAGTGTTGGTGGCGCCGCCGGGCAGATCGAAGCTCATGGTGTTAACAATTGCTTCGTAGAGTGACTGCGTATTAATGTTTCTGTACTGGGCATGCAGTGATTCGCAGAATTGCTGGAGGCCGTTCACCTGCGTCATCAACTGGCTCAGGGAAGTCCAGTTATTCTTCTCCAAAGTCTGCATTCGGTCGGTGACTTGGCGTATCGACTCGATTGAGGCAGCGTCCGGCACGGCAGATTGGCCACCCGCTGCGACAGAGCTGGCGCCGGTCCTGATGGTCCTCGCGACTCCGTCAATTTTGTTCTTAACATCGTCCGCCGCAACTCTAATATCCTTGATTTGAGCCTCAATGGTGTCTAGTCTGTTCCGAAGTTCCATGGCTTCCTTCTGAGTTGAGTCGGCTTGCGCCTCGACAGCACCGAGCTTGACCACGAGTTGCGTGTTCAACTGCGCCGTCTCATCAGCGCGGCGGGCGAGGTTGTTGGTCTTGGCGTCGAGGACCTTGAGTGATTCGCCCTGACGGCATTGGAGAGCCCGGACCTCCGTGATCGTCGTTCCCGTCTCGGCCGGCGTGTTTCTATTAATGCTAGCTTGGCTCTCCGGGGCTGCTCTACCCTCGACAGCGTCGAGTCGTTTTCGCAAATCGTCGACCCAGCCGCCCACCATCTGGATCATGGCGTCCTGCGCGGCTTTGAGGTTCGCAGAGAGCTGAACGGACTTGGCAATTTCGGGGGCCACTTCGACCTTTACTTTGTCTGCAACGGCGTCGACGTCTACCGAAGGTGACGCGCGATTCTCTTCAAGGGCACTGAGGCGCTTGTTGACGTTTTCGTCTTCCTTTTCGAGAAGAGATATTTTTGTCCGAATGTTAGGCAAGGCACTGTCCATCTCCCAGAAAAGATCGTCAAACTCGCCAGGGTCGAATGCGCCCAACTTTTCCTTATGGATCTTAACCGTGGCTTGTAGGTCACGAAGAGCCTCAGTGATTTCCGCCAAGTCTGCTGCCTGCGATGGCTGCGCGGCCTGGGTTTCCTGTGAGGACAGCGTTGAGCTTAAGTCTTGTAGTCTGCTTCCGTACGTGTTGACCTTGGCATTTAGCTCGGAGAGGGCCTCGGTGATTCCCGACAAGTCTGCTGGTGGTGTTGGCTTGAAGCTGCGCAGTCTCTCTTCATGAGTATTGACCTTGGCCTCTAACTCACGAACCGCCTTGGAGACTTCCATAAAGTTGGGCGGCAACGCCGAACTGGGTGAAGCAGACGCAATCCGGGCTCTGTTTGCGGTTTCTAGATCCGAGACTGCTGAAATGGCGGTACTAACAGCGCCCGCTACCCTAGACAGCCGGCTTCCGGTATCATTGCATGTCAAATCTAGCTTTTCGGTGATTCTCTCAAGTTTATCAAGGCGGTCCTTCAAGTAAGCGTGGTCCATCTTGCCGCGATTTTCCTCCACAGCCATCCGTGAACGAAGGTCCCTGGCCTCTGTCACGCTTCTTTGATGATCCATGTCTAATTGCCTCATGGCGGTTTGCAGCTGAGAGACGTCTTCGTTCAGCTTCCGCTGCATACGGTCGAGTTCTTGGTATTCAGCCATAGGCGTCTTCTCAGCGGGGCTGGGTTCCTTTTCCCTGGCGCGTAGTGATTGGATTTCTGATTTCATGGCCTCGCGCTCTGTGGCGATTTTCTGTTTGTCATCGACAAGCTTTGCATAATTGCTCTTGAGGCTCTCGTGCTCGCTGGACAGGCTCTGAAGCTGCGACTGAAGATTTTGCATTTGCTTCTGGGTGGCTTGGTTATTGTCTGTCATCGTCTTGGTAAGTGTGTCTACACGACTGGCGAGACTACGAAGGTCACCGCCGTCAACCGCGGGGGCCGTGGCGGTGCTGCTGGTGGTCGAGGATTTCAGGGATGGTTGTGGTGACGAGGAGCGAGAAAGCTTGTTGAGCATAGTGGTCATTAGGTCTCCGAGTACCCTATGTTGGTCTGCGGCCATCTCTTTGTAATCTCTGTCGAGATCACGGAGATCCGTTTCTCCCTTCTGGACACTGAATTTGAGCACCTCGGCGGCTCCGGCCATTCCCGGAGCCTTGCGCATATGCTTGGCCAGATCACTCTTTCGGGTTGCCAGAGTCTGCTCAGAGGCCTGTACCTTGAGTTTCAATGCCACCCTGCCAGCCAGAAGCTCGGCAAATTTGTCAAATGGATCGAGATCTTGAGCACTGCCTGCCTTGAGCCCTGAAACCCTGACGAAGGCCGAAGGAGGTTTTGCTTTTTGGGGGGACAAGATTGTTAGTAAGAATACATATGTAGTGTAAGACGACTACTGCAACCGCTTAGGTGGTCGCGTGGTTCTTTAAGAAGTATCGACTCACCTGGGAGATTCTGCGATGTGGTCGAGGCATGGCGCCGGAGAGGCGGTTCGTGTCCTCCGGTTCCACCTCGACCTAGAGCAGGTCTAGAACGGGCCATGCTGTCCTCAAAGCTAAGCTTCCTAGATCGTAGATCCCAGTCTGCGCGGTCTCGGTCCCTGCCCCGATCCCTACTATTCTCCCTACCGGGATAGCGCTCTTTACCAAAGTCGCGCTCTGGAATGCTTCTATCACGGTCACGGCTCGTATCCCAGCTCGGGCGACGACCTGGCGGTGGGGAATATGGCTCGCGACCCCTGCCTCTGGGCCCAGTCGGCAGAGGTCGGTAATTATCTCTATCCCCCATCCTCTCTCTCTCTCTCAAGCTGTAACAACTTTAAGGCATGCAAGGTAGACGCGCTTTTCGGTCCAATCCGTCAGTGTGACCGTGCATGGAATACAAATCGAAACGTGTGTCTCAAAATTCCAGAGATGTGGAGCTGTAGGAAGATAAGTTCGAGGGTAATACAGGGAAGATCGGGTGTTTCCAGGGTGTAGGATTAAAACAAGTTAAGATGGATTGAACCCCAGAGAGGAGAGAGTTTCAAGAGCAAACCTCCTTTTTGTTCGTTTTAAAATGGAGGACAACAAGGGGCCAACCTAACGGCAAACCATGCGATAGAAATCCCTGTTCATGAGAAGTGAGATGCTGTGATTGAAGAGCGAGGTGGTGAGGTGGTGAGCAATGTGAATGCCAGGTCGGTTTGCATGAAGTGGCGGAGAAAGAAGAAAAGTAGGTTTTTTGGATGGTGTTGGTGATAGTTGTTGCTGGTTGGTCGGTGCCTGCCTTGTCTTGTGGTTTGTGGTGAGCTCCTGCTCGTTTTTCTCAGCCGTACAAGTGTACCTTGAGCGGGGTCGAAAGTTGCGATGACAAGGGAAGGTGCATTGGGTCAAATGATGTGAGCCCCTTCTTCACCATAAGTCCTGGGTACAAAATGGAATTAATAGCTGTGAAGGAAGTAGAAATTGATGCCAAGTGAGATTTCTTGAGATTCCCATGTTCGCATCATCCTTGCTTGGGTCAGTTTGAAAATACGCGCCCAGGAGACGCGCTAATCCGAAGGTGGGATAAGTAAGACGGGTCGTCTCGGTACATGAAATCCAGCGTGGGCGCTAACTGAGGTACATCCAGAAGTCTATTATCAGAGATCGAATTTGATATAATTGGATACGAGAAAAGAGTTCAGCCTGTCTACCTCTGATCTGTTTCGAAGATCCACACACGATAGAAGGATAGACACCATCGAGAGCTTTTATAGTAAACGGCGCCTGCGGGAAGCCGCCGTGGGACGCTGCCCTTGCATCAGACAGGCCAAGCTTCCGAGCAAACCTGCAGTCTCTGGGGGAAGGAATACTGATGCTATTGGCGATGCATTCACTTTTCGGGAATTGAGCTCTATCTCCTCCTCGGGCACCCATTTATCACTTGAGGGTAGTAGTCCTGACACACTGGCGATATGTAGATGAATAGGTAGCGAACAGAAAATTACGAAGTATAACGTGAAACTACGTCAAACTCACCAAGGTGCTGTCCCAGCCAGCCCTGCATAATTTGAAGAGTTTACGAAGTTGTTGGAAGGCTGATTGTCATTTTACCCAACCTTCCCAACATGATTATTTGCGTCTCCCCAACTCAGAACCTTGTCAAGGGGGATCACGGGGAGATGGGAGGCGGTCGGTTTCTGCCAGTGTTTGCCAGCTGGCTGCAGAATTCCACAACGTCACCACTTCGCCACGGCTCTTTTTGTCACCCACCATCTCGTTCTATATCTAATTGTCATCGAAGCTCCCCAGAAACAGAAGGAGAAGAAATAACTGAAGAAGAGCGGCGAAGAAACCCCACAATAGGAGAACCCCAGAAGCGCAAATACCACGAAAAGAACCCATCTCCTCCAAATTCAAGGAAGAGTCCAAAAAAGATGGACCGCAGACGCGCAACGGCCCGTCCGCGAAGAGCAGGCGAAGCCTTCGCCCGCACCCACCACCTCGACAACGACTCCACCACCCCATCCTCCGCCCCCAAAAAGGTCAAATTTGACGTGCGCAACCCCTCTGCCCTCGCGCCCACCGAGCGAGACGAAGAAGACACATTCCTCGACGCCGACGTCATCGGCAAGTCTTCAGGCTCCACGACGAAGCGCGGCGCCGTGAACATTGACGGGTTCGAGAGCGATTCCGACGACGTGGATGAGTTTGATGCGCGGGCGCAGCAGAGGCGGAAGGGGAATGTGGATATTAATGAGGCTTTTGCCACGTATGATCCTAATGATGATGGGACTGTGAGGAGTGCGAAGAAAGGTGGTGGTGATGAGGACGAGGACGACGTGAACATGTTTGCGGAGAGTGATGAGGAGGAGGAGGCAAAGAAGGAAAAGGGCGGCGATGAGGAGGACTCGGAGTTCTACGCAAGCGGGAAGAAGAAGAAGGGCGTACGATTCCTCGACTCGAACCAAATACAAGGCCAAGATCTCCGGAGCACAAGCGGCGGCACAGTCCGCATAGACACCTCCGACTCGGAAGAAGAAGAGGAGGAGGAAGAGGAAGATGTCGTGGAAGAAGACGAAGAAGCGTGGAAAGAGGACGTCATAGATGAGGAGGTCGGCGCCGGCGGTCGCAAGAAGCGAGCGCCCAAAATCGAAGCCTTCAACCTGAAAGAAGAACTCGAAGAGGGCCGCTTCGACGAGAATCAGAACTACGTGCGGAACGCCGTGGATCCGGATGCTGTGCATGATCGCTGGCTTGAGGGCGTCAGTAAGAAGCAGATGAAGAAGGCGGCTGTTGCGCATGAGAGGCGGGAAGCTGAGGCCGAAAGGCAACGGAGGGAAGAGGATAGCCTTTTGACGTCTGACCTCCTCGCCACGCTCATAAGAAACTTAGAACGCGGTGAAACTGCGCTCGAAGCCCTCGCGCGTCTCGGTAAGCGCCAGAAGAAGGAGAAGAAAGTACCCAAGTGGAAACTCAAGAAGCAAGGAGCCATGGATACCGACGCGGATCAAGCTCCCGAAGACCCGGAGCAGGCGCGTATAAGCGCTGCCATTGCTGCCATTACAGACGCCGCTGATAAGCTCCTCGGTCGCGACCGCGCCGACATCTATGACACGGAGAGGGAGCTTTTAGTCCGTGAATATAAACGGGAAACGGGTCAAGACTGGGTCGAGCCCCGTGTCGAAGAGACGTCCGCCGAGCAGAATGGTGGGCCTGCGGTGGCCAAGATGTGGGAGTATAGATGGGTCGATGGCCGCGGGGATGGATCGCGTCAGGGGCCGTTTGATGGGCCGACTATGAAGGCCTGGCAGGATGCTGGGTATTTTGGGGAGGGCGTGGAGTTTAGGCCCGCGGGTGAGGAAGGGGGATGGAGCAGAGTAGCCAACTTCATATAACACCCAGGGGTTTACAATCACGGTTTATGAGGTCGAGAACAGATGGCCCATTCATGTAAAAGATTCACATGGAAGGAAGGAAAAAAACTACTCGCGTACTGCCGAGAATATTTAATGCCTAAAAGTCATTGTCCATTTTTTTTGGTAGAATTACACAAACGCTTCTATCCATGGCCAGGTCCGTAATTTTAGAAAACTTGATCCTACAACGCCTCCAGAGAGAGAAAGAAACACGGCCCAAAAGGTATCACAGAACCCTACAGAAAAGCAACCTCTTAGCTCAGATCCATCTTCTCGGCGCCCGTCGCGCCGTTAGCTAACCCGGCAGAAAAGTCAACGGCGCCGTCGTCTCCGATGAGTCGCTTCTCCGACTTGGCGACGAATTCGACGCTGCGCGCCGAGTCGTAGAAGAGCTCGAAGCTCCGCCGTACGTCGTTGACCTGGACCTGCTTAGACTTGCGCTTGTTGCTGATAAGTTGCGAGGTCATGATAAGGTTAATGGCGTAGCGGAGGCCCGTTTCCTGGCCCATCTTGGCCAGGAGGGCGAGGGCGTCCGGGGAGAGGTCGACCTCTTCCTCCTGGGCGCGGATGGCGATGATTTGCTTGATCTCGTCGCCAGAGTAAGGGTGGGTTTGGATGATTTGGGTCCTGTCGAGGAAGTCGAGGGGAAGGCCGTGGGGACTCTTGTAGTCGGTTCCTCGGATGCGCGAAGACCCTCTGTTGGTCGCCATGATGACGACAGGCGCGAGGTCATCCTCGAGAGCCCTGTTTATGTAGGAGAAGCACTCGATGTCGAGCATGTGAACCTCATCGATGAACAAAACGCCAGGCACAATCTCAGCCTTGCCTTCCTCCTTCCATTCACCAACCTTGGTGTTGATCTGATCTCGGATCTCACTGCGAATCTCGCCAGTATCACCGGAGAAGAGAGCAAGGTATCCCTGGGTACGAGAGTTGATAACATCAATCTCGTGCAGCGTAACGGTGTGAACTACCTCCTTGCGCCTCTGAAGCTCACCGTCAGGGCATTGCATAAACTTGGTATCGGCTCCCATGGCGTCATACTCTCGCGAACGAGCATACGACCTGCCGAGCTTGACAATCCTACCCGACGCCTTCTCGATGGAGATGATGTCACCGGCAACGACTCGCTCCTTGGTCATCGCATCAATCATCTTGGTGCCCATATCATAGACAGCCTCCATGTCGGTAGTCTTGATCGTGAGCTTGCCCTGCTTGGCACCGCCCGTGACGGATCGGTCGATTTGAATCTCGACGACCTCACCCTCCATGATTTCCGTCTCTTCCTTGATTCGGACACCAATCGACTTGCGGAAGGCTTGTGTAAGGGCTTCGGTCTTGGACATTTCGAGCGAGAAGATTTCGGAGGAGGCAAGGCTGGTGAACGGGACATCGGAGCCGAGGGCTTGGGCCAGACCCATGGCAAGGGCAGTCTTTCCTGTGCTGTACTTCCAGTGTTAGCACCGGATTTACTTGACCGCAGATGTGCGCGTCACCCCACCCTTTGCAAGCTAGGTACTACAGACGGCTTTGTGTAGCCCGAAAAGAGAAGGAATAAAAAAAAACATACCTGGGAGGGCCGGCCAGAAGCACAGCGCGACCAGCAATAGATCCCTGTTTCACCATCTGAAGAACAACAGCCATTGACCTCCTCGCCTTCTCCTGACCGACGAGCCCCTGCGACGCCGCTCTCGGCTCGAGAGTAGCGGCATCAACGCCGAGGCCGCGAATATGAGAATGCGCCGACACGAGCTGCTCTAGACCTCTCAGGTCCTTGCTATCGGAAACGGTCATTACTTGCTGTTGGTGCGAGCAAAAAGCGATAAGAGATTAGCTGCGGAACACACTGACGGGATCTGGAACTATTGGCTTTTACTTACTGCAGCCATGTTTGGAAGGTATCGGAGTTGTGCAGGTTTGGAAAAGGGGTTGATTTTCCTTGGAACTCCCAAGATTGATGGTATCTGAAATGCTTACTGAGCCTTGCAGAACCACGATGTCTGCGAAGTTGCTAAACTATGCTTCCACGGAAAATTAGTGTGGCTGACAGCACCCTGAAACTCGTGGCGTTTGTGTGGCACGTTCAAGGCGCGCTGATTGGTCGGGGAATCTCAGTTTATTCTCAGTTTATTCTCGGATTATTCTCACTGTGTGTCGCTTGCGTCGCTGTTCGAGCTTCCCTTTTGGGAAGGTTGAGGTCGCCACACAGTGTTAGCGAAGTCCGTGTGATGCGAGAAGAAGCAATGACTTACAGCTCGCGATGGCTCTTTTCTAACACACGTTATTGAAAGGCTTCATGCAAGCCCCCATTTTTACGATATAAGCAATTTTCTTCGGATATTGGTTTTACGATGTCATTGCTTGCCGCTCCAACCGTCCTCTACTTCGTAAAAACCAACATCAGGTCCTGTTGGGCGGGAACGCCGTCTCTCTCACCGGTTATCCACGTTGGATCTCGATCGAAACGCAGTGTGAAAAGGTCCAACCAACATCAAGTCACCGCGATGTCCAACCAACATGACCGGATAACCCCCATGTTTCGCTCTCAATTCGCAAAAGCCCTCCATCGCTCTCCCTGCCTGGCATTGCGCAATGCGCCTCAGCTGAATTTCGCACATGTGGGTAAGAATCGCGCCGATAATTCCCGAGAAATGCCCCGAGACCATTTGGGATGTCGTTTGCAGAGAGTCTGTTGATTTCTTCGAAAGGAAGTTGGTTCGGTCTGGAAGTCCCGTTGAGCATCGATCTGAGGAAAGAAGCTGAAAATCTCCTACCTCCTCGAAATTGACTAACTACTAGCGGTATCAGTATCATGTCTTGCGCGGGGAGGCCGTCACTAGCAGCACTCCAGTGGAGAGTCTAATTAGTACGCGAAGTAGGGATGGACATGATCAATGGGAGCTAGGCTCGTCACGGTGCCCCCCCCTTCCCGCCATTCAGGTCAGTGCCCAGGGCGTCGGCACGCCAGGCCCCCAACATCAAGCCAACACTAGTTGGTGACTGCCATCATTATTCCACGGCATGAACTGCATTGATCTACCATTGCTACAGTTGGTTGGTTGGTGCTTCAGAGCGTTCAATGTTACAGCGCGCTCCCTAGTGTCATAACTTTACCAGGACCCCGGGTTCTGTGTGCCTGGCACTACATTGCCCTGTGTTGACCGCAGACTACCTGGCGCTAACCCTTCTCATTGGAAGATTATTTTGAAATCACACTACTGTCGTGCTCGTCCATCACACTTCTCCCTCGCCCTGCTTTGAAACCTTGAGGGTCATCACACCCTCCATATTAGCTTCTTCGTACTCTACGGCATCAACAGCTCTTTCAATATCATACTCTCTGTGCTCTCGGTGTAGTTGTACTTTTTCATCGTTATCTCCCTTCCGCCTTGCCTTATCTCGTTTATTTGCGTAGTGTCGTAGGCGCCTCCTTGTGATCAACTTATTGAGTTCCGCTTCAGGAAGCGATCATGGCTTCGGGGCTTCAGGGCAGGGATGATCTTGACCAGAGACATACCGCCCCGCACTGTTCCATCTCAAGAAGTATTACAAGTATTACTCCAGAGCTGGGATGTTACTCTCACTGAGGAACGAAAGCGGGGAAGCCGGCGTCTTGCGATGAGGTATTCCCCCCATTTCAGCCAAAACATCCGTTGTGGCTGCCAATCCCCCATCCCCTCGCGGTAAGAAGCATCACCAACGAGCTGATGCTCTGCGCGTAAAGTGTTGGTCATGATTCAAGCGGCCGTCATGGCGGACACTCCCGTCGTTGGCGTTGGTCCGTTGGACCCCAAGGTGGGATTCATGCTGTTGGTTGGGAGCGGCTCATCTTGCCCCCATCCTCCTTCGTATTCACAAGTTACTCAATGTCACTCTGTTGGTCTGTTGGGTGTTCAACTTGAGCTGGAGGTGTGCCCATGATTCCCATGAAAATGATTGAGATCAGAGGAGCAATGGCCTTGGATCAGTGTTACACGGCATGGGGCTGCAAATGTTATTGGATATTGATGTAATACATGATCGATTCAATCCCCTGCGTCGTCGATAGACACAGACCACACGCCGTATTCATACTTCGTACTCTATGGACGATGGTGTTATCGACCAATTGTTTTCCCGCCCTTGCAGCCTTGTCCGTCTAGTGAGGGGAGAAGTTGGGGGAAAGCTTGGAACCAACAATCTCTCTCGCCTGTCACCGACGATGATAAAAGACGCCGTTCTCCCCCCGTTCAAACTTTCATCGTCCTCCCCCTTCGACTAGATGATCAAGCAAGAACAAGACCCTCAAGCTTATCAGAGATTTCAATCTTTCCAATACGAACCACTGCAAGCAATATCATTGCCATGTCTTCTCAATGCAAGCACCACCAATGCCCTCACTCCATGTTGTCGATGATCATGGAGCTAAAGTCCCACGCCGCGGCTGCTTTCCAATCCATGCTCCGCCAGCCAGGGCCGCCGATCTGGTCCATTCATCCCGAGGCCATCGGCCACACCAGGCCCTACCTTGAAACCTTCCGCCATGCCATCCTTCCCATCTTCCCGGTAACCACCCCGCAAGTGATCGCGCGCATCGAAAAGCTCATTGACGAGGAAAGATACCTCGACCTTGCCGCCGGGACCACCTTCATCTACCAGGCCGCTGCATTCGGCGCGCTCCATCGGGCGTTGCAGAGTCCGGGTGATCCATGTCCCGCTCACTTGTCTAAGGTTGCCCAATTCCGTCTCTGGGCCAGCCAAAGCGAGGGCATGGAGAACCAGAAACAATACGACTATACCGGCACCGGGCTGCGGAACTTTGACCATATCATGCTCTTCGCTTACTGGGATGTTTTGGTTGGCAGCCGGGACGAGATGAATTACAGACGCAATACATTGGAGGAGATCATCATGAACTTGAAGGATACCAGGGGTGAAGATGCAATCCCGTTCGTCCTTTGCGGAGAATTAATAAGGTATGCGTTCCAGGTTCCCTGCCATATGCATGTCATAGCATGTCGCTAATGTGAATGCGCACACGAAAGAGCACTTGGGTCGAAGAACATGCGGCAGTATGGGAGGATGATCAACAAGGTATCGATACCAAGACAGAAGTATCAGGCCTACAGAACTCAACCAGACATCGCCGCAAGCTTGGTCAACCGGTTAAGCATCCTCAACTTCCAAGGCAACCTCTCCACCGACGCAGATAAGACAGGGCACTTCGACTTCCTCACGCTCAACCATGTGCAGCAGGCCCTTCCTCGATTGCGGATGCCTTATCACTGCAACCCCGAGTCTCTCTTCATTGTCGAGAGGAAATATGCGACCCTATCGAGGTTTATCACATCACTCGGCAATGTCTCCACGTCTTTCTACATCACTGAAGGCACCGAGGTGTCACCAGAAGCTCAAGCTGCCCTGTGCATAGCTCTCCAAACTTCCTTCTACGAAGCCATCGCCAAGTCTCTCGCTGTGACATTCGGGTTCAAGACGTATCCTTCGGAGTTGGAATATGAGGTGCTTTGCATGCTGGCCGAGAGATGCCAGGCCAGTACCGGATTCTATCGGTTGTCTTCAATCAACGGGTAGGATACTCACTTCCGAGTGCCGATGTAGCATGGACTTATACTAATCCTCTTTCTAGGGAGATTTACGCTATTGCCCGTCTACATGAGCTTTATAAGCGGGATCCGAGCCGTGTGAACTTACAGAATGTGTCTCGTTTGCAGCAGCGATTCTTTGACTTCCTAAAACGAATAACCCCAAGGAATACCAGCCGTCCTCCGAAAGTGCGGTCCCATGAGCCACCGCATGAAATCTCAGATCCCGAGGATGAGCACAGGCCCAGCAAGCGCCGCAAGGTCTTTGCACAGGCTCGGAGATGATGAATCAATCGAGGTATTATATGGAATGTTGATCATGGGGAAAGCTACTGGTAGTAAGTAGACGACACTCTTTTTGTGACGGTTCTTTATGGCTCATAAACTCGCTGTAGGAATGACCCGCAGAGGAAAGTAATCGAGATATAGACCGTTAGACCGCAAGGAAACCAATCGAGGTATAGACTGTTGGACCGCAAGGAAAGTGAATGGAAGACAAGACTGTTTTTGTTGCAAATCTTTACTGCTCGGATGCTCGTTCGGAGTTACTTGTATTTTATACACACCCAGATTGACAACCAGATTGAAACAAAGATTGACCTGATTAAATACATTGATGTTTCTTCACCGAGACTACCTTGCTCTCGTGAACACCCCTTCGCTATGTAAACTGAAGTAGTATTCTCACTATTTTGACAAGGCAGCCCCGAGGCCTTTCGTTTTGAGAAACTTGGAGCAGGAACGAACCTGGGACTGCCGGTTGAGCAGTCTTGATAGCGCGGCATTGTGCAAGAAGCGTCCTCAAGTCAGTAGAATCACTCACGCCCTTCTCTCTTGGTGCAGGCTCCCTCTTATTCGCTTCTTCCACTGGTATTGGAACTTCTGAAGTACTCCGAGGTAGCCCGGAGTGGTCAAGTCGCAGTTCTCTGGCATGTTGTCTTCATAATCTCCGGTTAGATTAATGATATGCTCCATTCTAGCGAGAGTGACTTTATGTGTAATAAGATTGAGCAAAAGAGGCTGTAAATTCGCGGGAAGGATCTTGGGGATCTCATGAAGCTTGCCAGCTCCGTGCGCCAGCTCCGTAAGTTCCATCAACACGCCGGATATACGTTCGTCCAGAGGCTTGCATAAAGCTCCTCTTCTCCTAACCAATCTACGCCATCACTTTCGAGATGATAAGCTGCCTCGCGTCCTGGGGCACAGAAGGGAGCGCTTCCTACGCCACCTGCAGCCTTGCAGGATTTTCTCAACAGAAAAGGTCCGGGTCTCTTCACAGTTATTTTGAAATTGGTTCATTTTAAAAGGACGCAGGGCAAACACTTTCGTAAAACTCCCCCGGCCCGATGTTTGTCTCGGGCAAGCCGAAACATTGAAGCAGCAAGATGTCAGTTCGGGGTCGATATGCGAGAAAGTAGTGTACGAAGTACAAAGTACCGAGGGTACTTCTTACTGTACCTTCGGCTTAGTCATGCCATAGTGAATTCCAAGCCACATCTTGGTCAAGATCAATTTAGCACTGGCGCAACTGTGGTACAGAGGTACGTACCCTAGCAAGAAGTGCTGTCCGAGAATCCAGGTACCCACCGACCCCACGTCACCATTGCCAAAGCCAGCAGTTTCCAGTTCTGTCGTTTCCATTCGACATCTCAAGTTGCCAGCTCGCTCACGTCTGATCCCTTTGTGCAACGAAGTTTAGGCACCTGCCCTTCCCCAAGCCTCAAAGACGTACTCGACCAGAGACCCTCTTTGTTCCCGGCAGCCTTTCAAGGGCATAAGAAACAAGAACCTCGAACCTCGACTTACCTCCTTACTATCCTCCCAAACCGACCACAGCCCTCAACTCGATGGTATGTATCTGCCTCTCCAAGAGTAAGACAAAAAGGTTTTTCTAGCCCTATTCTAACACCTTTCTGGCAGTATCGACCCGGATTTGGCGCGGGGTTTGACCCCAATAACCCAGAACACCTCTTCCAGATGGCCCGAGCAGGTCGCCGCCCGACACAACGATTCGACGAATACTACAGATGCTATCCCATGGTGATGGCCCCCGGCCCCGAGAGGCCCGATCTCAACTACGGATCCAAGATCTTCCTCCCAGCTTCCGCGCTAGACAAAGTATCCAAGCTCCACGTGCAGTGGCCACTTCTCCTCGAGCTTATAAACGGCGAGAAGGGCAAGCACTCGCATGCGGGCGTATTGGAATTCGTGGCCGAAGAAGGACGGGCGTACCTGCCGCACTGGATGATGGAGACTCTGGGCCTAGACGTCGGAGATATGATCCAGGTGAAGACGACGTCGTTGGAGCTTGCGAGGCTGGTCAAGCTGCAGCCGCAGTCGGTCAACTTTCTCGAGATCACGGACCCCAAGGCGGTTCTGGAAAAGGCGTTTAGGAACTTCGCTACCCTGACAAAGGGGGACGTGTTCAACTTTGAGTATAACGATGAGATTTACTATGTGGCGGTGCTGGATGTCAAGCCAGAGACGCCCAAGATGGGTGTAAGTATGATCGAAACTGATGTTTCAGTCGACTTTGCACCTCCGGTCGGCTACGTCGAACCCGAGAGGCAACCCAAGGGAAGCGGAACCAGCACGCCCGCGAGCGGTCGAGGCGGCGTGCCTGCCGGTGGCGTTCTCCATCACCAGGGCACTATGGCGCAAGCTATCGGTTATCAGGCCATCGCGCCGTCGACTCTCTCCACGATGCCGAGCAACTTTGCTGGAGAGGGCCAAAGGCTGGTTATTAAGAAGAGCAGCAAGACATCGACGCCGAAGCCTTCGACTCCCGATAGCGCGGCGGCTGCGGCGCTTGCCGTGCCGCCGATTAGGCGGAACGCGAATGGGCCGATGCCGCTCAGGTTGCCGGCGAATAAGCTCTTCTTTGGCTATGAGATTAAGCCGTTCAAGACGCTGGAGGAGAAGGAGGAGGAGCAGAAGGCGGAGGATAATAAGCCCAAGTTTGCGGGTCAGGGACAGAGTCTCCGCGGCGCATCGGGGAAGCCGAAGGGAGGGAATGGTGATGGTGATAAGGGGAGCAAGCCTTCGGGTTCAAACCGAAAGCCTAGGTGAAGGCGGAAGATGGTTGCTTTGGGATTTTTTAACTTTTTCACACAGATGCGTATTTTCTTTTGGAGTTTTAAGGCAGGGAGGGAATGGCATGGTATAATGGTAGTCAGGGAGCAAACAAGATGGGTCGATGAGGTTGCATCCGTTCTACAAGTAGATTTAAATCGGGAGGTCAACTCATTATTTACGCTGCCATTCTCTGTTCAATGTTCAATGTTCAATTTTAACAAACCCTAATGTGTATGTTTCGTTTACATGACTCGTGATGGCTCTCATCTCGGTGTGCATCCGTTATCCAGCACCCGACATCATCTCCTCCTTTGAATAGGAAGAAATCCCTCTTACTGCCCCGACCGAGGTCAAACCTCGTTCTGTCATTCTATCGTCCCATGCCTCCGTGCGAAAGATATTCCTACTTCATACAAGTAGACTTTCTGTGATGCGGAGGCAGCTGACGCCCTCAAGGACATAAGTGTGCAGTACCAACAGAGCTGGGCTTCCAACAGATGTGTTGGGGTCCGATGGTGGCTGGATCATAAATTGATATTTGATTGATCATCACTAAACCCTTGATCAATTGATGTATCAATAAATGGATTCGTTATTCTTTGTCAAGTTCCGGTGGCGCTTAGGCGCAGCCCCCAACTGCGACGAAGGAGTGCATATCGATCTTATTCACCCGGTCAGTCCAGCAAGGCAAGGGATCCAACCAACGCATTCCCAGCTTGAAACTTCCAACGGGGAGAATTCAATGTTGGCCTGATTGATGAATGTTGGTTAATATTACGAAGCATGTAGTTGGAGATGGAGATTGATGCCCCTCACACTCACCCACTTGACGCTAATGCTCCGTGGCGGCGGCGGGACGGACCAGGGGTTTCTCCCCAGCTTCGACTGGACTGGGACTGCACCACGAAGTACGAAGTCGTGGGATTATCTCTTATCGTGCCTCCACACCAAAGTTCGAGAAACACCTGAAAACCAAATCACGAGTTAAGCAATTGCGTATTACGTACCAATTACTTCGTCCTTGTCCTTGTCCCTGAACCTAAAATGGAAGATGCAAGAATGAGGAGGGCGGCCAGAACAACCGCCAGCGCTCAAGCTACATTTGATCTCCGATCGCAGGGTACTTTGTAGTTTAGTTTTTTTTTGTGCTGCAAGGAAATGATCAATTGATATCTACAATTGATTGATAGAGTCTAAGATTGCTGGTGCGACGCCGAGGCTCCAGTTTTTTTTCCCTCCTCAGATCAAACGAATTTAGGAGTCGTCTAATTTAACCTCCGGCGGCGGCCTTGATGGATCAAGTTAATCAAGTTAATCTCGACGATACCCCCGAAGCTGGGCTATGCTGGATCCCCATTCGTCTGGAGGTCCAGGATTCAGTTGACACCAGACGCATCAGACGCACCACATTGACATCCACTCACCTCACGCACCACACCAGCGGCACACACCACCACATCACATCAAGCGATCTCCCGGTCATCGACGGCAGACGGCAGACGGCAGACACTGTCAAAAGAGTTACTTCGTAGCAGGTAGAAACAGGGGGCTTCGGCACCCTGAGACTGGGGCCTTGGCTTGGATATTGTTCAATGTTCCATCGTACTTCCATCGTACATTGTTTCCACTGTCTCCCCAATTATTATCTCCGCCACTGGTCACTGGTCACTGCCTGCTGGTTACTCGTCACTCGTCACTTTGTGCCTGCACCCTGCCTGCAGTCCAACGCTCTCAAGCGCTGAAGCATTGATCGGATTGATGCTCCATTGCATCGTCTCTTGCTTGTTGGAACTCTTCGCCCAACCGATCCCTGCCGTATCCTTTTTTTTTCATAGGACGAACAATGTGATGATCCCTCACCACACCTCAAGTCGTCCCCAACTCCAAACGTTAGCGTGATCCGACTCGCCTCCTCCTGCTGTACGAATTCTAAACTACTTCTCTGCACTGCACCAGACCAGGCCAAAGCCAAAGCCTGACTGAGCCTGTCATCTCCCCACTCGATCATTCCTAGCTCGGCGGACAGAGACCCATTTTTTTTTTCTGTCTTCTCATCAACATATCCACTTTCTTTGACTTGACTGTTTACCAACGGCAACTGGCCAGGCAGCTCCCGATATTGACCATCAAGATTCGAAGCTCGCGTAGCAAAGAAAAGAAGAAAAAGAGAAAAGAAAAATACACCTGGCTACCAAGTAGTACTCCGTAGAGCGAGATAAAAACCAACAGCCCCCAAATCCGTTGGTTGGTTGGCTGTTGCAGACATTGGACTGGGTTGGTTGGCGAAGGAAGCGAAAGAAGCGAGGTGGACGACATTTTAGCGGCTCGTCGAACAACGCACGCATCTCGCGCCTCGTTCTTTTTCCTTTTCCACCCCTCTCGTTACTCGTTACTCGTACTTTGACTTCTCTCGCTCAACCACTGCCACTGGCACCGGCACTAGGAGGGGAGCACCTTGCACCTGCAATTGCACTCTGCCCAACATCAACACCGAGAAATCGTAAACATCAATCCTCCGACCCGAATATCCACCAGACAAGATAGCACACTCGTTTTTTTTTTCCCTTTCTCTCTTTTTTTTTCGCTCCGTGCCTCCCATTCGTCTCCCGCCATCCCGCGCCTGCTTTGCCGCTTCGGCGATAATTCCCCCCACGATTTTTCCATCGTCCACCTGCGCAATAAGCTACCGCCGATCCCGTTCTTCGCGACTCGACTTCATCCCATCTCACCACCGAGCCACACTGCCTCACTAACCCTCCCCCCATCATCGACCTCATTCACTGGCGATCGAGATCGAATTCCACACGCCCCCTTCTCGCTCCTCATTTGCCCTTGCCCCTACCATCGTGGCCCGAGCTTAAGGTCGATCCGACGCTGGCTTGTGCCTGTGTTTCGTACGAACCTTGCCTTGCGAGACTGACCACCGAGTGCAACGAACCCGACGTGTCACGGTATGTCGCCATCCTCCTCCTCCTCGTGCTCCCAGCCTCGTCGCATGCCTCGATATATTGTTTAGAGAGGCCATTCTCGCCCGCGTACCGATGCTGACGTCGTTGGCAATTGATAGCTTTAGACCTTTCCCATTCCCTCCGTACGAGACAATCGCGCCGAAAACCCACCTCCCCTTCACCGCCATCGTCCCCTTTTGAACCGAGTCGAAACAAACCCACAATCAACGAGCGCAAAACGGGGAGGGAGTAATCTTTGTGTGAGTGTGTTAGCACGCGGGTGCTTGCCAACTCGTTTGGTGATTAAAAGCGTAATTGTTTGGCCCCGGAGGGAGCATTGTGCTCTGCTCCAGGCCACAAGTCGTACACACAACCTCCCTTGCCGCACCCATTTCAACCCCCTTACGGCCGACGAACCGACCTTCTTTCCTTCTCCCGGGATCCCTTCTTTCCTCAAGCGATTCTTCGTATTGTTTCCCTTTTCGCTAGGGTCCGCCGCAGAAAAGCCTCCCTGTCTGTGGTGGCACGATACAGAAAAATATAGAGAGAACAGCCCCGCTTCCCTCCCTTGACTCGGACACATTCCTCAGCCACGCCATCTGCTGAAATCTCAACCAGTCGGCAGTCGAGACATAATCACAATCTGTGTCACAGGCATGCAAAAACAACACAAAAATGGAAGCTGCGGCGAAACAGGTCCGACTCCTCACCCAGCGCGTCTTGCCCGAGCATCCACACCATCTCTCCTACGATCCTAGGCGCCGCTATCCAGCCGTCCCCGATGGTAAGGGCTTCGAGGAACAGATTCACCGCGGTCTCCAGTACATGACTTTCGTTTCCGACGGCGATCGCGGAGTCCTATTGACGCGGCCATATTATGACATGCGCGAAGAACCCCCCGCCCCCAAGGCGCACCCCGGTGCTGCCGCCGCCGCCTCCGCCGCTAGTACTCCGTCGCGAACGGACAAGAAACCCTCTACGAAGATGTCGCTCAGCGATTACAAGAACAAAGTGAAACAACAATCTCAATCGCCGTTAACCCCCAACACTGTGCCAAAGAGGACGCCTGCCGAGACGCCGGGCCGACCTTTGGCCCCTCCCGATCGAAGACCCGATAGACCACCACCATCAGACCCGAGGAGACGCGACGGTCCACCAGCGTCCAAGGAGCCACCAAAATCATCGCTCCTTAGCAGCGCGAGGTAAGTTAAATTACATTGTCCTTGGAAGATACGAAACTTGCTTCTGGAGTGGTCGGAAATAAACTTCCATCATTGGCCCCGTGCGGTCTTGCCAGATTAGAATTTAAACTAATTTTCGAACTCATCCAGGCCTAGCTCATTACCCCCCAAGCCACCGCCGTCAGTACACCCGCCGACCATTTCCCCTAAGGCAAGGAAACGAATATCGGACGAAGACGACGCCCGGCCATCGAAGCGGAGCAAACTCGACTACAATAACAACAATTCACATGACAGGTCGCGTCCCCCGCCGCCGCCGCCTCCGAGGGAAATACCACCGAGAGATAGGGAACCGCCGCGTCCTACCAGAGATAGAGATGATCAACTGAGACGGAAAGATATGCCATCTACATCCTCGTCGAGTCAGAAGACGAGCCGTCGAAGCCCACCCCCGCCGCCGCGCCCCGATGGCAAATCGTCGACGACGGCAACAAGCTCTTCATCGAATGTTAATGGGCGGGGAATACTTAAGCCCTCCTCCAAGAACCACGCCCAAGGCAGCTCGCCAAACGCGCGGTCACGGGGAACCGGGTCATCGTCCATCAATGGCATTCGACCCCCATCCAGCGGTTCCAAGACGGTCGCTTCAACCAAGTCTAGCTCATCTACTACGTCCGCGACGACGAAATCGGCTGTTCCTCCTTTATTATCTCCTCTACACATTTCCTTTAACGATCCTGACCCGCCGGCCCCACCGCCGAAGAGGGTCGAGAAGCCTGAGAAGTCCAGTCGACGCGATGAATCCAGTCGACGAGACGAACCTAGCCGGCGAGACGAAAATCGACGGGAAGAAAGTCGTCGAGATGAATATAGTCGGCGAGAAGAAAGTCGACGCGAAGAATACAATCGACGGGAGGATAATTCAGATCCCCGCCGCAAGGATGCGACATCCAAGAGCAAGTCGTCGAGCCGATCTGCGCTACCCCCACCCCCTCCGCCGCCGAAGAAGAAGTCGACGTTTGTATTACCACCCCTACTATCGCCGACGTTGCCGCCCCTTATCGAAGCCGAGCTAAAGCGCCGTAAGAGGCCGCCAACGAAGGATTTGAATGTGAAATCTCCTGAAATTACAACAAAGACTCTAAAGAAGAGTAGCACGGCGAGCAAGACCGCCCTAGACGAGGGAAAGAGAAAGCGAGAGCGGTTGATAGTGACACTCAAGATCCCCAGACGGCTGATTAAGAGAGTCCAGCGCCTCACCGCGCTACCTAGCAAGAGCGATCGCTCGGGTAGTATGGATCCGCCGGCGCAGTCGCAAGCAGGTTCCTCGAAGAAGCGACCGCTGCCCTCTAGCAACTCGACAGAAGCGCAACGAAACACTCCATCGCCGTCTGCGCCGAAGCGAGTCAAGAAATTGGAAAACACCTCTTCCTCCTCCGCCTCGACCTCCGCGAAGCCAGCGCCGCCGCCATCGACCCCATCGAGATCGTCCGCAGGCGCGTCACACGTCGACACACCGGGAGAGGCAGGCAGCGCGGGCCCGTCCTCATCGCAAGGAGGGCCCTCCCAGGTATCGGCCCTGTCGACGGCCGCGGCGACCAAATACCGGCTCATATCGGAGCGCTACGGCGGCATCGGCAAGAAGCTGAAGCGAGCGCGTGACGGCATCTTCAGGAACCTCGGCGTCAACAGCGCAGCGGCGCACCAGATCCCCGAACCCGACCAAAAGCTCGCCATCGTCACGGGAATCGAAGCGATCCTCGCCTTCATGATCGGCTTCAAGGCGCTCTTCGACATGCGGCGCGGCGAGCACAAAACGCCCGACCCCATGCCCTGGCGCAGTTTATTACCCATGGTAGGCGAGCTGCAGTGGCACGCGCGCGCCTACAGCTTCCCGCACACGCTCCTCTGGATGCTGCAGGACATCATCATGCAGGAGATCCTAGCGTGCTACTACCTCTCGGACCTGAAGAACCCGACCAACGCGCAGGAGCTCAAGCGCATGGGCAACCTTCAGGCTAATAACAAGAAGCAGTTGCCCGGGCTGTATAGGCTCGTCGAGGAGGCCGGCGAGGAGGGGAAGTTGCCTGTGCTGAACCCGGGTGCGTCGTTTGAGGTTGTTGTGGCGAGGTCGTTGGAGTCTGTGAAGAGGTGGGCGAGGAGTGAGGATGTTAATTGGAGGGCGACGTTGGTTCCTCAGGATGTCTTGGCTGGGAACTGAGAGACGAAGAAAAGAAGTGTCGTCTTTGCTGTCGAAGAGCAGAATGAGGATGGTGATAAAGCTATTAAAGCTCTCGGTGAGAAGGTGAAAGGCCGGATAGGCTAGCTGGTTGTGGTTCCAGTTTCCAGGCAAACATGTATCATGTACTCTACGATTCGGACAAAAAGGTTTTACGGATACCGGTTTTCTTTTTGCTCTGCTTGTACTTTTTCGTTCTCTGTTTCCTTTTATGTCCTTTCCTTTTCTTTTTTTCCCTCTTTTTTTTTGATGACACGAGAGAAGATCGGGCAGAAGCCGAGGGAGAGGAAGAGGGAGGGGGAGAAGAGGGGAAGGAAGAGGAGAATGGGAGCCAAGTTATCCTGGGAACGCGCTCGAGGAGAGGAAGGGAAGAAGGCAGAAAAGACCATGGTCCACTACGCTCTCTACCCCTCGAGGCCCCGTTCTTGCGCTTTTCCCTTCTGCTCCATCCTCGAGTCGTCTGTCCTGCGCTCTCAAGCTTTCTCTCCGGTCTTCTCTTTTTTTTTTTTTTTTTTTTTTTTTTTTTTCTTATACGCTCGAAACCTGTCCGTTTATCGTCTGGCTGCTGGTTAAAGGGTCCAAAGGGAGTTGGTCGGTAAAAACAAGAAACCAAAGGGATTGGTTTTGTTTCGTTGTTCTTTTTTTTACCGGAGATTTCTTCCCGGAAAAACAACTGAAGGAAAGGAATCTTGTGTGTTGTCGTCGTCGTTTTTTGATCTCTGTGTGCTTTTTTTTTGGTTCTCTCTCGGAAATGGAATGGTTAGGGAATGGGTCGATGATATCCTAATACCCGATTTTTCTTCTTTTTTGATCAGTTTCGTGTTCGGTTTCTTGTTTCCTTTTATTTCCTTGTTCGGCTCTCTTTGTCTTTTTATGTGTTGGAAGTTTGAGATGTATTGAGGCTAGACAGAGCTTCTGGACGGATGAGGCTGTTCCCTCCCCTTTTTATATGATGATAATATATCCCTGCTGCACTACACTACTTCGTACCCTCGATAGCGTCACCATGCGAACTTAATCAAAAGAAGAGGTTCTAAAGGCTCGGCTGTGGAGCTTCCAAGATAAGTGTGCATCAAAGACGTACGAAGTAGTGTACGAAGCATAGCTAGACTCGAAAACGGAAAAAGAGAAAAACCTCACCTACTCACAAAACGGACAAAATTACAACATCGTGAAACGGAAATAGGAGACGTCAACCAACACCTCGGCTCCTCCTAAGCGCCCCCCCTTCCACAATCCCGTGCATGCATTTGCCTTGAACTTTTTTTAAAAAAAAATAAGCGGAGCACGAAAAGCCAGATTCTTGCTCACACAAAGGAACGGGTAGAGACGGGACCTAACATCACCGCACGACATCGATATGTCTTCCATCCTCGGTTATAAGCTAACCTAAGCTAAAAACGAACCGCCGCCAAAAAAGGGACCCCTAGAAATGATGGAATGTATAGAATACGAGGTACAGAGTAGTGTTTAATGTTCATTACCCCATGCGGAGGAATATAGCAAAAAACATAACACAGAAGCCGACAAGAGAGAGAGGCAGTTTTGACTATACTAGTGTACTCAACGAAGTATGCGCGTTTCCAAAAAGAGCCCAAAGAGCAACAAGGTTCGGAGATACGTGGAGTACGAAGCAAAACAGATCGGGAGACCCGAAGGTGGTGGAGCGTAGGTGTTTTGTTAGCACGGCGGGTTCTGGCGATGTTCGGAAGGTGGGCGAGCCGAACGGGGACCGAGGGAGCACGCATCGGGCTCGCGGCGCTTGGGCTCGCAAAATGGACGGTTCACGATGGAGGCACGACGACGGATTGGGAGTCTGATACGAGCCAAGCCACTCTCTCATTTTCTTCTTTCTTCTTTTTGGAAACTTATTGCCCTTATTTTATTATTAGTTACAAAAGTATGTGTCATTCCGGATCCAGATTCACACATCGGTAAAAAGTAAAAGCGCTCAAGATTTTCCCGTCCGACTCCCGAATCTTGCTCCTGCAAAAGAATGGAAATAAGCTCCAGCTCCAGCTTTAGGCCGGTCAATTGGACCTCACAGTCCCGACCATGAGCTCCAACGGCTCCCTCCCGTTGGAGGACACGCGCCGGAAAAATTAATGAGGGCGGGAACAGGCGCTTCAAAGCTTTTCTGGTCCTCTTTCTCTCTGCGCTGTCTCTTTGAGTGATTTCTTAGCTATAACTGAGGAACGGCGGGCCGGCTGAGGCCGCAGTGGAAGAAAGGGTTCCGGGTCCAGGCGGGCCGGTGGTGAAATGGTACCTGCTTGTGCCACATCTTGCCTTGGCGGTTCCTGGGCTGTCGAGGACGTATCTCGGGCTCATCCGATGAATGGTGGACACTAGATGCTCACCTCGTTCCACAGCCCGGCGACGAGTCTAGTGGAGCATGTCCTAGGTTACAGGTAAATGAAATACGGTAGCATATACCCTCATTAGCATCCGGACCGTTAGAGAGAGAGATCAAATCCAAATCCAGGGTCCAAGTCTCTCGGGATGTAGATAAAGGGGGGTGGGATATAGTGAAGATCGATTCCACGTCCATTACCATTTCCATTGCCATTGCCATTGCCACACATTCACGATTTGCTTCGTATCTCAGACTTGGACCCTGCTCGGCTCCCGGAGCTAGGATCGGATTTCAGCTGAATCGGAGCAGCTCAAACAAACGCCATCTCGACGCAAAATCATAGGCACAATTGCGTTTTCCCCGTCCGGAATAGTGCGCAGGTAAGTAACTGCAACTAGTAATAGAATTGACTTGTAGCGGTGGAGCATCCCGCAAGAGGAAGACGGGGGCGACTTCATTCACTGATGATAAGACATTGATGAAGCATGAAGGACGTGTAATGGAAACATGGCCTGGCCGTGCTGCATGACAGGAAAGGAACAAACAAAGTTGAACCGCCGTGAGAGCTCAATTGATAAGCATTGATCAACAGCAACTCGCTGTTGACTGGATGAGCGATTTTGCGCTGTTCAAACCGCCCAGTCAACTTCTCTCTTCGCTCCCACCCTCACGGTCATCGTAACGGGGGCCAAATGCGTGATGCTCCGTCCGGTTAGTCCAGTCTACGAAGTAGTCTAGGTCAAGTCCAGCCCAGTGGCGGGTTTGAATCTGTCGGGGAAATTGGAATGAGGGGCAGTCCCAGTTTTTAGTTGAGGGGGAGGGGTTCTCGGCCCAGGGCTGGCGAATTTTGAAGCTGTCCCAACACGTCATACAGAAACCCCGCCATAGGAAAGGAGGTCTGAGGTAGCCAAAGCCAACAAGCCAAAACAGCAACCTGGCAACGTGGATGACATCAATGAGAGTAAATTGTAAGCCACAGTCCATCAATTGATGGATGTCAATATAATCCAAAAGGGCGCGCGCGACAAAAAGGCAAGGCAACATTTCATCTCCGAATGGCCCGAATCCCGGACCTACCGCGGTGATGCCAATGTTGATGCTGAGATGGAGGGGTAGTAGCAGGCAATAAAATTGTCGATGGTGTGGCTGGCAAGGCCAAGGAGTTGAGTAGTGAACCGCCCCGTCATATCATGCTATCCTCATTCTAGCTGCGCATTGTGCTACCCGAAGAAGAAACGACCCTGATGGAGGACGCAGACAGATTAGGAACGCTAGGAAGTCCTTTCCAAGGCATTCACGTCTCGCCTTTCGTACCAGCTACTCGTTCCGCGGCGGGAGGCGCTGTTGAAAGTACATGGGTTGTGAGTTCCCCACCCTCAGCAGATAACGGCCTTATTACCGTGGTCGCGACCGGTGCAAATCGTATGAGTGGCTATTGGGGCTCGTGTCGATTTCGTCTCGCTTTTCTCGGTGTCTGCCACCTCTGATTGTTTGCAAGGCGGTCAACCGTGCCATGTTCATGGATTCTCACGTCGTTTCCAGGTCGCGAAGGGCTGCGAGGGGTGTTGTCCCAGGAGATTCTCCGAGTCCTCCGTACTGCCTGGGGTCTGGGAAAATGAACACACAGAGTGTATCCCATCGATGATAGATTTCAATTGATAATTTTGATAGAATCGAGCGGGCATCTCGTGGCGGTGTCTCACTATTATTATCAACTAAATCGAGTCGAACCTTCTCGATCAGGCCTGGTTTCACTCTTGTACTTGCCTCGTGTGTACCGCCGACTGCCACACCTCCGTTTAATAACGTATACACGGACATTCACAGTATTTCATATCGTCAATGGCGCCACCCACCACGTCCACACTGCTACACCCCAGTTGTACGAAGTACATGATCCACACATCCACCTTCCCGCCCGTAAACTGTAACCGAGCCGGACTGGGCTCGATTGAACATAGCATTCGTAATAACATTGAGCTGGGCAACTGTGACCCAATCCCAGGCAAGACCATGGCCACTGGGTCCCGCCAGCGACTCCTTCTTATTCCTACTTCATCCAGCTCGACAGGATTTTTTCTTTCCTCTTCTCCTCTTTCTCTCCCTAAACTTCCCTTCCCATACCAAATCTGAGCATCATCTTTCCTTGTGAAAGCTTCGTTTCTTCTCCCCATCCACGAAGTAAGTAAGCTTCCTTCCCCATGATAGTTCAAGCTTCCATGTTCCTTTCCCTGAATCCGCCTGCATCATATGCCACGCTTTCAGATTTCACATGTCTGTCCGTGTGTTCGCGGTTGCTGTTTGCCCTTATCCTTCGTGGTCTCCCAACCATTTTTGAGGGTTGTGACCATGAGGGAAGGAGCTCTCCGCGGGCTCTGTGATGCTGTTTGACTCGTTGAGCCCGTCACCGCAGCTACCCCGCCTACATCGGAGCTTGGAAACAGCAAGAGGAGGGCAGGGAGGAAAAAAAATTCCTCTGTAACTTTCCTCGTTCCGCCCTGACATAATTCGCTCGAGCTCCTCATTTCTTCCCCTTCCCGCCCCAAGCTCATTTCTCGCCTCGCCCGCTCTTCTCCAATTCTCACAAACTCAAACTGACAAAAATATCGAAATCCTACAGATATACCTAGTTCTTCCCCTCATCATATAACACACCGCCACAATGGTTGTCAAGGTCGGCATCAACGGTTTCGGTCGTATCGGCCGCATTGTTTTCCGCAATGCTGTCGAGAACCCCGAGGTTGAGGTCGTTGCTGTCAACGATCCCTTCATCGAGACCAAGTACGCTGTAAGTGGAGAGCGAAGCTACCCCATTGATTTTCTTTCTGTTTTCTTTTCTCTTTATTGTTGGGATATATCCGAAATCGAGCTCTCCATCCCCTTTCCTTCCCATTGCAATTGCGATGATATCATGGAGGGGGTGGCGCGATGCTTGTTGGCAGGCGCGGTGTGAATGAGGATAGCCCCTCCTTTTGGATCTGCAGGCCCCACCAACGAAAACAGAAAAAAGCTCTGCCTCCTCTGCTACCCCGCCATCTAGCAACTTAAACGAAAAATTTCAGGAGCAATCGGGCCAGTTGCCCCGCCATCCATGGCACTTGGCAAGACCCTTGCTGCTTCGGAAGGAAGCACGAAACAAACTTCCCTGATTTGAGCAGCGTCACGCACATGCTTCCATCGTTGGTGCTTGGTCCGCAGAGCCATGTCCTCCCCTCATTGGTCTCTACGGACCCTGCAGATCATGATTGCATTTCATGGCTCAAGGGAAAAAAAAAAGTACGATTGAGGGGCAATTGCAGTCGGCATGAGGGGGTCAAAGCACTCGCAGCAGTTCAAGGAGCTTAAACGCTCTCATAATTTATGTCATGATCAAGAAGCTAACAATCATCTTTTTCGCCCCAATTATAGGAGTACATGCTCAAGTATGACAGCGTCCACGGCATCTTCAAGGGCGACATCAAGGTCGAGTCCGACGGTCTCGTCGTCAACGGCAAGAAGGTCAAGTTCTACTCTGAGCGCGACCCCGCCAACATCCCCTGGAGGGAGACTGGTGCTGAGTACATTGTCGAGTCCACTGGTGTCTTCACCACCACCGACAAGGCCAAGGCCCATCTCAATGGCGGCGCCAAGAAGGTCATCATCTCTGCCCCCTCTGCCGATGCCCCCATGTACGTGATGGGCGTCAACAACAAGACCTACGACGGCAAGGCCGACGTCATCTCCAACGCCTCTTGCACCACCAACTGCCTTGCTCCCCTCGCCAAGGTCCTCAACGACAAGTACACCATCATTGAGGGTCTCATGACCACCGTCCACTCCTACACCGCCACCCAGAAGACCGTCGACGGTCCCTCCGCCAAGGACTGGCGTGGTGGCCGTACCGCTGCCCAGAACATCATCCCCAGCAGCACTGGTGCCGCCAAGGCCGTCGGCAAGGTCATCCCCGAGCTCAACGGCAAGCTCACCGGCATGTCGATGCGTGTCCCTACCGCCAACGTCTCCGTTGTCGACTTGACTGTCCGCCTCGAGAAGGCCGCCACCTACGACGACATTAAGGCCACCATCAAGGCCGCCTCCGAGGGCGAGCTCAAGGGTAATTTTGACTTTAACCACCTCTCTCTGCCGTCAACCAAAATGAACCAACACTAACACAAATGGCAGGCATCCTCGGCTACACTGAGGACGACGTCGTCTCCACCGACCTCCTCGGCAACCCCAACTCCTCCATCTTCGATGCCAATGCCGGTATCTCCCTCAACCCCCACTTCGTCAAGGTTGTCAGCTGGTATGACAACGAGTGGGGTTACTCCCGCCGTGTCGTTGACCTCATCGCCTACATTGCCAAGGTTGATGCCGGCTCGGCCTAAGTGTTTCCTATCCTACAAAAGGAGGATGTCTGTCTCTCTTGCGATGCAGGTCTAAAACAGCCAGGCGGGTCTGGAGCAAGAGTGTTAATGAGAGAGGATAATGGGTTATGATTCTTAGAATAGGGTGTGTGTTGGGAAGTCAGCCGTCCTATATCCGAGAAGAAAAAAAAAAAAAAGTGAAAACTTGGTGTTACCGAAACCAAAACAAAATCACATCCAGTGCAAACAAGGAAGACAGTGGATGGGGAACCAAAGTTATTGCCGAGATAGGGCAAGCACTACTTGGCGCCCGGGCATTAGTGAACTTTTTTTTCTAGAAATTGACGCTTCTGTCCATAATAACAATCGATGTCCGTGATAATCCCATCTCTTAGCGTCCTTAACATGTCCCGATAACCCGTCTCTGAGCCGGACATGGATCATAGAACGCTGGATGAGGCTTGTACTCGGCCATTCTAGCAAGGTCATACGTAAGATCTCTTCTGTCACAGGCAGTCGATGCTGCTTCTTCATGTTCCCTCACTCGGAAATCAGGGGAGGTCTCTGTTCAATCTGCGTCGACGAGATTCTCAGCCTCTCCGCCATGCATCATTACACGATGTAATGGGAACGTAAGAGGATATGGGCAACATTTTGCCTGAGAGTCGCCAAGCATGTCGTCGTAGGATTATTATACACCCGAGGCACGTAAAGATGTCATAGTTTTCGATAGGGATGGATATAGCATATTTCATATCGATGCTTTCCAGGAAGACTACGGGAAGCAATACTCTTCTCCATGACGCAAAAGGGTCTTTCCAGTTTCCCTCTTAGCGTGACTCACTTGAGTCTTGTTGGAAGAGCCGCATCGGGTTCCTATTGAAATGGGCTTTTCCTCGTGTGGTTTGTTCGTCATCCAGTTCACGATAGTTGTGTCTCAAGTCTGACTGAATTCTGACCAGTTTTACATGCATCGCTCGTAGGGTTAATTTAAGCCAAAGATTATCTGATCTCATAGGCACACACACACATCTCACTCACACACCGACCAGCTGTCACTCCCTGGTTCGTAGACTTGCTCGCCCCCCCACTCCCTTCTCCATAAACTGAGACATACAGCCCAGTGCACCACCCGTCCTTCGTACACTTCTCCTGTTATCTCGCGAGGCTGGGGCCTGCCGATAAAATTGAATGGATTGTATAAAAAAAAAAAGAGTAGAGAGAAAGAGAGACAAAAAAAGGGCGGGGATTTACAGAAGTTCATCGTGATGCTGTCTGCAGTCTGAGCTCCTTCGAACAGGGAGACTAGCAGTACACTTAATCGTCAAGAAAAAAAAGTCCATCACATGATAGAAATTGAGGAAACACATTTAAAATGTCACCTTACAATGGCGAGGACTCGTCTTAAGAAATAATCGATTAAACAGTAGTAGAATTGCGATTCACAAAATTAACTGCCAACATCAAGGATAAATGCGCTGAGAGCGAAAAGGGACCGAACGACAAAAAAAAGGTTGACGGGGTCAAGCCCCGTCCCGTCGGGTGAAGCAAGATGAATCACAATATCGCGTAAACGGAGTGAAACTCCATCGCCCTCACTGCGCCATGCTCTTCGTTTTACTGCGAAGAATAAATCAAATCCGTAAAAACAACTGGAGTATCACATGGGAGGCAAACGTGAAGCAGAAACTAGGAACCTCTTTTCATTTTTCAACAGCGCCCACCGAGTGGGCGTCTGTTCGCTGTCTAAGCCTGCTGCTCGAAGTCCTAGAAGGCCCCTAACAAGGGGTATTATGCTGTGTATGAGAAAAGAGGTAGGAAAAGAAAAAAAAAAAGAAGACAGCCCAAAAATAAAGGAAAAGGACAACGAATTAAACTTTTAGAAGGAAGGGGAAGGAATGGCTCTTCTACCCTTGCATCTTTGTTGGCACTCCCTCAAAACACATAATCTGTTCTCTCCCCTGTTAAAGCCTGTCAACCTCGTCTTCAACCTTTGAGATTGTAACCTGGCTATGGTGCTAGCCATAGGAAAGACAAGTGGTGACTGAAAGGCCTAAACAGGGGAAAAGAAAAGGGACCAAACTAAAACAGCAACAAGAAAATAAGAGTACACATTTGCCCCCTGTTAAAAATATCGTGAATCACAGCTGCCACCATTTCATCCATATCATTCCCATCCCGCGTACAGAGAGTTCCTGTGTGTATCCCCGTGTAATGCACCATCCTAAGCGCCCCAGAACCTTTTACACCACGCTTTCCCAAATAAAGACACCAGTTGTGTGATTGAACCCGCACTCCTCACTTTTCAGGAACAAGTGAACAGGAGAGGGGGAAAAAAAAGGATAAGAAAAAAACGAAAAAAAAAAATTGGGGAAAAAAGGCAAAGAACCAGCTGGAAATGCTCACTAGGTCCTGATTCTGGCCAGTTGGTCTGTGAGCTCCTTGTTGTACCGAAGAAGCTCATCAAGCCACTCAGCAGCAGTAGTAAGCATATTGCTCTTGCTGATGCCGCCACCCCGAAGCTTTGGCACGATGGCGCAGAGATCGTCGAAGCCCTCCTTGATAACGGTACGCCTCTTCTGCTCGCTGCGGATGTGGTTCTCCCGCTTCTGTTCTTCCGTCAGGTTTTCTCGAGGCGGCTTCGCTCCGTTCGTCGCCGACTTGCGTCTCTTCGGGGGCGTGGTGCCCTTGGGCGTTGCCTCCGACCCTTCGCCGGGGGACGATCCCGCTCCTGCGGCTTCCGTCTTGGTCTTCCGTCTCCTTCCCGACTTGGCCGTCGTCGGTCGTGGAGAAGATTCGTCCTCGTCGCCTGCAGCAGCAGCCTCTTCCTTGGCAATCTTGCTCTTCCGTCGCTTGCGCGGTGGCCCTTCTCCTATGTCCATGGCCGCTAGGCTAGCCGTCGCAAGAGGGGAACTAGAAGAACCGTGATTAACAACCGGGCTCGACGGCCGCGTCGTCCCGGCGCTCTGGTTGTAACTAAGGCACTGCATCATCTGGAGCTGCTGCGCCGATAGGGCTTCCGTCGTATCTCTAACCGACTGCGGCACGAATCCCTGGGACCCGTTGAAGTTGGCATCCGAACCCCAATAGTAGTCGGTTGCCTGAGTGTGTCCAGGCGACGCTTCCGACGGTTGTCCACTATATAGAACGCTGGGGAATTGGTGGTTGACGATAGCATTAGAACCGTCGACCAAACCATTCATCCCATTCGCGATCCCGTTCTCATTCCTGAGCAGTCCGTGGCCGAGGAGAGTTCCTGGTTCATGCCTATAGTCGGGTCCGAGATCTTGAACGCTGGGAAAGGATGGGTTCATGGGGAACTGGTGCTGGGTGTGCTGGGCCACCTGGGCGACGGCTGATCTGTCTATTGGCCCGTGGTGGAGAACCCTAGCTGCCTCAACGAGCTCAGTATCATCCTTAGGAGCTGCCATAGGCATGGTTGGTTGCGCTACGCGGGGTGTTCCGGCGGAGTATACGGACGGATTGGCCGGGGGCAACATTGCGCCTGATAAATGGGCCGCCCCGTCGTGGGGGTGTTCGAGAAGCTGAAAGTTGTTCGAGAGATTCATGTGGGATGGTGGGCTTGTGCGAGGTTGTTGTCCGAACGAGGTTGTAGAACCTATCAACTGGGGGGGTAGGTCAAGCCAGGAGTCTGTAAAGTTCAATCCTTCGCCGAAGCTGGGTGGTGGATTGCGGTCGGATGAAAGCGTCTCGAAAAAGTTCTGGATGTTGAGTGAGTCGGCAGCGGTCAAGATTGGGTCTCCGGGTGCGGGTTCGGGAGGAGGATCTCGAAAAACGTCCTGGCTCTCATTAAAAGAGTCTAATCGAGGGAGAAAAAAGTAATCATCACATGTTAGCGGTTTTGTTGAAGGAAGGGGGTACAGCGCGCGCGGCCATCTCCAAGGAACGCACGCGGCGCGACTAGGACGCCAACGATGCTAGGTAAACTTACAGCCGAAGGGCAAACTAGGGTCCGAAGGATGTTCGGTCTCCATCCTATGGTGCTGAAGCGAAATCATGTGAGCGCTCGTAGTTATGGAAATGAGGAACGGTTGTCTGGTGGTTCGACGGCGCTGAGTTCGGCCGTCGTAGGTAGCCAAGTAATGGTTGCGCTAGCTCGAGAGGTATAAGGAAGAGTGAAAAGTGTGCTTGAGGGCAGCTCTCTTGAACTTTATAGTGCAAGTCGAAAAGGGATAAAGTCGCGACGCATCGCAATTTATTGCGAGTAGTGCGCTAGGAGAGAGCTGATGCCTCTGAGCGGAAGGAACTCGAGCCGTTGGATTTCGTTGGTCGTATTTCCACGTGGATCGAAGAAAGGGAGCGGGTTCCACCAAGTAGAGAGTAGTTGAGAAAGATCCGGCGCTCCTTCTCAGTATATCAGTGGGTGAGATGTCGGGGTTGTGGGTTGCAGGAAGGTGGCCGTCTTGTGACTGTTTCCTGAATCGATAAGCAGGCCCAGCGTGGAGAGACCACGACGAGAGAATTTGGGGAAGGGAGAAGATGCAGGTTGGAAAGAGGAGGACGATGGTCAGGGTTTGGATGTGTTGCGGCAGCGGTCAATATATGGCTGTACCCAAAACAGACTTATGCGACGTCTGAGAAGTTGGTGGCTGTCTCGAAGGAGGGAAGAGAGGTGGTTATGGTGGTTATGGATGAGAAGTGGTCAATGGAGGTGGTCAAAAGGTGGTGGTGTGTGGGTCGCAGCTTTGAATAGGACTTGAATTTGGTCAAATTGATTTGACGTTGGCTTCCGAGAACGAACAATTTGAAATGCGTGTTTGCCCCAGGCAGGCATGTCATCAACGTCGTCGGAACATGGATCGAAATTGATGGGGTCGAAGCGTTCGAGCGTTTGCTGCGAGAAGAAAATGACGGGCTGGTTGGCTGCTTGCTTGGTTCTTGGTAGCGGGGAGAAAATAGAGAAAAAAATAGTGCGGAGCGGTGCGTCTGGAGAGAAAACCGACAAGGATAGTGGGCGGACTAGCGCAGGTTTTTGGATGCTTGCTGCAATTGTGTGGCTGCGGAGGTGCCGCAACGTAATGCGCTCGCTGGCTCGTTGGCTTGTTTCTGTTTGTTAGGCCAGTGTTTGGCGATGGGCCAGGCGGGGGTGGCCAAAGTCCTTCGACTCCCTCCGCGTGCGGCGGTCTTGGCGCTGCCTCGCTCGATCCGGACTGGGGTCAGTGAACGAGCGAACGAGCGCGGGAAGCTAATATCGAACGTTTACGGTGGGTCAAAAAGAAGTCAGAGGAACGGACGGATTCTTGGTCTAAGGGGGGCTAATATTTGTTGGATTATTCGACGCAAACGAGAAGAGATTACGAAGTAAGTCGAAAAAGAGAAAAAAAAGAAAACAAAAGAAAAGTATATCCTTGTTTTGATGGGAAAGTGGATTGAGGAAGACAGTGGCCAAAACCGGAGGCGGAATGATGACGACAACAATGTTGGAGAGAAGATTGAGGGTTTTGAGGGTTGATGACGGCGATGGTTGAGGTTCAGTCTGGTGAGACTTGGACTGAAGATTTGAGTAGACTCGAGATGCAGTGTCGGGAAACTGGGGGAAGGAAGCAACCGTGGGACGGGTCCTTATTTCGTGGAGCGCTTTTTTCAGTTTCCACCTTCCGCCTTCACGCTTCACCTTTCACCCTTCAGTCGTACATTAGTCCGGAGATAAGTCCCTGTCAAGGAATAGACTCGAAGCGGGGACTTCCAATGTTGGGTGGCGTAAGCAAGATGGCGGAGTACAGTTACTTTCTGCTTCGTACAGGAGTACTTCCAGGTTCCTGCTGGAGACAGCCAGGCTGGAGAAGGAGCGTCTTTCACGGCTGGACCCGGCCAAGATCTGGGGAAGGCGCAAGGGCTGGATGATCTCGCTCTCTCTCTCTCTCTTACACAATTGTTCTCTCGCTCCGCCTATCGCGCTCACAGAATTAAACTTTGTAGAGATTGACTCACATCCTCGTCTACTTCGTAGGATCACTAGCTCGTATGTAACGATGTACTGCGTGTCTTTAACATGGCAAAGGACATCATCACTAGATGATCTGGCTGTCAGGCCTGAATAGCAAGGTCAAAAGGTAATGGGCCGAGACCAGGAGACTGGACTAAATGGAGTATCAGAGATCAATATCAAAATCGTACAGGGGTTGCATTCCACTCGACCCAATGCCGGCCTAGTACCTTGTACATCAATATTTTGAAGGGATCCTCAAAGCATCCCTAGCATTCCCCATCCCCCAGAAACTACCCCATACTTGTAATGACCAGACAAGTGCAGGGCTCCCCACCCACACCACTGCCACCACTGCACGAACTGAGAAATTTCTGGGTTGCAAAGTCGCGTTAACAAACGGATCTAAACCGCAAGCAGGACGCTACTCCGGAAAGATCCTTTTCCCATCTTGGTACACTCCCGAGTCCCGTGTGACCGCCTTGGGACTTGCCCTTGGCGCGCTGGAGCGAGTCGAGTTGTGTGTTGTCGCAAATAGACACAATGGCAACAGATGATTCTAGATCTAGTTTGCGACCCGCAGACCGCTGCTGACGCTAAGTCCTTCAGGAATACTTGCACACTGCTCCATGCTTCGTGCAGCTATTGATCTTCTGCCCCTCCCTTCTACTCGAACTCTCGAGGGAGAAGGGAAGTAAACGTACCAAGTCGTTGTTTGTCTTCAAGCCGGATCTTCGCTCACCAATACTGGACTCGGAGATCCCAACGAGAGCTAAGTAATCGCCGAACACTCCTCTATGATGTCTTTCGAGGTCTGGCAGTCTCGTTTGTACGCTTCGCACACTAACCCCACTGCTTCGAAGCTCTTTCACTATAGAGCTACACTACTTCGTACTTCGTAGGCACGTTGTGGGTCTCAAAGGGACCTCAAATCCACTCTGCTCCTCCGACAATGGACCAAGTTCTTATTGACGTCGAGTTCGTTTGTGCGACCGTCAGCAGCAGTCATGCCCGCCCATACCCTCCTTGGACCACCCTGGTCGATATGTATGTACAAACACACTTCGTAAATCAAATATCTGCATGAAGATAGTATGTACGTACTTCGTATTCGTGCGGTGATTCGTGGTTCGTGCAGTGGTTGCAGTGACGTACGAAGTAGGGGTTGGGGGAAAAGGACCCTAGAATGCCCGATGTCTCCGGTGCTCCGGCGTGTGGTGAGTGTGATGAGAAAGATGAGGAGGGCATGTGCACATGAGGAGGACATTGGGCGGATTCATCGACCGTTCGAGTGAATTTCAAGACAAACGAGTATGCAGGAAGCACGGAAGCAGGGCATTTCAAACCCATTCCATTGGTGCAAACACTACTTGGTAAGGCTCTTGTCCCAGATCCAACTAATTTTATCCTGATACAACTTTGAAATGTTGGAGTGCCTAAAAAAACCCTTCCGTAGGGCCGGACTGGATGCAAGAGGTACCATCAGAATGTCACGCCCACCTGTAGTGGTGGGGCTGATGACTATGCAAACAGAGAACAAGACAATTGGAAACAGCACGGACAATTAATTGGACTTGGACTTGCTAACATGGAGCCAGGCAAACGGGCAACAACGAAGTAACTGTGCCTTGAAGCTAGAGAAGAGGGGGGGGCTTTCACATGTCAAAAACCTGAACCTGACCTGGCCAAGCATTTTTGATGGCGCCAAGAAACATCCAACAAGGGACGTATTTTCGTAGTTTACACTAAAATCGAAAAAAGATAATCAAAATAAGAATGACTAGAAAAAGAGAAACGGGAAGGAGAATCAGAGTAAGCTTGATGCGATGTTTATTCGTCTCCGAGGGGCGAATTGAGGACGGTCTGGTGATGCGATTGCTGGCTTAGCTTGGTTGAATTTGATAGCTTCGTCGACGTCGACGCGGTTCCTCACGCTGACTCGTACACCTTAAGTCTAGGAAGCCAACTCGAGTGCTCACTTCGTCCACTTCGTCCACTTCGTCCACTCGCTCTGTCTAGCTCTACATCATGGATATTCTGAGTTCAAGTCCGTTGAGTGTCGACATGGCTAGCCTGACCCAGCCTCAGGGCAAGGGGTTCTCATTCTCGCTCCGCGTCTCAGGGATAGACGTCTCGAAGCTTACGGACTAGGGCGGGCCTGCTAAACCCAAGTATTCCCCTCCCCCCTCCCCCCTCCCTCTGCCAGACCGCATGCGTCCGTTATCCTCCGAGATCTCAAGCCCTCAACTTACTTGCTGCACGAAGCACACGAAGGAATCGATTCATTTCTTACTTCATATGCAGGGTGCACTTCTGAAATGACGAGGACCATGGCGTGCATTGTTTTTCCCTCCCAGGAGGGTATAAGCTCCCGGCATTGGCCCATGCAAACACTCGACATAGGACACACATATTTCATGCTCTGTCGACAGGAGTGGCATGCACACAAAATACACAGCTCGGTTCGTTGCCCGTTTTGGGCAGTGAATGCCTCCTTTGTCGATTATCCCCGAAGCCCCCAAGTTTCCAAGTTTGAGATCATTCTCCGCTTCGGAGATGAAGCCCATAATGCTAAACTAGGTAGGCCTTTTTGGAAATAGAGAGCCCCCATCTTCTTTCGTATTATTCCTGTCCTTCGTCCTTGATGTGAAGAAGAGTTGTCAATGCAAGGCACACACTGCCATTGTGTTACTTCGTCATAATAGTGTGGTAGCACTCCGTGGTTTTAGTGTCGTGTAGTTGGTAGTCCGTCCCAAGGCCCTGTCCTGTTCCTCGACAAGACCCTGCATTTTTCCAGAAAAACCGACCGAGGTTCATTTTTCCAAGATGCGTCGATGATCCACCGAAATCTGAGTTTAGGTTATGGCTTCTATTTCGCTTCTCCCGCTTCTAGCTAGATTTCAGACGAAAGATGAATACGGACGATGAGGAATTCAATCCCGGCCGAGCCGCTGCTTGAATCCCGAGTATAGAAAATTAATTTCCATGTCGCCTTTTTATATTTTTTTCCTTCTGTAGATATTTCCAAGTTTCTCTTCCTCCTTTTCTACGCCCGCCCAAAGCACTCCTTGATCCGTGGCACCGTTGGACAAGGCGTCGATGCCCCTGTCTTGGAGCTCTTGCGGATAGACGGAAACTTCGACTTGATCAGATCAGGTACGAAGCAAGCTTTCTTCTGAATCTGGGCTCTCAGACCGAGGCAGTGCCGCCACAAAAGTCTCAGGAGTCGGACTCGGCTCACTTCCCCTAGAGTCCGGTTCCAGCTTCCAGCTTCCAGCGCGACTGGCTGTTTGTGTGTGCGGGAGTGCCGCTTTCACAGCTGATCGTCAACGTCATCGCCTCTGGACGAATGCGACCGTCGACACCCGCTTCATCAGCGCATCGACTGGTAAACTTTCCAATCTCGAATATCGGTCCATTGGCGACGATCCAGCCCGTGTCACGAGGGATTGTAATTGTGTTAAAATTAACACTATCCACGCTTCGTGGCCTGTGCCTTGTGCCTTGAATCAACCCACAAACGTTGACATCATCCGCCCAATCCCAAAGCGGCTTCAACCTGGGCCAAACTCAAACCAACATTTCCTTCTCCCCGGTTTCTCGCTGCGCCCGTCCTCCGTTCCGCAGCGTTTTATGCGCCGGACTTGGGAACCAACTTTTGATTCAGCCCGGTTTCTCACTCACCCCCCAAAAACACGTTGAATCCATAATTCAACCCCCGACGCGTCCCCCCCTAAACACCCACACCCCACCCACCCCCCTTTGCGCACTCAGTCACCCGCATCAAGCCGGGCAAGCTCCACCACCACCACCACCTCCTCCTCCCCGCGCCTGATGACCGCCGCCGCGCCGCCCCGGCGCCGGGCTACAGCCGGCCTGCATCTCTCTCTCGGAGCGGTGCCTCCGGCCTTGCGCCCCGCCGTACGCGCGTTCCTTTTCGGATACACTTCGGCCGTGGGTCCTCGCATCCTCACTCTTCTCGTCAAGTATTGCAACTCGCGACGACGTAGCGCGGGTGCCGGTGGACCCGATGGCGAGAAGAAGAGGGAACAGATCGCCGCTTCGTTGAAGAAGGCTTTGGCTTCTGGGTTTGGCTGGAATCGGTTTCCGGCTTTTTGTGCTGCGCTTGCTGGTGGGAGCACGTTGCTTGAGGTACGTATGATGTGGTGAGCTGTTCATTTTGTTTGTGAGGGTCTAGCGTCATTCTGCTTCTCGCGTGCTGGTGGGTTGAGATATGGGAGCTCGGTGGTGCCATTTGCAATGACGACGACATACTAGCCGTTAAGGATAAACGGACTAACACATAGTGCCATCGCAGATACCTGTAAGACGACTGCTTCAAAAGCTACTTGGGTCTAGTCTCGGTGCTTTAACACTCACTAGGTAGGTTACACACGCCAGGCGTAAAACCTAGCCGTTAAGATGTCAACCGCTCTTTTCTAACACCTCCATAGACTCTCAAGATGGCTGGCCACCTTCTTCGCTGCAGCCCTTAGCCTGCAGCTCCTCCAATCCCGCCAAATGCCAGCCTACACGGAAACCGTCCCCGCCAACCCTGATCAGCCTCCAGGCGGGGAGACGAAGACTATCCGCTATGGCGGTCGCACAATGGACCTCACCCTCTTCGCCGTAGCCCGCGCCCTCGACGTCATCGTCCGCGAACTCTGGACCTCGCGGCGCACCCGCCTCGTCGCCGCCAACAAGTGGACAAAGGCCGACGAGGTCATCAGCAACCTCGCCGACCCGACCGTCTTCTCCATCACCTCCGCCATCGTCATGTGGTCGTGGTTCTACTACCCTTTGAACCTGCCCAAGACCTACAGGAAATGGATCTCGTCGGCCGCTGCCGTCGACGAACGCCTCATTGATGCCCTCCGCCTGTGTAAATTCCGCAAGCTCCGCTACGGCGAGGACACGGGCGTGGCTGACGTCCTCGGCTCCATGAGCGTCGACCTCGGCCTCCCCTACGAATGGGGCGACCCTGAGAAAGCCATCCCGTTCCCTTGCGAGATCGTCCACACGGGCTGCGGGCCTTCGTGCGAGTACCACGCCCTGAGCAGATTCCTCCGCTCCTTCGTCTGGTCCATGGCCACCTACCTCCCCATCAACCTCGCCCTCCAGCTCCGCAACCCCTCAGCCAAGGGCCTCAAGCGCGCCCTCCTCTCCGCCATCCGCTCCTCCACCTTCCTCGGCACCTTCATCGCCCTCTTCTACTACGGCGTCTGCCTAACCCGCACCCGCATCGGCCCCAAGTTCTTGGGCACCGACATCCCCGCGCGCAACGCCATCGACGGCGGGCTCTGCGTCGCCACGGGCTGCGCCCTCTGCGGGTGGAGCATCCTCCTCGAAGTGCCCCAGCGGAGACCGGAGCTGGCGCTCTTCGTGGCGCCGAGGGCGTTGGCGCCTTTTTTCCCCAGGAGGTATCCCGTGGGTGAGCAGTGGAAGGAGATTGTGGCGTTTGCTTTTAGTGCGGCGACGGTGTTTTGTGCTGCTGCGGAGGATAAGACGAAGGTTAGGGGGGTGTTGGGGAAGTTGTTGGCGAAGGTTATGCAGAAGTGAGATGGGGGCGTTGTAATGTGTGGTAAATCTTTGTTCTCATAGAAGTTGGATTTGGTTGAGAGAAGGGGTGTACAATATAGATTGTAGCTGCTGGCTATCAAAAGTGTAGAGAGAGTAGATGGATAGAGGAGGGCTCAAGGCCCCGGCGGCAGCGTTTCTAATTTCAACTCACATTGCATTGCACTACAAATACTTGATCACCACTTTGGACTAGAAACCATTGATCTATTCAGAGGCTACATACGAGACGCATCACTCATTACGGTTAAAGAAAGAGAGCGCCCTATTCAAATGCAAACCTCCTCCAAAGCGTCGCAACCCCCAGCACAAAAACACAAGCCAACAAGTCCGCCCTCACAGTCATGAAGATCTGCCCATACCTCATCACCGCTCCGATATACCCTGCCGTCTTGGGGGGCAAAAAGCCCATGACCATACCCAACACTCCCGAGGGGCTATACCGTCCACCGTCGACGAAGAAGCGAGTAGTAAGGAGGATGGCCTCGACGCTGGCGAAGATCCAGAAGAACCGCTTCGACTCTTCCGAGACGGCGTCGGCACCAAGCAGATCGCGCTCTTCTTTCGTGCCACGGAAGGGCGTAGATAGAGCGACGTAGAGACCGAGAGAAATGGCGAAGAGGGCGTGGAGAACCCGCCAGATGGAGGAGGTGCCGGAGGATGCAGCGGGTTGCTGTTGCTGCGGCATGCCGGGGAAAGGAGGAGGTTGGGCGAAGGGGTTGCCGGCGCCGCCGTTGGGGATACCGCCTCCTGAGAGCATTTGCGTCATCAGGGCGGCGAAGGGGTCGGTTTGGGCCGCCGCGGGCGGGGTTTCGCCTTGGCCGGGGCGGTCGATGCCGAGCATGAGTCGCGTGAGCTCTTCCTGGGAGACGGTCTCCATGCCAGGCGGTACGGGAACGCGGGAACTCAGGCGTGGTTCGTAGTAGTGTTTCGAGATGTCGACTTCTTCGGGGTCGGCGTGCGCTCGGGGCGAAGTTGAACTCGTCTCGGCCGCGATGGGGGTCGTCGTAGCTTGGGTCGTCGTCGTCTCTGGAGCAGGTGGAGCGGGAACGTCTAGCAGGGAGAAGGGGGGGGAAGTCAGCCAACTTGTCATCCAAAAAAGCCAAGTCACCCGAAAATCAGGGACCTGTGTGAAGTAAATATGTCATAGAATCCAAATCTATACCTTTTTGTATTCCTCCGCCGAGGCCCGTAATCCTGTTTAACCTCGCTGATCCTCCAGCTCGAATCTTTGCCTCACGACGCTCCTTTCGGAGGCGGGCTTGCTCGGCGGCGCGCTGAGAGGCAGCATCCTCGGCGCTGAGGGCGGGATTGTCAGCCATTTTTTCCGTAATTTCCTTGTCTAGTTATCGGTCTTGGGGATGAAAAGAAGTATTGTGGGAGAAGGTTCCGAGTTGTTCAAAGGGCTGTCGAAGATTGCTAAAGATTGTTGAAGATGTGTGGTGAACAAGTGTCGTCAAAGTCAAGCGTGCCATTTTCTGATTCGCCCAAGCTTTCCAAGATCGTCACTGTAGCCCCACTCAACCAATGTTGGAGCTTGTCCGTCCTTCGTAAACAGTTTGAGGGCGATTGGGAGAAACAGAAAAAGAATTATTAGAGATTACTTGTATCAGTAACTATATGGAAGATTTCATGTGCTAGAAGCAGTTAAATAAATATAAATTTTATAAACTACATGTACCTCAGTATTCTTATGTTGTTGAACGGATCAATCAGTCATGGGGAGGGACCATCTTTCAGTGGTGTGCCCAGACGTTCATAGATCAATATTGCCCACATCAATGACCACAGCCTGCCAGGGCCGATGAACTTCTCGCTGCCTGCAGCCTGGTCAGTTCCCGATGATTTCTTCACTCCTCATCATATCCTTGGCGTTTTCCTGCCTGCCCCAGAGGGTGCCGGTAATCGAATTTAGCCCCCATGAGTTTCGGATACGCAGTCGGTGATGTTGTCGCCGTGCTCGGCCTCCTTGAGCGGATTGCGGTTGAAATCCGCAACTACCAGGATGCGCCTCATCATTTCCAGCAGCTCCGGGCCGAGCTTGACATGCATCGAACCACCATCCAAGCCGTTCTCGGAATGGAACCTGAAAGCGCAGAATCCTTTGTAATCATCCAGCGGATGCGCGCTGTAGCGTTCCATTGTCGGCTGCCGCTGCAGCAGTTCATCGACCGACTGCACGGCAAGGAGCGAGCACTTGGCCACTTTCGGACAAGGACCCTGGTTTCTATCGGTACACGACTACATTGGTCTATGGTGGCCAGGAAGGATGTGGATGAGCTGAGGAACACTCTTCTCTCGGGAATGCTAGCCATTAGCGTCCTCCAGGGAAGACTCCAGGTGTAGGCAGATTAACACGCCAATCTGCTCCAGTGATGAGAGTGATCGGCGGCACCTTGGTGTTGCGCTTGGTGCATTTCTCGTTGGACTAACATGTCATCTTCAGGTTACAGATTCAGAGACTGGGGCCAGAAATCAGCCACGTCGCCAAAGTCCAGTCCCAACACCTCGCCGACTTCTCCCGCGAGATGGACTTACTTCGAGCGACCGCCGAGAAGGCACCCCAGGTCGTTACGGAGTTGAAGTCGTCCATCGATCAAAACCGCCTGGAGACGACCGGCCAACTTGAGAAAATCGACCAGAAGATGGAGCTTGTCCAGTCCAACATCAAGTTCATAAGCGAGGGCTTCTGTGCGGTGAGAGAGTTCGGCCAGGGCCTTGGGAACAAGATCACGGCAGCTTTGAGCCAGATGTTTGCCCTGATGGTGCAACTGCGGAAGCTGATGCAACTGTAAGTCCTCTTCCCTTCCTGGTGTCTTGATTAAAATGATGCTGACGTAGACCCAGGCTCGCTCGGACATCGAGTGATATTCGTCGTGCAGTTTCACGGAACGTGTGAGCAATCTCTCCCCGCCCGATTCCTCGCTACGGAACTAACGTGGAAAGATCTCTTCTTCTTGACATTCGGAGGGCCATGAATCGAATAGCTCGGTCCATAGATGCCATTCCGCTTCATCTGAGCCTGGACCTTATACGGTTCGACGATGCGCTGGGAGAAAGCTGGGCTCTCCCGTTTCAGGCATGCGCGGCATGGAAGGTATGTATCCACGACGTCAATTGTTGACGTGGCCCTGAAATACCAAGATGAAACTTACCAAGCTGCTGGCAGCCTTTCTGGGAGATGCTTGAGCTCGTTGTCTTCGGCAACAACCGCCCAGGCTCGTCCCGAGTCGCGATGGGTCAATTTACGCTGAGGATCGTCAACGGCTGTCGAGATATATCAATTGTGGACTGGGACACTTCAATCCAACCCAACATGCACATCGAGCAGTGGATGGTCGTACCGGAGCTTCCCACCGAGTCCAAATCCTGCCCCTTTCCGGACTGTAGCGGAACACTTCCTACTGATTTGGAGCCGCCTAGAGAGTTTATATGGTAGGCATGCGGGCTATGTCTATATCTAAAAACGTAGAGAATTTTGTAACTGATAGGCGGGTTAGCTCGAAGTGCCGACGCGCAGCAGCGATGAAAGAAAAGTATGAGAATGTAGTAGCTCTCTACGAACCTATTACACTCTTCAACCCTCCCAACTCGCCTTTAACTGCGTACGATTCGGAAAAGGCGACTCAAAGGACTGGACCACCAAAATTGGGGAAAATCAAGAGTTTGGATGACGAAATTGTGCTCTTCCGCAGAGTGCAAAGCTACAAATCCGTCGAGCCCATCGCTACGTGGGAAGAGGCACAGGCCAATCTCCACGTAGACAAGAACAACGCGAGTGCGAACCAGTTCATGGGCTGGCATGCGCTAACCATAGAGAAGGATCCTGAATCTGCCATCCGATATCTACGTACGGCTTCTGATTCGCATGGTATGGAGCGTCCAACCGACCCACATTATAATGTGACTAGAACCAACGCAGACGCGTAGCTAAACAACTCGCCAACGCCTCGCAGTCGAACTACCTCCTAGGCCGGGCCTATATGGAATTGGCTGACATAGCTAAAGCGCATGAATTTTACCAGAAGGCTGTCTGGGGCGATGGCATAAATCCTTCGTACTGGATCTCGATCGGGGTTCTGCATTACGAAGTTGGCCAATGGAGAGAATCGCTAGATGCCCTAGCTCTATCTGCCGAGCTCAACAGCACGGCCTGGGAGGCTTGGATGAATTTGGGAATACTGGTATGTCGTTACCGTCCCTTAAGGGCCTATTGACCAAGTAAGCATAGCTAAATCATCAAGTATGACACGACCCACCAATTTGCCGACTCGATGGACGCTTACGAGCGTTGTCTGAAGTTGAACCCAGAAGCTCGGCATGCGAGGCGGAGACTGATGGGAGCAACTCCGCCACCGGCCTTTGATTCTAGAGAGTTCGGGATGGTGGAACCTCCGCTGCGACATGTCAACGAGGCAATTCCCCTGGATGGCCCTGGGAATGACATACACCTCAACCCGATTCGACTGGACCACGACGAGGAAGATTCTGAATGGGAGACAGATTCTGAACAGGAGACTTCATCTGGCATAGACACAGAATTGCTTTCTTCAGACGAAGAATGAAAGGCAAATCTGCTACTTTTGGAATCTGTCAAACATCGCAAACTGTCCCGGAACTAGAGTGAGACCCCTAAGTTGGTGTGGTCTCACATCCTGGATCTGAAAGAGGACCAGTATCGGGTTCGCCGAATTGGCGTAAACCGTGTTCAGGTATCTCTGATGATTGATTGTATTGTTGTTTGCTCGCTTTGGATTCTGTCAATAGCGCAAGATTTCCTACCGCTGTCTGTCTCTAGTCTCTAGATGGCGCCGACTATGCGCGGCACTCCATCAATACCGCAGCATTCCTAATCATATATGTCGCCATGGCCCTCCCTCGGATAGCCCTCAAGTTCCGTCCCTAAGGGTCAAGGATATTTCCCACGCCGTATGAGATGCATGCTTGCCTATGGAGCGGGTAAGTTGAACGTGGTATATGGCTTGCCCTTGTGCTTCTTTAGTAAACTTCAATGAAGGGTCTATCCCTCACTCGATATATATATATATGCGCTATTCCCCTCCTGAGAGGCCACGGCGATGTAAGCCAAAGGGAACGAGCGCCTTCACACCCTCTGCACCTTCCTCGACAACATTCGGCCTCCGCCATATGCTTTATATATGAGGATCCGCCAAGAACTCCCAACCGAGTAGCTCAAGCAGTGGTGACACTACAACCAGTGGCCAAGTGGTCATTGGAGCGCTCAGAAGGTTAGAAAATTGCAAATTTTCGTAGCTCGTGGGAAGCTCCCGGATTCGATCCTGGGAGCAACCCGCGAGTGAGCTTTTTGCTTTTTGTTTTTTGCCTTCTTCTTTTTCCTTTCCTACCATGACCGCCGAGAAGACAATATTAAATTATTTTCTTGGTGAAGTGAGAACTGCTGCTTTGGGGCTGTCGTTGGATTCCATGCAAGAGACCCAGACCGCCATCTTAAAACGGATTGCAGAGGGACCTACGCATTGGCTTCTCCCCACCCGAAGCTCATATGAGAAGTTGTAAATCAATAATCTTAAGTCCCGGCCATCAAAGAGTAATCGGGCCCATCCATGGTCTATTCGGCTGGCCAGGTTGGATCAATCCATATCGGCAATGCGTTGTTGGTACACGTGAACCCTCGAAAGATACTCCTCGTCATTCCACCGTTCCACCCCGTCAACAATCGCCACTTTCGGTGGCCCAATCTGCTCCACGGCATAGCTCGCAGCCACAGACCCCGAAATCATGGCCTCAGTCAAGTCCCTCGATTCTCCATACGTGGCTGTAAATCCGCCAAGGAAGCAATTCCCAGCGCCGGTCGCGTCCACAACTTTTGGCGACGCTCCACTATGAAATGGAGGGAAGCGTCTGGCTGGGTAAGTCCGCGACACGGCGAGACTTCCGTGCGCGCCACAACGTATGATAACTACGCCTTGGCCATCCGGCCCGACTCCGGATTCCAGGATTTCATAGGCGTAGCGTTCGATTACTGCAAGTTCGAGCTCCCGCGTCGGATCTTCGTTCCTCTCTTCCTCGGATTGAAACGTGGCAATGAGCTCTTGGTGATTTGGCGAGTATACGTCGACGAGTTTCGCAGCTTTGAGGTGGGCGTCTCGACTTCCCGCGACGCAGGATAATGGCGCTGGCTCCCATACAAGCAGCGGTCGCGTGGAGATACCCTCAGCAGCTCGAAGCTCTAGCAGTTGAGGTACAAATTTCTCCATATCCCGGGGAGAGGCAAGGAAGTGGAAGTTGAGGGAGCCCAATAGCGCCGAGCCCTTCAAATCATTGGGGGTTGGTTGTATGGGGGGATTAACGTATTTAGAGGTTTTCTCTGTTACACACCGGAAATGTGTCTACAGTTAGAACTTTCAATATAAACAGGGGAAAAGGGGGGGGTTCCTTCACTAACTATCAAAATCGACGCCTTCGTACTGAAGAAGGCCACGCGTAGATAACCTCTTAAGGTCCTTGTTAACAAGGAGGTTAAGGCCCCATCGTCTAAAGAGGTCGAGCACTGCATCCGGAAAGTCCCTGCCGGCCATCACAATACAGCCGACTTCCTTGGATCGGGCTCCAGACAGCACAATGCGTGAGCCAACAGTGCCTGAGGCACAGCAAATTAGTCAGTCATTAAATATTAGAGAAGGCTATACAAGTATCCTTTTTCCCGATTTTCCTACTTACTATACAGCCCGGAGCCTCCTGGGACGTCATAGAGCGGTTCCTTGCCCGGGAACCGCAGCTCGTCCAGGACTATCATGCCCAGTGAAACATTGGTGATCTTTTCGCGTCCACGATCTGCCGCGGTGGATAGAATTGAACCCATGGCTGGGCGAGAACAAGGGTGTTCTGTGTTAACGCCAGAGATGAAGCCAGGCTTCGGTTTGCGTAGGAACGCGGGGGAGATGCAGATGGTTTGGGCTCAGCATGATCCAAGATCAATACCACATGCAGCCAATGAATGTCGATTCCGAAATCCAAAATTAGCACCTAAGCGCCGGCCACTAGCGGGATGAGTGGCGGCGCCTGGATCGATGATCCCTTTCATTCCTTCATCCAACCAACATTAATACTATCCTTTCAGTGTCCGACCGTCTATTATGCAATTCAAATGCTGATATGAGGGAGTGGGCGCGTAGCTGTGGATGCTCATTGGCATACTGCTTCTCTCCTGAATCACTGGAATGTCGTACAACATACTCTGGCTTCACACCAACCGTTGGGATCCCACGACTCTCCTAAATATGAAGCAGTATAATTACCTTGTTCCGGTCGTACCTGTTGCTTCTGCAGAGATGAGGAAGCGATGCCCATCGAGATTACACACCAGCGGTTTAAACCAGGATCATAAGTGAATCGTATCAAGAGATACAATCCGATGAAGACAATGGCGTCGTACGGCGAAGACGATGAATCCCTAGCGGGTTATATTAAGAGTCTACCGAGCACAATTTCGCTGGCTCTGACAGAGATCTCATTAACGCCAGATGGGAAGAAAGTCTCTCGCCAAAGTTTCACGGACCATGACGCATTCCTCCAACACATGTCAGCCAGAGTGAGTCCGGACCCATAGCCCAAGACGAGCTTTCTGCTCCCCGAAATGCCACGCCGACAGCAGTACGGCGGGGCATCTGACAACGCAAATCGAGCTGCGCCGATATCTCGCGCTGACAGTGGATGATAAAGCCGCAGAAGGAGTTGAAGATCAGAGTCATGTACGTATCAAAACGGCGCAACCCGCCCGATGTTTTGGTCGTTGAATCTTGTATCGCCAGGCAGGTCGGAAGCTTACCTTGAGCGTCATGTTATTTTTAGGACCATCTCCCGATTGTCCGGTTGTCTGCTTCAATACTTTGGCGACAAATACCACATGGACTATGAGCTTTGGACGTGTCGGTACAAGTCGAGTGATCGAGAATGGTTCGCCGGCCCGTTACTGGACAGAGGCTAGTCGTCCAAGCCATCCCCGTCGCTCTTCCTTGCACTATCCTGCCGCTAACGCGTATTGGGGAAATCCAGGAGCTCGTCACTTTATCCACTTTAACCTGTCGACTGTAGTTTTTAAGCGTCTGACCTCTCGGACGCCGCACAACTACGCGACAAACCGGAGGGTGGGACATACTGTCCGCTTAGTCCGCCTTCTCGACACTACTTCCAACGGCAAGCACTTAGCAATCAAACTTTCCTTCTTGAATTCTCGCTGACGGGAGGTTTCTCTTGGCTTGTAGGCCGAGATATGGACTCTAGAATCTTCATGATACGGCGGATATCGGGCCATCTGAGGTATGATGACGGTCTCTGGACGTTCTTGTACTTCTGTGACCCATACACGCAAATGGACGATGCGCACTTTGCCTCCGATATTCCCGGGAATATGCAACCGCCTCTCGAGTCCTGGGTGACGGACGTGCTGAGGGACGACACGCCAGAGGCGTTCATTGATGATCTCGCCAAGGACGGGTTCGGGCTCGTTCTGAGGATACTAAGGGAAATAAAAACATCATGGAAACTACTACTAAATGAGTTGGAGGTATTCTTGGAAGAATTGGTTCGTCGTTACCCCCTGGTTCTCTACGATACGCTATGCCATACATTCGGCTCCTCTGCCCTCAGCCTATCCTGTCCGCCAAGGACCCCGTATCGCTAATCAATCACACTTGATGGCAGACCGAGAGGCTTGATGACACCTCCCTGATAGATTCCGCAAACTGGCTTCACCGGCGGTTTCTACTCATGATAGACTACTCGGAGAGGCAATTGAATTACCACAGTCGCTTCGTCACCTACCTGACAAATGCGCCGACTCAACGGGACATGTGCATCAGTCCCAAGACATTCGAGAAGGACCTACTACAGGAGAGGGATGCAATGGTCACTGTCTGTTCGAGGCTCTCTGCGCTTCGGGCGAGAGCAGGGGCTGTCTTAGATACGGTATGGAGCGAACACCCCGTCCCGTTATCTTCTTGATCTATTTGTCCTGGTAGCAACTAGACACAAAAACTCGAACCCTTAAGAATAAGTGCTAATGAGAGACGGCTGCGGTGGAATCCACTAGGCTGTCAATTTGAATGCTGTCAGACAAGCTGACATGGCCCAGAAGACAATGCTCATGCAGCGCAGCGACGCGGAACTCTTATTCAAACAAAACCAGAGCCTTCGGCGACTTACCATTATTAATATGATATATCTCCCCGCTGGTTTCATAGGGGTGAGTGCTTGAGTGTGGCATCCATTACAAGATGACAATCTCCAAGAGAAGGAAACCCCCCTTTCACCCGGGAAGGAAAAAGCTGACCGAAATCCGTAACCAGAGCGTGTACGGGATGAACATTTCCGAAAACTCGGGCCCGAAGCTCTGGAGCCTCTGGAGCTTCGTCGTGATATCGGCTGCCTTAACCTTGCTAACCTTTGGGCTGGCCATGCTGATGCCTGATAGTCTTTCGGTCAGGTCGCTTTTAACCCTCGCCCGACGGAAAGAGCGCGAAAATAAAGAGCCCTAACAGCCAAGTGACGCAAGGGCACACAAAAAGATGTGTCTCTAAGATCGATATTGGGAGGTTCCAAAGCGAAATTAGTTTCCTGGCTGGTCAAAGACTAAAAAAAGGTGTATATCATGCCACAGGCAGCCACGAGCTTGTCAGGTCAACCACGAGGGCTCATCAGTTCTCGGCGATAAGTTAAAATCGCATTAATTAATTCTCGAACATTATGGTCTCTCCATTTCTCCCAAAATTCTCTCGAGAAGAAATCACTCATACACGCTTCGGGTCTAGGTCTATTTCCATCCAACAGCCTTAGCTCCCTCTCCGTATACCCGTATCCTGGGAGCCCGGGAATCTTCCGGAAGACGGGTTGGGTCATGCCGTGGTACTACGAAATGGCACGGCTCGCCGAGAGCCTCAGGAGACCCAGCGTTCAGCGACCAAGGCTCTAGACTATTAGCTGTCCAGGGTGGCCGCCCTCTTTGAAGCAGGTTGAGTCACCGGAGAATGTGCTCCGTGGGCATATTATCGAGTTCTCCGATTCACTTGGCATTTCAAACGCTTAGTGTTAAATGCTGATAAAAGGGACACTTTTTCACTAACTTATTCTAGCTCTAAATGGCTCCGAAGAAGGTTAACTGACATTGACTGGATTTCCCAACAACCCTTCCACAAAAACAACCCCGTATTTGACCCTTCCCAAAGCAATCCACCAATATGAACCCATGACGAAATAGTGCTGCACCTGTATGTAGGATGTTCTGTCCGGTGTCGGAAAACAGCTGTTTTTACCGTAGGTTGTTTGAAAGACGATGAAACCGTCTCGACTGTGTTGGAGGCTAAGGCCGGCTGGAGCGGTAGTGTTTTCGGCTGCGGCTATTGATGCCAATAATAATCCCGTAGTCGCCTATAAGCGCTATGTCGGTTGTTTCGCGTTTTTTTCCCTCGGCAGTTTCATCAGACGCACAAGCGCGAAGTCCTGCCCATTATGTTGGCTCCGGTTTCCGGTTTCCGCGCTGCCTTTCGACGTGAGAGTATTGGAAGAAACGAGGTCGAATGGATTGAAAAAACCGGACCAGACAAGAGATAAAATCAAGACCGAGCCCAGCCCTGAATGGATTCAGAGACAAAAATTTGTTTCCTTATCCCAGAAATACCAAAATATCATGGTAAAACAGGCCATTTCAGACGCGGAACCCAGCTTCAATATTGCACAATTGAAATGGGCAAATTTTTGGCATGGGTGTGGAACGGAAACCTATTTCGTCATGACTCGTAACGCCGAACTGTGTTGGCTGGGATCAAAATACCGGCCAGTCATCAAACATCGTAGGAGCCGAGATTTCCTCGCGGTTCCTCAATAACTGAGAATTCTCACTCTCACTCCAGGAGCCTCCTGGCCAGAGCAGCTGCACGCGCTGAAGGAGACAGATGGGGTCCGTCGCTTGGAAACGCCATCCTTGTGCGCGAGAATCGGCTGCAGTTACAGTGCAGCGGGCTGTTCAGGGTCGCCTGCTTGGTCCGTGGCGACTGGGGGTATGTGAGGAGATGGTCGTTTGGGGTGTGTGCCGCGTGGTGGATATACGACCAAAGGCCGGCTGCCTGCTTTCTGCCGCTGTGGAGATTTGCTATGATCATTTCCATCTGGCGACCCGGACATCGCAGTTGGTGACGGATTTACTTGGGAGATTGTCTCAGCCTTCGGCGGTAGCAATGGAGGGATTTTCGATCGGGGCGTTGTCAAGCCCCACCCGTCGAAGAGTTGGGCAAGCATCTGTGCAGCTGATGCCCGGCGATCTGGATGCAGCCTCCCCATGGGCTCGAGGCGCGATCCCAGGGCTTTGGCTTGGAGTGCTTTCAGAATGACACTGTAGTCGACTGTGAGCGGTGGAAACTCTCTGAATCGAGTATAGATAGCAACCATTGTTGCGAAGAGAGACCATATATCCATTTTGTGGCTCTGGGGCGCAAAGACTTTGCTCGTCTCGGGCCGGAGCTCGGGGGCCTGGAAGTAGCCGGTGCCGCAAGGCGTCTTTGCTACCAAGAGGTAATTGGCGAGTCCAAAGTCGGCTAGCTGGAAATGGAAACCACCCTCGGGCAAAGTGTAGTAGAGGATGTTATCGGGCTTCCAATCACGGTGCATCAGGTTCTCGCTTGCTAGATAGTCGAGGGCGCTGAGCATCTGCCTCAGCACAGCAGCGCAAAGATCGTCATGGGACGGAGCCGAGTCTTTATTGATAAGCGAGGTCAGAGAACCTTCGCGTAATGGCATGAAGATCTCCGGACGGGGAGTGTGGAAGTGTTGGTGACCGAGATATTCAATGATATGTGCCTGGGCGCATTGATTGTCAACAGCAGTGCGGGCAAGCGGGCAGGAGTTCTCAAATATTTTACTAACATGGTTTAGGTTGTCCATGAGCTTGACTTCTCGATAGAGCAAGGCTCGCGCTGCATCACGGTCGGCACAAGCATCGAGTTTGACCGCTTTGATGGCAAATGTATGGCCAGAGACCTGGTCGATCGCTCTATAGACTACCCCCGTAGGACCTCTCGCCTACCTCTTCACGAAGATGCGCTATATCCTTAAAGAGGGGACCCTTTGCGGTGTCTAGCCTGGTCATATGCCATGATAGTACTTCTGAGTCGACAGGCTCGGTTGGGCAGTCGCGCGATCGCACATCTTTTAACAGCCGCAAAGCTTCCTGGTAACCTTGAACAGTAAGCGATCTCAGAGCGTCGATGCCTTTGATCCGCCAGATCAATTCAAATCTGTATGCTGCAATGAATATCTTATAGTCCTGTCCGTAGAGGATCACACCATCCCCAGTGATCTCTTGCCCAGGTTCATCACTTCCTGGGATATCATCCGTGATATCCATCGCATCCTCGTCAGGGCGCGGGGCGAACCTAACTGACGAGAGCCGTTTCGATCTCACAGAAAGGACCACAAGCTCCGTGGCAGGGTTCACTTCAAAAGCGACATGAACCGCAGACATGGGGTTCGTGGGGTTGCTTTGGTGGAGAATCAGATCGGCATTTCGGCCAAGCCTAGTGATAATGTGGCCCGCTGGTATGGACGGGACATGATAGCCAACTTCAAGGCCAGGCCGGCCGTCCCTAGAGTTGGATACAAAGCGCACATTGTCTGCATGAAGGAGGGCCTCATGGGCGACTTGATTAGTAGGCACGAGGTGGAAGAGAGTTCTTAAATGGGCAATTGAAACCATGGTGAGAAGAGATTGGAGAGTGGAGGATGGAAAGATGAGCAAGTTCTATGGGAAGAGGAGAAGAAGAGAAGGAGAAGAGAGAGTGGGAAGAGGAGTCCAGCTTTATCAAGGTGAAGTGAGATGGCTTCATAGTCAAGTCAAGAGAGAACCCGCAGGCGACGAGCCGCAAGGAGTATCGCTGCCATACTGAGGCCAATCTCTCCCAATTTCAATGCAGTTTTCAGTTTTCAGAAGCAATCAATAACATACCAGAGCTGTCCTTTTTCCTCCTTTTCTTAAGCCTGACAAGCATCTAGGAGATGCAAGGAAAGGGGGATAATAACCATCACAACTGCTGAAAGTAGCTTAAGATGCATCATATGAATGTTTAGGTGGTTTTGTAAAGGCCATTGTATTGGGGTGATTTTGTGTGTATCTGTGATATGTGATGTATGTTTGGGTAGGAGAGATCTGGAGTTAGAACTTTGTGCTGCTCTTGAAAGAATATTGAATGTGATTCTAGTTGACTCTTATTTGACGCTTAGTGTATACTAGTAATAGATCAACTGTCAATGATGAGTTGGGGCCCTTACCTGATGGGCTGAACACTAGCCCAGACTTTCCATCCCTGCTAAATAATAACTCCAGTAGAGTAAAGAATCAATACTATTTATTGTTGAATAGATCAATTTGATCCGATTGATTGATGTACGTCATTCATTGTTGATCTTTGGTCTGTCCTTCTCAATCCTCTTCCGACTCACTGTAGAGATTGTCATGTGCTGATAAAGTCTTGTCTCTTCATTGTTGTGACATAAAGTGAAACCCTCCACTGACAACATCACCTCTACATCTTCGCACCTTGACTTCTTCACACCTTCACACCTTCTTCTTCACTTCTTCTTCTTCTTCTGACTTCTTGACTTCTTGACTTCTTGACTTCTTCATTTCTTCACTTCTTCCTGTTTCCTATCAAGTTTCCTGGTCACTCTAATGGCCAAACCATGCCTCCCTTTTCTGACCCTGCCCAACTTCACCAGGCCATCAGTGGCCAGGCCATTCCCGCCCTCGAGGCAATTCTTGCAAATAATAACCTTCGTTCGCTCCGCCGCTTTGAGCGCGATGACCCGCCACCCTACGAATCGTCAACCGAGTCCGAAGAGCTTGACGTTGCTACCATTTTCCCGCCACCACGAGATGGCAAGAAGATGCCGGAAGAGCTGCAAGCTATCATGGATCGCCCGATCGACGATGACGAATCCAACCGTATTGCGCACATGATACAATCAATCGTGCGTCCCGATGACCGTTATTACAAAGAAGTGAAGCGCGCACAGCACCGGTTTGATCAGCAGTTCCGCGGCCGCGGCCCTCGGCTCATGGTATTCAGGGGACTGAATGGCGCTCGGCGAAAGGGTGTCATCGTGCGCCATATCGTCAAGCGTCATTGGGAGAAACTCGGCATCTGGAATCTTGACTGGGGTTTTGCTGGGCGCAAAGTGCAACCTAACGACAATTTCAAGAAGTGGACGTGGAGGTGGCAACCTGAGGGAGCGGCGGATGACGATGATCGCATGTATCAGGATACGACCGAGCTTGTTGCGCGTGCCCTGCGCTTGCGCAAGAATCTGCGACGCGGCGAACATGCCCCCGTCATCCCACGGTCTAACCCCGGCCAAGACACAACTGCTGCCCAAGCCGAGTCTTTTCTCATCTCTAGGCCCTGGTTCATCTTTCATATTGAGGTAGCTGAAGAAACGATGAGGTACCGGCGCCTCTCCAATGAGGATCAAAGGCGCTACCCACACTCCGCCCGGAAACAAGTCATCAAGTGGTGGAAGGAACGTGGGGATTGGAGGGATGAGTTCGACAAAACGAACTGGGTAACCGGCTGGAAGTGGCGGCACGAATCTCCGTCCCCGGAACCCGAAGACCTCACTCCTATCGACAACATCCAAGACAGCGTGTTGGAGGACGCGGCAGATATGGACTTCACTCCTTCCGAGATTGACGAACTAGAGACTATTGACCTCCCAAGATCTGAACAGCCCAAGGGCTTCTGGGTCATAGAGGAGCGTGACATGCCACCATTCTTCCCTGGGCAAATGCAAGATCAATTGGCGAGGGTTGAGAAGCGTCAGAAAGAAAGAGCCGAGATGCTCGAGAAGGCAAGAGCGGAGGGGCGTGAGATGCCAGTAGATCCGGTCATCGAAGCCTTCAGAAAGAAATTCTTTGGGGGTGGTCCGATTCATCTCTTCGGCCCGCCGCCGCCAGTAGAGAAGAACGAGGAGGCATCCGCAGAGCCCCAAGAGGACGCATCTGAAACCTCACGAGAGCCCGGATCCCCTCCGCCACAGAAGCGACGACGCCTGCGCCTGCGCCAGCGCCAGCAGTCGCAGGACGAGATGGATGCGGTCCAAGACCAGGACGAACCCGTCCCAACACCCCGACGCAGTGCCAGGATCGCTGCCATCAAACGCCCCGCCGAACCCCTACCGTCGCAGGCGGCGCCGAACAAACGACCTAGGCGCGGAGCAGCGCCTGATTCCCAGCCTACTGCACGGAAATCCCGTCGTATCAATACGGCACCTGCCGCCCCGTCTACCGCCCCGTCTGCCGCACGCGAAACTCGTCGTAAAAGTACAACACTCGTTCCTGCACGCGCTGCACCGAAGAGGGAGACGGAGGAGACTCGGCCGAGTCAAAGGCGGGGGCGTCCGAGGAAGGAGAGCAGCCCAAGTACGCATTCTACAAGCTCGTGGTGCGCCCAGTGTACCCAGGCGACGAGGGAGGCCGAGGAAGAATGAGTGTCACGAATGATATGAGGTGGATACTTTAGGGCGAATACGGCTTTTTTCTTGCCTCGCAGGTCGAGTGCTATCCCTAGGTAGAGAGACTGTTTTTTTGAGCCCGCGTTTCAGCGGTAGGCGTTATTCCTAGACGAGTTGAAACAGAGGCTCAGCGATGGCCTTTTCGGGTTCAGTTTGGTACCGGTCGCTTAGTCTAGCTTTATTATGGAATAGAGAAGCTAGATTTTAATCTATCTTAAAGACCAACCGTCGTTTCTTCCGCAGTGGCCCTAGGTAGTGGTTGCTGTCACCTTCACTAATCCTTCTCCTGTGGGGTCATTTAGGAAGTAAGGGATCAAGCTCCCCTGCGCCAGAAGTGAACCCTCGAGCTGGATAAGGAGCTTGATACTATTCTCTAATTCTGGAGCCACCGAGTCACACACGAAAAACAGCCATCGAGAAGACAACCGTGTAATCAACGACGTTAACTCATTTTATTCGTAAGACAAAGCCTACTTACAGCTACATAACCATGGAGGGCGCCGGGAAAACCACCGTAAGCGCATCCTTGACTGCCCCTTTTATTGAAAGACTAGCTCTCAAAGTCCAAACACCGTAGTCCTCCTCTATGCTGACACCCACGGACTTGTTACTCGGGCGTGTTCTTGCTCATCATGATGAGCCTCTTTACTCCGACCTGTTGACGTAGTTAGCGTTACTCCGTTAGCACTTTTCAAGGGGCTTTATGGGATCATACCATCCAGTTTCCGCACTCTTCAGTCTTAGTAGTTTGAATATTGACTTGAATACTAGAGGCCGCATCGTAGCTCTTCGACTCAATCGCCGCCGCAAGCTCCGATAGCTTCTCTATCGTGTCAGGCTTGAGGAGCTCCCCATTATTGAGATGGTCAAAGAGTAGACCCAGGCGCTTCTGCGTATCCTTGACCTGCGGCGCAAAGTTTGGCGGAGCACGAGCCGCTACGCGCTGCATATCACGGGTGAGGATATCAACCAATCGCTGAGCATTCGCGGGGATGTGCGACCGGTCGCCGGGGGGATGCCTAGCCTTGGGTGGTGCGGCTGCGCGGGGAGGTTGTTGTGCGGACGGGGGAGGGGGCCGAGCTGCCGGAGGAGGTCCCGAGGCTGGCGGCGGCGGCCTTGAAGATGGAGGCGGGCAAACAGGTGGCCGGGCATGCTGCTCCGGAGCTGTAGGGAACGCTGCCGGCGCATACGGGTTCTTGGGGGGTCCTTGTTGCTGTGGAGGGGCTCCGTAAGGATGCGCGGGCGGAGGCGGCTGGTGTACTTGAGATTGGATTTGAGGGGACGGCGCCGGCGCGTACTTGTTGGAAGGCGGCGGCCCAGTTGGAGGTGCGCTATAAGGCGACGCAACCCTGGGAACGACTGGCTGGATGGGAGAGGGGATAGCACCTGCCTGCGGAGGAGGAGGGGCGTAGGCGCTGGCCGCTGTCGAAGACGGACGCGGAGGCTGCTGGTGGCCGAACGTTTGGGGTGGCCCCGCTAGGGGAGAAGTAACACGAGGTGGTCCGGATCCAGCCTTGGGTGGCGGCGGCGGAGGAGTAGCACCCGTACGGCTGAACGTGCCCGGAGGCGGAGGTCCTGGTTGCCCGGGTTGGGTTCCGAATGGTAGAGTGACGGGGGGTACGCTGGGGGTGGTTCTGCGAGGAGGAGCCTTGGTTACGAAAGGCACATCGTTCCAGTTGTCCATGTTCTTATCCTGAGATGGTGGAGGCTTCGAAGGTGTGGCTTTTCGGGGCGGCGCGCCAAAGTTGGTGGGGGGAGGACCGTAGCCGGTAGGTGCGCCATAAGGAGGCTGGACCGAAGGGGGCTGGTATCCGGAGGGAGCGGGCGGCGCATATGGAGAAGCAGCAGCAGCAGCATGGGGAGCGTATGGCGTGACTGAGGGAGGCGCATAGGGATTGACAGCAGGAGCGGGAGGCGCAATGGGGGTTGCCACAGGGGCGGGTTGCGGAGGCTGATATCCGAATGCAGGCTGAACTCTTGATGGGGCCCTGCTGGTCGTCTGCTTCGCCTGCTTCGCCGCGGGCTGAGGGGCCGCCTTCTTGGTTGCAAGCCTCACGCGGTTCTTGGCTATCTCGGCAGCAGGGTATTCTGCTGGGAGGAGATCGAGGTATTTTTGTGCCGTAGCTAGTTGGCCATGTCCCGCGACGATGTCCGCGTATTCTATATACTTGTCGTACAGAGCGGCCAATTTCCACTCGGACGTAGCTCCCGCACCAGTGTCCTGGAACTTCGAGACGTGTCGGAAGACGGTGACCTTCTCAATGAAGTCTTGCAGCGTCTTCGCGTGAACGGAAAAGGAAGAGCCGCCCTTAGACTCACTAAGACCGGCCTTCTCAGCCTCCTCGAGGACCGAGATCCAGATTGGAACCACCTTCTCCAACTTGGAGCCAACCAAGTAGCAGTATGAGGCATCCTGTCGAGCTCCCTGGGTAATAATCCTGTCGCCGAGAGCCTCGCAGAGACCCGGGAAGTCGTCTGGGCTCGAGAACGTGCAAAGCACCGCCATCACCTCCTTCCAGTTCGAGAGGTCGGCATTATTCACGACATCCTTGAGGTCCTTGGCGATGACAGAGCTGAGAAGTCTAATATAGCTGGGGGAGCCGTCTTTCTTCGCGAGGTAGGCGGCCTGAACCTTATCGACCAATTCCTGACCACCGCAATTGGCAATCAAGAATGCATCAGCCATCCGGTCTTCCTTGAGGCAAAGGTCTGCTGCCTTGGCAAAGTTGCCAAGCATGATGGCCTTGGTGATCTCCTTGTCAATATCACTATCTTCGTCGCCGAGAATTTGGAACGGGCCATTGTCCGTAGCTGTAGCTGCGGCGCCCTTTGAGAAGAAGTCGTCGTCCCCATCTCCTTCAGCTTCGGCATCCTCTTCGAAGAGGCCAGACTTAGCACCCTCATCGGCCTTCTCTTCAGTCTTCGGGTCCGTCGTAGCGACACCATTAGTAACATCTTCTTGCTTGAAGCCGAGCTGTTCAACAATCTTCTGCCTGGCATTCTCACTCGCCAATGTCTGGATAACCTTCCAGTCGGCCTTATCCTCATCCGTGGCTGCCTCCTCAATCCTCGATTCGCAAATGGCTGAGATGTCGCCCGATTGTAGGGCTTCCTCGAACTTCTCACTCGCGGAGCTGACCTCAGTATCCGCAGAGAAGTGGGTAATGATAACCTTGGACGACCGCTTGCCGCCGGCCTCTACCTTCTTGAAAATTACGAGCTTCCCACCGAAGCCGAATGACGCGCCGATCGGACGCTCGGCCCATTTCGGTGCCTTTGGCAAGGAGAAGAAAGTATCTTGAGGCTGGGTCTGCGCGCTCGTGAAGAAATCTTCTCCGTCGAGGGAGTTTTGCGCAGCAGCCTGAGAAGTGGAGGGGTTGGTGTTTTGCAAGGTCTGGATCGTGATCTTGCCGTCAAAGCTGGCAGTGGCGGTCAGGTTGGGGTTATGAGGGTTAAACCTCGTCAAGAAAGTCCAGTTCGTAACCTCGGGGAACTCGCCGTAACGCTCGCCGGTCTGCGGGTTCCATACGATAGTCTTGTTATCCTTGCCGCATGAGAGAAGGAGATCGCTATCCTGTTGGCACCATGAGAGGGACAGGACACCTTGCTCGTGGCCCTGGAGGACTCTCTCCGGAGCATTCGAGTTGCGCAGGTCCCATAGGAAGATGACGGGGGTGTTATCATCCGGAGTCGAAGTTAGCAGCTTGGTCGAGTTGTTGGGGTCCCACGCGATCGCGCTAACAGGCTTGCGATTATTATTCAGAGTAAGAGAGGGCTTCTTGGTCTTCAAATCCCACACAGTCACAAAGCCGCCAGTCCCTCCAGTCGCCAGAATGTGCGACACTTTCCTATTCCAGGCCAGGCACTCGATATCATCGGCACGCGCAGCGGCAGTACCAAGGCGAAAAGGGCTGGACGGGTCGTTGACATCGTAGACGAAGATCTCGCCTTTCGCGCCGGCAGTAGCAAGAATGTTCGGCTTTAGGGTGTTGAACTGTAACGCCTTAATAGGTCCCGTGTGTTTCGTCGTTCGCGCAATCAGAGCATCGGAAGCTCCCTCTGCGAGTTTCTTGGCATCCCAGAGGTCGAGGGAACCATTCTCCAAGGCGCCGGCAATGATACCCCTGGGATGGTCTTCATCGGGAGGTCCCCAGGCAATGTCGTAGAAGCTAATGTTCAAGCTGCGTGAGTAACATGGACATAGCCGAGAATAGGCGAACATGGGTAGAGATGGTTCTTAAAATCCTACCTTGAGTCAGTATTAATGCTAACCACAGGCTGGAGCTCGAGACCCTGATCTTCGTCGTCGAGATCAAGGTCCCAGATTTCAAGCTTGGTCTCATCGGAGAAATCATCATCAACAGCTCCAGCACGGGTTCCGGTGACCAGCAGCGGCTTCGAAGTTCCTGGAGACCAGGCGAACGCGGCTGTGCGCGGTATCTCTCGCAAGCGAACCATGTTCGTCCGTTGAGCCCAGCTTGGGACTTGGTCTTGGGGGGGGGGATTATGGGAGGCGGTTATCGTGTTGGTTGGCGCAAAGGGTCGTTGATGAATGTGGAATTGGGCACCGCCAGCCCGTTCAAATTGATTGCGGCAACCTGTCTTGAGGAATAATTTCAGTTCTATACAAGAGCGGGTTGCTCCTGTGGTGATTTGCGCTGGGGTTCAGAAGAAGCAAGATATCTTGCTATGATGCCAGATTGCAGTGGAGTGGTCTCTGTGCCCTGTTGTGCCACGCCCCCTGCCACATCTCACTAACACCTGCCACAGCGATGCACCTCAATTGGTGTTAGTGCCCCACACATCGCACCGTGAATAGTGGAGCGCTTTCCTTGTGTTGCCTCCGGTTTAGGCTCACCTGGGACCGCCTCTGCTTAGTCATAATCACGTGGAAGAGCACTGAGCAAGAGCCCAAGCGACGGCACTCTGAGAAGCGAGGCATTCTTTGAATTTGGACACGATAGGCTTGATGCAATCGCAACGCCTACGTTTCAAAATCAAGCCCTGCAATGCTAAAAGTTTCTACAGGACCTGGGATTTGGAGGAGTTGAGCCCAGCTTTGAAGCAAGTTCCTGGTCGGCCCTGAGAGGACACATATAAATCCATCGAACCTACCTCATCATGTAATGCAAGGTGCACATAGATAGCAGAAAGCATGGAAAGAATACACGTATAAGTCAGAATAAAATCTATGCGCCAGAAACTTTGGACATTCCAACTTTATGGAACGTTAACATTGAGCCCTGCTTGGTGTTGGCATCCAAGTCTGGGGAAGCCTGAAGTCATGATTCACGTGACTTAAGACTTCCTCCAGCCCCTCCAGAGCTTGGGCTCAGCAGGGTGCGGGAGAGTGAGAGGAACTGAGATTTTATGAGTTGAGACTTCATGTTGTAAGAGCCTGAAAACACACCCTCCCGAGCTGGATATAGCCTTCCCGAATTTGCCTCAGCTTCAATTTCAATCGACAAACGCTACGAGACACAATCAATTACCTCTTTCAGTCCGTCCCGCCAATCAGCAAGCTCTCACCATGACGGAAGCGAGGTGGAAAGCGACAGTATATGTCGGCGGACTGGCACCGGTCGTGACATCAACTCATATTTACGACGCATTCATTCCCTTTGGCGAGATCGTCGACGTTTCGATACCAAAAAATGACAAGCCGGGTGCCACAGAACCTCACCGGGGCTTCGCCTATGTAGAATTTGAAGAGGCCGAGGACGCCAAGGAGGCAATCGACAACATGGACCAGGCCGAACTCTTCGGGCGCATCCTTAAAGTGTCGGCTTCTAAGCCGCCCAAGAGCGCGGAGGGCGGGCTGAATAGCCGCACCGCTGTTTGGGAGCAAGTATGTTTCGGCCACTCACATTCTAGCAATTCTAATCAGGGAAATTGCTGACTTTTTTTTTTTTTCTTCCTCTAATAGGAAAGTTGGTTAGCGGAGCACGCAATTGGGGAAGAGGACAAAATGGCAGAAGACAAGGCTCATAATGGCGATCATCCGATGCAGGGTCTGGAAGGGCTTGACGTGGCTGGTCCGAAGCCCGAGTAATATGTCTGCCTATTTCTCCCCCTTCTCTTAGCAACTTCCGCATAGCGTTGGCGTTCTATGGAGTTCATACGTGGAGTCATCGGGCTGTGTGGCAGGTAATACTAGACAGTAGGCCATGCAGTGTACAAGGGAGACATGTGTTGAACGTCATGAGACGGAATCTATTGTATTGACGGGAAATAAAACAAGAACTGCACAGCTTGAGATGCTCTAACAGCGCCTAAACAAATAGACGGCCATGCTCCAACATGTACAAATTTTGACCCTTCTAATCTGAACAAGATTGTGTGAACGCCGGGAGGCGACCTCCTATCCCCGTTTTCCCAAACATTCTTAATGGTGCTCCTCGCCGTGCTCGTCCTTTCCAGGACCTTGGCGAGCGAGACGAAGGTTCTTGTCGACGACGAACTTGCGGCCGATGGAGAAACCGGCGGCGCAGAGGGCGAAGCCGACGACAGCAGCTGCATATCCCGTGTTAGTTTAAGGCCTCTCCGTGGTTTGAAGGACTAGAGTCATCGGGTGGCCTTCTACTCCGGAGCCATTGGGAGTATGAGCAAGGTTGAAAAGGACATACCAAGGGGCCACAGCTCAGCAGGGACCTTCTTGACCTTGCCAGCGAAGCCGGGGGCTGTTGCTCTTCAGTTAGCTATATGGACATCGCAAAGGCATCGCATGAATCAATTGGGCCGTCGTGTGGCGAGTATCGCTTGTGGATTGAGCTATTTCGCGATCGAAGGGGTTAACGTACTGTTAGGCTCGGCCTATAAATTTTGTCACGTTAGTGGACATTCAATTGGATCGCTGCGGAAATGCCGCGGCGTTGAGGCAGGGAAAAAAAGCTCCACGAACCGCCTTCATCATGCGACCAGTAGGTCGAAACATCCGGAGAGCGAGAGAGGGCTGCATTTTGAAGTGGTTTGAGGGGAGACGGTCGAGAGGTTGTTCGAAGAGTTTGAGAAAGGTCGAGGCAAGGGAAAGACTCTTAAGATCACGAACGGACGGCGTCGGAAATACTCGATTTCGGAGGGGATTGGATCGTCTGATGGCGTGTCTATCAATTGAAAAACTAAGCTCGGTTGGGATGTTGGGTGCCTTATATCCGAGGCACATATGCAATTTCCATGCCATGCTCGGCCAACCAAAAACCACCTGATTCTTTGTTCCATCTATCTCGACCTTGCTCACACCAAGCTCTTTCAATTGAACGCTCTCGGAAAACAATTCAATCCTCCCCACCAATTGACCTAGTTTTTCGATCTCGAGAGCCCAAGGCCCCAATTCCTTTCAAACACCGCCAAAATGTCCGACGAACACGGTGATGAGCTTGTTACCAAGCCCTTCAAGTTTGTGACTGGTACGCATCGAGAAGAATTCCCTCTCTCTCCTCTTCTGTCTCTTCGCATTCATGGCGTGATTATCTCCGAGGCTAACAGAGTCCTATAGCTGGTATGAACAATTGACAGCCCTCAACCTCTTCGAATTCCTAGAGCCTCCCGGCGACAAGATCAATCGATCTTCCGCGTGCCCGATTGCCCCGTCCGCTGAAGCCGATGAGTCTAACATTTTGCCGATTTCCAGGTGTCGACTCCCGTTTCCCCAACCAGAACCAGACCAAGCACTGCTGGCAAAACTACGTCGATTACCACAAGTGCATCAATGCCAAGGGCGAGGAGTTCGCGCCTTGCCGCCAGGTAAATTAGTCGAACCGAGCCTCGAAACGATGTGGAGAACCCCTCTGCTGACGCGATGCAGTTCCTTCTGGCCTACAAGTCTCTCTGCCCCTCGAGCTGGTACCAGCGCTGGGATGATCAACGAGGTATGTTTCCTGGTTTGAATTCGGAAGGGCTTCTTTTTTTCAAGAGAGAATTACGATGATCTAACGCATTTCCGCAGAGGGTGGCAACTTCCCCGTCAAGTTGGACCAGTAAATTATATGTATAGCCATTGATGGGTTAGCAGAACCTTTTGTGATAGAATAGACAGTACCTTTGAATCCCTCGGACCTACGTCTGGAAAATCCTTTTTGTTTACCATCACTCGCTCTGCGATTTTGTACTATGTCACTGGTGTCTTCACATGAATATAACAATTCATTGAGGGAAACACATGGAATTGTTTTTTCTTCTTATTCTTTCCCCTTCTATTTTTTCATGTGAGTATCCTCTCGCCAAAATAGGAAACGAGGAAGCCAGCGAAGGAGCCTCCTCACCGCTCATGTATTCTTATCCTTGCCACTCAAATCTTAGAGGCTGGATGAGGTTATATCTCAAAACAGGAGTAGATCATCCCACAGCAGGGAAATGGGAGATCCCGGGATTCACTCAGCAGTGGATGCTTAGCAGATTGGATGGAGCCGACCAATTTTTGCAATTCGATTTCTTTTTGATGCTTCCCACTGTTCTCTCTGAGCCATGAAATAAATGCCTTTTGGTATTATGAAAGTGCTATTTGCCGTTGCAATCATGAACTCCATAACCCCGAACCATAGACCGTAAGCCGTTAACGTGAAAATTATAATACAGGTGTGTATGAGCGAATCATGAGTTGGTGCAGACTCCTCTCATTCCTCGTCACTATCTGAGCTCATAAACTCATCATCCTCGTCGAAACCATATAGCGCTTTGGGTTTAGAGACGGCCTTTCCTTTCCCCTTGGAATCGCTTTCCAAATCCGATGGTGGAGTAGCACGGTTGGACTCAGCCTTCTTCTTGCCTTCATCTGAACCTTCACTCTCCTCCGCCGAGTCGGTGGTGCTCGAAGTGCTGGAGCTGCCTTCGGCAGGAGCCTTGGGTTTCATGGCAGCAAGGACGGCGGCTCGGACCATGTCAACAGCCTCCTCCTTGTCCTCCACCCACTTACCATCGATCCTCGCCTTGGTTCCATTCTTAATTTCGTCCTCGCGACGTTCAGCCAGCTCGACAATTTGCTCCCATCTCTGACGGCGCTTCTCCTTCTCGCGTTGTTCCATCTCCGGTTTGATGGCAAGATACTCGGCAAGCGCCTTTGCCTCATTAACAGTGCGTAACCTTCGCCCATCAAGGTTGCGGCTAGAGCCGGTATCTTCGGTTCCCTTCCTCTTGGATGACATGCGTCCACCAGCCGCCCTTAGCTGGGACCCGAAACCTCCCTTTCCGCCACATAGCGGGGCGGAAAGACGTAGAGAAATGAACTCGTCATCTTGCGCTGAAGCGTAGGTGCTGATAGGTGTAGTGGAGGATGGTTGAAGGAGTTTGTTTCCCGCAGTTGTGAGGAGAAGTCGGTCGCACGTGGCGGGTAGTTGCGTCTTTAGTTTTTCCCATACGCAGGAAACTGATGCGTCTTTGGATACGGGTAGGACCAGGGTAGATGGGAGGCCAAGACCGGCGAAGCTGCTAATGAGCAGGTTGATCTCAGTAGGCGCCATTCTGAGCGTCGGTCGCCGTGGGTGAAGGTGGATAAAAGGTTGGTGGGGATTAGGTGGGGTTAGTCGCGATTGATGGTAACTTCTTTGAAAGGAGATGTCTGAAGGGTTGGCGACAGTCAGGTTTGGTGAAGCGATCTATTAGGATGGCAGTTGGGAAGGAATAAACGCGATCGATTTGATGTCGCCGGGTTGATGTGAGCATTCGTTGGAGGTGAAGTTTGTTTGGGAAAGTCGACGGCAACCGCCTGGCGTTGAAGTTTGAGGTTAGACTTAACACGATGTCACTCACAGTCGGTCCCAGCCACATGTGATCATGCCACAACTTCACGTGACTCAGCCACACCCACTGACCCGCAGAGCCCGCACCGCCCGTCCCAGCTCACCCCTCCAATTGTACTGTAGGGTTTTTTTCACACAAAAAAAAGCCCATCCATTTCAGGTCTCTCGATCGCCTTTCTAAACGTCACCTCAACCATCCTCAATTTTCGGAGCCAACCGCCAAGATGCTTATTCCCAAGGCCGACCGTAAGAAGATCCACGAGGTATTATCGATTCCGCACTCTCGAGAGAGTTTCAATGATAGTAAATTTTTTTTTTAATATCTGGAAGCTGACGCGGATTCCCGATATTTAGTACCTCTTCCGAGAGGGTGTCCTCGTCGCGAAGAAGGACTACAACCTTCCCAAGCACGACGATATCGACACGAAGAACCTTTTCGTCGTTAAGGCCTGCCAGTCGCTCGACTCCCGCGGCTATGTCAAGACCCGATTCTCTTGGCAATACTACTACTACACCCTAACTCCCGAGGGCATTGACTACCTCAGGGAGTGGCTTCACCTCCCCGCCGAGATCGTCCCCGCGACACACATCAAGCAGCAGCGCTCGCACGCTCCTCCCCGTGGCATGATGGGCGAGGGTGAGCGCGAGAGGAGGCCGTTCGGCCGTGGCCGTGGCGGTGACCGTGGAGACCGTGAGGGTGGCTACCGACGACGTGATGCTGGCGAGGGCAAGGAGGGTGGAGCGCCTGGCGAGTTTGCTCCTCAATTGTAAGCCGCAGCCCTTGTGAATTTCCCCTTTACCTTCGACGGAAAGGGGAAAAGAAGAAACGGAAAAAGTCTTGAAAAAAGCCGTATGCTAACGATTATCTCTCAACAGCCGTGGTGGATATGGCCGTGGCCGTGGTGGTGCTCCTCCTTCTTAAAAGACAAAAAAGCAAATTTTCTTTTGTTCGGCGTATCCTCGAGGGTTGGTTGATATTTCCTCAACTCCGTCATTAGAAGCATCCAACATAGTCGCTGGCGTACACGGCATAACCGCTGTTGGCCCGGCCCCGAATCAAGTCGCCCTTTTTGTTTTAACTTGACTTATCCCCCCGCCGAACGAGAACTTTCTTTTTTGCCTCCAAAGGAAAAAAATCATTGATGTGCACGGTTTTTTATGACACCTTTTCCGGGTTGAAAAGAACGAAAAAATTATGGATTGCCTCGGGTTTATTGAGTCCATTTGTGAGGTCTGGGAAGGAAGAGCGATGGGAATGGGTTCCTGAATCGTATTCCAGATTAGACTTTCGAGACTAGGTTTTAGGTTGCTCCGCGGTTCATAGCGGAACAGGCGTATGTGGTGATATAGGCTGTAGTCGTGGACAAATCGTTTCAAACTCCGTCCCTGTGCACTTCCGCGGTGATATTGTTTTTGGTTGGGATTTTTCTCGTGCTCCAGCCTCTCTCGGTGTTGTATCATGCGTCTTGGGCCTCCGGGTTGGGATTCTCGTCAGAAGGCAGGAGAGACATGGTCTCGGTCAAGTCTACACGCCAAGCTTGAGCTGTAGCAGGCCTAGATTCACTATTCTGAGCACTTGTGGTTATGATGAACTCGTTGATGTCTCATCGCTTGGTAAAATTGGGACTCTGCCTCTCTGTGTTTGCCCTTTCATTCCTCGGTGGAAGACTGTGTTAGTTTCAACCTTTGAGGACTACTTGAAGGATGTCTATTCTTAAACTTAAAGAAGGCTCTGATTGAGGTTGCTGCTGCATCGTCCCCCTCACGAAATACCAATATTTACCAAGCACCAATTGGAACTTGGGAACAAGGATCAATGACATATTTATAGCAGCAAAAACACGCTCGTATTCATCAAGGGCGAGGTGATTTTTGAAGAGTTCAAATCCCAATTATTACTTCGCAGACCTCTTGAGACATCATGGCTCTGCAAATGCAAGCTGTCACTGCATGACAGGAGGTAAATCACATTCCCCAAATGTGGTCCCCCCGGCACAAACCTCCGGAGGATTACTTGGTGGGTGTGGCTGTCTGTCCCCCTCCAATTGCAGTATGCCGCGCGACCTGCAGGAGGGCTAAGGCTAAGGTGCCATCATCGCCGGAAGTGGGATGGAAGCACAGTCCGGGATCCAATAATGTCCGCCGTTTGCCCAGGCGTGAAGACGATGCTTCATCGAATACGAGTTTGATTGGTTTCAGCGGCTCATTTCGCAATACGACTCCTGCTCCTCTGTTCGTGAGGCTGTCTGAGCGTGTTTTTCTTTTCCTTTGGGAATATTATTTCTCGTCTCTCGTCTCTCGTCTTTCGAGAGGTTAAGTGCTGACAGGGTTTTGAAGGATCAACTCCGCGGCTGCTAATTGATCCTACCATTTAAGAATGCCGTGCTCCGTTGATACCTGTACTTCGTAATACAACGTCGAAGGAGACAAGATCGATCAATGCAGACTGGGGTTCCCGGTACATGCCGGGAATGCGGCACGCGATGACTGCAATACCGACGACGGCAAGGGACTGGACCCCAAATGCAAATGTCGGTATCCGAGCTGAAGCAAGCAGCACTGGTAGGGCAGTGAGAATGCCATTTCAACGTCTCAGGGCTGAACCTTGTTGGGTGTGAGCAGAATTGAGGAGTGTGCCAGTGTCCCCGTGTCCCAGGGTGGCATGAGTTCGAGTTGTTAGTGTGCTCCTGGCTGGATAATAACGTTTATCCCCACCTTAATCTGCATAACCTGCACTAAAAAGGACCCTTGGAACCGAGAGAAACAGCCCGCGCCGTTTTTAATCTAATAAATTGCCGTTTGGTTTGTCGGTCGCGCCCACCTTAGACGAGCGAGGGTACTTGTACCAAGACAAACACTTCAAGACTCAACTGTCTTTCTCTTCCTCTCATGACCACTCTCTCTTCGTACTTGTTCCCCATCTGTCCTGAACTTTGTTATACCCCTTTTCCGCTCTTGAGTGCGGGTGCAAATATTCATGGCTTCGTTCTGTGCCAAGCATCGGGTCCATCATTTTAATTGATCTTGTTATTACCCACCATTTCTGCAGTCGGTGCTATGACAGGGGCATCGCCTCTCTTGACCGCTGCCCATTCTCCCCGAGGACCTCGAGGCAGGCTGTCTTCGTCTCAAATCTCAAATCTACCCTAAAAACGGATGTGCCTGGGGACGGGTAACTGAATGAATATCGATTCTGTTCCGCCAACAATCAAGTCCGTCGTTTGCTGGTTGGGCTCCCGTGGCACGCACTCGGCGTGCCGTCACTGTGCCACCCCTGGGCTATGCCTGCTGGTTGATATATATATATAGATCCACGCACCCAATAGGTTCCGACTCGCTACACAGCGGCGCTGCGGGAGTTCGTTTGCTCGACAGGCGAACCCTCGAGACAAGGCGAAGCATTAATACCTTCACTTTGGCCCCAAGTCTCTACAACTAAATGTGTTTCCCGTCATAACACTAGGCCCTTTTCACTTTCGACAAGGAGATTTTTATGCATTCAAAGTTAGAGAGCATAACTTTCCAGGAATGACTCCTTGGCCAATCCGCAGAGACTCGCACACCACGAGCGATGTCCTCGCCACTATCCCCCAGGTCCATGCTGTCGACATCCCGTGCCAGTCTCACCACTTTCGTCCCGTGAAGTTTGCAGACGAGAAACATGACTCGAGCTCGTCTGAATCCGACCTCCATCCCTCTAGGAGTCGGAAGGCCCCTCGTCGGCCTCGGCATTCTCGGTCGATCAGCAACCCATTTCCTTCCTTCTTCACTAGCGGCAAGAAGAAGAAGCCCGACAGTTACGAGGAAGAAGCGTCTGGTTCGGATGATGACGACAGTGGGACCTCGTCACAGAGGCGCTCAAAGGAGAGTTCGCGCAGGCCGTCCCAGCATGGCCAACATGCTCGTTATGCCAGCAAGGACTTTACGTCGGGATTCTGTATGACCTGCGGTTCGAGCACGCGATGGCCCAAGGAACTTCATACCTTCCGGTGTACTGTTTGCTTAACCATCAACGATCTCGTTTCGAGAGCTCACCCCGAGGCAAGAGACCGCTCTGTAGGCTGGCCTAGAGGACCGGCCGCGCCTAGTGGCCAGCAGTCGCCCACCATCCAGACTTCGCACACGCCCCCGGCTCAAGATCCGGCGGATCCGCGTTCGGTAAAGACAATATCAACACATCATACCAAGTGGCTTGTTCGGCAATGTCTTCGCTCTTTTCTCAAGTCATCCTTAGATGTGAAGGAAAACAAGGAGGGTCTAGGTTTGCATTTGCATGCCGTCCATAGCGAGGGTCTCAGGTCCCACGTCACGATTCATTCCGACAAGGGAGTTACAAATCCGGTGGCAGTTGATATGAATCAGCCAGGTGTGGGATCTCTCTCTGCAACATCACCAACCTACCCTCCCACGAGTGTTTTCGACGAGTCCATGCTCTCACCGACGAGTACGACCTTCGATCATGCTAACCTGCGCTCCTACTCCTCTTCATATCCTGAGAGACCGTCGGTGGATGCTGGAATCCGATCTGGTAGCGAAAGGAGGTCGCCTCGTCACCCAAGCCCTTCCGGACCAGCTCGTCCGAGAATATTCAAGCCCTTAGAGGACTACATTGTCGCCTCCTTTAGCTCGTTTGAATGTGTAAATTCCTCATTCTCGACCAGGCGTCACGCCGTTCCCGCTAGGTCCGACAGCCGTCCTGTTAACTCCCACATCCACCATCGCCGTCGCGAGTCAGCCCCCACGGAACCGACTATCAACAATCTCGATCCGAAGATGCTCATGGTCGGTGACATTGCCGAGAACGGGGCGTGGTGGAGCGGAGGCCAGGACAACTACTTTGTCCGACGAGCAGCCTCACAGAGACAGGAGGTTTCATTATCTCGGGTGTCACACAGGTCGCCTCATATGGACTGGGATGAGCTTCGTGACTGGTATTCTACAGTGATCAACGCAGCGGAAGGGTGGAGGAACGTCTATAATGACATAGTATCCGAACATCAGTCACAAGAGTCGTTCACCGCGCCGTCAGGGGAGAGATTGAAAGATATTGAGTTTGAACTCCTGACGGCCCAGATGCATACTCAAAGAGTGCTCCTGAAAGCGACCGACAATCTTCTCATGCGCCCTGGACGTCCGATTTCTGAACCCGAAACTTTACGGTTTCTTTTGATAACGCTTCACAACCCGCTCCTATATCCTAATCCTCCCTCGTTTCGCGGTTGGCTACAGTCGTCGACCCCCGAAAAGGCGCCGAAAACTCGAAGCCCACCGCCCAGGAAAATGTCGGCCAGAGTCATTCCCATCCAGTATGCTACGATTATCAAGCGAATACTTGGACTATTATCGCAATCCTCCGTGATGTGTCACAACCACATCATCTCTTGGTTCGCACGACTTCCGCGAAGCCACTTCAAGCAGATCAAGGACCTGGTAGCTGGATTCTTGACTTATCGTCTCCTTCGTCCAAACAGAGCGAAACCCGACTTGAGAGTCGACATTACCAATGGGCTAGTCCCTAGCCTAGGGGGCAGCGAATCGACTACTGCCCAGCTCCATGCCGCGCTAGGAGACAATTCTGCACTGCAAAATAAAGGTGCAGACCAGTGGGCGACATGTAGCGAAGACTGGCAGGTTAGAGCCGCAGCACGTGTGATGGCGTTCCTCTTTGCAGCGAATAATCTTCCTGTATCAAGGCGGGAATCACTCCTCTCAGGATCAAATGCGGCTCTAGAGGGTCAACCGACGCCTCGAGATAGTATCCAGACCCACGGCCAAATCCTGCCTACAAGCGACTTCTATAACACCTTCGTCGACGGCACGGATCTCATTGCGGATTTCGAGACGTGGGAGTTCAAGCGAGGATTCTCCTTCTGTCAATACCCCTTTCTCCTCAGCATCGCAGCTAAAACGCGGGTCTTAGAGCACGAAGCAAGGCGGCAAATGCTCACAAAAGCCCGAGACGCTTTCTTCGATAGCATTCTAAGCCGCAAGAACGTAAACCAGTTCTGGGTTTTAGACGTGCGGAGGGATTGCCTTGTTGAGGACAGCCTTAAAGGAGTGAGCGAGATTATTGGCAGCGGAAGTGAGGACATCAAGAAGAGCTTGCGCATTGCTTTTGCTGGTGAGGAGGGTATTGACCACGGCGGTCTGCGGAAGGAATGGTTCCTGCTCCTGATCCGAGAGGTTTTCAACCTCGACAATGGTAACGTTTCCTTTTCCGCCTTCCTAAGTAGCGTTGAGTTTCTCCGAGCTAATCGTCGGGCCTAGGCATGTTTGTTTATGACGAGGATTCGGGATACTGCTATTTCAACCCCAATTCCTTCGAGACTTCCGATCAGTTCTTCCTCGTCGGCGTTGTCATGGGGCTCGCCATCTATAATTCGACAATCCTAGATATGCCCCTTCCTCCCTTTACCTTTAGAAAGCTGCTAGCGACAGGACCAGCTCCCGCGCCTGGTTCGGCAGCACACCCCCGACCGCTGCTGAGTTACACCCTCGATGACCTTGCCGAGTTGCGACCTCGACTAGCCAACGGCCTACGGCAGCTCCTCGACTATACCGGTGACGTGGAAGAAACGTTTGGTCTTGATTTCGCCATCGACACAGATAGATATGGAACGACAGTTCAAGTTCCCCTCGTTCCTGGCGGAGCAGACAGGCCAGTCACAAACGAAAATCGGCGTGAGTACGTCGACTTGTACGTCAGATATGTCTTAGATGTTTCCGTTTCTCGGCAGTTCGAACCGTTCAAACGCGGCTTTTTCATGGTCTGTAGCGGAAACGCGCTCAGCCTATTCCGGCCCGAAGAGATTGAACTCTTGGTCCGGGGGTCCGACGATGCCCTTGACATTGATGCCCTAAGAGGAGTGGCTGAGTATGAGAACTGGGACACTGAGAAGCCCGACGAAACAGAGCCGGTGGTTCAGTGGTTCTGGGAGACGTTCGCCAAGGCCCCTCCCGAAGACCAGCGGAAGCTCCTCTCCTTTATCACTGGGAGTGACAGGATCCCCGCTATGGGTACTTCGTCACTCAAGATCAAGATCAGCTGTCTGGGAGATGATTGTGATCGGTTCCCCATTGCGCGGACGTGCTTCAATATGATTGTATTGCACCGGTACGCCTCGCGGGAGAAGCTTGAGAGGTTGGTGTGGACGGCTGTTCGGGAGAGCGAGGGCTTTGGGTTACGATGATAGAGAGATGGTTTATGATGATGTGTATCGATATGATGAACTTGATATGCGTATACGCTAGCAGTGCTCTTTGAGCGTAATATGATGTCCGTCAGCCCGGCTCAAACGGCTGTTGATAGAGTAGCTCGGCTGTCCTTGTCTCTCCTACAGCCGTAGAAATAGTATCAAAATCTCACCATTCCACAGCATTGATGCGTAATGCAAACTGTCTGAAGGTCGTCCACGGGGTTTCGGGGAAGTATGAGTTATCATACGGGTGTCCAGGCCTAGTCCTTAGCTACCCTAATCAAAAGGCAAGAACAAGATGGTTGGTGGACCCCAATACGGGAAGAAGAAAAAAGAAAGATTAAAAAAAATGTGTAGGACTCACCCACCAGTTTCGAACCAACAACACCTCCAAGCTTCACTCCTCCCCTCATCCCCCTAGGCATCACAACCCGAACAGAGCTTCAAAGAAAGACTCGAAGCTCCCTCCCACAGAGGGAAGAGGGAGAAAAACAAAAATCTCATGTAATAAAAGATGATCTAGCAAAAAAAAGAATTCCCACTTCTCCCTCCCCAATTCCCAATTTCCCTTTCCCAAATCCCGTTTCCCAATTCCCTCCACGTCTCATGGTTTGACCAGACCGGGTTCCACGCCGGCGCCTTGCGGAAGTAGTTTCAGTGCGTAACCGCTCGACCACTTGAGCTTCCATGAGACGGTGAGAATCCAGAGCTAAATTTTCATATATAACACATACGTACGCAAAACCGCCGCTCTCAAGACTCGGAAGGAGCATTCCAAACCCAGTTTCCGTAGCTTGGAATTTACACTTGATTTTCTTAGATTTACCACTTTGATCGCGACTTCGTTTAGTTATCTCCCTATGTTGATACCGTAGTATGTCGATTTACATCCTCATCTAAGTGTTGTGTTTTCGTCTACAACACCGTCATCCGCCTTTGAAGGTGTCTTCGGTAGTATCCAGGAGTGGCGGCGTCCGCATAGCCTGAGATGATACACAACATCGAACTTCGCAGCCTCCCTCACTTCACTGACACGGCCTCGTGAGGCTTGTGTACCACTGGTGTTGTCAGCCATCCCAAATATAGCCAAAAAGGATTCAGATACTGGCATTATACTGGTAATCCCGTTCTCGTCTATTTTCTACAATATATGATACAGATATGGCAGGGGAGAAGAGTCTCATATCAATCCACCACAAAGAACCAAAAAAAGGGGGCGTTCCCACCTCACGCCAAAGCACCAGCCTTCGCCCTCCGCAACATGGCCTTCGCCTTCCTCTCCTCATCCAAAATCTTCTTCATCCTCGCGCGATCCTTGGCAGCAAGCTCATCCAACTTCTCAAACTCCCTCAACGCCTCCTCATCCTCGGCCGTCGGCATGACGGGCTCGGCCTTGGTCTCGTGCATGAAGGCCGCGAGGATATCGTCGCTGTGCTTGTGCTTCATGTCGATCTGCACGATGCGCTCGTCCCAGGCGGGCGGCTGGGCCGTGGATTCGCCGATGCCGGAGGAGCCCGGCTGGATGCGGACCGCGGGGGCGTCGGGGGGTTTGGGGGCGTCGGTCTTGAAGTAGAGGGTCATTTTGGCGGGGCTGGTGGCTGAGGGGGTGCGGTTTACGATCATGGGGATGGAGGGGTTGTGGAATTTGAGGCGGCGGACGCATTCTTTCCAGAATTTCCTGTGGAGAAGGAGACGGTAAGTCTTTGGAGTGCGTGGAAGGTGTGGGCATTTTCTTGGGGGTGGACGAACCTTGGTCCCACGTGGCCGGCGCCGGCTGACGTTGCGAACTCGAGATGTATTCTGGTGATGGTGTTAGGCAGTACCGCGGCTCCGGGGCCGAGTCGGAGGCTTAGAAGCTTGAATTAGAGTCAGTACAGAAGTAGGAATCGCGGGAATGGGTTTCGAGAGCGAGGAAGAGGTTTACTTTCTATGAGAGAGAAGAAGTCTGTTAGCTCACTTGCGACATTACTCGGAAAGAGAAAATTAGAGAGCACATACTCTATGTAGCCTGTTCCATCTTGATCCTACGCCGGTCATTATGACGATTGGAGCATCCGCTTGCTCCTGTGCGACTGGTGGGTTGGGTTGAGGTTGTCGTGTGTCGAGATTTCTTGTTCGCCTGATTTGAACGTTTAGAAAATTCTAAGCTTGAGCCGCGTCTGTCAAAGGGAGAATCAAAGATGCGCCTAAGCGTCCAATGAGCAGGCGGTTTCTAGGTACGTTGAAGCTGCGTGACACGTGCCACTACATTTTTGGCAGCTGGCGCGCCGCCAAAGGACCGAAGGAAAAAAAAAAGTTTGGGGTTGATAAAGCTCTCCAGAAATAAATCTTCATCTTGCTTCTTCAACGGCGGCGAAACATCGTTGAGAATCCTAGGGTTTTCGGCGAATTTCAACCCAACTTCTTTTACCCCCCCGTACCATATTATGAGGTAGCCACGTTAGCGGAACAATGCATCGCGCATTGTCATATGGCCGTTTACGACCGGCCGCTACCCTGAGCCGGTCACCTCTTACACGCTCCCTCGCTCTCACTACACTTCGACCCATCCCATGCCGAATACATCATGCGACTTCGAAGCCGCTGGTTCTGCCGACTCGCTCAGTCTCCTCCAGGTTCCTGCACACGCAAAGCGCAAATACTCCAACAGATGCGGATTTACCCCTGGACAAGCCAGTGGACAAGCCAGTTGACAAGCCGGTTTTGAGGCGCCTGCCATTACAGTGTACGGGATGTGGCGCTTTTACACAAACGACGGACCCGACGCAGGCCGGCTACTTCAATCTCAAGCGCAGAGCTGTGGGGGAGTATTTGGGACTAATAGAGCCCAAGGCGAAGAAGAAGCCGAAGGCGGAGGCGGAGGCTGAAGAAGACAAGGTCGTGGAGGGGGCGCTGGCAAAGCTGGACCCGGCCGAGCTAGAGAAGCTTGGCCTTTCGAGAGACGACCTCATTCCTGAAAAGGACACTTCTGAGCGCAAACAAGAAGGTATGGGCCTATGAGAGAGTAACGCTCACACACATATAAAAGATACCTCTGGAATCGGCTCGCTAATAGCACAACCAGTCCCTGCCGAAGTACAGCCACCAGTCTGCGAGCGATGTCAAGACTTGACACACTACAACAAGGGCACACCCATCTTCCACCCGAGCGTACACTCGATCGCCGAGATCATCGAAGAATCACCCCATAAATACAATCACATATACCACCTCATAGACGCCGCCGACTTTCCCATGTCTCTCGTCCCCCGACTACACAACCTCGTGGGCGATGTGAATCTCCGTTCCCTAAATCGACGATCGAGGAAGGGCAAGTTCTACGGCGGGCGGAGGATCGACATGAGTTTCATAATAACGCGGAGCGATCTGCTGGCACCCGAGGAGAAGCAAGTAGATGCACTGATGCCCTCCCTGCGGAATGTCTTGAGGGATGCGCTCGGTCGCGTGGGCCGGCGCGTAAGACTCGGCAACGTCCATTGCGTTAGTGCGAACAGGGGATGGTGGACGAAAACGTTGAAGAAGCGGATTTACGAGCGGGGAGGCGCCGGTTGGATGGTGGGTAAGGCGAATGTCGGGAAGAGTAGCCTGTTTAGCGTCGTCTTCCCGAAGGGACACATGCAGGCTCCGCAGCAGCATGGCGGTAAAGATTTGGCGTCGCTCCTCGCCGAGATGCCTTTCCCTCAAACTGCTGCTGCTGAGGAGGGTCCATCGAAATCTGTCATTGAACAGCCCACCGAGCTCGATATTGGCGAATGGCTACCCCCTCCTCGACCGGAAACCAACTACCCGGCTATGCCGACTGTTTCGGCCCTGCCGGGAACCACAGCTTCGCCCATCAGGATTCCTTTTGGGAATGGAAAGGGTGAGTTGATAGACCTACCGGGTCTCGATCGCGGCGGCCTCGACGAGTACGTCAAGCCGGAGCATCACTCTTCTCTCATCATGAAGAGACGCGTGAAGCCTGTCCAGGAATCCATCAAACCCGGACAGTCTCTGCTCCTGGGAGGTTTCATCAGAATCACGCCGAGGACTCCCGACCTCGTCATTTTGGCAGCCTCCTTTACTCCCCTCGAGACACACGTCACCTCAACGGAGAAAGCCATCAGCATTCAGAAGCAGGAAGGGCATCTTTCGGTGGAGAATATCGCGGTGCCCGGGACCGGGGAGAAAATCGATCGCGCCGCCTCCCTTGAACTATCGTATGACGTTACGAAGCAGCGAGCAGGTCCGTTAACGCGGAAGAACGCTCTTAATCTCAAGCCTCAGTCCCTTGCCTTCAGGGTCCTCGCGGTGGATGTCCTCATCGAGGGTGTGGGGTGGGTGGAAATCTCTGCTCAAGTCCGCACGAAAGACTACCCTCACGAGGGCCGCGAAAAGGAAGAGCACCTGATCGAGAAAGAGGAGGAGGAGGAGATGAAGAATGAGGAGGAGGATCCCTGGGAAGCACTGGAGCGGGCCGTGAACCCTATAAAGGTAGCGGAGACGAAGAAGCCATCGCCACCAACACCACCGACAAAGCCTGAAGAGCCACTCTGGCCCGTGATTGATGTGTTTACGCCGGAAGGCCGCTTCATCGGATCGCGGCAGCCGTTGAACCTGTATTTGCTGAACAAGGCTAGGACGGAGCCGGCGAAACGGCTGCGGCGGAGTATGAAGGGTGCGAAAAAGCGGGAGAAGATGGCGAAACGGGCGGCGCGGGCGGCGGAGAGAGCTGGCTGAAGGAACAACTCCTTTGATTTGGCTCAGCTGTGTATGATATTAGAAGGGGAGTTTGATCACATTCGATATGATGGGAATGTCTTTACTTGCATGGTCTTGGAGGGTCGGCATCTGCTGCGGGTTGCGTGCTTCGCTTCCTGTAACCACATGTATCACATACTGTACTATCTAAAAGCTAAAAGACTCACTATAACTCTATAGAAGAAATACCCACGTTTCCTTACTATCGCGGTATCGCTCTACGTTTGTCATTTCGCTCAACGCATGTCATGTCTTCAGGTCCAAGACACCAGTCTCTGAACGGTTGGCATTAGGCCTATTAATTGCAAACTGAAATTCGGTTTATTTCGTAGAAGATATCCCCAATATCTGCGGGCCGTGGCCTTTGATGATGAACCACTTCTTCTAGCTGCCAGATGTCCTTCTCTCTACCAAATATGTCCCGAGGGCAAATTGATGGGGTAAGTAGAGCACCCACCAAGTTCATTCGAGTTATATTAGAACGAGGAAACATCAATTTTGGGAAACACCAGTAATTCTTCGCAAGATATAGGTTTCGAGACGGCGTCGTCAGCCAGCCGAGGGATGGTGTTCGAGAGGTGAAGTATAAAGAAAACCAATTAGAATCCCGTAAACCTGATCTTTTCTATTTTAGTTCTCTGAAACATACTGATCAAGATGCTCTCGTCATAATATCAGTCTGATCGGGTCCACCTACTCATTTGTGCTGGCTGCTGTTCCAAGAACATATCGGAATGATAGTAGACCATGCCTAGGTCAAGCTCACAAGGCAGCCGGATCTGAAGTGAGGTCTACACCATGCCGAATAGCCTCCGTAACAGCCTTAGTACTTCGTACGACACTCCCCGCACAAACTCATTACCATTTGCTTCAAGCCGGGCTATTGTCGCCCGTGGCCGTTTGCTTCAGCTACTCTATCGGTTACGCCATCTCAAACTATCTACAAACCTAGCCTCCCCCTCTTTTTCATGTTCATCACTACATTTAACAGCCCAAGACATGGCGGAGACTTGGATGCAAACCCAGCCAGAGTCTGACACGGCCTCTATGTCCTCTGTGTCCTGGGAAGCTATCTAAGTCTCGAAGATGAGGCCAGAATGAAGAAACCTGGCCGAGCTGGTATCTGCGGGGTGGCTCGATCCTATGACCGTCGCAGAGAAGGTATATCTTCGAAGTGGGATCGAGAGAGACTCGCCAATACGTCTAACGAAACCGGAGCAGGACGGGCGTACCCCAGCCCTGACGAGCCCCTAGACACCCCATAGCAAGGAACCCCTCGACGCCTCGCTTCACCACGGGTGAAAATTCCCCATCCATTGGGAACTTATCGCAGCCTTCATTGGAACAACCTAGTTGTTTCCAAGAAGGATGATGGGCGGAGCTACCCAGTCTGTCATCTTCACCACGGTCTGCCCGAGACATGGGTCTGATCGTTCTTGTGATCTCGGGACGAGAAGGGACCAGGTTCGTCTTCCGACCGCGACAGCATGTCCCTGCTAATTGGGCGGGTCATCTATCTGCTTGTATCTTCTGCCTCAGACATACGCTGTTTCCCTTTTTTTCCGTCCATTTCTCCTTGTCTTTGGAGGGGCAACTTTCTGCCGCGTGGGATCGATTAGGAGACGTGACCGCGTCCTTACCGCCTGCCTAATTCAGTCTAACATAACAAATGACGTACTCTCAAGAGCTCGCGACGCGTCGGTCCGACGGTTCTGATGGATCCAAGAGACCAGGAAAAAAAACTTGACCGGCTGGTGTCGTGTCGCGTCTTTCGTGATATTGAAGAAATGTCGGGAGTAGAGTGGAGTGGATTGATACTAAAGGAATTGACGGTTAAGTATTCTACTTGTTGAGACTCTCACAATCGACGATGCGCTCTTAGTGCCAAAAAATAGCTTGAGAGCTCAGATGTCGTGGTGCTAGACGAAGTAGACCGCACTACTTCGCACCTGAGTTACTTCATAGGAAGGACGACTAGTAACAATTGGACTACGAGGCAACAGCACGTGCTCCACAGTCTCTGGCCAGCTTCGTGGAATCGAGGATATTAATTGGAAATCTCGACGCTGGATGTGTCCTCGACAAGGTACGGTTTGAGGCCAGCACGTACAGCATTGGGACAAGCACATATCCTGTGGACTACCGGCAGATGCATTGATGCGAGCGTGGTCCCGTTCATTCATCCGACTTGCGGATGAGCTCGTCCTCATCACCCAATTCTTGGCCTGCACTATTCACAATTTGGACAGGCCTCGTGAGATTCATTTTCGTAGTGACGAAGAGTTCCAACTGCCTAGACCTATCCGGGGTTAAGAGGGAATGATGGTTTCTCCTTTCGGTAAGATGAGGAGTTGAGGAAGGGATGGAATGGGGGGGACGGGTTTGGCGCTGAAGAGTAGCGCACTTTGTGCCCCATACCCACGAGTCGAGGACCATCGCGGTGCGCTACTTGCACACTACTTTAGATGTGGATGGGCAAGCTCTTGGCCATTCTTGGGCTAGCGGAGGAGGTGAGGCGCTTTTAGAAAGGGGGTGGACCCCGGCGGGAAACCAACGCTGCAGACTCGACACAAGATTCGGATCCCGTGTTTTTTTCCTTCGTGTTCAAGTTCACATTCATCTTTGGGCCCCACTAGTTCTAGCACTGGCATCAAATTACGAGGAGGAAAAGTGAAAGACGGGTTGCAGTGGGAATGGGCAAGATCCGCACCGGATGCAACGATGGGAGGCGGTCTGGAAGGATGACGGACTTTTTCTCTTTGCTCTTTCCTCGTGTCCTCGCGTCGGTGTCATACCGAGTATAGAACGTAGAATAATAATGGACGAGTGGTGGCATAACGGGGGATGGACGAGGGATTGATGGCCAATGTTGAATGACGCATTGCCTGGGATAGGATGCCAAGTACTTGTAGTGCTTGCTTGCTCCGATGAGGGATTCATGCAAGCAAAAACTCCTGGACCCTACGAGAGCCTGCAGCAAAGGAGGTGGGAATCAACATTCTTCAACAACCGCTTTACGCGCTCAGGCTGCTGCGCGTCGGGCGTGCCTTGGGTCCTTCGCGTCACGGATGGAATTATCACTTGTCGGGACGGGAGGCTGAAGTTACATACTAGTAAGAACAAACCATACAAAGGTACTAGTGTAGTGTACGAAGTAGTGCCTGGCTAGAGGCTTCGCACCTTGTAGTCTTCATACAAGGAATAGTACTTCGTATGAAGTGTACTTCGTAGGCGGGCACTAACAAACGCAGCCAGGTCAACGACTTCCCCTTGCATCCGATTTCTTTGGCACACCTGCAGTGGTTCAACAACAGGGGAAACTTAAAGCAGGCCGCCGCCGATTTTCATCGATACGACCTGCTTCGAAGGGTTTCGAAGGGGGAGGGATTCCTTCATCCTCATTTTGCAACCCCCCTCCAGCATCACACTAGACAAGGGCCTGATGGGAATGGACAAGGAACAGGGAACATTGGACTGTTCGATCGCTCATGAAACGCTTTTTGGACCCTTTGGGGGAGCTCATCGAGTGATGTAAATTACGTATGGAGTACGAAGTACAAACATACTTCGCAAGATATGCGATTGATTCCTCGTGTTCTGTGGCTTCCCGGGCCGCCTTATTCCGCCATGGATGGGACTCAGGTAGGAAAACAAAACCTTGGAATTTTCTTGATTTTTTTTTTTTTTTTTTTTTTTTTTTTTTTTTTTCCCTTTCTGTGGAACACGAACGCCTATTCCGAAGCAGTACATTTATGAAGTACATTATTGATCTGTGTTTTCCAGGTTCCTGCCTTCATACGAAGGTATCTCGCCAACGGCTAGCCGGGTGGACCAGGAACCAGGGTAGCGCATCGCAGAATCGTGGGCGAGGACAGGAATTCGGCTGATGCATGCCTCCGTAAATGGTCAAGGTGCGCATACTAAGTACGAAGGCGCCTGGGTTTCCCTCAGCGACATGAGAAGACGGGAAAAAGACTTAGTAATACTTTGTCCTAGAGCCAGAACTCTGATAGTCTTTTGACTCTGCACTCTTCACGTTGTGTGTCCTGGGTCCCTTGCTCGGTGGCGATTGATAGTAGTGCAGCGTGCTTCGTGTGTGGTTAGCCGGGGGCAGCGCGTGCTGTGAAGGTGGTCGAAATTAGATTAGGTGTGGTCGAGCACGGCGCAGTAACTTGGAAACTATTTCAGGGGTACAGCAGGACCTGCAGGTCTTTCCAAAAAGCGGCTGCCAATGGGACGGTACGAATATTCACATCAATATGTCTTATCCTCCGTGTTGTAAAGTACAGGTCGTGGTCAGTGGAGACCGGACGCTAGAGAGAAGACTCCAGAATAATTCACAGGTCGCATCAATGTCTCACACACACACACACAAAAAAAAGTCCCCGTTGCTCGGTTCCCCAAAGTAATACATCTAGGCATGACGAAGTACGTTACGTTACGTTCTGTGGCTGGCTTAAATCGAGTCAATCAATGTCTTGACCGCCTCAAACGGGAGACACAGTTGTCAGAACAGTACTTCGTACTCTGGACAAAGACTTCAATGTTCGGGGCCAGACAGGGGGGATCCACCCTAACGTAAGGTACGAAAGAAGCCAAGAGGTCCAAGTCGAGTCAGGGACAGGACAGTGTGTGCGTTACCCCGCAAGGGTCAATCAAGCACGCCAACAGGTCTTCCATCGTTTTGTCAACCTGTCTCGGGATGAAGAATGAGTGATTTAAACAAGATCGACGGCCGTTCTTGCCTCTTTTTCTCGGGAGGAAGATGGAACCTCTCAGCTAGCTGATACCCTCCATGGATCCATCAATCAAATTCGGTTCGAAGGAATAATAGTACGAAGTACGAAGCCCCGGCTCCATTCCCATTTCTCCCAGTGCTCCGGATTGTTTCAAGGCAGGCAGGTCGTGTGCAGGACAGGGGTGGATACATGGACAGATATCAGGGGCTTGCTCTTTCCTTTGCAGCCGGAATGAAGAGTGTCTCTTCATACTTCGGACTGTCCGCATGCGTTCACATTTGGAGGATGGCTCAAAGATCGCCTGTTCATTCATCCCAAAATGACGACCGACATCTCACGACATGGAGGCTCGACTTTCAAAGTAAACGGGCTAACCCGAAAAAGGGCACCCAGTTACCTCAAACGGTGGATCCGCAGTCTATCCGCGTTGGGCAGTCTGCTCTCCAAGCCGATGAATGATAAAAGGACGTGATAACACCTTCCGATGTTCAATACTTCGTATGTAATGTTTGGGGGATCGTCCCTTGTCTTCGGGCTGGAACCGGGCTGATGGCACCTGGTCGACCGGGTCTGGCGCACAGATAAATTGACTCCCCACCATCAAGATGCAAAAGGTGGAACAAACGGGAAGACTGGGGATAATATCTCCACGTCGTTTGGTTCTGGTTGCATTGAGGTCACCGAAATTAACCCTCTTCCCGGCTGGCAAACATGACCGAATCTGTTGCCATGCGCTTGATTTGGACGCCGGGGGCCGAATTGTGCAGCGTCTGCGACTGAGCTGTTAAGAATATTATCGTCTCTCCGGACAGGATTGGGTGGATGGAGGAAGATTCGGCTGCGGTACTTCCTATTCTCGCAGCGCAGGACAGGGCTCGAAACTCCGCAAAATCCGCCACTGGTTAGATGCAGGTCCAAGATAACCCGTTCAACTTGTAGCTCAAAATGGCCAGCCCAGCTTCCGAAGTAAGGAAAGGGAAAGCAGACGGGACGGGTTGTGGAGAGGATTCATGGGCTTCGTCAATGCCGCTTTAGACTCGCTTCGCTTCTCCTTCCAGAGTCGACGTATTACGATTGGAGGTTCTCGTTTAATATCCAGCGGGAGGGGAGACTCCCATGTCCTGCATGCACGAAGGAAATAAAAATCCGGGTGCTGTTTGGCAGCCCGAGTACATCCAGAGCTCGTCAATGATAATTGGATCAATCGAATCTTGTCTCACTGCTGTCCCTCCTACCTGGTCAGGCGCAAAATGCCCAACGTGGACCGATCGAGTTCAAGACGTTTTGCTCTCTCCTGCCAGTAATATCGAACTACCTCGTGGGCTCGCTCTGGTTGTGCTGCACGATTGCGTGTCTCTGCAAGTTTCCCTTTACCGAGACCTTATCGGCCTCAGTTAAGCGTTTGGATACGTCTGTACTGGATACTGATTGAGCGAGCTGTAAAATCCAGCATTGAAGTCAATGATTCAAATTGTTAGGTCGAAACAACAGGGCCCCCACTATTCCATGCAACCAGTAGTGTATGTAGACCTCGGAGTGTACGAAGGAGATGGGTCAGCTTACCGCTTGGCTGCGTGTCGTGTATGTACGGAGTATGGAAGTATTTTGGATCGTTGTCCGAAGTATTTCCTTGTGTACGAAGGAGACGCGACGACGGCATAACGGTATCAGTGAAGTGTTTACGAAAATCCCAAAGTAGCTTCGAAAGCTCGAAAGTTCTTAGCTCAGAGCTTCAAGTTCTAGCTCCTTCAAAGGGAGACTGGAGACGGGAGAAAAAGAGTTCGAAGGAAACTCTGGTGTTGGCACAAAAGGTACGAGTGTACCTTCTACCTAGACTACTTCGTAAGACAGATAATCATTTCAGACCCTTGATATAATATTTCTCTTCTGGTCCAGTTGAGGGTTCTGGTTCAAATGGGAGACCGGTGCGAACGAAGTCTGTAGTGTCAACGCATGTGCGAAGTACACTACGAAGGACACGGAATAAGGGTCAAATCAAGTCGAGATGTGCCATCCAGAAAATCCGATCCTGGCCTTCGCCCTGTCTTTGACTAACATTGAAGGAGGGAACTGTTGGATGTACATGCCAAGTACATACTTCGTACGTATGAAGTTGTGTGAAATACACTAAAAGAGTCCAATGCAGGCGCTATCCTAGTAAATCAGCGATGCTGGCACGCTGGTGTCCACATGCACGCCCAGTTGATGGTGCCATCCTTGACTTCGTCCTGCGCGCCGCCACCCCGCGTCACCCTCGTGCGACACAACTCTGGACCTGGACCTGAACTTGGACCTGGACTGGACACTTGGACTGACCTGGTGCGCACGGCACCTTCCAAAAGACCCCAAAACCGGTCTATCAAAACTCAATCTTTTGTCCAGTGTACCTTGGTCCTTGGCAGACCGCCTCCTTCGTAATACATTGGATTTGATCCAATGTTATTTCCTCTGGCGGACTGAGGTATGAAAGAGTGGTACACTATTATATTATCTGCATCGACAACAACGACGGTCCTCAGTCCAAGGCGCTCCTTTAGGCCCACTGTGGACACCCAACATTGAACCCTGCCTGCCGACAACCCTCAGTGCTCCATTGATGGATTTACTTCCATCCCAAAAAAGGTCCATTGGTTTTCGACGTTGGGCAGGCGATACTCCTTACTTGGTACTTCATACGAGGGAATCGAGCTCGAGTCGACCCTTCCCCTTCCTTGCCTTGCGATAAGGGCAGATTGAGGTCAGTTCTCCCGACTTGCAGACTCACAGCTCCTTCATCTTCGTACTCTCGACTTCATCTTCTTCCTCCCCCAAACCCACCAAGACACTCGCGAGTCTTTCTCTTTCGACGACCTACCTGCTTTCTTCTCCTCCTTCTTTTTTTTTTTTTTTTTCCTTTCTTTCTTTTTCTTCCTCCCTTTCCTGTCCTTAATTTTCCAATCCCCCTCCTCTCTTGCCTCCGCATATCTAGGTCGTGCACTATTCCCAATTAATACACGATACCTCAACCCCCACTTCCATAAAGCAGGTAAACCCCGGTCCCCATCCCCTGCCAGCTCACTATTGTTTTTTTTCCTCTTGTCTATTCCTCGCAGCCCTGGGCACTACCCAATGCCTCCCTGACCTCTTCCTCCTGTTCCTGTCTGGACTGCCTCGTTTGATTGCTAACCGACTGCAATTGTGGTAGGCTCGGTGTTTAGTATCTTAGGGCTAGGCATTTTATTGAACGAGAGCCGAGACACGGGAGGAGCCCAGTGTCAGATATTTTCCGCCATCCTTCTCCCTCCCCCCTTCCCGCAAAGTCAGCCGTCAGATCTTCATAGCCCGAATAAGCAAGATTCCTCCGGCACTTGTCTCGTGCCATCTGGTGCTGATCAACTTTCCTTCCTACCCCGACATCTTCAGAACCCTCCCACAACCTGCCATCACCAGGCCAGATCAGCCACGCCCCAACGGGCTGCCATGCCATGGAGGGTGCTTCCGCTCCCTTAGCCGACTACTTCTGGATTGCCGGTGTAGAGTCTATAGCCTACAATGACGCTCCGCTTCCTACACAGCATGTCGAATCGACCATCGCCGAAGATGAGCAAGAGGACACCTGTGACGCCCTGAACGGGAACTCGAGGGCAACGGCCCGCCATTCACGCCAGAGCTCCGCTCACCGCATATCCAAGCTCTCTAACGATGCCCGTTTCTCCATCCATACCCTCGAGGAGGTCGACGGCAGTACGCGAAGCAATAGGAGTAGTGCTACTATACGGCCCACCAACAATACCCAGCCCGCCAATGCCAACGCCAACGCCAACCTCACAGTTCCTTCCGCCGAGGGCGCCCTGACAATGTCCGACTTCGACTTCGACAAGGCTCTCTTCAAGTTTGCCGCCGAGCGAGAACACTTCCTCGAGGATCTTTCCTTCAGCGCCGGCGCAAAGCTACAGTCGAGACCCCCCATGGTGAACCCGAGAGCCGAGAGAATCAAGGCCGACGAGAATGACGGCCCCTCCCGAAGGAGCCCCCTGCGCAGCATCAAAGGGAGCATCAAGGGCAGCATCAAGGGTAGCATCCGCAGGAAGATGAGCTTCAGGGATATGTCTAGCACCAGGAAGCAACCCATAACCCCCAAGCCAGGTCTGTCAGGTCTCGCACACATCACTACAGCCGTCGCCCACCCCGCGACGACGATCCCAATTCCCGAGCTTGAAGAGCGCCCGCGTCGTGCTGACATAGATCCCTCCGTAGCCTCTATCCGAACCGCCAAGAGACTGAGCCACTACAATTCCGTCATACCACCCCCCGAACCTTTGAACACCGATCCGGATATGCACCCGCTTAAGCGCCGCTTCGAACCCGTTCTCCTAGATCGCTACCCTCCGAGCAATGGGTCCGACGAGATATCCCGGAGAGGAAAGTTCCCCGACTATGTTCCCATGTTCGCCTTTCCCAACGACATCCAGATCGTCTCCTCCGACGACCGGCCGAGATCGACTTGGCATGGCTTCACCATGACTTCCGACAACAACACCAAGATTTACGGCATCACCGTCATCATCTGGACCGCCCTAACCGCCGACGTCGCCGAGGAGGTGGAGCAACGCTGCGAGGCCTGGCGCCAGAGCCACATGTCGAACGAAGAGAGGGAGCTAGCCGCGAGTCTGGGCGTGAGGTTGGCTGGCGAGAGGACCCATCTTTCCCAGCTCCTTGCCAAGCTGCCCCAGATTCCTTCCGGCTCGCCCGCGCGAGAGACACTGGAGGATCAGATCAGCTCTGTTGAGGAGAAGATTACCTTGATGACCGAGATGTTGCGCCCTCTTCGCCACGGTGCCGCCTCTAAGATTGATGGCCTAACAACGGGGGAATCGGGTCTCTGGGTCCCCCGTGCGTACGGTATCCTTGGAAGGGACGCAACCAGGATGACCTTCTGGAAGGAATGGTTGAGAGCCGTCATAATCCCCATGATGGACGGCGCCGTCCTGCGTGTGCCCCCCAGCTCGCCCAAGGTAGGTCGCTGGCAGCCTATGGAGCGGTACGTCGTCAATCTTTGCATCGAGGCCTTCAGCCCTCTGGGCTCCAAGACCCAGGTGGAAATTGGCGTGAGGGAGCTGCGCCTATACGCGAGGCAAGAGGCCGCAAACGAGATCCCCGGCTCCCGGTCCATCGACATATATGCCCTCTTTAGATGTCTTTCTCTCGAGAATGTCGTAGCCTTGTTCGAGTATGCGATGTCCGAGTCTCGCATCATCTTCCTATCATCACACACAGCCATGCTACACCTTGCATGCCACGCTCTCGCCAGTCTCCTCTACCCCCTGAAATGGGCTAGTGTATTCATCCCTGTCCTACCCGCCCGCCTTTTGTCCGCTCTCGATGCGCCCTGCCCTTACGTTGTCGGAGTCGAACGTCGTTACGAGCGAATCGAGCTTCCAGACGATGATTACGTGCTCGTCGACCTCGACAAAGACACCATCGATGCCACCTCGCAGCCCATTCGACTCCCTCGCCAGCAACGGAGAAAGCTCATGTCCTTGCTACAGGTCGCTGCCCCCGCAAAACTAAGGTATGGCGTGGCGAGCGGACCGCCTCCCTACGCCATGGAATCCTTCCCCTACGATGCGTTTTCCGTCGAGGATGGGACCATTTTCTCCCCGACTCCGCCCGATGGAACGCTCGGGAAATGGGCGGCCCAGAACTCGGCAGCGTTCGGCGAGGACGATGAGCAAGCGAAAATCCGATCCCCGCTCTTCAACGCTTTTTCGCAGGTCCGGCCCGATAGCAAGTCGGATCGTCCAGGCACTAGCAGATCTACGCGAACTAGTCCCCCGTCGTCGGTTTCTCCAATGTCTACGAGCTTTCCGCCTATGCCTTCTACCCCGGTCTCAAGGAGCGATTCGGGATTCGCCATGGCTGCCACTTTGCGAGAGAAGAGGTCTGGACACTTCGACGACAAGTCGCGCCGCAGCTCTTCATTCGGCGTAGAGAGGCATGGGCCTCTGCATCGCCCCAGCCTGCCATTCCTCAACGGCCATTCCGCGAGCATGTCCATCTCGGCCATTTCTGTCGATTCCGTGTCCTCCTACGGTGCAGGAGGCTGCGCCGGCTATGCTCCTTCGGCGTACGCTCAGTCGACACTGGCAGCGTCGACGATTATGCCAAATATGATGGTACAACCAGTGCAGAATACGGAAAGTACGGCGTGGGTCGAAGGTCACTGCTTTGACTGGTGCGAGGAGGTCACGGCCTCGTGCTCTGTCTGTGACGAGCGCGCGGAGCTAGATGGTATCTACAAGTGCTCCGGCTGCGGTGCGTATTCCCATGGCCGTTGCCTCGGCTTTGTCTGTCTCGTCTGTCCGCGTGCGTTCCACGCCGATCGCGTGCGTGTGGCCTTTGTTCGCTGTCTCGCGAGCCTCATGTACACGTACAGGAAGTTCTTGGGACGACCAACGCGGGAGCAGAGGAATAACGGTCAGCTCTACGCCTTTGATATGGATGGATTTGTCAAGAGCTTGCCGTACGAGCAGCAGGATTATGCTATGATGATGCGTGAAACGCAAGGTGAGTCTCCCTCTCTTCACTTTCCGATATAAGTGCCAAGTTTTGATTATATACTGACAAGACAAATTTTTGGTAGCATTCAACGAATTCATCCACGAGCGGGAGAGACACCCCGCTTCGGACCCATCGATCAAGCTCTTTGACGAGATCCTCATGGCCAAGAAGGCTCGAGGTCGGCATAATCTCTCTAGCGGACTATCGCGGCTCTCGGTCATCCGGGCGTCTCACGGAGCGTCGGTGTTAGGCCCCAGCATCAACATCCACGGACCCAGGGGCAGCAAGACGACGACTTATCTGATGGACAGGTCGGATCACATTTGGCGCACGGCTTCTGTTCCGATGCCCAGCGCCAAGTTTAACGGGGATTACAGAGCCGTGGTCAGCCGTGTGCCGTCAAGGCTTGACCCGTCGTTTATGATGGAGCCTCGCAGCATCCAGGGCGTTCCGAGGCCAGAACAGCGGAAACGCGGTCTCGTCCGGAAGCAAGTTCCTAGCATGTTGGGAATGTTGACGCCAAATATGTCCTGAGGAGGTGGTAATCCGGTGATTGCCGTTCCGTATCTTCAAAGGGGAGGGATATACATGCTATCCGACATTTGGCCCTTTTCTCTTCGAAGAAGAAGAAGAGGAGGATGGATGACGAGGAAAAGAGAAAGTCTCTCGCCGACGGTACATGATGAGGGAAGAATCATTTGATGATATTACTAAATGATCGAGCTATCCCCACATTGGGGATAGGCTAGACACACGAGGATGGCAGGCGAATTGTGCCAGTCTCATTCTACATTTAATGTGTACGCTTTTTAAAAAAGGGGATGGGCAATGCAGACAAGGCTGTCCATACCCCCATTGTATAATAGTGTGTATTTATGTACTTGGGCATTGGGTTAAAATTTCGGGGCAAAGAAAAGAGAGAGACAAAGGGTCTCAGTAGACCCCCTTGGCGGAACCTAGGTGGTGGCTGCGAAGAAGGCCATTTCTATGCATTTTGAGTCTAGGCACATGGAACGGGGCGAGTTTAGCATTGAACAAGGAATGGATTTTTTTTTTTTCATGGGACATTTGGTGTGGTAACTACTGCTGCGTGTGTCTGTTGTGCGAATCTAGGACCTAGTAGTGTATGTAGGTATAAAACACATTAGAAGTGAGTAGTAGGGGAAGCGAAAAAGCATGGTCGATGAGGGAGACGGAAGTGTGGAAGCGATACTCAAAACCAAAAGCAGTGATACGTATCGCAGGGCCTCGAGGTGCGCGGCTAAGTTACAGGGAAGGATATGGAAAATCCCCCCGCTATTGATCATCATGCTTATCTTTGGTAAATCTATTGGAGTTGAGGGGCGAAGTCCCCTACCCAGTTGACAAACAGTCCCAAACGTAGGAAAAGCTCTACAAGTCTTGGGAATCGTACTTTTTTTTACTTTTTCCTTTTCCCTTTTCAATAATCCGACCATGTTTGGCCCCGTCATAAGCTCACAGGAAACCCCCGGGACCCCGTCTCAGGACTTCTGCGCACCAGGCTCCGCACCCTTCGATCCGTCGCCCTCCGGCTTTGGTTGAGGCTTCTGTTTCGGTACCCTCTCGTACGCATTAGGACTCGGTCTGCGCTTCCGGCGCTCCTTACCGCCTCTCCTCCTTCTACCGTGATCGTGGCCGTGGTCTCCGTGGTCGGGACACTTGTCGTGGTCGTGGTCCTTGTGGCTGGCAGGTTTGCGGTCGGCATCGGAGTCTGAGTCCGAGGAGGAGTCGGAAGATGAGGAGGATTCGTCGCTAGATTCATCGACGCCTTTGGGGCGGTGATAGATGCAGCATACTGTTAGGTTAAGTGTTAGCGTCAGAAACATCGACTCTAGACTCTAGCGGGGTTGAGAGGCTTGGTCCGGCCTGAACAGGTTCTGTTACCTTTTGAACTCTTCCTTCCTAATCCTTCATTGTCGACGACGTCTTCTGTCCACTGTACTCTTCTTCGGGAGGCGTGCGCGCCGCGGAGCCGGAGGATGGGGACGGGTGGCGCTGGGGTTTGGGTTTCTGTTGTGACGACTGTTTGGGCCTGGGATGTGGTGGCTGCGCTCCTCTGTACAACTTGGCCGTGTGACGCCATTGTTGTCTTTTCCTGGTCTTGTCTTTCTTCTTCTCTTTCGATGCGGTGGGTTCCGAGAAGGAGATTCTAGATCGTTTTTTGAGAGGGAGTGGCGTTTAAGAAATGTGGTGGAGGGGCAAGATGCGAAACAGAACAAGACGGTCTATTCTTCGGCAGCGCTAAGGATAAAAGAAACGTAACAAATCCAATTTCGTGAAAAGAAAACGATTCAAAAGATTTTCAAAGGAGCAATAAAGGGAGCCCAGGTCTTGGGCAGCTGGTGATGGCGTGGTTAATAAAGTTTTGGAGGGTCGTTCGTTTTAAGATGAATCAATGTGATGGTTCCTTTGCCAATCCGGACGCGGGGAAGGGGGAAATCTCGCCCCACCCTCGACCCTTCTTGCGGGTTTCTTGGCTTTCTAAGCCGGACTAAGAAATCAGACGTCATTGCTTGGCAGCGTTGCATTTTTTTGGTGGAGCCCGGGTTTTCGGGACGCCTCAACTGGTATCGGTTGTCTCCGGCCGGTTGTAGGTCTGGACTGGCGGGGGACTTATACGGGTCGCGGGAGAGAATGTTGAGTATTGATTTTTGGATTTACTTTGCTGCACCTATACTATCAATTGATATCTCGCAATTGCTGTAGGCAGACTTCTAAATCGTAGATGGAAAGATGGCAGCCAGAATCTTCCCCAGCCAACTTGGCGCATGGCGTCCAGGTACATGGTCAATATCAGCGCGTGGGATGCATCTAGCCTCACTCACATCTTCTCTCCACAAAGGGATGTTTCAACCCTTCAATTCTAATTATAATTGCCATGCGGCAGTTAATTCCCTTTCAACTGGATCTTGACACGCGTCAAAGCCAGCCCAATCTCAAGGCCCACTTACAAACAACAGTTTCGGCCTTGTCCTGGGGGACCTGAACTTGAATGTCTCTTGCAGTCGTGCCTTCCACTCTCTGTTTGTAGAATTTATGCCTTCCTTCCCAAAAATGGCAGCCACGATGTGCTCCTCCCTCCTTCCTATCCCATTAGCTGGAGTAAGCCTGCAATGCTCCCACAATGCTTCCAATTCACTCCTTCCCAAGAGAATTAGCAACCCAGGTCAGCCCTGCCAGATCGCCATGTCAACATCACAATCCTGTAGTCTCATCCCTTCTTCCTTTCCCGTGCCCCCCATCACTAGAATATGCTCGAAGAGAAAAGGAAGAAACAGCTAAGTTTCACCTCTTCCTCAAGAGTATAGTGGCTACCCTTTCTCATTCAAAAGCTCTGCACTACTTCCTATCTTTGATTCCACAACTGTATTTAGTCCTTCCATTTTTTCCCTGGTGACCCTTCACAAGGTCCACAGCAACCTTGTATTCCTCCCAAGAAGCCTTTTATCACCATCTTATCCAATACCCCTTCACACAAGAAGCTCAGATACAAGGCTAGCAGCATTGAAAGCAGCATTGGCAGCTGTCTGATGCAAGACAGGACAATCCAGGTATGGCAATCACCCTTCATGCTCAGCTCTATGACTGCTGTGATGGATGGCTCCCTTCCACTTCTCGACTCCCTCTCCTGCTTTCAGGCCAGCAGTAGCCCCTTTGAGGCGGATACTGACACACTTCATCCTGATGTATGTAGCCAAACATTTCATTTCGATCCCTTGAGGATTAGACCTCAGGCCCATTAGCTCCGGCATCATGGTGCGAAATCGGGCCAGCGGGGCTTCGTTGCGGGAGACGGTTGACTTGACCGGCATCATGACTATGGCCGAGAAGGAAGACCTTGTTATACTCATTTCCCGTATCATGGAGAGGATGAGCCGCCAGCTCGGCGAGTCGTTTGATGCCGCCCCTACTTGCGTTGACAGGGCTGTCGATATAGTGAATGAATGGGTACATGTCACCGTCAACAAGGACGAAAGCCCCACGCAAACCGGCGACGAGCAGAATCCGGCGAAAGGCAACGACGACCCTGCGGTTACCATACCCGTCACCTCTAACGAGCCAGGTCGAGCTAGCGGCTCTCCACCTGCTGTTGAGAATCAGCCCAAGTCGGTCGTTGACGAGTCGTCCTCGCGGCTGAGCCAGTTAAAAAAGGAGCTGGTTGAAGCCTTTGAGAAGTGGCAGAGGGCCGTCCTCCAAAAGATTCGCGAGATCCACATCACCCAGCCAGCCCAGTCGGGCCATGCTCCTGAAAACGAAGGACCGGGAGGCAGAGGTAGAGGATTTCGTGGCGGTCGAGGCGGCATGCGGGGTGGACGGGGCCGCGGCGGCCCAGCTATCCAAACCACTGGTAAGTAATAAATCTACCCGCTACGAAGAGACTACACCCCCTCTCTAACTCCGCTCCAAAATCATAGCTCCCCTTCGACCCCCGCCTTTCAACGAGACCGATCCTGAGTTGATTCAGCGATTTCGTCCAAGCCCCACGCCTCTCTGGCAGTTGCCACTCTGGAATAGGAAGCGCCTCCTCCACATCGTCTTGCTGCTCCTCCTGTCCATGGAGGACTACCCGTCATATGCGCGTCTTCTCATGCTTCATTTGACTTCCTCCCTACAACTGCCCCTAAGGACTTACCAAGAAGACGAGGTCCATGTCGCTAGATGCCTCGGCAAACTTGCGGCCGCGTTCGATCCAGATGAAGCCATGAAAAAGTTCCTAGAGCAAAAGGCTGCGCGAAGGGGTAAAGGAAACGGTCAGGCGCCTGTCACAACCCCTCTCTCAGTTGTCAATAAAGCCTCGCCGATCATCATGGCGGAAATGGGAACACCTCTCGGTGCCGGCGGGCTTGCAAAGACTGCGGCTACGGGCTTGCTCGGATGTATGTCTGCAGCCGACGTACAAGTCGGCAGTTTTTTCGGGATTTATTTGGCCAAGTCGTCAATAAAGCCGATTGAGTCGTATGTTAAAGACGTCCCAGATTTCGGGTTTGTCCCCCTTCATGGCGACGATCAGAATGTCCTCCAGAAAACGCAGGATGTCCTGCCTAGCGATCGGCGTCTCCAGCTAAGCTGGGTTCTTAATGGCTGGTTGACGGAGGAGAGCAGCGTGACGAAGTCGTGGAAATGCCTTGGTCGCCAGGCAGAGACATATGCAGTTCGTTGGGAAGTGTCGGCGCTCTCAAGCCTAGGGATCGCCTTGGAGACTGCTGTCGGAAGTGCTGCTTGGGCTAGGGCACATCGGGAACTCCGTTCGAGATCCGGTAAGTTTCGCAGTAGCAAGAGAAAAAAAAACCCCCCAGGTCGATATATCGTCGTCTGTGCTAACCGATAAAAAAACCAGGCATGGATGTCGTCCGGAGTGGACAGTGGCCGTCGTCCATTTTAAAAATTAATAAGATTGTGGATAATGCCTGGAACGTCGGCATGGTACGAGCAGACAAGACAGGACTGATTCTTGCGGATACGATCCAACGGAAGGTACAAGGTGGCAGACCCATCAATCTTTTAGGTCACAGCCTCGCCGCGCGAACGATATATGTCTGCCTCATGGCCCTAGCCGAGAGGCGTCAGTTTGGCCTGGTCGACTCAGTTGTGCTGTTTGGAGCACCTGCCCCCTCCGAAACCCATGTGTGGCTGACGCTGAAGAGCGCTGTTGCTGGCCGGCTCGTGAACGTTTATTCGGACAGGGATTACATGTTGGGTTTTATGATGCGAATGTCGAATACCAACTTTGGTGTTGCTGGATTGCAGCCGATTGTCGACGTACCAGGTGTGGAGAATTATGATGCCAGCACCTTTGTCAGCGGTCACCTAAGATACCAATACCTCATTGGAATGATCCTCCGCGATATAGGATGGGAGGACATCGATGTTAAGCAGGTAGCCGAGGACCAGGCCACACTAGCAGAAATGGACCGGAAGTTTGGCACGACCACGCTTCCTACGCCTCTTGGAAGAACGGAACCTACCACTGGCAATGCAGACACTGCCAATGAAGCCGCTGATAATGAAAACGCTGGCAGTGAAACCGCTAGCACCGACGGAAACTCTAGTCGGGGGGGCAGGGGCGGCAGAGGCGGTAGGGGAGGTAGGGGTGCTAGGGCGAGGGGTAATGGGCGTGGTCAGCCACATGCTCATGGTGGTGAAGGCCGAGGAGCAAGAGGAGCAGGGGGCAGTCTCCGCCGAGGACGAAGGGGCGATCGCCGGAACGGAGGCCAGTCGCGAGCGGGTAAGAACATATTTCAGCCCTAGGTGATGGAGAGCATCTTACCTGTCACAACATCAAACTAGGCATTAGACGTTAAAGGGAGGTCTGTGACTGGAGGGCCTCGGCCATCAGTAATGTACGATAGCAGGTTCTGGAGGTATAGGATGGAAAAAGATGTGCTGGGAGAGTCGGCTGGCGCGGAGTCTGTTGGCATTCCTGGCTACATACCTGGTAGTAAACTCCCAGAAAATAGAATACCCTTGTTTCAGCAACCGCTTCGTTCAGTTCGGTTCTCTTCCCCCGATACCATCCCATAAAGCACATTCTATTAGAGGATGAGATTTATTACTTATTATTCCACAGCTTCCTTCCCGCTCTTCACCGCAAAGTATCTCCCCGCTTTCCTCGAAGCAGTCTGCAACGGATCCCAATTTTCAACACCTGCCGTGTCGACTTTCCTGTCTCTAACTCTCCTAGGTCGTTGATAGTGCCCCACAACCACCTCCTCCTTCAAAGTCTCCAGCAACTGTTCCAACCCGACGGTAGCTTCCCGCTTTGCGGCCTCGGTCTCATCCCTCACGGCGCGCAGGGGTTCGACGCCGCGCGTGTCGCAGGCCTGGACACGGCGGACGAAGCGGAGCTGGAGGTGGAGGTCGCGGAGGAGGGAGGCTTCTTCTGAGGCGGTGCGGGGGAGGGGGAGGGCGGAGAGGCGGAGGAGGTGGTGGAGTTGGGTGGGGGTTATGGATTCTTCTTGTTGTTCTTGTTGTGGTTGTTCTTTTGAGGAGTCGAGGAGGGAGTGGGTGCTCCAGGTTGGTTGGGATGGAATGTGGGAGGTGTGTCGGACGGGAGGGAGGGTGATTTTCGGTCGTAGGAGGAGGGGACGGATAGAGAGGGTTGCTGGTCGCATTGTATTTGTGAGGATGGGTTGATCGTGTGGGAATTGAATGGGATATGGTGTCAAGACTAATATGGATTGGAGTTGGATTCTGGGGATGGACGTTGGATGTTGCATGAGCTTCACAGCTTAAACGGAAACATATTTTGCCGAACGCCGAATACACAGTCGGCTTCTCCATAAAGACCAGGGACGCCCTTCTTAGCCAAGCTTTTCGTCAATAATTTTCCGTTCCCCTTATAAGTCAACAGAGCATGCCAGATTGCTACATACGACCATAGCTCGCAGACAATTGAGGGTCCCGTCCGCTCCCCTGTACACAAGCTGCGAAGCGCCGGATTAGTAGTTGGGTCGGTGACGACCAGCGAATCCCCGGTGTTGTATGTTTTTAGCCGCCAATTTTTTACTTTCTTATTTTTTTTTCTTTCTTCCATTTTCGGTTATCTGATCTTTATTTTGCACTCTCCCGCTCGCTCCCGGTCGGCGAGAGGAGCGATATCGTAATAAGGTGAATCTGAAGGAGAGTTGGGACTCCCCTGCGCTGGTAATTGCGACTTCAGAACACTTTTTCAAGACGAACCAGATGGGGCAGCGTCGTCTGCCCCAAAGTCTGAGAGGACCCTTACATCGAAGCGGAACTCCTCCATATTAGAGAGGATGATAATATTGACAACGTTTACCTTTATCTTATAAGGGCAAATTACAGTGGCTTCACAGATGCCAAGAGTGGAATATTAACATTGAATATTGGGAACGCCGAATGCAGAGGGGCGTATGTACGTGTTGGAATAAAGAAACAATACGAATAATTGAGCTCCAATTTCGGACATCCACTACAGAGTGGCATGTCGCTCATTTTTGGCGTAGTGGGCTAAATCCAACAGTACGTTAACCCCTGCAAAAACCTGACTGAGGTTGGGGGGATAGGTCAGCTCGTCTGCGACCTCATACGTTTAAACTACATATGGATGGAAGAGCAATTGACGAGGAAGGTTGCAAGATGTTTTGGTGGCCCGCGCCACCTGTTTGTAGGTTGCTACCGCCATGGCTGCTTGTCTGCCTGTGAGGCTGTGACCCTTACATGAGCGCTTTCTACCTTACATCCTGCAATCCGGCAACAATTTCACCCGACACTTCATTCGCAGATATTATCGGTGTTCCAATACGAAGGTAAAGCATGGCGAGCCCTGGCGGATGGAATCTTAAGGGCTTGGACTTTTCCCAGACAGAAACTCAAGTCCGTGTGTTCATGCTAGGTACTGGCGGAGCGGAGGAGGTACCGCTAGATACTATCAATCCAGAATGGGAATCAGCTCACGAAACGGCATTGAAGCAACCAGTCATCCTAGTCCTGGAGTCTCGCGGAGGAAACTGCGTTGGATTCCAGGCACCTCGAGATTTCATCCAACGCACCGGCCAAGCTTGGGGGATGCCACCCCATTTCCTGGGAATGATCCAAAAGCCAGGCTCATTGCCCCTCTTCGTCCACCTGGTAGAGGAATCACAACAGGGTATCAAAGCAATCAACTTAGGTTTTCGATGGGGACCTTGTCATTCCAACTTCATGGTCTTTTTTTGCCGCTTCGAGCCAGAAAATTCGACACTCCGTGCATTTCTGTCGTCCCGGGGCGTTCTACAATGCCCGTCTGTGCTAGACTTAATGGTTAGCGAGGGAGATGTGCTTCGAGAGCATCCGTTGGAACTCTTCGGCCTGCTTATCGACTCCTGCCGACAATATGTGGATTGCGATGCCCAAAAGGAGAACAAGAGAATGATAGAGATTGGCATCTCTCTCCAAGTGATGGATAAACAGTGGGCTAGTGGATGGGGGTTCAAGGCTGTCAACCCATCAGCCAATATGAGCTCAACCATTTACCATGCCATGAACTCAGTTGCCTGGCTCAAGAAGAACTGTTGCGAGCTCATAGGTATTGGCCAGCATTATGTCGACTTCGCCAACGGGGTCAGTGGTACGTATCGTCAGAGGATACCAAAAGATGGAGTCCACGATGTCGTCCTTCGTGCAGGCCATCATAGGCACATGCTAGCATTCTTGGAAACGATGTTGGCTAGTCAATTCAACTTCCACAGCAACTTGCTCATGCAGCACGAAGCACAGTCAACTCTGGCCATCTCAAAGGCGTCCCAGAATATCGCGGCGGCGAGCCAAAAAGATGCTCTATCCATGAAGACAGTATCATATCTCACGTTAGTGTTTCTCCCTGCCACTTTTGTATCTGCAATCTTCTCGACGACTATATTTGATTTCCAGAATTGGAAAAAGGGCGCGAGCGGCGAACCGGTTGTTTCTCCTGGTTGGTGGGTCTTTGTTGTTAGCTGTATTGGAGCAACAGTTATCACAATAAGCGTCTGGCTCTGGTGGCACCATGGTGATATAAAGAGATGGAGAGAATATCATAAGTGGGACGATAGCATCGAAGGTGGTTCGTAACTATCGATGTATTCTTTTTGGACGATTCAGCGTCAAATTTGAAGGAGGGGCCGGCGGAGGATTCAAGTACTTGATGTCGAGGGTGAATGGGACTTCCGACTGAAGAAGAGAAGCATTGTCACTGAGATGTGTGAAAGCTAGATTGATAGTGATTTGTTAGGACAAACCTTACTGCCCATAACCAATACTATACACAATTTTTCTTCTGCCACCATATTAGATTATAGAGACGTCCTTCTAGTTTACATCGTATGAATATACCAGCACAAGGGGAAGCTTTCCAAGACCATCCAGGAGTGATTTCCAGTCGTATTATCCGAAGCGAGCGTTGTAAGGTGTGGCTTGTAGTTTAGAGTTGTGGCTGAGCAATTCATGTCCTCAGATCCTCAGCCAAGTCTGCAACGCGAAATGCCCCACCAGCGTCATAGACAATGCGTCAATGCTTCAATGGTCTGTCCAACCCACACGGACAACTAGCAAAGCCACGACTACGACCTCGACCCCAGGCCACCATCTCACATGGCCAACAAGCCTCAAGCAACTGGACTTCGTGGCATCATCTATATTAATACTCACTGATTCCATCCGCGACTATTTTTAAGAACAACTTTGACTCAACTTCGATCATCCCCACGACTCGAACCTAACCCCACCTAACCGACGAGAGCTGCCTAGCCCCGCATCACATTAAATCACCTTCATCATGGCGCAAGACCCTCGAGCCCTGCTTCAAAAGGCAAGCTTTCATACAACCGAGACGTCGGGGTAGTTTCAACGGTGTATGTGCATATACTAACGAGACACCTCTATGAGGTTTGTGCAGGCAAACAAGACGCTGGCCAGTGCCTCGAGCGGCTTCAGTTTCTTCGGCGGACGAGAGACTAAGTATCAGGATGCTGCGGATCTTTTCATCCAGGCGGCGAATTCGTTCAAGATGCAGAAGCAGCGTACGTCTATACAATATACATTCTCTCCTAGCTGTAATAAAGCGCCATTTCCAGAATGATTACTTATGGATACGTCTACAGTGAGGGAGGCGGGCCAGGCGTTCGAGCAGGCGGCGGAGATCCAGACCAAGTACCTCAACGATCCCGACGATGCGGCCAATACCATGGTCGATGCGTTCAAGTCCTACCGAACTGTCGATGCCGATGCCGCTAGCAGATGTCTCGATGTTGCCGTACAGCGATACTGCGTGAAGGGTAACTTCCGACGGGCCGCGACACACAAGGAGAGCCTTGGTGATCTGTACGAGAACGAACTGAATGATAACAACAAGGCTATCGAGTGTTACGAAGCTGCGGCTGGGTGGTATGAAGGTGACAACGCTATTGCGTACGTCTTTCCGGCGCTCCTTAATTTTTAAGTCCTTCCGCGTCCCTCGCACTAACATGTATCGCCATGACAGCCTCGCAAATAAGCTTTGGCTCAAGGTTGCCGACCTCGCAGCCCTAGAAGGGGATTACCACAAGGCAATCGGGAACTTCGAAAAGGTCGCCAAGGCATCCGTCAGCAACAACCTCATGAAGTACTCTGTAAAAGACTACTTCCTCAAGGCTGGAATCTGCTACCTTGCCACCGGCGATCTTATTGCCGCTCAACGCGCCATAGGCGGCTACGCCGAACTAGATCCGGGTTTCGCTTCTCAACGGGAAAACCTGCTGCTCAACGACATCTTGGCTTCTGTTCAAGCGGGTGACCCTGAGGACTTTGCCGACAAGCTTTACATGTACGACCAGGTTAGCAAGCTGGACAAGTGGAAGACGACGATATTACTGAGGGTGAAGAACAATATTGTCAAGGCGGAAGATGAGGGTGGTGATGATGAGTTTGCTTAGGCTGAGGGTGAGATCTTCGACTTGCTCTTAGATGACTTTGTTTAGCTGGGGGCCAGATCTCCCATCCCAACAAAGCGTCCCACCTAACAAAGCGTTCCTTACATTGGAGGCTTCGAGTGGTTTATTTCCTATTCTTTTTCCTTTTCTGATATATCAAGGTGTTACGGAATCATAGTTTACTTGTCAAACTTGCACTGCATTGAAATTGCAGGATCCAAAAAAACAACTCTATGCATCGATCGGGGGTATTATTTTTCACCGTAGCAACTATGTTTTTCCCTACCACTACTCCTTTCTTACAAACCGCGAGAGGGCAGGTCCCAGCTCGGCCTGCTGCTCCTCCTGCCTCTGCGAATTCTGCTTCTGCTGCTCCTTCCAAAGCTCCTCGATCCTAAGCCTCTTCTCGTCGATAATGTTCCTCTTGCGCTGCTTCCTCATGTACTTCTTCAGCGCGCTGTTCTTGCCCCTTGTCCTGTTGCGGAGTTCCTCGACGAAATCGGGCGCGGTGGTGTCTAGATCTTTCTCGGCTTCGCGCTGCTTCTGAGATCGGAGGTCTAATTGGCCGATGAAGTTGGGGTCGAGGGCGATCATCTCGGGTTGGAGCTTGTTGAGGAGGGCCTTTACTTCGCCTTCCTGCCTCTGTCTCTTGTTCTCGTAAGGGTTCACCTCCAGGGCGTCGAAGTTGGGCTCACCGGCACCAGGGACAAGGATTGATGAGAAACCCTCGTCGTGGCCGAGACCGAGAACATCTTCGAAGGGACACCATTGCACTCTTTCGATCTTTTTGCCCTCTCCTCCCCAGGACATGTAGGGGCTCTTGACCTTCTCGGTGGAAAAGAGATCCTTCCATATCGTCGTGCTCGTACCCCAGGAGACGGATGTGAGGCCCGTGTCTGATATCGCCACGGACGAGCCGGGTTGCCTTGTGAAGTACGAGTTGACTTCCTTGAACATTCGTATATCCCACACCGCCATCTTGAGATCCTGGCCCGTCGAAACCATGTACCTCCCTGCGCGGTCTACTGCAAGCGATCGTACGGGGCCCTTGTGTGCTAATAACTTGACGAGGGGCTCTGACGAATTAGGAGACCAGAGGGTGACGGTGCCGTTTTGGTGTCCGGCGTGAAGGATCGCGTTCCAGGGGTTTTGTGTTAGAGATACGGGTGCGCCGAGTCCCGTTCGGATTTCGCTGACGAGGTCACCGGTGGAAACATCCTGGTACTTGAGCCAGCCGGGCGTAGACTAGAGAGCCATATTGTTAGACTAGTCAAGGTATTTTAAGATGGATAGGGACTGTAAATTTGGATGGTGGGGACTTACCATGGTAGCGAGGAGGAAGTGGTAAGGAAGGAATTCCATATGAGTTACCTCCATGAGTTTCCTCAGACAGTGTATTTCCATGCCGTTGTGGTCGTAGATATATGTGTACTTCTTTTGTGCCACGGCAAAGTATTGGTTGTTGTGTAGCCACTTGACATCCTTCACCGTCTCCCCCAGATTGATCTCGCAGCCGAGCTTGCCCTCTCGCCAATCCATGGTCGCAATATGACCTTTGCGCCCACCTAGGAGCAATTCACGGCCGTTCCTCGAGTAGTCAAAGACGTAAGGGCCGAGTTGGTCGAGCGTCAAATCGAATCGCTTCTGCGCGGTTTCTATTGCCGCATGTTCCGTTATTTCGTCCTGCCGCACCCGATACGTCCTTTCCAACTCGTGTTCCGTCTCGAGGAAGCCGACCGCATTCTCGTGGAGAATCTCGGCATCCTTAGCCTTGATCGCCGCATCTTTGAACTTGTTTTCTAACGCCGAGAGATTCCTCCGGAGCTTCCTGTCCTTGATTTTCCTGGTGTCCAGCCCCGTTCCCCTGCCGTATTCGCTGTTTGCCGCGCGGTGGCGTTGTGCCCTCACCCTCTCGTGCTTGGGAATTAGATCGGCGCGGGACTTGCGGGCTACCACGGCGCCGTTTGAATTCCCGGGACGGTTGGTCTTGGATTTTGGCTTCTCAGCCACCGCTTTTGTCGGGTCTTCCATGTCGGTTTGGGAATTTTTGGGAATTCTGTTTGGCGTTGGACGTCGGAGGCAATGGACACGCGATGCAAGTTTCTGGAGGTGCAGAGCCAAAAATTTCCTTCGCTTGCTTCGATTAATGCTTATCGGGTCTTATCAGGCCTTATCGGTTCTTATCGATAACGGCACACAAAAAATTTCCAACTCTCCCCGCCAAATACACCAAACAAGCCCCACCAAAATTTTAAAAGCGGTCACGATTTGGACCAATTCGACTTCGCACAACCACGGATTAGATTGCGGATTGCGGATTGCGACAGGCGTTCTTTCCCTCAGCTGCACCCCTTTGCGTCTCGCTACTCCCCACGTATTGAGCTTTCAAACTGGCATCCCTTCCATTTAGGTTCAAGGCCGGCGGAGAAGCGAAAATGTCAGGCCTGGCGGTGCATAGCCACCGCCCGACGACCAAAGTCTCACACAAGCCCTTCAAGTCACGAAAAGCTACCAAAGGTTCCCTACGAGAGCAGTCTAAAGGTAAAAATTTACTCGAATATATTTAAATAATATATATATTTCTAACATTCTTTTTTTTTCCATTCTTCTCCTAGGTCGAGTTGAAAGAGGTGTTCGAAGGACCCCTCACCAGAACGTCATGTCGAAATTTGATCGTCGCAACCAGTCGAAGCAGAAGCAGCTCGCGAAGCGCCGCGAGCACCAGCAGGAGACGCAGATATTTTCCGGTCGAGATGGAGCGCCAAGGGTTGTAGCGGTGATCCCGCTTTGCCATGATACCGACGCTCAATCCGCTATCAAGCTCATGAACGAGAGCCTCGACATCGATGTCGAAGTTGAAGATGGCTGCTTTCGAGTCCCGGTCGACCGGTTCAAGCAAAAGGTCATGTATATGCCACTAAAGCGTGACCTCACCAGCTGTCTTGACGCCGCGCGAGTTGCCGACTTCGTCGTCATTCTTCTGTCGGCCGATGTTGAGGTTGATCATCTGGGCGAACTGATCCTGCGAGGCGTGCAGAGTCAGGGCTTATCTACACTCTACACTGCAGTTCACGGACTGGGAAAACTCGAGACCGCGAAGCACAAGCAGCAAACTCTAACTTCTCTCAAGTCATACATCACCCACTTTCACCCAGACCAGGACAAGCTCTTCAGCCTTGATAACAGGCAAGACTGCGCGAATCTTATGAGATCACTCTGCAGCACAACACCGAAAGGCATCAAGTGGCGTGACGAGAGAAGCTGGATGCTCGTTGAGGAAGTCAAATTCGCTGCGTCCGACGCTGAAACCACCACTCTTACCGGCGTTGTTCGCGGACGGGGTCTCAAGGCTGACAGACTCGTGCAGGTGGGAGATTGGGGAACGTTCCAGATTGAGAAGATTACCGCGGCGCCACTTCCCACAGATTCCAAGAAGGGAAAGGCGAGTGAAATTGACCGGGAAGTGTCTGAGGAGGTTCTGGACGCGCCGACGGATGATCGGGATGATATCGCCGAGCTAGCACCGGAGGAGATTGCGATGGAAGACGACGAAGGCATGGCTGATGCCGGAACGACTGCAAAAAAGGGTGTCCTTCTCGACGAGCATCACTATTTCTCTGAAGATGAGGGAGAGGAACAAACAGTTGCAAGGAAACGAGTGCCCAAGGGGACGTCGGCCTATCAATCTGCGTGGTATCTAGAGGATGACGTGTCGGACTCGGGAAGCGACCTGGAAGATTTTGAAATGAATGACGCGGAGGAGGAAGAAGCGAGCCCCGAGGATGGAATTGAAGGGTACGCTCCTCGTGAGCCTACCGAAGCCGGTCCTTCAGAATACCCGCAGTCGGAGATGATGATAGAGCCAGATGAGGAGGCGGATGCAGAGCAGCTTGCGGCCTACAGGGCACGCAAGAGGGACGAGGCTGATGAGGATAGGGAGTTCCCGGATGAAATCGAACTCCTCCCCAATGTTCTCGCTAGAGAGAGGCTGGCTCGCTACCGTGGCCTCAAGAGCCTCAGGACGAGCCCATGGCAAGAAGATGAAGACCGCGCCCACGAGCCTGAGGAATGGAGGAGGCTGCTGCAGATCCCAGATTACAAGTCATCGCGGGTACAAACTGCGCGCGAGGCCCTGGTCGGCGGCGTTGCCCCCGGAACGCGTGTGCAGGTGCATATTCGAGGTGTACCTGAGAAAGTTAGGGAAGCGTATACGCCTACCACCCCCATTTCCCTCTTCTCTCTCCTAAGGCATGAGAACAAGAAGACGGCTGTAAACTTCCTCATCAACCTCAGCACAGACTACCCCAAGTCCATCAAGTCAAAGGAGGAGCTCATTCTCCAGTGCGGACCGAGGAGGATGGTCATCAAGCCCCTCTTCTCTCAACCCGGCACGACACCCAACGACGTCCACAAGTACTGCCGATACCTGCACCCAGGACAAAGCGCCGTGGCAACGTTCATGGGACCAGTCACCTGGGGCAGCGTTCCTGCGCTCATCTTCAAGCGGACAAGTAGCGAGCAAGCCGAGAGCGCCGAGGAGGCGAATACGGGCCTGACTCTGATCGCCACAGGCACGGCGCTACCTCCCTCGACGTCTCGCGTCGTCGCCAAGCGGGTGATCCTCACAGGCCACCCGTACCACATCCACAAGAAAGTCGTCACTATCCGCTACATGTTCTTCAACAAGGAGGACGTGGAGTGGTTCAAGGCGCTGCCGCTTTGGACGAAGCGTGGCCGAAGTGGTTATATCAAGGAGACACTGGGCACCCACGGATACTTCAAGGCTACCTTCGATGGCCGGATTAATCCCCAGGATGCCATTGGTGTCAGCTTGTACAAAAGGGTCTGGCCACGGAATGCGGTGCCGTTGGACGGGCCCTTGGTGGACACACCTTCTAACGATGCTAACGACGATGGGATGGACATGGATGGCAAGTAAAAGTGGTCGATTGTTTGGTTTTGCACTTTTTCTCCTTTGTTTACCGGTTTTATCGCATTAACAACCTGTCCTCATAACGACACATGATGACCTCAATAGAATATATCTACACGGATATGAAATACGGTGACAGGAGCACATAACGTAGAGAATTGCAGAGAAAAATATCACTCAGCCTTCAATGCGTCAAGCCCCTCGGTCGGCTTAGGCCCGCCCCGCGCCTTGGAAACCGCCTCGGCGCCACTCGACCTCCAAGCACTGAGGATCAAGTTCACTACGTGTTCAACGCCCTTGCCTGTCTTCACCTGGCAGAACAGAGTCGGCCCACCATCCCTCATCCTCCTAGCATCCCTATCCATAACATCAAGATCGGCACCCACAGCCTCCGCCAAATCGATCTTATTCACAACAAGCAAATCACTCTGCGTGATCCCCGGACCACCCTTTCGGGGAATCTTATCCCCGCCGCTAACATCAATGACGTAAATGATGAAATCAGCAAGTTCCCTCGAATAGTTCGCTGCGAGGTTATCCCCGCCAGACTCGATGAGCAAGATGTCCGTCGCGAACTCGCGCTGCAGGTCCTCGAGGGCGGCGAGGTTGGCGGAGATGTCCTCGCGCACGGCGGCGTGGGGACAGCCGCCCGTCTCGATGGCCCGGATGCGGGGGGTGGGCAGGGCGGCGTGGCTGGTTAGGAATTCGGCGTCTTCGCGGGTGAAGATGTCGTTGGTTACGGCGGCGATGGAGTAGGATTCGCGGAGGGCGAGGCAGAGGGCTAGCATTAGGGCGGTTTTGCCGGAGCCGACGGGGCTGGGGGGGTGGGGAGGTGATGTTAGCAATGGGGGTTATGGTCATGGAGTAAGGTAGAGACAGCTATAGAAAGGGTCACGTCGGCAAATGATAGCAATGAGAAGCATTGGCTGCTAGTAGTCATAGAAGCAGAAAGGCTAGACGATTGAGACATACCCTCCAATTCCAACAGTAAATGCCCTCTCCTTCCAGTCTCTTCCCTCTACGATGGGCATCTCACGGACGAGATAGCTTCCAGGTCCATCGAGGATCTCGTGCGAGTGGCCATGTTCGGCTGCGGAGAACCTGATATCGTGCGAGTGCGAATGCGAATGATCGTGAGAGTGGCCTCCGAAGCCGTGATCATGAGAGTGAGAGTGCGACATGGTAACTCGGGGTGAACCTGATACTTGAATTGGCTTGAGGATTTGCTTGATCAGTGTTTATAAGCTAGTGGTGTGGTCTATCAACATCAAGCTGCCCTGGACTGGGTTGAACGGCGATGGAGGGGCATGGCGGGGTAAACTGGTTGGAGAAGGATCGAGTGATAAGTAACGGATGGAGCTTGAGGTCTCTCGTATAGGTACAATTATATATGGTAGTTTACTTTTAGAGTCCTTATCAGGATCCTGGAGGGAGGGAAGCTATCTGTCAAAGTATACCTGTACAATGTCTCAGTATCGATAGAGCTTAAGGGAAGAAGTTGTTGGATTGACGTAATATTGAACTGTCGATTCGATAGATTGATAATAAAGGTGAATAATCGCATAATCTCACCCCTCATTGCCTTTCGAAATTTCGGACTGGCATTGGCGCGTATCTCTTGACGCCAGGGCTCTGAGACCGCCTAAAACCTGCCCTTTTTTTTTTTCGCTTCCCGCCAGTGCTGTCGTACTCCCACAACCGGACTTGTACCTCTACTCGGCCAGCTCCTGCGATGCATTGAATCACCGGGCAGGCATTCCGCGGTGCTTGCTAGCTCGCCTTTAAGCTTACGCTCACGCTGGGCCTCGCACCTTGTACAAGGAGGAAACCTCTCGGCGGACGGGGCCAGACCTGGTCGCGATGGAGGAACGAAAAGCGTTCATCGTTGGCATCAGCGGATGCTCTTCCAGCGGGAAGACGACTCTTGCTCGCCTGCTGCGGAAAATCTTTCCCAGCACGATGATCCTGCATGAAGACGACTTTTACAAACCAGAGACCGAGTAGGGCCTTCTCTCCGTTTCTTCTGAGTGTCCTGTTCACTCCAGTTTTCTCTACTATTTTCTTCTCTCTGTCTTTTACCTTTTTTTTTTTTTTTTTTTTTCCCTTTCCTTTTCCCTTGCACTTGCTTATAGTCATCCAGCCATTCTCGCGGGTTCGATTACTGACACCAGTGCCTTTCCCCCACACCCAAAGCCTACCCATCCACCATGGGTTCTTAGACTGGGATTGCGCCGAGGCCATCTCCATCCCCGACATGGAAAAGACCCTCGCGCACATCCACGCCACCGGCACCTTCCCTGTGGGTATCCGTCTATCTGCCTCCCTATCCGCCCGAACAGACCATGGCTGTTCGACGCTGCCAGACTCGTCGACTAAGCGGTTATCTCAGGCAAGCCTGGAATCCAAGGAGGACCAGAACTCGGTAGGGAGGTGCCCGGTGTCCGATGCTAAGATCGACGAGATGAAGGAGAGGGTGGCGGCTTGGTTAAAGGAAGGGGAGCCGGGCCATCGTTTGTTTACGGGAGGAAAGCTGAAGCTATGCCTCTTTGATGGGTTCCTTCTCTACTCGAAGGAGATGGTGTCTATTATGAAGCTCATCGACCTCAAGCTGTTCTTGCTTGTTAGTAAAGAAAAGGCGACGCAGAGGAGAGAGGCTCGCGATGGCTATGTCACGATTGAGGGGTTCTGGAAAGACCCGCCGGGATATGTCGAGAATATCGTCTGGCCTAACTATGCGAGAGCTCATGCGTGGCTGTTCGAGAATGGCGATGTCGAGGGGGTCTTGGACGAGAAGGCGATGGCTAAGTTTGGCATCGTGGCACAGCTGGATCAGGGCCTTGATGTAGATCCGGATACTACGCTAGAGTGGGCTGTGGAACAGATCATTACGCGGTTAGAGGAGTTTATGTTGTCCGATTCGAAAGCGTCTGGTTAGATGGGGTGCGGGCTTGTCTGGATCATCACGATGTGCATGGTAGATATATATATGACGATTAGATTTAATACGACTAGAGTCTGAAATTCAGTGGCAGAAACTACACTGAGGAAACAAAGAACTCGGAAAGCTCGGGAATGTTGGACAGGATTCATCCATTCCAGGTCTCATTACGCAGCAAGATGATTGATGCCGTGTGGTTTATTAATTTTAAGTGATAGTGGTGAATCTAAATTCCAGTGAGATCAATCAATATGGCAAAGGGATACCACAGAGCACTCAAAGCACTGTGCGACTGAACGAGGTGGCGTCTGTGCTTAGCAACAAATTCAGTTGGATCTTCTATTATTGGTGCCGCCATGGAGCAAACACCAAATGCTCTTACTGCACCCTTCAAAAATCGAATCGACAACCTAAAAAGGAAAAAGGAAAAACAGTGAACCTCAACCAACGACCTCTCTGAAGCATACACGACACGATGGAGCTCGACGAAAAATCAAGGCAGACAGCCATTCTACTTTCAACAGGCTTCGTCTCCCTCTTCTCAGGCTTCCTCCTAGGCGTCTACGCCATCCGCGGCTACCTAATCTCCCCAGCACTGGCCGACGAGCGACGGAGATACCACAAAGACCCCGTCGAGAGCGAAGAATCCGACATTGACGAGGATGACACGATTTTAGACCACGCGCCGAATTGGGCCAACGGCGAGGAGGCAGATAAGAGAGACGGACTTCGGTCGGGCGAGTCCAAGAAATCGAAGGAGAGCGAGGATGCGGGAAGCTCGAAACCTAGCGCGGCTGTGTCGATGGGAAACCCGAACGAGGAATGCAAACTAGTCCTCGTTGTCCGTACGGACCTGGGCATGACAAAAGGTGAAAGACTCCAGCGGCTTCGCTTTTGTCCCGGATGGCATTTCCATCACCAACAAGCTTCCAAGATCCCCCTATGCTAACTACCCACGGGAATTCTACAGGCAAGATCGCCGCTCAGTGCTCCCACGCCACCCTCGCCTGCTACAAAACCCTCGCGCGCAAGGCGGAGCGGAATCCCAACTCGAACGAGGCGCGACTCTTGCGACGCTGGGAATCGAGAGGCCAGAAGAAGATTGCCGTGCAGATCAAGAGCCAGGACGACATGATGGACCTCATGGGCATTGCGCGGAGCTTGGGCATCACGGCGGAGGTTATTGCCGACGCTGGGAGGACTCAGATTGAGGCGGGAAGCTTGACGGTGCTTGGGGTTGGTCCGGCGCCTCAGAGCTTGGTTGATAAGGTTACGGGGCACTTGAAGCTTTTATAAGGGGGGCGAAGAGCGGAGCGAAACCAAGGATGTGGCGCACATGTACAACTATGGCGATTGCCAGACATCGGATAGCCAAGTTTCTGCAGCAGCTTATGTTTTATTTGCTGCTAGGGCATAGAAGGGATCTACGGCGTATTGGGAAAAGGAGAGTATTTCGCAAAAAGGGCCAAAACAATTCGAAGGATTCATCACACCATGCTGCTTGCACAGGGCCCTTGGACTTGGGTGGCTCTAGGTCTGCCCGCAGGGAGCAATGCGCATTCTTGACATTAGCAGAAGTACTTGGAATCGGATCTAGCCATCATTGGTGGAAAGGACAGCTTCGAGTCCGGCCGATGGGCGTTGGGGAGCTGCCGGCAGGATGTGTCCATGGATCCTACCCCAGGCAGCTTTGGCAGACCAACATTCTTAACGACATTGACGCAAGAAGTGCCGCTCGACATGTGCTCCTTTCAGTGAGCTGTTTTCTTGATTTTCTTGACACGTAGTGTTGCTTACGGGCCGTTCCTGTGCCGATTCAATATATCTCTCAATTATCCCTCACAGACCCTCGAGCTGTCTCTGTCCATGGAGGGGTTGACTTGACCAGGCAGAGAAAGGGGCTGCTGGTTGGATTTTACGAAGGTAGTGTACACTACGAAGTACAGGCTTCGATTTCATCGAGGAGAAAACGGCCCAAGCTCTTATTTCCCGATACCGCGAAGGTATTCAGCCAAGGTTACTTCGTACTTTGTACGGAGTAGGTAGTTGCTGTTCCCTGATCAATTGATCAGTGGATTGCGCCTAACCCAGCAACTGAGCCAGGGGTGATAGTGGATTGCCGCCCACGTGCAGCGACACTGGCGCAGAGAGCATTCCGTAATGGTTGCTTGTACAATTGTACGCATACTTGCAAGTTGTAGTACATAGTGTACGAAGTCTCGCTCTAACGAGCACTACGTAATGTTTGAGAGTCAAAGTATCGATACAAGAACACACTCCGAAATAGTGGGGTCTGATTGCCTGGCCGGGACTTTTCGATTGTTGGTTTCAAACATTTCAGCGGCATGTGAAAAAGCGATCAAATCTTATTTAGCAAACATTGAACTCAGCGAGCATTATAGCCTAGGCACGAGAACCACGGCAGCCCAGAAGCGTCCCGACGCCGCAATGTGTGTCCCGCCCTATTGGAGCATTATTCCGTAGTGTACAATCAATTGATAATTACTTGGACATTGGATCAATTGATGTGCGTCACGCTGCATGCGCGATAAGGCGAAGTGAAAAAAAAAAAAAAAAAAAAAAAAAAAAAAAAAAGCGACCAAGGCATGGGAGGCAGGGAAGTTCAGCTGTGTCGTGTAAGTAAACTACGAGGCAAAAAAATATAATCCCGTCCTGGACTTGGCACGGCCTGGGGACAACGCAAAACATCTCCTGTCCGGGTTTTTTCCTTTTCCTTTTTGCCCCTTCATCTCTTCCCCTCTCCTGACCTAATTCTCGAATCCGACTCCTTGCCAGGACATGCTCATGTTTTCTTTGTCCGTTTCAGCGGTCTCCTACGCTGTGGGTTGAGGAAGACGACTTTCTGGCTCTCCTGGCCCCTGTAACCTCCATCAACTAAGGGAACATCACCCTGCAATACCTCAATCCGGCAATTCCATGGTCAACCAGAGAAACGTGTTACGGGTGTCCCATTCTTTTCTTGGAATCGAAGCCTCATCCGTATTTTTTTCGGCGATATTTCCATTTCAATTTCGTGAAGGGGCTTTCGGATTGACTGATTGCGTCCTCCCGAGTTTCAGCAGGGATATCAGCAGCTAATTGGACTTCCTGACACCTTCTGATATAAGTCCCGATCATCACATCGACCACACTCTCTTACACACACAATTCCATTCACCATGGCACCCGTGCCTCGTTTCAGGCTTGTGCGGAGGTGGGCGCTCCCCGTTACCGCTGGTCTCGTCGGCGGCGCCGTCTTCTACAGCTACCGTCCACGCGAAATCCCAGGCTTCGAGCCTCCGGTGGTCCCACATCCCATCTACGGCGCAGACGGAACCTTTAAGCTCCCCCGGTTTCCCCGCGTCAAATCCAGAGATGAGCAGATTGCGAGGCTTAAGAAGAGCGCCGAGTCCAAGGACGATGAGTACGACATGCTAATCATTGGCGGCGGCGCCACCGGGGCTGGCGTTGCACTTGATGCTGCCACCCGAGGACTCAAGGTTGCGCTCGTCGAGAGGGATGATTTCAGTAGCGGCACGAGCAGCAAGAGTACGAAGCTTGTCCACGGAGGTGTTAGGTACCTTGAAAAGGCCGTGTGGAATCTAGATTACGCTCAGTACGAGCTCGTCAAGGAAGCCCTCAAGGAGCGTAAATACTTTCTGAGGACGGCACCACATCTAAGTATGTGGCTGCCCATCATGCTGCCCATAGACAGGTGGTGGAAGGCCCCTTATTACTGGGTGGGCACGAAACTGTACGATGTGCTTGCTGGGAGCGAGGGGGTCGAGAGTTCCTATTTCTTGACCAAGAGCAAGGCGCTCGAGGCCTTTCCGATGCTGAAGCGAACCGATCTTTTCGGTGCCCTGGTCTACTACGACGGCGCCCACAACGACTCGCGCATGAACGTGTCCATCGCCATGACGGCAGCGCTCTACGGTGCCACGGTCGTTAACCACATGGAGGTGACCCAGCTCTTCAAGGACGAGAATGGCGGGATATGCGGTGCGGCTGTAAGCGACCGTATACCGGAAAGAGACCGGCGCAAGTCCCAGGATATCGCCATCAAGGCTAAGTGCGTCATCAATTGCACCGGCCCGTTCTGTGATTCGATACGGAAGATGGATGATCCTACGTTAAAGGATATCGTCTCGCCATCCTCTGGAGTTCACGTCATGCTTCCGGGCTACTTTAGCCCGGCGAACATGGGCCTCATCGACCCTTCTACGTCAGACGGACGTGTTATATTCTTCCTACCTTGGCAGGGAAACACCATCGCGGGAACGACTGACGAGGCATGCGACATCTCACCGAACCCGCTCCCGGACGAAAAGGCGATCGAATGGATTCTCAATGAAATTAGGCATTACATCGCCCCTGACATCAACGTACGCCGGGGAGATGTCCTTGCCGCTTGGTCTGGCATCCGGCCACTAGTCAAGGACCCCAAAGCGAAGAATACCGAGTCGCTCGTCCGAAACCATCTCATCGACGTCTCGGCCTCGGGACTGCTTACCTGTGCCGGCGGAAAGTGGACGACGTACCGACAGATGGCGGAGGAATGCGTGGATACGGCCATTGAGGAATTCGGACTCCAGACCAAGCCCTTTGAAAACGCGCCATCTGTGAGCGGAACCGACGTCGTTGACGACGGCGCGATCCTGGATGGTACCTGCCAGACCCATAACGTGCGTCTGGTCGGCGCCCACGGATTCAGCAAGACGCTCTTCATCCCCCTGATCCAGCACTTTGGCGTCGAGACCGAGGTCGCCAAGCATCTGACGGAAAGCTACGGTGATCGGGCCTGGGCCGTCGCCGCGCTGTGTCAGCCGACGGATCGGCGGTTCCCCGCGCGTGGAGAGCGGATCTCCCAGCTTTATCCGTTTGTGGATGGCGAGGTGCGGTATGCCGTGAAGCACGAGTATGCGCAGACGGCGGTGGATGTCTTGGCGAGGCGGACGAGGCTGGCTTTCCTCAGTGCTCAGGCTGCTCTTGAAGCGCTCCCGCGGGTGATTGATATTATGGCGCAGGAGTTGAACTGGGACAAGAGGCGGCAGGATCTGGAGTGGAAGGAGAGTAAGTTGCTTCCCCCCCCCCCCCCCCCAAAAAAAAAAAAAAAAAAAAAAAAAAAAGCTTCTTTCTGTTTTGCAGAGGACTAACCCGAGATTGCCGCATTTAGCGGTCGCATTCCTTGAATCAATGGGTCTTCCACAGCCCATGCTTTCAGCGACGCGGAAGCAAGTCGAGCAAGGCAAGCTTGATTTCGCTAGCTCCCTCGAGTGGAAGATGTACTCGCGGCACGATGGGCCCACGGACATCTAAGGAAAGCGACGCCATGGGAACTGTCATTGGTGTGTACCGGTCCCTTCCCATCCACTCCATGGGCGCACATTGTGGTTTGGCGCTGGCCGCGCATTTACCCTGGCCGTGTGCGCGTGTGCATGTGCGTATATCGGCGATGACCGCTTCGCACCCCCGGCCCAAGAGCAGCCGACGTTTTTGGTATAAGATTCATAATTCCCGGACCACTATTTTGTTTTCTTGGTTCTTTTCTTTTTGGAATGTAAATATGGTAGGACTTGGTCTAGGATAGACCCCTCGCGAAGCACCCTAGAGGTTCGAAGCTGCAAAACTCCCCACGATCTTTGTGACGCTTTCCAGAGCAATGCCACTCCGAGGTCTCCAAAGGCCCCAAAGGCAGGCTAAAGCTTGTCGACAAAGGCCGTCGTCGCCCCTATCTTCAGTTAGCGGCGCAAGGAGTTCTAGACCTCGAGAACAGGGAAATTCTCCACGAATGCCAAACATATCACCCCCAGTCATCGCGTTTGATAACTTTTTGTGAATCCGACGATCCCCGGATTTGACCGTCCGCAACAAAAAAGGATCCTGCCTCCTGCAAGGGCTTGGTCGCATCATGACGTCGATGGAAGGACACAGCCGCTGCGACTTACAAGTCCAGATCGCGCACCATCTTGATTCAATTGAGTTGAAAATCCCGTTCGATGAATCGTCAATTGACTCGAGGAGAATTACTAAGTCACTGACAAATCCTGACAAATAGGCTTGGAATTGGACAATTGGACGATGGGAACAGTTGGAACACTCGCCATTTCACATGCAAGTGGCATTACACAGCAACATCGAACAACTAAATTGACGTTTTTTTTTTTTCTTCTAAGCTTTCTCGGGAAGCTTCCCGAGAATTCTCTGCCGAGTCTAGGGATCGCCAGGTGGCAAAAGGACCAACTCAAAGTCTTGTGCCTCTTACGCTAGCATTACTGAGTACTTGGTGAACTGATAACTGTCATCGGCTCCCCTCTTCCTTGTGCCACCTCCCCACATCTGTAGTATGCGTACTATGAACGACATTAACTGTCTTTGATCAAACTTAACTTTCGCGGACCCAAATTCCAAATCGATTTCGCTATGCCCCGCGCCCCAGTAATTTGCGTTTCTCACGGCGGAGGTACCGTCCAACATCCGAAAAACCCGCTCTCCTCTCCCCCCCCAAATTTGATTTCACACGCGGGAAGCTAACTAACCGTGGCAGGTCCGCTTCCCGTCCTCGGTGATCCCAATCACAAGGACATTGTAGAGTCTCTGACGAAGCGGGTTCCCAAGGTTCTAGGCTTGGGCACGCCTCGGGCACCCCGCGCCATTGTCGTCGTTACTGCCCATTGGCAGGAGGATCATCCGTCTGTCTCCTCGGGCGCTAAACATAGGCTCTATTATGATTACTACAACTTTCCTAAGGCGTCGTATAGCCTGAAGTATGATGCGCCGGGCTCTCCAGAGATAGCGGCCGAGGTTGGGAGGGCGTTTGAGGCTGAAGGGTTGCAACCGGAGTTGAACCCCGAAAGAGGTAAGCCTAAGAATTATCTTGCCAAACACGCAACGCCGCCCAGTAGACAGACTAGTTCTCTAAGACTTGGGGCCGCTTTTCTTCCCCAACTCTATTCTAGGTTGGGATCATGGCGTCTTCATCCCCTTTCTACTCATCAACCCCGCCGCGGACATCCCCATCATCCAAGTCTCCATCCTAGCCGCCCAAGACCCCCCATCCCACTTCCGCATGGGCGCCGCCCTCTCCCACCTCCGCGCCTCCAACATCGCCATCGTCGGCTCCGGCTTCGCCTCCTTCCACAACCTCGGCATCCTGCGCTACCTACGCGCCGGAGGCACCGCCGCCCACGGCGCCTTCAAGACCCGCTCCGACGAGTGGAACGCCGCGCTCTCCGACGCTGTGGGGAGCACCACGCGCACGGAGAGGTTGAGGAAGCTGGAGCGCTGGAGGGAGCTGCCGAATAGTTTCGAAATGCATCCACCGGGTGGTGCGGATCATTTTATGCCGCTTTTGGTTTGTGCGGGCGCTGTGGGGGATGAGGAAGTGAGGTCGTATAGGGATGAGTGGATGGGGATTGATATCTGGACGTATTTTTGGGGTGCGGACCCGGTTGAGTAGGAGTTTTATAGTCTGTTGGACTTGCGATTTTGGAGACGCCGATATCTTCGACGGCTTTTTATCCATCCTTCATGTACGAGCACCTTACACGTAGAGATCCATTTTCAAAGGAAATTTCGCTTATTCCTAGTGGTCGACGATTGCTGGTGGCTCCTGTACCTAGACGCCCCAAGGCAGATCAGTTGGCTTTTCCCACTCTAGACCTTGAATATCAAGGCCCGCACGGGGCCCTGGAGCAAGAGCAGTCGTACACACGAAGTACAGTGGCCGTTGATGACCAAATCTTCTTCCCCAGCAATGTATCTCCGCTAGCATCAAGTTACGTACCATGTTGTGGCATGGGTTGCCCTTCCCTACGCGGCTGAGAGACTTTGATGGACATGCAATTTAAGCTTCTAGTAGATAAGTACGCTGAGAGGCATCCTACTTCGTAGCTTACGGAACGGCAACCAAGTCTGCCATGCCTAGGATATGGTCATCGATCATGACATGAGTGCATCACAAAATACAGAATCGGTCCAGAAGCGGAGTGATGATCTCTCTATATTGAACGAACAGCCCTTCCGGGAGCGGGATCGCCCACAAACGAGCCAAACGCCCTGCTGCCAAACACACACACACACACACACAAAAGCCATTCATGCTAAGTTTCCAACAGCCAAAGAAAAAAAAAATTTAAACAACGGATGTGTGTGTGTGTCCATTCCAAACCCCGTCCCCCCGGAGCGCGAAAGCAAAAGTCTCGACGACTCTTAAAAACACAAAACGCCTTTTCCATTCAGGCCAAAAACCCCGTCTATCATGCATGCCGCCATATATGCCGTGAACGTATCTCGTGAACCAAACCGTAACCGTCTACTAAGGCCATAGAAAAGGCAGAAGAGAGAAATGTGAAAGTAGGGAGAAAGAAAGCCAGCCGAGTCGAAACAGCGGCTGTGAACCCGGAAACGCCGTGAAAAAAAAAAAAAAAAAGAAGAAATGGATACAGCACTCAGATAGAATGTAGTATCCAACCGCTCTAAATTGCCGAGTATTATCGAATTCGGTGCGTCTGAAAGGGCAAGAAAGAGTTGCAAAGGAGCTGCTGATTTAATCGTTCCTTTGAGCAACGTGTTTATCGTAACACGCTGGGTAGGATTAATTAGCCATGCTGGCTCTTCGTCCGGCATCGAAACCATCAGTGGCTCGAGAACCGCTCAAGCTAAACACGCGCTGGAATAACCTCCGCGCGCCAAGATCTCTCCAACTAACTGTGGTCGCAAGAGGCTGGGCAACGACGGCATATTTCTCGCGACCGTGCATCACGAGCTTCCTTTCCAGCTCCGCTTCCCAGCCATACACGTCACCGGGCCCAGCATCGCCAAATGCATCTGCGCCGAGCAACTTAGGCCCAGAGCTGCCGCCCGCCGGAAGGCCTTCGACGGAGTGACTCAGGCCAGTTACGGTAAGATGCGATGAAGGCGATGACGGAGAAGGGGGAACGAGCGTCTCGTCGGCGTACTCAGTTGTCGCCTCGGACCGTATGCTCGCGTCTGTTTCAGAATCGAAGTCCGCAGTATGGCCGGCCACCATTCTAGGGAATGCATCGGAAATGAGCGATCCTGTTGTTCGTGTCGCCGCGTCACTTAGACCTAGCCCTATCAACTTCCGTCGCCCGCCTTCCTCAACCTGGAGAAAGGGAGTCTTGGGATGCTTTCTGACGCGGATGTCCCGCTTCACGAATGATGGTCGTTGTATCCTGTACTGAGGACTGCGATGGTTCATAGGTACCTTCGCGGCCATGCCACCCCTGCACTCTCCGCCATTTTGCAGATAGCAGCCATCCGGCCTCGCACATCTCTCCCCCCAGCTCGGCAATGCAGACTCAGTCACGTGAGGCAACCGCTGGCCGGGGTGGGGTTCTTCCCACGTCAGCTCAAGAGACTGTTCTTGTCGCTCTGAGGGACGGGGAGCAGTTGCTAGTCTGGAATGTTCTGTGGCGGAGGTTACCGGTGATGACATGACCTGTTCTTCTCATAATCGGGTGCCGCTGCTGCCTTCACCCATGGAGATATCTTTATCGGTTGGCGACGATGTCGATGAGGTTTGGTGGTGCTTCGCGTTGCCTTGTTTTGGCCTTTTACCAAGACCAAGCTTAGCTCCAACCTTCTTCCACCCGTTATTATGAGCATTGAGTGCCCGCTGAAGTCCACCGGGTGGGGATGGCGCAAATGTCCACTCGGAAGTAGGTGGCGTCATCGGCGGGGTCATTGGTTCCGTGGCCTGAGGAGACGTTGAGCTTCCGCTGTCGTCTGTTAGGCCGGCACGATCAACAGCCTCGACTGAAGCCGAAGCCGATCGGTTGGCTCTCCCTCCGAGGACAGCTGGAAGGAACTTGGGGGATCGGCTAGCCTCGCGTCGTGTTGGCGAAGGCTCCTTTGCGGAGCGTATGCGGGATCGGCTGTGGCGGCGATCGGGGACGTTGTCTTCGGAACGATGATCGGAGAAGAAGGGGGAAACTGACTCAATGAATGGTACCAAAACTGAATCGTTCATAAGCTCGTACACTATATTGACTGCTTCGTCCAATTGGGACGGATGCGGCGGTGTTGAAGAACAAGAATGGCTCAGGAGGCGATCTCGGACAGGGCAAGGCAGGTTGACTTCGCGAGGCGAACACGGAACAATGTAAGCCTCCATCAACTTTGCCCATAAAGAGCACATGTACTCGTTCGCATCGTGAACGACCGTCTTTCGGTTCACGAAGACGTGGTTGTACTCAGCTCGGTATCTCTCGGCTTCCATGGTGAACTCCAGAGTCTCTAAGCAATGGTTCTGAGATAGGTAGGCCATGAACGCGCTCAAAGTCCATGGCGGTGGGGATGTGTTGGATAGAATCTCGGCTAAGGTGGGTGGGTTGTAGGTCGATGCCAGGAAGGCGCCACTAGGTGGCCTGGATGAGTTCGGCATCATCGTGCGGAGGCTGAAATCCCAGCCTTCGAGTATGGAAGAGGCCCTCGGGGATGATTCACGGGAGGCGGATCTCGTAGAGGACGGCGATTGTCTTCGTAGGTTCGACACAACCATGTCTTCTTCCAGCAGAACACACACCACAGCTGGTGCCGGGGAGGGGCTGGGTGGCAGTTAAAGGTAGGTCGAAAAGCAAGCGACTTGGAAACTCCCCATGCGAATGTTTGAGGACGAGAAACCACCAAGTCTTGAAAAGTGGACAAAGATCCAGAAGGGTCAGTGAGGGGGGAACCGGCGCCTTTAGTGATGTATAATGTTCGGAGATGTCGGGAGGGAAAGAGTCGAAATCGGGATCGGTCAAGTCCAGGGCACCGTCATCGATCAGTGCTCTCTGATAGCGATTGGGGAGAGGGAAGGGGGGGAGTTGCTCCGCCTCGGCCTGAGTAATCGGGGGTTATGGTGCTTGGTCAGGCCACTAGAGGGAGTGGAGAGGCGAAGAATAAGGCGCTGGGGACGGCGGAAAGCGACGGAGGCGGTGTCGATCTTATGAACTAGATGACAAGAGAAACTGCTTAAGTTTCGTGGCTTGTAGATTGGACTGATCAAGTTCACGCGAGAGGCTTCGGGCAGTGCGAGCAAGTTGAGGCACGTGTGCTGGCTGGCTTTCGCAACCGTGGCGCTAGCAAGACATAAATGAGATGTAGAGAGACAGTCTGGATTCTAGTACGCCACAAACGCAAGAAATGATTCGAGTTGATTTCGAGTCGATTTGTCGATATGTAATCCACAATGAATACAGACTGATGGCGGTTTCCGCAAGAGGATTTCGGGGGCGTCGAACACGCCCTTTTCTCTGTTTTCGTCTACCTCGTTTTTAATCCCCTGTTTCTGGAGCTTTCGGTCCACAATCAAGGATCAAAACGACAAACACCGAAAGTGCGCCTCGAATAAATTCAGGTTGGCGTCCGAAGGTGCAGGCAGCAAACGAGGCAAGATGCAAGATGCAAGACGCAAACAAGGCGGAACGGAGAGAGGATGGAGTGTCAAGTTGCTGAACGTCGACAAAAGTGAAACCAACAAGAGACGAAGGAAATCCCGAAACTAAAACAACATGAAGACATGAAAACCCCAGTCCGGAGAAAGTTCTACTGCTGCATATAGAAATGGAAGAGAGGGGAGAACCTGGAGGATGAATTGGGGGGTGACACTTTTGGAGAGGAGGCGATGCAGGTGGTTTTGAGCAATCGGATTCGGGGGGGGGGGGGGGGGGGGGGGGGGGGGTTGGTTTTCTGCGGGACACAAACACAAACAGGGAAAGGAAGACGGATAGAATGTTCTTTTGTACATAGGTACCCAGTCCAAAGCGAGGGCAAGTCGGCTTTGGGCGACAGTCAAGGGCAGGGTAGGTACGGAGGAACAATGCACAAGTACACTGAAAAGTACACTCCAAAGTACACTCTAAGGTACACTCCAAAGTACACTGCTGTGTACAAAGTATAGTTTGTGTATGGTAGTGCAGTGTAGTGGGGTGTACTAATACTGCCTAGCGCTCTCGTCTACTTCGTACAAAGTAACATCAATTCCAGTATTGATGGACAAAGTGGCGTACGTATACAGTAAGAAATTAGCGATGGATACAGGTGGAGAAGGTCAGGAGCGTTGCGATGGTGCAGAGGCAAAGGCGTAACTAAGTACCTTTATGGCCTAGCCGTCTCCAGAGTAAACTTAGTCCAAGCCAAAAAGGCACGTTCGATTCGTGCATCTCCAAGTACACAGTGGATGTGTGGAACGACTTGTACGATGTAAGCCGAGCTGATCTTGCGAAGTCAAGAACCGCCACATTACAACACTGACAATGGAATGGATCATTGATCAATATGCTTTGTCTTTGTGCTTGGGGTCGGTCGATGACTCCATAGTGCACAAGGTACTTCGAACTTCCTAGTTTACTAATGTTCCTGCTTTCAACTTGACCCACGTACACTAAACTATGGTCCCTGCTGCGGAGAGCCTCAGCAGCTTCGGGGAGGGAAAAAGGAAGGAAAAAGAAGAAGAGAAAAAAAATTGAGAACGGCACGGGGGTGAAGGACGGATACAAACGGCTGCCGCACCAAATATTGATACCCGCTGGCTCCGAGTGACGTTCTCAACCATCGATATTATCGAGGATACTGCGAGTACCTGCACTAGTTGGCCGTCGTTGTCAGCATGGCCAGCCGGGAAGGCATTTGAACGCCAATAGAGTCCTGGCAAACGACCCTGGTGATGATGCAAGTTGGGATGGTGGGATGGGTATCTTCCTTCCAAGACCACGAGAATTCCGCAAGGGGTCTGGTAGGGCAGCACGCCGTTTGCGGCACTTGCCACGCAATAAAGAGATGATCCTCTCGCGCTCCTTCGACTGGGAGTCGCGTCGCACCTTCATGTCAAACGGAAAGCAGATCCATCCACTTGGGAAGCACAAAGCCCCCAACAAACATGCACACGCGGAACACGGTCAGGATTGTCCGACGAATATAAGTTTATCTGGCAATGATGATGACATCCTGGCCGTGACAGAGCGAGTCCTTGAGAGTGACGGGTAGATGCACTTCCCACGAAGTACATTCGAGTGTTTGAGTGGTGGACCTAGCCCTTTCAACGCGAAATGGCAAACAATCGAGCCATTTGGGGTAATGTTGCCTCTTCCGTCTCATTTATTGCATGGCGACGAAAACGCCTCCGGTCCAAACGCCCGTCTCTCTCGTTTGCACGTGTCGTGTCATGCCGGGGGTGGGGAAAAATACTCGCCAGGGCGATATGCATGGAAGCCTTGGGGTCGCGGACTGAATGCCCTGAGATGGAAGCTCACACATCACAGTGCAAATCAGCGGCGCCTTATTGGGAGGCCGTGGTGGTTTTACCGCCTTCCAAGGAGAAAGGTCAGGTGTGATTAGCTGTTCGGATTAAGCCGAGATCAAATGAGAGAACCGAACTGGGGAGGTTTCAAGTACGAAGTAGTATGACGCAGAACCAAAGCACTGTGGAATATTACGGGTGGTATTGATAGCACTTAATAATATGATCCCGGACCATGACAAAAATAGTGGGCTCTAAATTGGTTCTCGAAAAGCATCACCTGGCATGATAAAGACTTCAAAAATTGTTCTTGTGGATTTGATAGTGAAACTTCAAGTTTAGTACAGAATGCTTAGTGTAAAGGAAAAAAAATCTTTTCTTTTCAGCTCCGCTGCGTAGTTTATATTGCTACTTCGTACTCGTAGATTTGAGCTTGTAATTGATGTTTAGGTAATGTCAATTTGACGATCTCGGAAGTCAACAGTTGGCATCCAGCCAAAGTTCTGAAACAGACCAAGCATGCGGAAATGTTGCTTTGTACAACTAGTAAGAGTATTACACTAATGGAGAATCTTCGATGGTGTGTTCAGTGACAGATCAAAGAAAAGCCTATCCGATTTTTCTGGAGATGCCTTTTGGCGTCATAATTGCTTCGTGCTTCGGTCTTCGTAAACTTCTTCCAAGGAGGACAGCGGCTGAACACGGGTATCCTGCGGCGGACCTGCTTGGTGGGTCGACACTCGGCAGGGCAAGGAAGGAACAACACCACCTTGAATGTTCTCGAACTCTTTCCTTGTCTCTTTCGCGCACGTGGGTACTTTGGGGGTACCTTTTCGCCTTGCGTCAACAGGACTAGAATTTTGCTAGAACAACGAAGGACGGAGTAGTGTAGGGCCGGGTGGACTCTCCTCGGCACTACAACTGTACCTTTGTACACGGCGCCAGGCTACGGAGTACAATTGGAAGTACTTCGTACACTAGCACAGCACTAAGAGCGCGTCGTTCGTACGCAAGGGGATTTTTGATCTTCGCCGGGGACGATTATGGCACTATTAGTACAATATTACTACACATCCTCGGTACACTACTTCGTACACTGGACCAGATGTGGCCCTGTGCCCCTCTGCAAGAAGCCTTGTGCTGGGGGAGCACGAGCCCTTCTCGGTGTGTATTTTGCATCACAGCCCTGGCAAAACCAAACGACGCAACTTTAATACAAAGTAGACTGATACTTTGTACATGAGCAAAAACCCTACAGTTTGCGGGTGCAAGCAGATGATGCAGTGACAAGGGATCGCTGGTGCAACCGTGCTTGAGGACGAGAAGACGCAGTACCAAGCATTGCCCGTCAATTGATCCTTCCATCAGAATTCGTGCTGTCTTGTTTCTGACCAGCGAACGAACCCCAGCCAACAGACGCAAGCAATGCACTTCGTGGGATCAATAGGAAATCCAGACACCGCCGCCGCTGCGTTTTTCGCCTCGGCTTGGCGTTGCAGCTTTGTGTTCTTCGATCCCAGCCCAGCAGCCCGGTTCTGGAGGATGTCTGGTTGCAGAGACGGGGCCGGTCCGTCGATCGGACACAGTCGCTTAAGGCATTCATCCTATTTCCTCTCTCTCTGCCCTGGGAGCCCATGCTCGTTTGCCTCATCAACTGCCTCTTCCTCGACGCATGTGGCTAGCTTCAGATGCGCAAACCTATCACGGACCAGAGCACGCAGTAGAGGAGAGGTGGTGGAAAAGTTGCCTATTTTTGGGAAGTAGAGAAAGTCGAGATCCGTCGGACAATCTCGCCTCGCGTGGGAGGGAGTAGAAAGCAGAGAAAATCATCATCTTGAAACTGCTATTTAATAATAAAGACCTCAATAGGCTCTTTCATTTAAATGTCTTCTATTTCTTGAGGGGTGATGAGTGCCCGAATCGTGCATGCCACGATGCCGGCAAGTCTGTTTTCAATTCCCTCTCCTTTGGTAATTGGCTAATCTCAGAGCCGGCAGCTGGTCATGCAATTGACTCTGATGGTATTTCCATGAGCACAATGGCCTGGGCAATCAATATAAACTAATCTATCATAGAAAGATAGTTTGCCCCTTACCCATCCTCCCTCTCGCCATCTATTGTGCAAGTTAGGTTTGCAAACGGAGTATGCGTGCGTAAAGGGCGTGGGTTGAATCAATTATCAAGTACACAGGTAATCTACTATGCCGTCGATCACGCAACATCGCTTGATCCGTTCTCTCGTCATGCTTCTCCCGACCCATACATGGACAATTCCTTCGCTCTTCCCAGCCCTCCCAGCCTCCCTTTCGAACCTGAATTGCGGTACAATCACCAAGACCACCAAGTGCTGCATGATTCCACGTTTCACCTTTCGTCCCCGACTATTGGGACAACTGATCGTCGTATGGCCAAGTCCAATGCGACTCGTGCTGCGCAGAGTATCATGATTGCTACTTCGTAGGATATGTACCTACCTGAAAAGGTCTGGACGGTGAAATTCTCCCTCGCATTCTGGCTCTGGATGACCCACAAACAATGGCGAGCGTAGCATTCTTGGCCAAAGCGGATGGTGGAATAGCAGCCGGAATCGGTTGACATTATTTGGGCTTACCAGGGGACAGCGAGGGGTCCCGTGGGGGTCCTCTCCTACCGACCGGAGTGAGTGTGAGTGTGCCAAGCACATCAAGAACAATGGTCGCGCCGACACATTCACTGATGCAGAGGAACCTGTAGAGTTGTACTTCGTACTGTATGTAGTGGGCTAGAGGTTCTGTACTGAGGTTGCAATTGTGTGAGCCTTAGTACTCTGTCATTCAGTATTCATTGTTCCACTACCTATGCACTTCGTAAGGGGGGATGAACCAACTTAAATGCAACATTTGAAGCATTTACCTTCGCGGTTTTGGCGCCCTCCAACTATGTACCGAGTATCCACGACGCGATTCGGGGAGCTACGAAGTCTAAGCAGTTTAGCATCGGAAAGAGGCGTCGACACTTTGTGGGAGTATGTTACTTCGTAGGATTAAGGTACCTCGATCAAGACCTGTACGGAGTACTTGCGGAGCAATTCAGATCCAAGTTCCAAGTCCCGGCCACTCCGGATAGGGCAAACCCGACCTGTGGGGCAAACTGGCTGCAATGCGTCCCCTGCAATTCTGCAATCGTGTCGTGAAGGGTCCGTTCCCTGGTCGACTCCCTGGTCGGCTCCCTGGCTGGTCGTTCGAAGGTGGCGTATTCGAAGAAATTTTCTAGAATCCTTCCCAGAATGGATCCATCCACCAAGAACTCGTCGTTTTGACAGGTCCTCAACTTGATTGATCGTACGAAGGGGATATTTTTTTTTCCTTCGTCTCTCATCATCATCTCATCATCTCTTTTTTTTTTTTTCCTCTTCTTTTTTTTTCTTCCCTCCGCGGGTCATTGGTCATGGGCGGAATTAATTAATGGTTCTCTTACCGCCTCCCTCGTTCTTCGTGTTCTGTCAAGTTCTCCGTGTACATACAACCCTAGTCCATAGCTGTGAACATCTTCTTGCGCTCATCCCTCTCCTTGCGCCCGCACAGGCACCGTTATCTATCCCGACTTTGCGTTGATCCGCGTGCTACAACCACAGGCTATAATGTTCGTACACTCTCCAATGCGTTGCCACGCTTGCCCCACATCAATTGATGGCGTTTCCCATCTAAGTGCAAAAGAAACGAGAGAGGGGAAAAAAAAGGGAACATGAAAGGACGGCCAAAAAGTCATTAGAGATTTACATCACTGGTAAGATCCTGCCCGGCTAGAGACTTGATGTACTGATTATGTACGTATGGTATGCTCAGTTGCGCACAACCACCCCAATGTCCTTACGAAGTAAGTACTTCCGTCACATGTAGAAGGCCCAATTCCATTGTCAATATGCTGGAGGCCGTAGCCTCGGCTGGTTAAAAGCAGAACAGAAAAATCAAGAATTCTTTCAGAAGAGAAAAAGAGTAAAGAAACGAAAAGAAGGAAAGAAACACAAAAGAAGCCGTTCCATGAACCTGGTATAATACAATCCCGACCTTGGTATATCCTCCTTGTACGAAACATCATGTCGCCTTAAAGTAGCAAAAGAACGAGAAAAGAGAAAGGGGGAAAATTGAACTTGGGTATTCGGTCGCCATGTACATGTAGACAGTTGATATGTGTTCGTTGTCATTCGCCGTCATCTGACAAGAGGGGTTTGGGTAGACTTGGTAGATCAATGTTTCGTCGTCGACGGCGGTAATGGCTTTTTGAAGGCTTGTGCTTCCGGCGCCGTGGCAGCAGTTGAGGTGAATAGGTTGTTGCCCGAGAGAGATGAAGACGTATAATTTCGCAGAGCCTTATCAGGCCAAGCTCGGGACGCCGCTGCTACGATGCTATGGGCTCTGGCCACCTGGAGTGAGGTTGGGGAATGAAGGGTTCGAATGCATCAACCATCCTCGAGGGTTTTTTTTTTTTGATAATTTGAGAGGCCGCACTTGATACTCCGAGGATGTGGCGGGGACAAGCCGACGGTTCTTTAATTCTCTCTCTTCACCAGATGTTCATCCAGGTGTCGCCTCCCCCCTTTGCGATTAATGATGTATGTTCATCCGGAGGATGGACTCTGGGAATCACTCCCAATTATGATCCGGTCATTATCTTTAGAGGCTAAGTTGACCCGGGCCACACGAAGCTAGTGTGATCTCTAGCCGTCATGTCAAAGAGGGGCATTTGGGTGAATGCCTAACATTCTGCGAGGCTGAATTCGTTTCTGAAACCGCTATTGAGGAGAACGGCGGCAATATTTTCGCGATGTGAGGGTAGTTCGTCCGTAGAGTAGGTCTGTAAGGGATCAAGGCCGAGAGCCAGACACATTCCGTTCAAAATCGTGTGTACCCCGCAATCATATCCGTTCGTCTGCTCAGGTGTTGGGTACTTAACAAAACGCCATTCGCTCTCGACGAACAAGTCTCCGAGGACAGCCTTGATCCACCGCTGAACAAGGCCCATCCGAGCCTCACTACCCCTCGGGTTTAGGGAGTCCACATGCGCGATGGTCCTCCGTTTCGGGTGGATAACCATGAGCGTCCAGTGGTTACCCTCGCAGATGGGCATGAGGAGTATCTCCATGTCAAGAAAGTTGTTTTTATTTATGCCGTGGCGTCGAAGTGTGCGCTCTGTTTGCGTAACTCCCTGGTCGCTTAACCGTTTGTAGAAGAAAGATCCGAGAACTAAACACTTGCGGGTTTGCGCCTTGACATCAGTCACACCCGCCGCCTCGTTGATGAATTTATCGAGCCAAAGAAGGCTGCCGTTGACCACGGAGTCGTTGAGCCAAACCGTTGGCGGCACGAGACGTGCAAAGTCGTGCTGGAGCAGCTCTGCTTCGAGAGATTTTGCAACGGCACCCCGAGAATGTTTGGAATAGGAATCGTGTACCCGCGCAGACCAATCGGGTGATAACTGAGGGAACAATGGACAGTTCGGTGCTCGTAGGCGACCCTGTCTACGTGCCTCCTCCTCGGCGCGAAGCCGTTGGGCAAGTTCGTGCTCCTCCCGTAGGCGCTGTTCTTCCGCTCGACGACGCTCTTCCTGTTCTGCGCGCTGCCTCTCGAGCTCTTTCTTGCGCTCCTCTTCTTCTCGCTCCTGACGTTGTCGGTCGGAAACAAGATCCGAGACCTTCAACTCCCCCAACGACTCAACTACGTCAACTACGTTAGGGAGGTCATCCGCCAGTGTTTCTGGAGGGTGAGTCTGGTCCTCGGGGTTGGCCTGGCACCAACTAAAGCAGCTGAGTAAGTCCTTGGGATCAGGCGCCGGGGTTCCAATAGACCGTGCAGATTTGTCTTTGCCACTTCGCCAGAGAAAGGCGAGTGCCTCCTGAGAGGATGCCAGGACGACCTTGTCGGGTTCGCCAGGATCACCGCCGTTAAATTGAGCATTTGCTGCCCGGTAGAGTTGACATTCCAGGGGAGATAAATAGGGTTTGGAAGACTTGCGAATCTTCTTCTGACTCTCTTGGTAGAGGCGGATCCTTGTCCGCTGGTCTATCAACGGCCGAGGTGCGGCAGCTTCTTTTCTTTTTTGGTTGTTTATTTGTGGCATAGGCCTAACCATGGCCGGGCTAGCCTCCCTCCCGAAGTCGGTTTGGGTTCTAACATCAAACGTTCGTCGGGGAAGGACTTGGTAGCGCTTCCCAATTCTCCGGGCCCGTTCTGTGATCAACTGTACCCTCGTCTTGGTCAATAGCCGAGACCGTATCGCTTCGTCTGATGGCGGATTTTGCTGGGGGGGCCGGGCCTGATTGCGTGGCAGTTGCTCTTCGCTCTCTTTCGATGCGTCGCCGATCTCGGTCTTGATGTCGACGTCTTTCTCTTCACCCTCCTCTTCCTCCATAGGGAAGCTTCCCGGTAATGTGATCGTGGTTGGTGTGATTGGCGGGGCGGGAGATTCGGGGTCGGCGATTTGCGGGATCGGACTAGGGGTAGCAGCTGTAGTCGTCGGCGTTTCTCGAGGTGCACTCGGCACCAGTCGATACAAGCTTGGCATAAGCCTATTGTTGGCGAGGGCATCTAGATCCTTCAGCACCACTTCCATCGTTGTGTCGGGAAAAGATTGAGGAGATATAGTCTCGTGGCATATATCACTAAGCTTTGATAAAAAGCTTCTGAGGAAGCGGAATTCTCTCTGCGCCGTCCTGCTGAATAGCTCTGGTAGGATGTTGGTTGTTGGTGTGGGTTGAGCCGTCTTGATAGACAGGACGAAAGTAGTATAGAGCCTGGGCAAGACGGATTCCGCCTTCTTAATCGCGCGGCAGAGGAGCAGTCGCCTCTCAGAGTAGGATATGCCATCGAGGGGGGGAGCCTTCTCGTCGTTGTACACGAGTGATTGGAGGTAGGGGAGGAAGCTATCTCCAGCAATGAAGGTTGTTGTAGGGGTCTTAGGCCCCTCTGAGCCATTAAAGCTATGGTCGACATCGCTGTAAATGGAGGATAGAAGGTCAAGGAGCTCACAAATTCCATCTCCAAGAGGGGCTAGGTCTTTTGGTGAGGTCCACACCTGCTTAGCGTTTTTAGGGGTCAAGGCAACCTCATCCGGCTTGCCCGAGGTGGCCAGTTGGTCACAGTCAGTGAGAGGTTCATCTGCAGTAGGTTCATCTGGAGCAGACTCGTCAGGCATGGGTTCTTCCACCGACGGTTCTTTTGGACTAGGTTCATCTCCCGTCGGTGCGTCTGGCGTAGGGCCATCTGGCGAGGGATCATCTTCGCCAGAAAGTTTTCTTCTCTTAGGTTGCGGGATTCTAGTTTCATCGTCGTGAGGACGGCGCTCAAAGAGAGATCGGATTCGCCGTGTAGCTGATACAGATTAGCAACAGATGAAAGGGTGCGACATGATATGGGGCCTCCCCTTCACGTACCGATGGCAGCAATTTGGCCAGGCAACTGACGGGTGCCCTCCAAATGTGCAAGAATGGTCGTCATCGTACTGGGCTTGGCGGCGGCTTTCACTGCGGTCTGCATGCCTTGTTCCACTTGTCCCTCAGGTGGATCCACGTTGCCAGCATGTGACAGAGCTTCCACACTTTCGGTTCCTAGGCTGCTGCCTTTTTCTTCCCACTGAAACTCTTCTTCGTTATTCTGTCTTCGGTGTTTGCGGCCTCTGGGTTGTTTTCCGCCCAAAGGCTCGTCACCAATACCGGCGTTCTCAGAAAAGAGAATGATCGTAGGGGGCCTAACCACCAAGGGTAGCCTATCCCGTCTAGGCGGGGGTGCGGGTGCAATTATCGTAATTACCGGTTCCGTCGTCGCCACGTGTGCGGGAGAGGGGGACCCAAGAGGGGATATAAGGCGAACTTGAGGGGTATCGATGAGAACGGCTTTTTTCTTGAGTCTGGGTAAGACCGCTTGAGCGGAAGGCTTCTTCAGCGCGGGACGCAAGTTGCTAGGGACGGCAGGCTTCGGTTCTGAATGAAGAAGAGAGGCGCGAGCGCGTCTATGATGATGCTTTTTCACTCTTCTGAGTCTTGGATGACGACTTTGCGCTAGATACACGAGACGCTTCCCGTAAAGCGCCGGCTTCTTCTTGAAAAAGAGGTGCGCTTGGCGTTCAAGATGCTTGCCGAACCGAGCGCTTACCAATTTCCAGTTGTGATGGATCCTTACGATAGGATCAACAAATCTCTGCGCACTTTCCACAGCAAGCTCGTCGGTGGAACGGTGATGCGGCTCGGAAGAATATGCCTCCACATCCACTCCACGGTTTGTATACCTGAAAGCAGCGGTTTTGGGAATGGAGGTCTGTCCGTAACGATTCGGGGCTCGGAACTGTTTCTTCCAAGACTTGGAGGTTGACGATCCTTCTACTTCTGTACCGTGCGTATCGGGTCTTCGGTCAGGGGAGCCTTCGATGTCCGCATAAAACGGCGGCTTCGGCTCGAGGCGTGATCTTCCTGGAAGAGGCTCCATGCTTAGTTTTCGTCCTAGCATACAGGACCAGACTTGCTGATAAAAGAGAAACGATATTGGGGGCAGAAATAGGGTTAATGTAGGAATAAAGAAAGATGGTGATCGGGAAGAGGTTGTGGGTTCGATAAATGACGGATGACTCTGCGGTAAGAGCTGAGAAGGGAGGAGGAACGGATGGTGTACAGACGGATTGCGAACTGGTAATAGGAAACTGGGAATGATGATTTGAATGGGGGGCGGAAGGGGATAAGGAAAAGGGTCAATTACAGGTTCTTTATTCACACAATAGAGCTCAATAACAATCCCCAAACGCGATGGGAATTTGCGCAGGAAGGCATTAGGGACTACATGAGTAGCGCTCGCCTGGCGTGGTGCGCGCCTGCCGTTTTGCACACAAGAGTTTCGATTCGGACCTCGCACTTCAGATTCGACACACCAAAATCAAAATTATCTCTCTTTAATCCCAACAAATGGCTCGCACAGACTGACACGGTCGATACTATTCGCTTCGATGAGGTACGACAAACGGGTATACGTTTTCGAACGAGGGTATAGATGAAGTTGTCGTGATGAAAGATTGATTTTTTGGTGGAGAGCTTCAACCAACTCTGGAGCAAGTTGGGAGAGCAGCTTTAGGTCGTGGTCGACAAGTCGTCTTGGCTTACATAATAGAATACAACTCTGACTTGGATTTGAGCGATCACAATGCAAATTGCCCAGAGTACGAAGCAGCGGAAGATGAATACGTACTTGTGTACACAGGTACCTCTATGCACACAGGTAATTAGTTCGCAATTAAATACACCGAAGAAGCGAATGTTCAACACCTCCGTCGTCGAACTTGCGACAACTTTTAGATACTTCACGTTTCGACATTCAACATGTGCAGTAGCCAGGTCATTCTTGCCCATGAACTATATTGTAGTTTGCTGATAGCTTCATAATCGGAAACAAGAGTTTATTGATATCGAGAAGTCATAATACACAAGAAATCAAAACCAACAATTCCAAAAGGTGGCGCTAACAATCCATACTGCCCATGCCATTGCTCTTTCAACCTCGGCCAGATGAGAAGTGTCAATTTGCTTCTACAATTGCGCCGTGATGTCACCCAGCGTCTTGGTGCTGAAGGCTCCAAAATACTCATCCAGCGCATCCGCCGTACCAGTACCCTCAACCAAGCTGGTCACCAGGCTTACATAACCATCTGGCCGGATAACCACGACACCTCCACGCTCCTCGTCCAATCCCATCTTCGCGTGGGCGGCGGCCTTGGCGGACGGGACTCGCCTGTCCCATCGGTCGTCAGCGTAGATGTGGTCTCGGTATCGAGCCAGCACGCCAGGTACGTCCCTTACAATCTCAACGTCGCTCCTCCTGCTAGCAAAGATGGTGCAGAAAGTGTAGAGGCGGCTGTGGGGGTTGTGCTTTTCATGGTGTGTGACGGTCGCTTCATCGGCCCTCCTGTAGGCCGTGAAGAAGGAGGTTTTTCGCTCAAGGGCGCGGGCAAAGTCCCGTAGCGCGGTTTGAGTCTTGGAGGGGTTGCCAGCGAAGACGAGAATGCGGAACGAACCGTTGAAGGGGACGGCATGCTCAAGATGGATGACATTAGCATCCACAACCCTTGTAACGTCCGCGTTGATCATAAGACGGCCGGTCCGTAGCTTCGTCCCCGCAGGGTGGATAAGAGTTGACTTGGCAGGGTGGGATGGCGACCAGTTCAGCACATTGGGCCCGTACGCAACACCGTAGCCGCTCGTAAATTCGCAGCTCTCCTTGAAAGTCTTGACGAATTCATTGTCGTCGGCAGATTGATCCTCCGTTCGCGAGGCCATTTCCACCTCCTTGGCTTGGGGAATCCTCTGAGAAAACAGCTTGGCGTATTTGTTATCGAACGAGAGCAGGGTCTCGGCGACTTCTTTCCGTTCCGGTTCGTAGGTATTGAGGATATCCCTGGAAGCGAAACCTTGCTCCACGTGGTGGATTTTCCAAGCGAGATTCACAGCGTCCAGGAACGCCGTGTTCATTCCCTGTCCAGCCTTGGGCTATAAGACAAAAAAAAAAAAAAAAAGATTAGCAATCTTAGGCGACAAAAATACTGGCGACGGAGAGAGAAGGACTTACGCTGTGGGTGTGGCAGGCATCGCCGCCCAAGAAAACGCGGTTGTCAAGGGTGTACCGATCCGAAATACCCTGTCCGATGGGGTAAACCGAATACCAAACAACTGACTCCCACTCAATGGAATAGGGTTGAAGGATTTTTTTCGCTGAAGCCTGCACTTCTTCGGCAGTGGCTGTCTTGCGCGGGTTCCAGTCGGGCTCCGATGAAGACGCGATCTGGATGTATAGACGAACCATGTTGTCTTCTCGGGGGATAATCATGATCGAGCCATGATGGCTGTGGATTGTGCATTTCATCTAAGCACAATGCGTGTCAGATACGAACGCTAAGAGAATGTCGTGCGCGGGATTCACGGTGCTTCTTACCTTAATGTCGGGGAAGTCAGTCTTGACAACTCCGTCCATCACTCCCCAGACGTGCTCGATAGGGTCCTTGTGCCTGACCGCAATCCCAAGTTGCTCTCGAATGAAAGATCGAGCGCCCTCACCACCAAAGAGGTACTTAGCCCGGACCGTCTCTCGAGCGAGGCCATCGACATGCTCCAAGCGCACTTCCACGGGGTACTCGGAATTGCTCTTCGCATCGGATGTGAATCCCTTTATCGTCCAGGGTCGCTGGATTTCGACACCATTCTCGCGCAAGTCATCGATGAAAACCGTCTCAATTCGGCCTTGGTGGATAAGGGCGGTGAATGGATAACGCGCATCGATAAAGTCGGGGCAGCTAGCCCAAGTACCGGTTCGGATGATGCCATCCTTATTCTTGGGAGGATCCCAGAAGGCGACCTCGTAGACTTTGGCGGGCTTGAATTTCATGAGTGGCTGCTTCAGGCCCATGTTCCGGAGCAGGTCGAGGGATCTCGGCTGGATTCCGTCGGCCCTTCCGGTCGGTGTGGGCTCCGGGCGATTGTCAATGTGCTTAATTTTATAGCCCCATCGTGCGAGGGAGGTGGAGAGCATGAGTCCGACAGGACCAGCTCCGACAATGACTACAGAATAGCGAAATTAGCAACCGAGAGTTCAGTTGATTCGCCGCGTCAAGAGTGAGAGCAGAAACTGTCACCTACCAATGTCATAGTACCCTTCTGGTGCGGAGGCCATGTTTGATCGCGGGTACTGCTTATTCAAAAAGGGATGGATGTGCCAGAATATGAAGGAAAAGGGTTAATTACAGGAGGGAGATGGTTATAGAGCTGGCATGGACAGGAAAAGAAGAGTGGTTCTAAACATCTAAAGGAAAAAAACCTCGAGGGAGATGCGCGCACGGCGTTAATATAATAACTTCCACCTCGGGCTTGTGGGAACTGCCTAACAGCCGCCAGTTTCCATGCGCAGAGCAAGGAGCATCAGAAGCTGCGGAGTAGGCCCAATGTGGGCGGCATAGAAACTCGGGAAGGTCGCATTCCAGCTACACCAAGACCAGAGTAGCTGGCCGCGACGGCAACCGAATAACAAGCGCGAGATCCACCGGCTGGGCGACCAGGGAGTCAGGGACAGTGAAGGTCACGAGAGGGGAAAGTTCTGGCCGAGCATACTGCCAGAATCGATTCACTCAAGGTGGAGCAACCAGCGCAGAGCCGCTAGGTTAAACCGAGCCAAAGGGCGACAGGAAAGTGAGAGCCGACCAATATGCCCGGCGATGGCGGGGGGGCGAGACTGCGAGAGTATGGGCCACGCCATGTTGGACCCTGCCTTTTCCCCCATTAGCGCTCGGGTAGTGGAATCGGCACAGATTATCGGTTAATGGAGTCGGGAGTCTTTCTCCTTGTGGGGCCGGACACGCCAGCCAATGAACCTTGGACAATTCATTTCATCCTGGCAAAAGCGCATCAATTGATCCCATGTGGGGTGTGGGGTTGCCAGTCTACGGAGCACACAGTCCTTGCTTTGCCAGGCTCAAAACCCTTGCATGGGTTGCAGCCCACTGCACCTCCGTCGGTCGCTGGGGTGGCGTAAATGGGACCATATTGCATGCGAAGAATGAAACGTCGTTGATTATACACTCAAGTGATCCCGAACATTTCCATTGTCCATCGTCCATTGTCCAATGTCGAACTAAGCTTTTGTTCCTTCAATGCAATGTCTGAGTGACTTTACCTTTGTACAGCGATTAGTCATGCAGCCAAGCTCGAGAGCTTTCTTTTTTTCTCTTCGTCTTTTTTTGTCCAAGCTCTCTTTGCCAGCTCTCACCAACTCTCATTATTCCAAGCTCTCTTCAATTACTCGCATTGGATCGAATATGACCTTGCCAATTGCCATCGCCAGTTTCTCCCGCTTGCCCACCTGATCTGGGGATATGGCGGACTGTGCGCCAGTCCGTCGCTAGGAATGGTTTCATGAGACCTCCAAGAGCTACAACACCATCCTGGTTTTCAAATCCACCCGCAGAGCACGGCGGCATAAGCCGTTCGCTCAAAACCCTCCTGGGCACCAACACCTCGCGAAGGATCGTTCAGGATTCCGCTGTTTTGGTGCTCCTACGGCTCTTTGGAGGTCGCTCACTAACGGAGTTGGTCCCTCCTATGATAATACACCCATAATTCGCGGAGCCCTGGGGACGCAGCGACTTTCTGGCATTGGGCAGAGAGAGAGCTGCTATTAGCATCTCCTGGTCCTCAAGGCGGTTGAGGAAACCAATGGTGCCTGCCAATAGCCTTCCTGCAAAGCCTGGCTCAACCAACCAGTTGATTCGACTCTCGACTCTGCAGAATCGTTGAATACTTCGATATGTCGGCATTGGGGAAGTTGAGCCTACTAAGCATCTTGTTACACACATCTACCGACGGCATCTCGACAATGACTCGTGTTCTATTGCTCCCGGTTCCTTCCCTCACAACATGTTACAAAGGATAGAGGGTCAAGGGAACCTCATCCAGCTCTTATACATATGTGCATGGCATAGAGTCCTGCAGCCCCCCCTCTGTTGGTTCCCAAATGGCTCACCAGGGGCCAAGATTCGTTTAGGATTGCTTACACCAATATACGAGGTAAACTCCTGGAAACGCAAGACAGAATGTTCCGCGACGTGATCCTGAGGCTGCTTTCCACAACGGGTGCTGTATAATCTAAGGAAACACCATCGCAGGGTAGTTGAGATGCTGGACATGAGTCAATCATGATTAGCCTTCGTCTTTTTTCCCATAAAGTCCACTTTGACCTTCTCCTTTGAGCTTCATACCCTCTGTCAGGTCCATTGAACCTTTCTTCACTTGCAGCCATCTCCCAAAAACCAGACAGTCTCTCTGACCTAAAGCAGCAAAATCTCGATCATAATTCCCCTTCTTTTGAGGGTTTCTTCTTCCAATTTTCTTTATTCCCCGTTTCTTTTTCTGTAGCCTTCCTTCCCCTTATTCCATCCCATCACATCGTCTAGGGACAGCGGCAAGTCCACAAAGCAGAGTAACATACAATGGCAGATGACAAGAAGCCTAGCCATGGCTATGGAACGGCCGAAGGGTATCATATCCCAAACGAGGACTTACTCGACCCTATTCGGGGGGACTTCGTCACCGTTTCTCCGCGAGCTACGCCTCAATCATCGTCACCTCAGCGGCACCCGCTCCTACAACGTGTGCAGATCCGGAACGGCGCTCTTGCCGAAGGAGGAAGACAGTTGAAGGGGCATACGAGAAAGTATAGATCTCCCCTTTTTCTACATTACTTAGATGTCCTTCCAGGCTCTCGTTAGCTTACATTCTTTTAGGTTCAGCCTCCCTCGAGTCTCCAACCAGCCTGCTATATCTCATCCTGAGCCCCAATTCCGGAACTCCGAGCGAGCTAGTCCATTCGGCGACTTGGGGGGAACCGCCCACGACTCAACTGCCGCCCCCCGAGGTTTGGCTGTAGAGCCCCATCCACGCCACTATGCTGCTGAAGAAGTACCCCAAAAGGCCCAGGCCCCTTTCCGAACCCCCGCGTTCGCCTACACTGAAAGGCCGTCCCCCTTGTCGCTGGGAAATGTTTCCTCTGACAGGCGAACCACTCTCGCCGAAAGAAGGCATCAAGTCCCACCCCACAGTCTTGGCACAGGCGGTGAAAGAAGCCTCGGAGCGCATACGCGGTACAACGACGTCGATGAGTCTCTGGCTGAGGGCACAAGGGCCCAAAGACCCGGTCCTCAGAGGACGGATTACGTCTAGGATTCCGAATCCGTGTACTCTGAGGAAAGGGACTCGACGGCCTTGGTTAGCCCATTGAGAGTCCCACGTTCCGAGAAAGAATTCTGTCGGGATGCCCACGGATGTCCTGTTCTCCAGGGTTACTGCGAGTGGATGCTCTCTCCGCGAGGTGGAGATACCCAGGAATCGTCCCGCGCTCCTGGTCAGCCCAGCCCCCCTTCTACGCAGGATGTTGCTAGATCTTCAGAGAATGCTAGTACCGCGGTCATGGAATCGCACAAAGTAACATTGTACTCTCCGCTGACGCCATTTTTCGCCGATCAGAGTCACCCGACATCCAAGAAGGGGGAGAAGGTCATGTTCGGCCAAAATGGATGGCTTGAGCGAACCGGGGAAACTCCAGAGAAGAAAAGAGATGTACAAAAGAGGAGTATTTTCGAGATTGTGAAGAAAATCGCGAAGGAAATGGTTAGTTTACCGCTTGGATCATTCACCTCACCTCTTCCTACTGAATTGTTCGTGTTCGGTGCTCGCTTGGACTGACATCGGGACCTACCAGACAACCTCAAATTCTAGGTTTCATGGAGTGAGCGGGCAAAAAAAGCCAAGTCACAACATCGTAATCTCCCTCGATCCTCGGGAACAAAGTCTGCTTTATTGCGAACTCGAGTTCTATCTCAGCTGCGCTATGCATGGTTACATCACAGTCCAGCTCAACAATGGTCGCCTTGACGTCGCCAAGCTGAAAAAAATTTCCGATGCTTGGACCCAGAAAGGGCGACCTAAGGTGGTAGGCTTTCGCTTTGATTTGGAAACTCAAATCGAGCTCATCCGTCTCCATATTCACGAGTTCCGGTTTTACGGACAACGCCAAAACAGCCAAGCCGAAATCAGCGGACTCCTTCATACGATGAAGGTCAACGCTAGGGCTATGGGTGTCCGCACTTACTGCCAGCCAGATGTGGTGATTGCCAAACAGCTCGTTGAGGCTCAATCTTTCTTTGACCTTCTCGGCGTTCCCGAAGTCCAGCATATCGCTCTACAGCACGTGGCGCAATTTTTCAAAGTCATCGTCGAGAGGGAGCAGCACAAGGCCAACCGTCCGGGAAATGACGAGAGCCTAGCTGTTCCCGATATAGTCAACGCCCAGTGGGAGGGTCCTTCGAAGGAAATCTCGAAAAGTCGCCGGTAATCAGAGAGGACCTAGGCTACGGGAGAATAGCCGCTCCATGGTACCCTTAGCTAGCCATCGGAAGGCTAGGTGTGGCGGGCGTTTATCTGATGCAGACTCTGCCCAAGACGTTTTTTTTCTCTTCCCTTCTTCGTTTCCCCCCCTTAGAAGCCAATCTCCTTCACGCGTTTGGCTGCTGTGTTTTACACGTCCCAAGGAGGGTATCTCACCCTTCGATCACTCAAGGCATCTAAACACACACGCACACACGTCTATCTACTAGGGGACCATCCGGGGACTAGACAGGCCAAAATCATAATAAAATCGGACCTTTCGGCCCCTATTAAAAGGAGAATAAAATGTGAAGCTGAAGACTAATCCGAGCAAGCGGAAGATGGTAAACAGCAATCCACTTCAAACCTAACCTCTCTTCCTTGCCTTTCCCAACTAGTCCATAACTGCTACGTGAGCCATCATCTATCAAGATATCGGAAGTGTGGTCGCTAGTGCGGGCTGATTTCTTTAATGCTGGCCCCTGTGGGCAACGGCTTTGGTTTGTACTTATGTAGATCTGTTGACCCAGGGAGCAAGCCGAGCATGCCTCCGTTGAGTATCATTTGCCTCAAAGTTTGGAGCTGAGAATCATCACCTGAAGAGCTTAACTGGAACCAAATGGATCAATATCACCAGGCGTCTGAAGCAGAAGGCAGTAATAAGCGGGATGGCCACTATACCCAGGGTTGACGGTAAGGGGCCCATTGTAAACCCAACCTACCTAATAATGACAATAATTGACCACACCCATAACTGTGGCTTGCCTCTTGTGACTGCAACGGTTAGATAGCAAGAGTGGACATGGTGCCTTTGTAATGGGAACTCCATTCCCGCAAGACCTTAATGTTATCCCTTGGCCGCACTTCGACTCAAATTGTTCGATGTTGATTCTGCCCCACTATGATGACAAAGTCGACGCTACAAAGTACAACTCCGGCATGGTGGCACAGGTGGTACAATTCTGACCTTGGCTTTACTTCGTAGGCGGGGTCAGAGTCCAAGTCTGGGTGCGTGCTAAACTAGCCACTGCCGCCACTCATCTCATTGATTGATGCTATCATTGTTGCTTTGCTTGCTGCGGAACCCCCCGACTTCAAAGCTCCCCGGAACCTGGAACAAACCCATTGGCGCCTTGGAGCATCTCAGCACCACAGCTCTATTGTGTCCATGGCACACACTTGCCGATATATTGAGAGCTCACTTGTTCTCTCCTCGGCCACCCTCCCTTACTTGTTAATCACAGAAAACTTCTGCTTCTACCATCATACTTCCACTGCCGCGCACGACACATCTCTATCGCGCGGCCATGACGGCAAATCTAGCGCTCAACTTTGTTACATTCAACCAGGACCATAGCTGCCTGGCAGTCGGTAAGATGACCCTGACTCTCGCGCTTTCCCTTTACCCTCGACTTTTATTCGGAGCTACTTCTAATGACATGGATTTCCGATCATCGTAGGTACATCGAAAGGCTTCCGAATCTTTCATACCGATCCGTTTTCAAAAATATTCAGCAGTGACGATGGAAACATTGCCATCATCGAGATGCTCTTTTCCACGTCACTCGTGGCTTTGATACTATCCCCGAGGCACTTGATAATACAAAATACAAAGGTTGGGGACTATCTGCTCAGTTGTTTGGTCTACCTCGCTCTCAAGGTGTAACGGCTTCGCTAACTCCCACTTAGAGGTCATCGGTAATCTGCGAGCTCACCTTTCCTTCCGCCGTCCTTGCCGTACGTCTGAATCGCAAACGGCTAGCCGTCGTCCTCGAAGATGAAATATACCTCTACGATATCTCAAACATGTCGCTTCTTTACACAATTCCCACCTCACCTAATCCGACTGCGATCTGCTCCTTGTCTCCGTCCTCTCAGAACTGCTATCTTGCCTACCCTTTACCGAAACCCCGAGAAGACACGGGGGATAAAAGGCCATCTCATGCGCCACCACTATCTACATATATTCCGCCTACTTCGGGCGAAGTTCTTGTCTTCGATACACTAACGCTGAAAGCCGTAAACGTCATCGAGGCTCACAAGTCTCCATTGTGTTGCGTGTCCCTCAACAGTGAAGGAACCCTGTTGGCAACAGCAAGCGAAATGGGGACCATCATACGCGTATTTTCAGTTCCCAAGGGCCAGAAATTGTACCAATTCCGCCGTGGAACGTATCCATCCACAATCTATAGCATGTCCTTCAACCCCACTTCCACTCTTCTCTGCGTTTCCTCGGTGTCAGATACTGTCCACATTTTCCGCTTGGCCAACGCTACAACTTCCAGCTCTTCCTCAGCGGCCTTGCACGCCGTCTCAGGTGCTTTGGAATCATCAACATCGTCGAGGAATGACCGATGGTCCCGACCACGCAGCCATGATGGCTCTGGAGACTCGCCAACGGGCAGTGCAGCTGGCTCCCCTGTCAGTGACGCGGCAGATATTCCAGCCCCCACTAGCGGAAGAGGCGGCTCGTCGGGAGGGGCGACGAGGAGGCAGAGCGGTTCCTTTAGCAGCATCTTGCGGAGGTCTTCCCAGATTATGGGCCGCAGTGTAGCAGGTGTTGTTGGCTCATATCTTCCGCAAACCGTCACAGAAATGTGGGAACCTCAGAGGGACTTTGCCTACATCAAGTTGCCAAAGTCTTCGGCTAGCTCTTCTACGCATTCGCGGGCAACCACGTCTACGACGCAGCCGGCTCCAACCGGGCCCCTGCGAAGCGTTGTGGCCATGAGAAGCAATAGCCCCGAGGTGATGGTTATCACCAGCGATGGTGGCTTTTACGTGTTCGAGATAGATATGGAAACCGGCGGAGAAGGGCGTCTCACCATGAAGTTCTCGTACGTTTCTTTTTACCCCTGCCGCTTCTAATACTCACTTGCTAATTTAAACCAGCGTCCTCGATGGCGATGACAAACTCGACACCCTATCATACGGGTCGTAGTATTTAATGAAGACTTTATTCGCGGTCTCGACAGACAGGGGAAACAGGGTGATACGGTTTGGTTACGGAGTTGCCACCCGGAGTTTCATTTATAATGGCTTTTTTTTTTTCCTTTCCTTTTTGAAGGGTACGGGGTTCGGTTGACAACTCCAATTTATGAGAGACGGTAGGCTTGACTTCATCTGCTCATCTAGTTAATACTACCCACTTGTCCTCGGTGTTGTCCGCGAATGTTTCCTTCTCGACAGCCACAGTGGCGTACATGCAACCCTCCGTAAGACGAAAGACCAATTCTCATCTACGATGCATAGAGGCAGTTAGTCACATGTAGCGTGAGTCGTATGGTAAAATGAGGTGTACGCTAGGCATAGCCCAACACTTCCAGATATATTCAATTAGGCGAAGACGCTCGCGAGAGGAAAGACAATCCTAGCCTCCCTGAAGACGAAAAGAAAGAAAAACGACATGCGCCAGCACTGTACCACTGCGTTGACATAGAAGAAAAGTTGATGAAAGGGGAGCACAACAAACGTAGTCTTATCAACCAATGCCCGTCAAACCCAAAACATAACGTCGTTTCATCAAGATAATCGCATCGTTGTAACCATTCAACATACTTCATGAAAAGAAAAGAAAAAAAAAAAAAGGGAGGGGGGGAAGGGGAGGGGGAATCACTTCAGTCGCCAGATATGGTTGGTCATAACCTCGTACCCATGTGCATCATCGGTTGGCGTAGGGTCGGTTCATGAGTGCGATCTCTCGAGCTATTTCCCCCCATTCCAGTTCACGCTGAAACCCTGAGCCGCCGTCCTTCCGCGACTGCAGTGTCTCCTCCCACTTCAGTAGCTCGTAAGCAAATCGTAGGTGAGGTTGGATAATGACATTGAGTCGGCGTGCCCGCACAAAACAGTAGGCACGGGGAAAGGACAAGTCCAAGGTGCGCATGACCTCAGCAATGCATATTGTAGCGCTTCGGGATACCCCTACTCGGCAATGGACAAGAGTGGCTGTCCCGTTGCGGCGCCCGCGATCTGGGTTTCGGGGTCGATCGTTAGATGTGACGAGATGAGATGGGGAGGGAGTGCTGTGCTCAAGGCCACGATTTGTAACTTACCAATAAACTCAAGGCATCGATCAAATACGTCGGTCAATGGGTCAATTCCATTATCCTGGACACATTCAACCGTATAGAGATTGTCCACTCCCCACTTATCGTGTTCACCATCCTTCCACAAGGCTGTTTCTCCAACGCTGAGGACCTGGCCGATACCGAGGGCCCGGAGGAGGTCAGGGTTGCTTGCATGGCTAAGGTTTCCGAGGTACATGTAGTCGAGAATCCTGCTGGGTAAAGATCCATCTAGTCCAGTAAACCAAGGCGGTTCGGTCTTGATAAGACCGGTTAAGTCAGCCAAACTTAACGATGAGCAGACTGGAGACTCCTGGAGTAGCCGCGCGGCAAGGGTTGAGAGAAGGGCTACATCGGCGGGGTAGGCAAAGAAATTGCGCTTTTTCTCCGTATGCAGCGTCAGCCAGGCATCCGGAACAGGTCGCCCTGTACTATAGCTAAAATAAGCTATGGCCAACATGGTCGATTCGGTATAGCCATCGGCGCAGTGGAGAAGGATCTTCCGCTGCGGCACGTGGACATGTTCCGCATCACTCTCGAAGTCGGCATCCGCCTCTTCATCCTCGTCAAACGCAGACCTCGGCGAAGATATTGGCAATACGCCATGAGCGAGGTGGTAAATCCATTTGCAAGTCTCAAGAATACCGTCGGCCTCGGCGTGAGACCAAGTCGGCGGAAGGATGCTTCCAGATGATGGAAAGTCAAAATGTTTTCGATCTGAAGCTCCGGGGTCGCCCTCAGCAACGGCCCTCAGAGCTCCAGGATTGATATGGCCCAGATCGCTACACTCGATTAGGATGTCGAACTCTTGCTCGTCTTCAGAAGAGGGGTAGGGGGTCGGCCCAACCCAGACATTGTGGGATATCTCGCTCGCCTTCGACATGCAGTACATTTCCGTCCTCTCCTGTACGAAGAAATCGACAATGTTCCCCGTTACGCCGCCTTCGGAGTCAATCGCAACGAACTTGTAATAATTTTCTTCAAACTCGCTAAACGGACATGCGCATATGAAGGTATTGTACTTCGGCAAGGCCTGCCCCGTGGATTCGTGCGCATTTCTCCACCTATGCTGAGCTTCCGCAATACTCCAGCCAACCTTCATGACGGCAGAAATATCCTCTCCGTAGACAATGATATCTGATGTCATCGCTGCCTTTGCGGCCTGGATATGGAAGTTGCGCACGGAGAAACCCTCCCGAGGGTCGACATCGATAAATTCAGCGACAGAACCCGGCTGCATGAATTCGTCTGCGGAAATGGCCCCTTTGAGGCGGGAAATGGTCAGGTCACCATCGGCCTTGACCACTGTGACACCCCGCAGGCACAGGGGCGTGGCGCGGGAAGCATTATGGCGCGTGGTGAAGAATGCTTGCTGTATATGATTCTGTGGGTGGATGCCATGGAACCAAGGAAAGACATTTCCGGGGTCAGGCAAGGGCTGATGCGAAGAGTATTCCAACGATGCCGCAACATCTCCAGCGCTTATAGTGTATAGGGAAAGAGCGCCGGACTCGATACGACTAAATCTATCAGGCGGGAAGAGTAAAGAAGTTTGTGAGGCGGAGGCAGATGAGTTTGGTTCTAGCGATGGCGAGCGTGATCTCTGATCGCCACTGATTTCTACGCTACACTCATCTCTGGTCGTGATAGAGCCGGGTGGGCAATATGGTATATGCTTGTTAGGCACCGTAACGGGGCTTGAAGATGCTGGGTCCGGAGGAGAGGGAGTCCGCCCGTCGAGACTAATGGATGGGGCAACAGAGCTGACTGCGGCGGACGTGGACCGATGCGGGGGAAGTGGTCTTGTGAGAGCAATCGTCGCCATTCTGGACGGCTACACCAGCAGGGTCGGAGGAGAGGAAGCTGGATATCGTAGAAGCCTAAGAACCATAAAAGTGTGAACCACCGAACGACAGTTCAGGTTATCAATATCGACGATATAGAATATGAAGTTTGAGGGATCTCATTAGGCCTATAACGGACGGGAACCAGCGACAATTATCCCATGTGTCGGCAGCTGGATTTCGGATAGCAAAAGCGTGGGCCACGCGAGACCAACAAGAACGTAGAACGTTGAACGTCGAATGTCGGTTGTTCGGCGGCTCACGGGACACGTACGGGGCACGTCGGGTACACTGAATGAAGCGTGAGGGGATGTAGAGGTGTCGACTGGAGCAGTTTGCCATGCACACGAAACACTGTTGACGAAACGGCAAGCAAGATATTGTATGATGATTAAGCCATGGCAGACGACAGAATGGTAAGGACAATACGAAGGAAAAGGGTTGGCCTCTGGCCTCGCGCCTTATCACGAAGGAAGTGATATGGTGCAACTCTTGGTGATGATTGAAGCTCGTTGGTTCAATGTTGCAGTTCGAGCGGGGAAGGTGGATGTAGGAGACCCACACCGCCAGGCTAATAAGTACTCCGTAGTAGTGTCCACCTGTATCTAATACTCCTCACACGACCGAGGTAGGGTACACTACATGTATATTTATACTACCTATTGGCGTACTGAGATACCCAGCATATCGTTTGAGCATGAGTCGATCTTCGTGTATACTACCTCTGTTGCGGACTAAACTAGTACGGTGTCTGGACATACTACATCAATACTACCGCGCAGTCAACTAGCGCCTTTAAATACAGTTGGCGACACTAGTGCCTGTCGTGTACTAGTGCAGTTGCAGTACTTGTATACTCGGACGATATGCCATGAATCTGAACTGTTCCTCATCTACAGTGGGAGCTTGACATGATCACCCAGTCGCTTCTGTGTTGGAAATGAAGTCTAGGCCCCTGATATTGAAATTATGAGCACCCTGCAGGGAGGAAAGCTCCCCCCAATCGAGGTATAGAGAGTGTGAGAATTAATAGGGCTTCCAATATTGTCGCTGGAGTTCTCAATCTTCCATTGATCAATTTGTTGCTCCTGCATCAATTGATCCCTCTCTCCAATGTACTTCCGACTTCCGACTTCGTACCCCAATTGTCCCCACCAGGCACCAGCCAAGATCGGATTACATAAGAACAGCAGGGTCATAGCTTGCATCTTCTGAACACTTCAAATTATCCGACGTCATCGAACAAGATTAGCTTGACGTCGCGCGTCTGGTCTATCATCTAAAACTTGTCCCGACCAGCGACTTGGAAACAATAGCCCTTAATCTTGCTGCCTCCCGTTATTAGTCGAATGGGAACTTCATAATCCAGTTGCTTCGAGTCCGCTCAGATCTGCTTCCGCCGCGGACATGAACTGACACATTTTGTTGGACAAACCGAATTCCCCCATATCTAACTGCCTCCTCCATCGCCGCCCCGACCTTCATCTTCGACCGATGCGGCACACCTATTCTTCCTCGTGCCGACTGGCTCCAGCAGGTCCCCCTCCAGCCGCATACGACGAAAACACACTACCCCCCGTCTTGGCCCGGTTCTTCTATTCATCACACACATCTATCGATGATCTTGACTCCTTGGGCAACCCGAGCCATTCTTTACCTGAAGCTAAACACACCAAGGGCGAACTCCAACCATTTTCGCTGGTGGACAACATTGCTCTTGAAAATGCATGGCTTTCACTTATCAATGGATGCCACCGGCAAGCCCATGTCTCGGCGGAGGAATATCCAGCTCTAGACACCGGCTTAACAAACGCTCACGCCGAGACGCTTTCCCGCATCATTCAGTACCTAGCAACCGTACACCGTGATAAACACGGAGTGAATCCCCGAGCACTCCGAGCAGTGAACCAGGATGTCACAACCTCCGATGCAGCTGCCTCACCATCACAAACCTGCTGTCCCGAACTGTTCGAGGACTTAGATAATGAGCTGCGGGAAGCCTTTTGTCCGCTCCTAAGAAGAAGCCGCCACCAGCTTAGCCTCGATGGCGTCACCCAAAAGGTAATGATGAGCATGACAGCTCTCCAAGACAACCCAGGCTCTCGAACACATCAGAGCACCTCAGCAGGCCACGCGAACCGGGCGCCGCCAAATGATACTAGTGCACAAGGATTCGAATTGAATGGCAGAGATATGCCTGGAGCCAAGGACAATTACCACGCTACGTTGTCCACAGATCAGAGTGCAGATGGCTCTCGTCATTCTGTCAATGTACTGGCCAGCGCACGAGGTATTCTAGCTGATGACGGAATATCAGGAACACCCTTCATGAGGGTCGGCAGCTCTGCATCCTTATCCAGCGGAACCTCTCCCCCAACTCTCAGCCGCAAAGAGCACCCAGCCTGTGGTAGAAACGAGACTGAAACGTCGTCAGCTAGACGTTCTCAACCGGGTTTGGGCCGAGCTGTATCCACGGCCCCTACTGAGACACTACGCCGCCTACATTCAACTACAGAAGTTGTTGTTGGCTCTTCCAGATTACACACAGTATCCCTGCCTGCCCTCCAAATGAGGCCTATATACTGGTCGCCGATCAATGACAGAGCCGTGGTTATTCGAGCTACATGGTTCTATAGGTGAGCCGCATGGTACGTTACCACATAAGACGTTCTCTTAAACTAACTACGGCATCAAGGGACTCGATGCAACCAGTCCCGGTCGAAGTTGCAAACCATCTCGAGGCGGGCTACCAAGAGCTTCGACCCTGGACTGAAACATGGGCGGACGAACTGCGATGCGCCGTGGAAGTAGGTCCCCTCGGCGAGGAAAAAATCTCGTACCGCCTCTGGCCATTGGAACCCTCGAAATCTGGGAAACAACCTTTGGGCAAACGGGTCTGGAACGCGCCCGTCGACCCCTTCTGTGCGGCTCGATGCTTTAGGGGCGAAGCCGCCGCCGAGGGTGCTCAGGTACCACCGCAAGGCGGTCCGAACAATTCAGCAACATCACAAACGCCTCGACGCTTCGCAAATTACCACGTGATTTTCAAAGACGCTCGGCTGGCTTTTTTGCTTAAACCCAGCCTCAAGCCATCGGCTTACTACGGACGACGGCCTGCCGCCAAAATCATAAAAGGGTCAACCGTGGGAATACCCGTTATTAGAGGTTTTGACGTAGACGCGCGAGATCAACAGGGCACGCCTAAGAGCCCTGCGTCGGTGGGCATTTCGAGTTCACCTGGTGAGACGGCACCTGAAACTGCGGACTCGGGACCTTGCGCGGCCTGTGAATCAGACAAAGAGCAGGCTCGAGTTAACGACCTCGTGCTTGTAATACACGGCATTGGACAAAAATTTGCGGAAAGGGTTGAAAGTTTCCATTTCACGCATGCCATCAATGCGTTTCGACGTGCCGTTAACTTGGAGCTGAAAACCCCCGTAGTCAAGGCGGTCTTGAGGGAGGATAGCACTGCCATTATGGTGCTCCCCGTAAACTGGCGTCAGAGCCTGTCCTTTGAGGATGGAGGGCCCATGACCGAGGCTGACAGGACCGCCGAAGCGCTGGCGGCCTTCGGATTAAAAGATATTGAGCCACCCACAATTCCGGCCGTGCGAAGCATGATCTCCGATGTCATGTTCGATATCCCCTTCTACATGTCACAGCATAAACCCAAGATGATAGGTGCCCTTGTAGCCGAAGCCAACCGAATTTACCGCCTTTGGTGTCAAAACAACCCCGGATTCGCAGATTATGGACGTGTTCATCTGATTGCTCATTCCCTTGGCAGCGCAATGGCCCTTGACATTCTCTCGCGCCAACCGACCTACACTCCTAAACTAGACCCGTCCAAAACCGTGCCAGCTACCGACTTCTTTGAATTCGATACCACTAACCTATTCCTTGCTGGCAGTCCGGCCGCTTTCTTCCTCCTTTTGGAGAGAGGAGCCCTACTTCCCCGGCGCGGTCGATTAAAGCCAGGAGCCGACCCCCATGACGTCACGGCAGAGGATATCAATGGGGAGGCCGGGTCGCTGGGGTGTATGGCTGTTGATAACATCTACAACATTCTGGCGAAGGAAGATCCAATCGCCTATCTGTTGAACGGCACCATTGACCCTGTGTATGCTACGAGTTTGCGGACTGCTTACGTTCCAAGCACCACCAGCTCTCTCGTTGAGATGATGGGCAATGTCGTCCGTCACCTTGTTCCATTAAAGCCGTCCAAGGTCGACCTCACCGGTGTGTCTCAGGTGAAGCCGCCTGTCGTCCGTTTACCGTCTCAACTTGAACTTGAAGTTCACGATTTCACGAGGGAGGAGGTTGCGGAGAAGAAGGCTTATCTCCTCAACGACAATGCGCAGATTGACTACTACCTTCACTCCGGCAGTGGGCCCCTGGAGATACAGTATCTGAATATGCTGGGCGCGCACAGCTCGTATTGGAGCCACAAAGATTTCGTCCGCATGCTCTGCGTGGAAATTGGGCGGAGGCCTGGCAGGGAGTACACCATTCCTGAAATGAGGGCCCGTAAAATCCCTCGGCAGCATCTCGAAACGAATCCTTCATAGGCGTAAATTTGCGTTGGATAGAGGTAGACGCATAATCTAATCATCGCGACGGTTCCCTCCGTTTACTTCTGATTATCTCTGTATTAAGGGGACCAGACCAGGGTTACTAGCAAGCAGCTCACCCCTCCTATGAGGTATTGACCACTGATTGTTAGTCTATGGTGGCTCCCCTCCGTGCTTAAATTAAAAGCCGTCAATCTCCATCAGGTCATCATCCAGGCCATCGTCTATTCCGTATTCATCATCCAACACCGTTGGCAGCTTCGGAGGGGCGTTCGCCTGGGCTTCCAACTCTCGTATCTTCTCCATCTCCATGGCTTCTTTGTGCTTCATCAGATCGTCGTATGTCCATGCACTTATCCCTTCTTGGTCCTTGGCACTGAACGGCTGCGCCATGCCTTTAAGGAACCTCCGGGCATTGCTCACCGCCATGTCTGTACTCAAGTTCACATCTGCCTCGAGGAGCCCTTGGTTGATCCACTTGGGCAGCTGAGCCCTCTTTTTCTGAAACCTGCGGTCAGCAAGCACCATGATCCCGTAATCATCTTTGCCTCGGAGGACACGACCAAGGCACTGCGCAGCATGCCGCATCGCGTCAAATGACAAGAAGTCGTTCTCTCGAATGCGATAAGTCTCGCGCAAAAACTCGAGGCGCGCTTTAAGGATGCGTGACTCCGTGTACTGGAAAGGAACACCAATACAGAGAACGGCTCTCCCATATTGGTGGTCAAAGTCAATACCTTCAGAAACCTTTCCTCGCGCGACACAAAGCAGCACAGCGCCTCGACCATTGCAGCAGGCTGTGCGGTATGTCTCTAATGCCAGAGAGGTTTCCTGAGCATCGGGTGTTTCTACTAAGATGAGTTTGTACTTCCAGATTTCGTCCAGAATTCCCATACCCTGCCACATGCTGATGATGGACTCCATATACAGATAGGAGGGGAAGAAAACCACCATCCCGTCCGGGGTTATTTTGGCGAACTCTGTGAGAAGCGTGCCGTAGTTGCGCACAACACCTGGTTCATTCCGGACTTGGAAGCCTGTGGATATGGATGCTTGATCACTCCCCCGGGTGACGATCATGGGCAAGAAAGATCTCCTTGCAAGAGACATACTGTATGATTCCTGCACAACAGTAGAAAAATTGAGCATCCGCGGATACATTTCGAGCGGGGACATTGTGCCGGAAGTTATGATGACAGACCGAAACCTGTCAAATACAGGCTTTATGGCGATTGCGGCATCCAAGCAAATGAAATGTAGAACCGGGTTCGGTATTTCCGCTGTGTCAGACTCGAACGGCTCAAGGATGAGAAGAAAGCCCCTTTCGTATGTTGCTACGAGGGTTGCAAAGATGGCTACTTCTTGCAGGGGTTGGTAATCCTCGATATTTGTAAGTTCCAGTGTCCGTACGAGCGATGACAGTCTTTCGGCGCAAAACCGGAGCGGTTTCTTTTCAATGAAGGTGTGTTCCTTGAGATGGGCCAGGAATGAGGGTGGGGTCTCTGAAATGACTTGCCGGACTTTCATCCGCGTCTAGGCATGGTCAGTGGGTGTTTTCTGTGGTACGTAAAAGCAGAAGTCGAAGCTTACCTTGAGGTATTCGATAAATCGCTTCAGAAATGCAACGAAATGTTCTGCTCTTCGGATATTTCCTGGTACAGCTTCCTGCAAAAGATCGTCCGGCAATGCTACCTCGCGAGTTAGTTTCGAAGCACCCTGAGAAAAAAAAATACGGTTTGAAAAGTCCATACCCGGGTTGGCCATGAAAGCATCCTCTCTACGGGACTCCTCCGCGCCACGTAAGCCTTCGACCAGCTTTTCGTACTCATTTCGGAGCTTCTCCTGGTCTGTATCCTTCAGTTCAGCCACCCGGCGCTCCAGGTTGTGGGCTCCTCTGGTGGCTTTCCTGAGAGAGTCTTCGGTGATGTCTGTGCTGAGAGACTCGATGCAAACATTATCGATGTTGTGCGCCTCGTCGAAGACAACGATGCAGTCCTTCGAGAGCTCCCTAGATACACGCTCGGCGATCTTTGGATCCAGAAGATAGTGGTAAGAATAGATAATAACGTTGCAGTATTGCATCTAGCCCAGGCCGGTTAGTGCTTTACCCAAGCGGGTGAACTAGGCCGAGGCAACTCACCATGCGCCTCGAAGTGAAGTACGGGCACTGTTTGTGCTCCTCGCCGTACGCGAGTAGAGCATCGAGGGTCCACACGCCATTTGGAATCAGATTGTGTGGCTCCAGGAGGTCGAGGTTCTGCATGTAAGTCAGGACGGTGGTCATGAAGTTTTAACACGGGTCCATACATCATGGTAGATGCAAAGCTCAACATCCTCTCCTCGGTCTTTCTTTTCTCTTACGAAGCCTGCTGTGAGGCTTCTGCAACGGGCATCCACGATCGCTCCACTCTTCTCCCTCTTTACAGATGGGTGAAGACACAAATTTTTCCGGCTTGTGAGGCCAAGGGCTCTGAATTCCTCAACTTGGCCCCGCTGCTCTGCGCGGTATTTCATTAAGGCTTTCAGCTCTGCCAAGGCTTTCTCGATCTCTGACGTAGTTCCTATACCGGCAGAGGGTCAGAGAATCTGCAGAAGTTCAGATACGTAGGATATACTAACGAGAGCAGTATATGATTTTGCGCTGCGATGGATAGTGTTGCTGGTAGGCAATAAGGAGGGACAGGAGAGAGATGGTTTTCCCAGTGCCCGAGGGCATTTCAAGAACACAGTTGCCGCCTGCATCCAATGTTTCTATATCTTCAATTAGAACAGCATCGGGCGGCAAGCACAGCTCATCTACATACTTTTGAGATCGCACATGTAGCTAGCATGGGGTGGAAGAGGCCGAGAGTTAGCATTATTAGAGAGCTTGCTCAGGCTGGTAGACACAGCCATCCCTGTTGCGCGATGATGGAAAAGGAAAGAAACTTACGCATACTGCTCTGGATCGTAAAGTTAGCCATGCTTGCCGTAATGCCCGGGGAGTAGGATGACATACCAGGATATATTCTCGGGTAGGGGAAGAGGACCTCGAGGTCCCTAAATCCCAAGTCAGCTCTTATTCTGAACTGTAAAAAAACAGTCTAGTTCGAGGCAGGGAAATGAGGAGCACCGACTCGATGTTGAACTTCATGGTTCCATATGTTTACGAGAGACGCCTGCCAAAGGAGCGGGCACTTAAACCGGGCAGTCAAGTCGGACAGAGGAAAGCAGCACAACCAGCTTCGACGAGGCTGATTCGAAGGGAATTTATCTTGATCTATGAGAGCATTACTAATGCTGATGTAGATTTCCTCTATCCCGGGTTGGGGGGGGGGAGATGTTGTCATTTGACCAAATGATACTTACGAACAGAGCACGAGCACTGAGGTGTGAAAAATATATCGAGGTTTCAGTAGGGCGTGTCTCTTTGCATCTCCTTCGTTGCAGATGCCCGCTGGACTCGAAGCATAATTGTACGTACCCAGAACGTTAGTCACCAAACAGTCGCGAGATCACGTGATACTATTAAGGAGCCTGTCTCGTCACTTTGAATATTGCAACCACACATATAATAACACTCCTTGGTAATAATTAACTGAACAGCAGCAATAGATCAATATGGATACTAATGTCCTTTACTTCGTATTGTTTTGCCAGGCAGACCCTCCAAATGTCGGTGGGATGATTTGAGTGAAATGTGCTGGCTGTGCAAACTAGCGTGTAACCGTGGTCAAGGTAGATTAATAACCCCAAATGAGGTCAATTTTGTTCCAGTCTAAGCCTTGATGTAGCATCAATTCAAGGCGGAATCTAATGTATTAATTCAATCCCCTGGGAGCCTGGCAAAAACTTCATGAGGCGAGGCCAAATACGAAGAACTAGATTATTGTACAGACAACCTCTCATGACTTCGAGACTCGGGCGACTCGGACCTCGATTTCTTGGGCATCCAGAAAATCCAGGTGGCTGTGCTTCCATAATCATTGATCAATGGCTGGATGTCGGCAAGCGCCCACTTGGCAAGAATCCCGCAGGCTGTTGGTGTCACAAAACCTTCATGGATAGCCAAATGTACTAGGAAGCCCTACGTAACACAAGCCCCTCCTGTGCCGGATCGGAAATGTGTGTACTTGTACTATGAGGCACCGAGACGAAAGTCACTCCCTTGGTTGTTTGGGCGCCCTGGGGCTTTCCCAGAACCCAAGGACGAAACGAAAAATTTAGCTGTGCCACGCTGTCGAAGCCCTTTCCAAGTTGATATTTTTTTTCCCCATTTCCCCTTTATTGACGCTGCTCATGGTCTTTGAAATGCGATTGATTCACCTATATTCTATAAATCAATAGGAAACTGCCCGTAGCGAAAAATGGGTTGACTTTCATTTTTCATGCGGGGGTACAACGTTCCTTCGTACCATGTTTGTACTAAGACATGGATGGGTGGAGATGAGCCAGGTAGGCCAGATGGGTGGCTTCTTCCTTCACCATCACATTCACAACAATCCTCGAACAATTGAACAATTTGAATTCGGGCAGAAATCTGCGGGTCCAGCCCGTAATGGATGCATGCATCCCGCCTTCTGCCTCGTCACTGGCTGGACGACAACTAGCGTGATGCCATGCGCCTAACTTCGTAAACTTACCACTCGGAAGAATCAGACGCTGTTCCAGCCCGACCAATCGAGACGACATGGCTACGAGAGTAGCAATCAGAGGGCTGGGAGCTGCACATTACTGGGCATCAATCATCTTCTGTTCTCATTCTCTCATTTGAAAAACTCAGGCTGGCCGTGCGAGCATTCCACACCAGAGTACCTGTGGAGGGGTAGGGGGGAGGGCGAGGGTTGGCTCAGATTGCAGTTGACTCTGACTCGAACCATTTTCAAACGCGGTTGAGGACTCGATCATCGCTTGGGGGGTACCTGTGTACGGGGTCGGGCGTTCCTCTTGTATCCGGCGCTAGTGAAGATGATCGCGGATTCACATCCCGAAAAACCTGTGCTGCGTTTGACACTCGGTGGGACAAGGAGATCACTTATTTGTCCCCACCTTTCGGGCTCCCTTCTGTCCCACGGGACACATGACTGATTGAGGTTACAGCGTGGCTGCGGCTGGGCGGTCGTGTAACTGTGCAAGCTGTGTACCGTCTCCTGTGAAGTAGGAGGCAGGCTCTGTCCATCTCGTGGGAATGCGGCACGCCATTAACGAATGCCCATCTCCATGCCACCATGGTCAGCCCGCATGCCGCCAGGCCCAGCGTTTGCACCGCTACACCACACCAAGACCCATGTCAAGACGAATCCTTCACTCACACTTTACACTTGGCCCACGGCTCATTTCAAATATAGCCCTGTGCTCCCGGTTCAGTCCTCAGGCACCTCGATCATGACTAGAAACTATCAGACAGTGTGTGCTTAGCACCCCTTGCCGCGTACAACCTACTCTTCGTATGTTAGTCGGAGATCCTTCATGGCGAAAAGATATTGAAGGCGCAGTCAACTGCCTTTCCATGGTGCAGAAAGGAGAAGGGGCACGCGCCAAGAAAGGGGGATGGCGAGTATCTTCGGGAGCATCTCATCCCGTGGCGTGTACATGCTATATTGCGGGCTCATATTCTCTTTTATGGCTCTCAATCAACTGCCTGATGTAGCTCTCCTTCCCCTGTCTGCCTAGGGTGGGTGCGAGGGAATCCGCCTTGATGAGGGGCCCAATCGCCGCCGTCCTCGGTTCCTCCACAGTCCGCCTCACTCTCGGTCCAATAATTACCGTCCCTAGACACTTTTTACGTTACTAACACCGGTCGTGGGAATGGACGTTTGGCCCCGATATCTCCACGCTGTGAAGTGAAAGCTGGCCCATTGCTCGCCATTATTTAACCCGCGTATTTCGGAGCACAGAGCACTCCACACGTCTTCCACAGAGCTCGGCATCTCCTCACACTCGTTCAGTTCAGGGATTGTGGTAGACAGCGAAAACCCACACTCCATGACCAGAGCAACACCTTGCGCCGCTGTGGCCCTCAGTACCTTTACCGCGCCCTCGGCGAGCAAGTTTCAGTTGGATTGTCCCTTCACGTAAGGGTTAGGCTACCTACTCATGAAAATATAGAAATATAGCGGGTCGGAATACCTTACGGACTACATACCTGCGTACAAATATACTCCAACCTGGTTACCCGGTTGGCTAACTCAGCACTTCGTCGCAACCTGGCTTTCAAACTCGACACCGCGAATTGGAGACTCCGATGCCAGCTCAGTCGCTGAAGACACCAGACTGCTCTGCTATGAATCTCTCGACTCTGCCTCCTACGAGGTCTCCAATTGTACTACTACCCCCGCCACCTCCATCACCGCTACAACAACACAACCCTCCCTATCGGTATCCCTCGCCTGTGCTTCTCGGTCAACCACACAGGTTAAGCGAAGGGGAGACATCGTACCCGCGGCCGGGCTCATTTTGCTCTCCTATGTCTGGCAGCGGGTTAGAACCTGGTGAACCCAGTTGGAGAACACCGGTCATGATGGCGGCCTCCCCTTCCTCTGCCTCAAGTGTCATTGCTAATAGCTACGACTCCTTTTCGGATTTCGAGTCTCTAATTCCGCCACCGTATGAATCCGGGCCGTCCCCGGCAGCTTCCTCCCATGGGCCGGTAGCACCGAGCTCTCCCGATCCCCAGGGAATAGCTAAACTAATTCATTCCCCGTCGCCTTTTCCTTCTCTCCCTGATGGGTCGTTTGATTGCCAGCCATTGGGGTCAGCTCGTCAAGACCGATTGAGACCGCACACACCAGGGCTCTTTCCTAATGAGGAAATTCCCCGTCGCCGGCCTTCCAGACCTATACAAACGGCACTCGTTTCCGATCAAGCCTCATATTTCGCAGGGCCTACTGAGTTTCTAAACGACTCACGGCAGCTACCGTGGCTGGGGAGATTTGCCTCTGGGCCGCATGGTGAGAGTATTTCGGAGGAAACGATGTCTCTTATTTATGGCAGCAAGTCTCGAAGCGACCGCCCCCGAAGGGCTCCTAGGAGACTTACGACTAAGGAAGACGCCAATTTCCAATGTGAAGTCAAAGGCTGTGGCAAGCTCTTTAGTCGAAGCTACAATTTCAAGGCTCACATGGAAACGCACGACGAAAAACGAGAGTATCCGTTTCCATGCCTAGAGAAAGGGTGCACCAAGAAATTTGTGCGGAAGACAGACCTTCATAGGCATCACCAAAGTGTACATACTAAGGAGCGACATCACAAGTGCGACTACTGCGGCCGTCTCTTTGCGAGGAAGGATACTTTAAGACGGTAGGGGCCGATTGTGCTAACCTTCAGGCGCGGGCTTCGGTAAACGGAAAGCTAACGATCCTGCCTTGTTCCAGGCACATGGACGATGGCTGTGCGAAACGGTTCGACATAGGAACTTTGGACCTGCACGTTGAGGGCTTCGATGGGGGAACCCTCCTCTGTGGTAGACACCTTGACGGGTCAGGCTCCCCTCCATCGTCCATTCCCTTCCCTAGTATCATACCGCTCATGCCGCGTGCGGCGCCATCGCCGGATAGAACTGCTCCATACCCGTTTCCACATCCCGACTCTATCGGCCATTCATCCCACGGTATCCCTCCTAGTGGCCGGACATGAGGATGCGGCCCTGTATCGTGCTCCAGTCCTCTTTCCACAGTTTTTGTGCAGCGAACCCACAACCAAGGAGAGTCCGGACCCCTTCCCGGAGGCATTACGCTACAAGCGAGAGTTTAGATCAGATATATATATGTCTGTCCGAACCGGAAAAAGGAGGTAGGGTCTATTATGGTGAGTCGCACAACCAGTATGAAAAGGCATGATGGGATGGGACAATAGGACTGGCTCTGGATCCCTCCGGCGATGCTCCCCAACCTGGAACATATATCAATTCCTGTATCGACCGGAGCTAGCGTGCCTTGGCGAAACACTATTCCGCCCACATCTGAGCAGAAGCCCGAGATCCCAACCCACTCTACGGGTAACGGGGGCTGGGAAGAATACATAAGAGTCGATACGCGTATATTAACACCGAAGAAAAAAATGAACAGACTAGTACAATTGCAGCCCACGAGCTACTACCTCCTTTTCTTCACAGACCAGAGTAAGACGACCGAAAATGTAGCCAAACATCCGACA